GCGATAGAAGAACTGACAGAGAGAGAGAGAGAGATACTAGGAGCAGAGCGAGGAGAGCGTCGTGCCGAGACGGAGCTGCTGCCGGACCTCTCGGCTCGCGCTCTCGCTCTCGTTGACTCGGCCGCAGAGACGCACTCGAGGGACATTAGGGCGAAAGGCAGTAGAGTACAGCTAGGGAGTCGAGATCGTCAAAATGGGGGAGGGGGGGCGAGAACTAGCTGGCCAGGGCGAGGGAAAGGGTGGGTAGGGACGAAGGGGGAACAGATCTCAGGACGCGCACACGAGGCTCGAGGAAGGCGGTGGGGGTGGGCAAGGTGGTAACGAGGTCGTCAAAAGGATGTGAGGGGCGGGCGAGGAGGGGAAAGGCGAGGAAGGGGGAGGGGCGAAAGTCGGAATGCGAGCGGCGGGACATGCTGAAGAAGAGGGGGACAGAGCGTCGCTGCTCAGAGGATGTTGCACTTGCCGCCCTTCTTGCGGCCCTTGGTCGACAGGAGCGCGAGGCGGGTCGCCGTCTCGAACACCTCCCGCACGCCCTCGCCCGTCCGGGCCGAGCACTCGAGGTACCTCGTCGCGCCGATCTTCTGGCGGACCATGTCGCCCTGTGACGCGGCGAGAGAAGTCAGTACGGCGAAACGCGTGAGGAGAGAGAGAGAGAGAGACGAGAGAGAGGGACGCACCTCTTGGGTCGTGACGGGCCTCTGGCTCGTCCTCCTCAGCTCGTCGATCGTCTTGGGGTCGTTCCGGAGGTCCTTCTTGCACCCGACGAGGATGATGGGCAAGCCGGAGCAGAAGTGGAGCACCTCGGAGATCCACTTCTCCTGGACGTTGTCGAGCGAGTCGGGCGAGTCGACGGCGAAGCAGATGAGGATGACGTGCGAGTCCGGGTACGACAGCGGGCGCAGGCGGTCGTAGTCCTCCTGGCCGGCGGTATCCCACAGGGCGAGCTCGACGCGCTTGCCGTCGACGACGACGTCGGCGACGCTGCGGGGTGGGGGAGAGAGGGATCGTCAGGATGCGGGCTCTCGCGCGGCTCGCGCGCACAGAGAGATGGACGGGACGCACTAGTTCTCGAAGACGGTCGGGACGTAGACCTGTGAGAGGGGCGGGCGAGTCAGTAACCTCGCTGCGGAAACGCCGGACGGCACCGCCTCGTCCAGGCTGGTTCGACCCGGGCGAGCACGCTCGCTGCGGCCGGCGGCCGACGCGCGTGCCACCTGAGCCTCGTGACGAGCGCTCGGGGCGAAGGCAGAAGGTGCTGTCGACAGGTAGACGGGCCGAACGGGGCGGCTCGAGCGAGAGGAGGGGCGGGCTCACCTCGGGGAAGGTGCCCTTGGAGAAGACGATGAGGAGGCACGTCTTGCCGCACGCGCCGTCGCCGACGATGACGAGCTTGCGCCTGATCTCGGACATGGCTGTTGGAGCGGGTAGAAGGGCGGAAAGGGGCTGGACTGGCCGGGGAGTGGGCGAGAGCGGGCGGCGAGGGGGCGGTCGCGTCGGCTTGGTGACGAGCGGTCGAGGGGGAAGGGGGGTGCGACGACGAGGTGCAGGCGAGACGGGCTGCAAGGGGCAGGAGACAGAGGTCAATCGTCTGCTCGTGCAGGTCACGCAGGGCACGCTCGGGTGCGGTGCGGCGAGCTGGCGAGGCGGACGAGGACCGAGGGGAGCGAGGGGGCCGCCTCGAGTCGCCCGACGCGCCCGCTCGAGAGACTGGGACGGCGTGCGGTTGGGAGGAGGGGCCAGAGAGTGGGAGGGGCGGGACTCACTGTGCTGCACGGGACTCTGGCGAGAGAGGCTCGAGGTTGGGAGGGAGGGCGACGAGGCGAGGGCGGCCTCGTTCGCTTCGTCCGCGCTCCTCTCGCACCGCCCACTCCCCGTCACTCGCGCTTGCCTGTCGACCCGTTCAAGAGGGCCCTGCTCATCCCTGCGGTACTCGAGCCGTACTGCAGCGGCCCAGCTCGCCTCGCCGCCTCGCCGCCCTTCCGCCCCGCTCGCCCACTTGCTGCGGGACTCGTACGGCCCGCTACCCCCTCGAGCGACGAGGCGCGCTCGTCAGGTCCTCTCTCGCGGCCGTACGATCTGGGCGGCGCGTCGTCTGCAGCCGATTTGCGGCGCGATGCAGCTCTGCTCGTGCTGCGTTTCGAGGCTTTCGGCTCGCCTCGTGCTCTCTCCGCCGTCGTCGACGCTGCCGTTCGACCCATGTGCCCGAGCCGTGAATCGCTGTGCTCGCACGCTAGGTGCTGCACGGCCCACGCCGGGCTGCGCTGCTCAGTCGGGCCTCGCTCGGTGTGCTGCAGCTCTCGGTCGTGCGCCTCTTGCGAAGCTGCGCGCTCGTTCTGGCCGCGCATAGCTTCTCGACGTGCACGAGCAGGACGTACGAGTCGAGCGAGTGACGAGCTGTGCGGTCTGGCAGGCTGCGGTCGCGTCGAGCCATCTTGCTGCGTGCTCGGGCGCTCTCTTTCAGCAGGCTCTCGCGCTCGCAGGCCGAGTCGTGCTCGCTCGGTCGAGCTGTCGACGGAGCTGGTTCTCAAAGTGTCGCCGGGCGGCGCGGCAGGAGCGTGAGGAATGGCGACGTGCGAGTCGGGTTGCGGCGAGAGGTCGGTGCGCTCGAGGAAGGCGCTGGGCGAGGTGCGGCCGCAGGAGGATCGGGATGAGCTGTAGCCGTCTGTGAAGCTGTAGAGAGTGGCGGGCCGAGTCGAGAGAGCAAGCGCGGCTAGGGTGCACGTGGTGGGTCGGCCGCGACTGGGTCGGAGCAAGCGGTCCGCCGTGGGCGACGCCAAGTTCCGCGTCTCGCTCGTCCCTGCTCGTCTCGCCTTCTGCACAGATGGCCACGAGCACACCTCGCCTCGGTCGCAAGATCAACCGCCCGACCGGCGCCCTGCGCACGCCTGCCTGCGCCCCTTGTGCGTCGCCTCACTCCCTCACTCAGCCTCATCAGTCGCGGCGGGTAACTCACCAACCCCGCCTCGTGCGCTTGCCTCGCCCTCGTGCAGGTGCTCAACGCCGTGTCAGGTGTGACGGCGGCAGCCCGTGCCAGGCGTGCTTGCGTCTCGCGGCGTGGAAGGGCAGGCCTGCTCCCGCGGCGTGCGACTACGACGGCCTCGTCCCGGCTCGCAAGAACGGTGCGCCGCGTCTGTTTCCTCCTTTCAGAGTAGCTCGTGTCGCTCGGGCGGGCGCGAGAGCTGACTCGCTTCCTCTCCCACCCCTCGTCCGCCCCGGACGTCCACCTCCCGCTGCTATGTCCGCGCCGTCTCCCGCCTTGTCACAGGCCCTCTACCGCCAGCACTCGCCGCCTACAGCAACACTGAAGCCTCGACCTCGACCGCCGTCCCGTCTGCCCAGCCTCCTCCTCCACCAGCTCGCCCACCCCCACTCAAGGAGCGCCCCACCACCTCGACCTCGGCAACGGGCAAGAAGTGCAGGAGGAGCCGAGGGCCGGCACTCCAAAAGGGCCTCGCCTGTCTCGCCTGTGCGTTCTCTCTCTCCCTCCTTCGAGCCTCGGTGCAGGCCCGCACGCTGACCACCCGGCCGTTGCCCAGGCAAATCGCGCAGGATCCGGTGCGACGGCTCGAAGCCGGCGTGCGGCGCGTGCGTGCGTCGCCAGCTGCGCAGCGGCGACGAGCTCGAGTGCGTGTACCGCGCCGACCTGTTTCGGCTGGCGCAGGAGCCCGGGCAGGCGGGAGGAGGCGGGCTCGAGGTCGAGACGCCGAGGCCCGAGCAGGAGGTCGGCGTCGACGCGAGGGCAGTCGTCGAGGAGGACGAGCGAGAATACGGCATGGACTTGGTCGTCGACGAGATGATGCGTGCGTCCCTCGTTTCGAGTCGTCACTGTCTTTCGTCGACTGACTCCTCTCCGCCCGCAGCACCGCCTCCTCCCCCATCCTCCACGTTCACCCACTCGCCATTGTCCCTCCTGCCGAGCATCCTCCCCGCCCTACCGCCCCTGCCGAGCACCTCGTCTCCCTCGACTGCCGCCGCCGCCGCCGCCGCACCGACCTCGTTCCCGCCGTACCCTCTCGAATCCTTCGACGCCCCGAGCTACTTCACCTCGTTCCCGCCGCGCTCGTCGTCCCTCTCGTCGACCGCGTCCACGTCGACCTTTACCCCGACCGCGACCCCGACCCCGTCCGACCTCGACCTCGACGAGCTCCTCTCGTCGTGCTCGTCGTGGCCCTCGTCGCCTCGCACGCCCCTCTTCGACCCGCACGCGTTCGCGACCCTCCTCCGCCGCGACAACTACCCGCCTGTCCCATACCCTCCTCCTCCTCCCCCTTCTGCCCTGCCCGTCTCCACGACGACCACGGCGGCGGCCCTCGGCGCCGCACCCGGCATCAACCCGCACTGGACCGACGCCGCATGCGCGCTCAGCAGCGTCCCCGCGCTCGAGCTCGGCGCGCTCGCGCTCTACTCGTGGGCCGACGTCGAGCCACTCACGGCGAGGCCGGGCGGCGGCGACGACCGCGAGGGCGGCGAGCTGGGGGCGCCGGGCGACCTCGTCGTTGGCGGGTGCGGCGGCGGCGGCGGCGGCGGTGGGTGCGAGGCGCAGGGCGAGGCGTATGGCGAGGTCGGCGACGTCATGTTGACGCTCCCGATCGAGCCCGTCTTTGCGAGCGAGTGGAGCGGGACGGGAGGCGGAGCGGCTCGCTGAGAAGGGAGGGGCCTGAGCGCCGGCCGCAAACTTCTTTTGTCTCGTCCTCGCGCTCTCGAGAGGGTCGCTCGTGCTTGCTTCTCTCGGCTCCAACGCCCGTGCATCGTGAGAGGAGGTTGCAGCAGACGAGCTACAATCTCGAGAGCGCCCAGCGCTCACTTGGTCCCGAGCCGGCGCTCGGCCTGGCGCAGCTTCGTCCTGGTCGCCGACAGCTCGCTCTGCGCGCTGTTGAGCTCCTGCGTACGTCGGAGAGACCGAATCAGTGCCTCAGAACGTGACGCGAAAGAAAGAGAGAGAAAGACAGGACGCACCTCGAGCAAAGAGGCGCGCGTCTTCTGCTCGCGCCGCTGCGCATCGGCCAGCTCCTCCTCGAGGTCGGCAATCTGGCCGCGCAGGTCCTCGACGTCGTCCATGTTGCTGCTGCTCGAGGTCGGTGCGGCGGGAGCGGCGGCGGGTGCTGGCGTCGGCGAGCGCTGCTGCTGCTGGGCGACCGAGAGCTGATCGAGAAGCTGCGCCTTGTCGGCCTCGAGCTTGCGCTTCTCGGCTCGGGTCTGCTCGAGCGACTCGGTGAGGCTGGGGAGAGACAGATTCGAGGTCAGATCTGGACGGGGAGGCACAGGAAAAGGGGGAGCAGGGACGCACTCGTTGAGCCGCTCGAGCATCGTCACCTCCTGAGTGGCCGACACGTCCAGGCGCTCCTCGAGCTCGGCGATCTGCAGGACAAAGATAGCTTCAGTGACGAGTACTTGAGAGAAGAGAGGGAGGAGGACGCACCCGTTTCGACTGCGCGTCGCCCTTCTCGTTCTCGAGCGCGACGAGCTTCTGCACGAGCTTCTGGTCCTCGGCCAACAAGAGCTTGACCCGACCGACGAGCGCGTCGACGCTGTAGTCGCTGCTCGGCGTCGACGACGGCGAGAGGCCCGAGTCGGGGCCGCCGGCGCCGATGGCGCTCTTGAGGAGGGCGCCGAGCGGTTTGCGCGCCGGCAGCGGCGGCGACGACGACGCCGATGCCAACGACGACGGGTCGAACGCGTTGCGCAGGACCGAGAGGTCGCTCGACTCGCTGTTGGCGCGTGCACGGCCCTCGAGCGCCGGGATCGAGCGCCACAGGTCCTGCAGCTGCTTGTCCTGCTCGGCGAGTCGCCCGTCGAGGTCGGCGAGGCGCGCCTGCGCCCCGGCGAGCTCCTGCTGCGCGTGCATGGCCGACGTGTGGGCGGCGGCGTGGTCGGCTTCGAGCTGCGGGACCGCCGACAGGCGCGCCTCGTGGTCCTGCGCCTGGGACCGGAGCAGTTCCAGCTCGGTCTCGAGCGAGTCGCGCTCGGCCGACAGCGACTCGACGTCGCCCTCGAGCATCTGGATGCGCTCGTGCGCCTGGGCGAGCTCGTCCTCGAGGCCGGCGTGCGAGTCGCGCTCGGCGTGGAGCGAGGACAAGTCGGCGGCGAGGCCGTCGACGTGGGCGCCCGCCTTGTCGAGGTGGGCGTCGAGCGTCGAGGCGAGGTAGGCGGGCAGGTCGTCGCGGTCCACGGTCGCGTCGTCGAGCGAGGGCGCCTCTCGCAAGGCCGAGCCGAGGGCCGGACGCGTGCGGTGCCGGCGCAGGACGTCGCCGATCGCCTCGACGACCGACCGCCGCTCGCCCTCGAGCTGCTCGACGCGGCGGCGGGCCTCCTCGGCGCGCTCGTCGTCCTCGGGCCCGGCTGAGCGGTCGGCGCGCGCAGAGCTCGCCGCCGCGCTGGCCGACTCGGCCTCGCGGACCTTGTCCTCCCACGCTCGCCGCTCGTCCTTCATCTCCTCCTCGGTGCGCTGCAGCTCCTCCTCGAGCTCCGACACGCGCTCCTCGGCGTCTGCGAGCTTGTGCTCAGCCTCGGTGAGCTCCATGCCCTGGTCGCGCAGCCGCCGCGCCGCGTCCTGCGCCTCCTGCCGCGCCGCCTCGAGGTCGCGCTGCGCCGCGCCGTCGATCGACGGGCTGCTGCGCGCGACAGCGAGCTGCGACCGATGCTCGTCGGCCTCGCGCCGGGCGCCCTCCACCTCGCGCCGCGCCTCCTCGACCTCTCGCCGCGCCCCGTCGTGCTCGCCCCGCACCTGCTCGACGTCGTCCCGCGCGGCGTGCAGCTCCTCCCGCAGACCCTCGGCGTCCGCCTGCGCGCTCGAGAGCTCGCGCCGCAGCCGCTCGTGCTCCTCCTTGACCTCGTCGTCCCGGCGGTCGAGCGCCTCGCGCGCCGACCGCAGGTCCGCCTCCGACTGCCGCTTGACCTCGTCGAGCTGACGCTCGAGCGAGCCCGCCTGCTCCTCGAGCTCCTTGATGCGCGTGTCGCGCTCGACGAGGTCGTGCTGCAGCTGGACGGCGTTGGCGCCGAACGAGCCGCTCGCGCCGAGCTGCGGGCTCTGGTACGGCGAGCCGCCGACGCCGTTGGCCGAGATGGTGCGGACGCGGGGGACGATGGCCTCGCGGTTGCCGGCAAAGAAGTGCGCGCCGTCGAACCGCGCCGAGCCGGGAGGGGAAGGGGTGGCGTGCGGCTGTGACGCGGCCGAGGAGGGTGCGAGGGTGGGCGCGAACGGGTAAGGGCCAGCGGCAATGGCGGACCGGCTGTCCTGCTCTTGCTCCTTCTGGCGCAAAGAGTTGGCGAGGACGGCGGCCGTGTGGCGGAGGAGCTTGATGCGCAGCTCGGCCTCGCGCGAGCTCGTGTTGTACAGGTCGGCCTGGAGCGTGTCGAGCTTGGCCTGCGCCGTCGCGAGCTGCGCCTCGGCCTGCTCTCGGGTGACGCGAGGACGAGCGGGAGAGGTCGGGTTGGTGGGCGTCGACGGGTCGCTAGACGGGCCGGACAGGCGGACGAGCTTGGCGGCCGAGTCGCGCAGGCGGGTCTCGAGTGCGACGGACCGCGTCAGGCCGGCGATGCGGGTCGAGAGGACGGTGTGCTCCTGTGCGATAGATCTGAGTCAGTGAGGCTCGGTGAGAGGGATGGCAGGCGCAGGCGACGCACCTTCTTGACCTCCTGCGTCTCCTCCCAGCCCATGACCTCGAAATCTCGCGCTTCGACGACCGCCGCGCCGCTCAACAGCTCGATCATGAGAGCGTCTTGCGACACGGGCTCGGACGAGGTCGTCTCGGGCGAGAAGGGCCGACTGCGCGCGCCGCCGACGCCGCCGACCGACGAGCGGGCCGAGTCTCGTTGGCGCCCGAGAGTCGGCGGCGAGGGCGGTGGGGGCGGCGAGCGCGCCGAGCCGAACGGGAGCTGGCCAAAGTCGAACTCGTCGTCGGGGTTGAACGACTCGGCGAGCCGTGAGGAGCTCGCAGGCTGGTGGGCGGGTTGTGCGCCGGTGGCCGGGGACGAGGCGGCGTTGCGGCTCGCGACCGAGCCGTGCGAGGTGCTCCGGGCAAGGCCGAACCAGCTCTTGGCTTGCGGGTCGGCGGCGTGCAGGCCGTCGGGTGCGTGCGCCGAGGGATAGTCGGGGTGGGAAGATGAGGATGGGGAGGGGAGCGAGTCGGACGCGAGCGAGTTGGATGTCGACGACCCGGTGATGCTCGATGCGCCAAAGATGCGCCTCTGTGTGTGGCTATCGCGTCAGTCGCAGTCTCTGCGCTGAGAGGAGGGGGAGGACGGCGCACCATCGAGGCGGGGCCGAGAGGCTCGACGGGCACGGCTCTGGCGTGTCGGGCGGTGCGCTTGCCGGGGTCGAGGCGGTCTCTACTCTGCGACACGACTGCGCAGCAAGTGCCTGCAGTGTGCGCGCGAGGAGGGGTGAGGAGAGCAAGCGTCACACTGCGAGCGGCGGACCGGACTCGTGCTGGTCTCTCGCGCCGGGCGGTTCCGAGCGCTTCAACTTGCCAAGTGCTACGCTGGTTCTTCCGACTCGAGTGGCCCTCGAGAATCTAAAGCGAGAGCGAGGAAGTGGTGGCTCTCCTCCTCTCCGACCACGTGAAACCGGCGACGACGACGAAGAAGCAACAACAGGGATGCAAGGCTGATGCGAGAGACACTAAGTCTGGTACTGGTGCAGGTAGGCAAAGTCCTCCTCGCTGAGCGGAACGTTGAACTTGGACCCGCCCGTCGTCGCCCCTCTCGCCGCCACCGCACGGTCCGGTTCGTCCGACAAGCCCAGGTGGCCCGCGTGTGGGCTGCCCTGGAACGGGACCGACGACAGGCTGAAGACGTCCTGCATGTCGGCCTCGTCGAGGACCGAGTCACTCGAGCCGGACGGCGCGCCGCCGCCGAGATTGAGCTCGCCAAAGTCGAACCCGCCCGTGGTGGACGCCGTCGCCGGCCCGTTCTGCATGTCGCGATAGGGCGAGTTCGGGAGGTGAAGGTGCAGGGTGCTGTCGGGCGGCGAGAAGGTGGCGAGGGCGGCGAGCGTGGCGTCGGCGCCCGAGGCGGCGGACGACATCTCGCGAGCCCGGCGCGAGTGGGCACTCCCGAGGCCGGCGATCTGCCGAGCTGGAGGGGCGACGGCGTATAACGGCGCGTAGGTCGCCTCGGCGCTGTGCGGGCCCTTGGTGGCGAGCGCGTCGAGCGTGTTGAGCGTTGGGAAGGCCTGGTCGGCCGAGCGGCTGCGCGACAGGCGCAGGAACGGCGCGTGCGGCTTCGTCGCCGTGTGCGTCGCCGTCACGCGAGGCACGACCGTGTCGGACGCCATGTGGACGAGCTGCGGGCGCGTCGCCTTGCGTCGTCGGCCGTTCTCCTCGGGGCTGGTCGCGCGCGACGATACCGCCGTCGGGGCGCCGCCGAGAGCACGAGCGAGGCTCGGACGACGGGACCAGTCCGACTCGGGGCTGTAGCGGAGCGTGCGCGCTCGCTTGGCCCGGCGAGGGGCAGACGAGTTGGCGACCTCGTCGTCGACCTTGGAGAGGACGAAGCGGATGACGGCCGAGCCTTTGCGGCAGATAGTCTGCAGGGTATGAGAGTCAGTAGAGGTTCGTGCAGGGCCGCAAAAAGAGAGAGAGAGAAGAAGACGGACCGAGACGCCGGCGAAGCCCTCGACTCGCTTGAGGACGAGGTCGATCCCGCTGCGGATGATGGGCGCGTCCGGCTCGGCCGGCGACTGCAGGAGCTCGACAGCGAGAGCGACGGCCGCCGAGATGACCTTGAAGTTGTGCCTGTGGCCGGGAAGGAAAGTCAGTCGCGGTCGAGGAGGCGGGAAAAGGCAAGGGACGGAGGAGAGCAGGCGCGGACGCACCCTGCCCAGTCGAGGTGACAGCCCGGTGCGCTGTTGATCGCGAGCAAGCGCTTGCCGTACTTGACGCACTGCTCCCGCGAGTGCTGGTAGCGGTCGTCTGCCGCCGCGAGAACTGAAGGAGGGAGGGCTCGTGCGTCAGTTTCTCGGCTCGTGAGGGCGGGCAAAGTAGAGGACGAGCGAGACGGACCAAGGAAAGGACGGTGCAGGCGCACGAACTCGGCCGCAAGGTAGAGCTGGATGACGGTTGCGCGCATCTCGGTCGGCGTTGGCGGCGAGGCGAACTGGACCCGGTTGGCGCCGTCCACGGGGAGCTCGTACGCCGGCGGCAGGCTCTTCTCGAACGCGATGAGGTCCATGTCCAGCGACAGGACGTCGTCGTAGCTGCAGGGCGTGACGCTGAACGCTTTGTCGGTCTGCGCGCGAGGTGGAAGGTCAATTTGGGAAGGTCGCGCGGGCGGCGAGCTCTTTCTGACGCACGATCTTTTTGGCGAGGAGGCTCTGCTGCGCGCGAAGCTGTAGGACGAGGCGTCAGGTCCACGTGCTCCCACAGAGACTGAGAGAGAAGGGGCGCGGGACGCACGACCGTGACCGTCATGGGCGTTTCCTCGAAGCCGTCAGCCGCTCTCCTGCTGCGGACCCGGGCCTTGGCGGCACGCTCGTCCATGTTGAGCTCGGCGTCGTAGCAGTCGAGAGGAAACTTGCAGTCGATCTGGCGCAGGTCGAACCCAGACCAGGTGCGCGACGTGCCCTGTTTGCGCGACCGGTGGTCAGTGCGCCGACCCGGACCGTGCGCGCGAGAGAGAGTGAGAGACCGAGACGCACCGACGAGACCGACATCGAGAGCGAGAAGACGGACCAGAAGAGTCGACGACGCTCCTCGCAGTCGGCGAACGACGGCTGGGCCTTGCTCGGTCGAGACGGGTCGAGGTGCAGGTCGAGCGAGAGCACGGCGTTGACCGCGAGCGACAGGAGCGACATGCCCGCCGAGACCGTGTCGCCGGTCGACATGAACTGTTCCTTGACGAGGGAAAGTTCGTCAGCAGGCAGGACATGGGGAGGGAGGAGATGCAGGAGAGAGGGGAGGGAGGAGATGCAGGAGAGAGGAGAAGGCTCACGATGTAGAGCGAGGCGATGATGACGGCGGCCCGGATGCCGTCGAGGCTCGGCTGCTCCATGAACTGCAGGTAGGAGTACGAGTCAGAGCGGACCTCGGGAGGGACGAGAGGGCAGGGCGAGGACGAGCGACGTACCTTGCCGGCGACGAGCGAGAGCATGGCCGTGTGGACCCAGCGCTCGACGATGGACGAACGGTTGTCGGGGAACCCTCGAGCTTGCGCCTGCTTGGTCGTCATGCTCGCGAGGCCGGACGCACAGGCGCTGAGGAGAACGGCGACGAAAAGCGGGTCGACCTCGCGCTCGCGCTGCGCCTCGTCGGGCTGCGACATCGCCCGCCGGAACAATGACCAACGCTGTTCGAGGTCGGCGAGGCGGATCGGCGCCGAGTGCCAGTGCACAGACGAGGCGTAGACCTGGTACGCCGAGCGCAGCTCGTCGTCTGAGGGGACGAGCGCGAGGACCTGGCGCACCGTCGGACGCGTGCCGAGGAGGCACGTGTTGAGGGCGAACGCCGACGGGCTCGAAGAAGACGTGTGAGGCGCAGAGGAGGGAGGAGAGGGTGCGATAGACGAGGGCGTGAGGACGACGAAGCTCGAGCCGGCCGACGAGGCGTCGTGCTGGATCGACGACTGGACGAAGCGCTCGGCCTCGTCGAGGAACGCCTCGCCGCCGACGCCGTTGGGCGCGAACGACTCGGCGCCCGACTGCTGCGTCGACAGGACGCCCTTGAGCGCGAGCTCGACGAGGGCGCCGCACAAGTCCTGCCCTCGCAAGTCGAACGTCGCGAGCTCGAGGCCGGGCACCTCGGCCTGCTGGACGATGGCGTACTGCTGCTGGACAGGTCGACTCGCCGCATCGATGGGGCGGGTAGTGGGGGACGTGGTCGCCGATACGGGCGGCGTCGACTCGCTCATGGCGTCGAGTAGGTGCTGCAGGCGATCGACCTGTGCGTCGAGAGAGGTACGAGCGTCAGGACCCGAGCTACAGAGTGGCAGGAGTGGAACGAGACGACGCACCTGAGCCTTGAGCTCCTTGACGTCCGTCTCTTCTCGAGCGACAAAGAGCGGCACGGCGTCACTGCGAGCGGGAGAGGCACGACTCGTCAGTCTGTGCGGCCCGGACCAAGACAGAGACTCGAGGGAGAGAGAGAGAGGGAGACGCACCCGTCCCAAATGCAGCCCTCGGGGTCGCCTCGCTCGACGCACGACGAGCACGGCATCGACCGGTTGCAGCGCAGCTTCTTCTTCCTGCACGGCGTGCACGATGCCGGTACACGCTTGCGCGGCGCCTGCGACGACGACGCCTTTTTCCTCGCCGCCGCTGACGACGACGACGACGACGACGCCGTGACCTTGGGCGGTTGAGGAAGGTCGAGCGGCGCGCCCTCGGCCCAGCCGTCCGACGCGCCGACGACGCCGGCGGGCAGGTGGTGCGAGCGGGTCGAGACGTAGGTGACGTCGTCGGTCATGTGGTGCGAGGGAGGAGCGCGGGCGAACATGGACTGGGGCGGGCGGTCGGTGCGCGACGAGGCGCGAGTGACGGGCGCCGAGTAGGGCGAGCCGTAGTCGCCGTGCTGCTGCTGCTGCTGCTGCTGCTGCTGCGAGTAGTGGTGCTGCTGGTCGGGCGACTGGTCGTACAGCGGCGAGGGCGACAGGGTGCCGGCGCCTTGACCTTGGCCCGAGGCGACGTACAGCGAGTGGACGGGCGCCCGAGCATGGCTCGAGCTCTGCTCCTCGGCCTCGGACGACGAGACGCTGTGCCGAGAGCTCGGGTGCGACGAGTACCGCGAGCGCGACGAGGCGTGGTACGACGACGACGGCGGGGCGAACCGGATCTGGGGCGACGCCTGCTGCTGGTACTCGGGGAGGGACGGCGTCGAGGTCGACGAGTAGTCGTACGACGGGTACGCGTCGACGTAGGCGCCTTGAGAGCCGCCGCTCGCCGACGAAGGCGGATAAGGGTGCGACGAGTACGAATGCGAGTGTTGGCCGGCCATGGTCGAGCGCGACGGCGAGCGAGGGCGATAGGCGCCGTGCGGCTGGATGAGGGGGGAGCGAGCGTCGACGAGGAAGCCTGCAAGAGAGAGAGCGAGAGCGAAGGACGAGGAGGAGGGGGGGCGAGGCAGGGCGCGAATCAGTACTTCCGTCGACTCGTGTGCCTGTCCCCTCCTTTCTCGCGCTCGATCGCAGTCTCGACGGACCAAGTGATCGACGAGATTGGCGTCACGTACGCCGCTCGCGCTCGACAAAGAGGGAGAGAGGACGCACAGGACGAGGAAGATCCAGGATCGTCGGGTCGGCCGCGAGCCGTAAAACCGGGCGAGTCGACGAGGACCGAGTTGACGACCAGAAGCCGGAAGCTTGGCCGGACGAGGGCGCGCACAGGACAGGTCGGGAAGGCCACAAAGGTCGGCTTGACGTGCGCACTCGGCGCTCGCGAAGAAAGGTAGGCGGAGCTACGACGAGGCTCGCAAGGGAGCTCGAGGTGCGGGTGGGGGGGGAAGGAGGGCGGCGGCGGCCGTGCACGTGCCGTGTGCGAGAGCGGCTGCGAGGACGACGCGAACGGCTCGGGGACGACCGGCTCGCGCGACCAGGAGCGGGGAGAGGGAAGGAGGAGAGGGAGGGAGAGGGAGCGCTCGCGCGACAGCAGTCCGCCGACGCCTTCTAGCGCGCGGACGAGTGCATGCAAGGAAGGCTCAGGGCGTCTCGGACAGACCCCTCCCCCGTAGTTAAGGGGTCGCGGCCAGCGAGGCGAAGCGTGCGGCGAGCGGCCCTGACGAGCTCGCGAGCTTGCCGAGCGGGGGAGCTGCGGTCGACGCGGGCATCCAGGCCGGCTGCCATTGCAGGGCCCGGGGCGAGCTAGGGCCGCGTGGGCGCGCGACCGGTGAGCGGTGGTCAAGGAGGAGGGAAGACGGCTCGCGCGGGAGGACGAGAGGTCCTCTGATGAAGGTCGTGGGCAGCGCGTTGTTCTACGTGCGCTTCTCTCGGTTGGCGAGGGGAGGTGGGCACCGGGACGGCTCGCGAGGAGAGAAGCTCGAGGGTCGATCAATTGGACGGCGCGGTCGAAGGGCCGCACGCCGAGGTTTGCCCCCGCACGGTCCTCGATCGCAACTCGAAGGTCTCCCTCTCCGGACGCTCGAGGCCACGCGAATGCGCATCTTGCGCCTGTCCGACGCCTTTCTCGTACTTCCACGAGCAATCGAATTGCGCGCGCCGAACAAGCTTTTTTGCGCGAGCCGAGAGCGAAATCCGAACGTGCGCGCCGCTTTCGAGGCGCTCCAGCAGCTGCAGCGTCGCGGACGTTGGATCGGTCGGTGCACTCGGAGACGCTCACGTCGTACTGCATTTAGCTAGCTCGCAGGAAGCGCAGCAAGCGCCGTCGAGGAGTTATGAAGTGCGCGAGGCACCAGCTTCGGATCGCCGTCGAGGACGCATTCGTCCGAACAAACGCGCGCGCTGCTGCATCTCGTTAACTTAACTACATAGCACACGCGCTACTGACGAAGCCAGAGCGTTAGCGCCGGACAGCGTGTATCTAGCGTCGGCCGCACGACCGCCGGACTGCCGCCGGAGCTGCAGGAGAGGAGGCTCAAGCGCTCGACCGACGATGTGCGACCAGCAGCACCGGCACATCCTTCTCGTACTCGCTCACGTTCGTTGGTTCGACAGAGCGAACGCAAGCCGACCCTCGCTGCCTGAGCGCGAGTCACCTGTCGACGAAGCTGTTTGAGAAGGTCGCTGGTCGGGAACTCCTTTCGCGGCACAGCTCAAGGGCTTTCATCGAGCCAGAGGAACGCGAGCCGGCACATGGACACGTCGAAAGGGCCGTTGCCAGGGGCTCGAGACGGCTCGTGAGGGCGAGCGGGCGAGCAAAGACGGCCGAGTTGGCGACCCTTGTCGCTGCGGAAGCGGCGACCGTACGGTCACCGGCACAGGATTCAGCTGCGACACGCACTTTGCGCCGTCGACAGCATGCACGGAGCCGTCGACAGGAATAGCTAGACAGAGCCGGACCGCCGCGGTAAAGCCGCCAGGGCGGGAAGAACGCGTCGTCCTCGTTCGAGCCGGGCACGCCGACGGTCGCTCGCGCAGATCGGCCGCACCTGAGGCTTAACCGTGCATCGCGGTCGAACGAGCGGCTCCCAGGCGAGGACGCCTGCAGACGAGTTGGCTCCTTCGTTTTCGCGCCCGGGCCTCTTCGTCTCGACGATCTCGACGAGGCTGCTCTCGCCGGTCTCGCGCTCTCCGGGCGAGCTGGAAAGGCACTGTCTCACGACTGGATTACGACGGCAAACAAAATTGACTACACAGAGTGCGAGCGCGAGGAGGGAGAGCGGCACAGACGAAGCTAGTCCTTGCGCAGCTCCCTCTTGGCCTTGTCGACGTTGGCCTGACCGCCGTTGAGCCACCAAATACCAGCTGTGTCGAGGAGGGAAATAAGGTTCAGGTTTGCGCCGAGAGAAGGGGCGTGGCAGAGACGCGAGAGGGTGTGGGACGCACCGTTGAGGTACGACGCGTACGAGAGCCACGCGCAGTACGGCACAAAGATGAGCGACAGGCGACGGTCGACCTGGGCGGCCTTGGCGGTGAGGGCGATCGTCGTCGCCGTGAGGGGCAGGATGTCGACGAGGCCGAGGGTCGGATTGCGCAGGCCGAAGAAGAGGGGCGTCCACGCCATGTTGAGCGCGAGCTGGACCCAGTAGAGCTTGAGCGCGCTCATGGCGAGGCGGCTCGTCGTCGACCCGATGACCGCCGTGTCGAGCGCCTTGACGAGGACGTGCGACGCGAGGCCCATGCCGGCGTAGAGCGTCGTCCACACGACGGGGAAGGCCCAGCGAGGCGGCTGGCCGGGCGGCTTCTGCAGGCTCGGGTACCACGACTTGAGGCTCGACTTGGTCAACTGGCCATCGGCCATGCCGAGGACGAGCGGGAGGCCTATCGCGACGGCCGGGTTGCGAGGGAGCTGGAGGAGGATGGGTGGGAGGGTGAACGACATCGTCGGGCTGTTGCGCGGGGGCGGGGGTGGGGCCAAGATGAGGTCAGTACTGCTCTGGGCGGCGTCTCATGCTCACTGGCAAGCACTCACGCGAGGGAGAGCCGCCGAGTACTTCATCTCCCGCTCCACCGATGGCGACTCCCTCGTCGTCCCCTCGCACGTGGCCCGCCTGCCGAGTGCTGCAACAGGCCCACAATGCGGCACCAGACAGCCTGCCGAGGCCCCGGGCTCGCTCGCGAGCTAGTCGACGTGCCGAACCCGGTCCCGCCGCCGCCAATGGCACCCTCGCAAGCGCGGCGGCGTCGTGCTGGGGCGGGTCGCCGTGGCGGGCGCAGTGTGCACAGGGAAGGCAGAGAAGCGGGCGAGGACGTACAGAAGCGCAGGTTGGGTCCGAGAGGGTGAGGGAGAGACGAGCGATGACGGACCTCGGCAGCTCTCCAGAAGTCTCGGAAGTTTCCGCACTCTTGCTGAGGCTCGACGCGAATCGTGCAACGCGATACTTTGTGATACAGGGACCGCTACATGAGGAGGTAGTGTCTGTGCGAGAGCGCAAAATAAGGGAAGGGAGACAAAGTCGACGACGAGAGGCCTTCCTCGAGGGCGGCGTCGACGACGACAGCCGACACGCCGCAAGGGCAGGGGGCGAGAGAAAGACGAAGAGTGCAGAGGGAGAGGGGACGGTCACGAAGGTTGGGGAGCAAGGGGAGGGGTGCAAGTGAAAGACGAAGAGGGGAGGGAAAGGGGGAGGCGGCGAGGGCCGAGGTGGACGGGGCTCGAGCGCGCTCAGGACGCAGCGGGGACGATGCCCTGCGGACTGTTGATGAGCTGGGTCGGGTCGTAGACGGCCTTGAGCTTGGCGAGGCGCGGGTACTGCGAGCCCCAGTACTGAGCGCGAGTCTCCTCGGCCGTGAGCTCTGGGTCGACGTAGTTGACGTAGGCAGCGGTGCCGTCGGGCGAGCTCGAGTTGGTCGACCAGCCCTTCTTGGTCATGCCGTCGACGATGGTCGACCACATGCCCTTGACGAACGGGATGCCCTCGTCGCCGTACGGGTTGCCATAGGTCGGCGACGACGCGTACAGCTGGAACGCGAGGTGCTTGTCGCGGAAGCCGAACGACGACGAGTTGAGCGAGACGTCGTTGAGGGCCGAGTTAGAGCCGCCCCACAGGTTGGCCTCGACGAACCACTGGTTCGACACCTCGGACGTCCACAGGTAGTCGAAGAAGGCCTCGAGCGTGTCGATCGAGATGGGGATGGTCGACGGCGTCATGAGGCTCTTGGCGTAGAACGAGTCGCGACTCTGGAGCATCTTGCCCTGCGTGCTCAGGTCCGACACGCCGGCGAGCTCGGTCGTGGCGCCGAGCCAGCTGTACGACGTCGCCGTCTTGTCGTAGCTCGGCGGGAGCTCGTCCTCGAGCGGGCCGATGACGCCGCCGAGCTCGGCTTCGGGCCCGTACCACACGGCGACGATCTCGAGGCTCGAGCGCCCGACGACCGCCTGCAGGGCGAGGTTGGCCGGCGCGCTCGTGTTGCCGAACGAGGCCATCGACGAGAAGGCCGTCGCGGCGTTGACGACCGACGGGTTCGAGTACGTGTACTTGGCGATGACGACGTTGGCCGGGGCGTGGTGCGCCTGGACGTGATAGGCCGTGACGAGGCCAAAGTTGGGCGCGGCGCCCTTGAGCGCCCAGTACAGGTCCGGGTGCGACGAGCTCGTGACGTTGCTCAGGGCGGTGCCGTTGGCGAGGACGATGTCGAACCCGACGACCTGGTCGCTCAGGAAGCCCCACATCCTGCTCGGAAGGCCGTAACCTGCCGGAGAGGACGAGAGAGTCAGGGTCGGGGCGGGCAGGGGAGAGAGGAACGGGTCGTCGCGGACGCACCTCCGAAGCCAGCATGGCCACCGATACCGACGCCGTTGCACGAGCCCGCCGCGACGGCCCAGCCCTTGTCGTTGAGCGCGAGGTAGATGTCGCCGAGGCGGGACCCGCCGCCGATGGTCGCGAGGCCCTTCGAGTCGACCGTGATGTTGTTGAACCGGCTCAGGTCGATCGTGAACCCTCCATCGCCGCTGCCGAGGCCGTACGACGCGTACGAGTGGCCGCCGCCGCGAGCCGAGACCTTGACGCCGGTGCTCGAGGCGCACTTGAGCGCTTTCGAGATGTCGGCCGACGACGACGGGTACAGGAGGGCGACTGGAAGCGGCTGGATGCGCTGGTTGTAGGCAGCTGCGGGAGGGTGGCGCGGAAAGTCAGCCGACGGAGATTCCGACGAGGTGGGGACGAGGAGGAGGAGGGGGAAACCGCAGGCGCACCCGAGTCGGCCGCGTAGTCGCCTGAGGACTGGGTGACAGGCTGCAAGCCCTTGCTTTGCAGGCAAGTCGCGAGGCTCTGCTGACGAGCCGAGAGAGGAGCGGCGTTGGTTGAAGACGAGTCGTTGAGGGCCAGGGCGGCCGCGACGGCGAGGACGGCGCGCAAGAGGACCATGGCGAGGTGGTGCTGGTGCTCGCAGGCGTGCAGGTGCAGGTAAGAGTGCAGCAGGCGAGCAGGGAGGAGAGCAAGAGCTAGCTCTCCGTCATTACGCAACTGCTTCGGAGGCTCCGGGCGGACGAGAAAAGCGCGCGGCGGGTCGCGCCTTTTACCGTCCGCTGAGCGTTCAGTAGACGCAGAGCTGCTGCAGCTGAAAGCTACCGCTTGCGCAGGCACCGGCAAGCGCGCTCGCGAGGTGAGCGCGGTCGGTGAGGGTCGACGTCCGGCTCTCAGCTTCCCTCGTGCCCGGCTGGCGAGGCAAGGTACGAAGCTGTGCAAAAACGGCTGCACGTGGCCAGAAAGCTCTTCGAGGCGTTGTGAGCGAGCGAAGAGAGCCGCGGGCGACGAGCTTGAAAAGGAGGAGACGGCCGACCTCGCCTCCTCACCCCGTCGCCCCGCTCCTGCACCAGCGCACTCGCACCATGGGCAAGTCTTCGAAGCGCACCATCGACGAGGCGACCGCGCCTGCGTCCGACGCCCCTGCCGCCGCCATGGAGGTCGACTCGCCGGCCAAGGCGTCGAAGAAGACCAAGCGGGACAAGAAGGACAAGGCGGCCGCTGTGGACGGCGACGACGCTCCCGACGCCACTGCGGGAGAGCTTGCGCCCATCGCGCAGCCCCTTGGTGCGCCCTGCTGCCCTCTGTCGCCGTCGAGGGGGACCTCTCGAACTGACCCACCTCCCCTCCCTCTCCCCCACCGCGCTCCACTCCCACCCGTGCAGCTGTCAAGAAGACGGGCAAGCACGTCCTCAAGCTCGTCAAGCGGGGTGCGCCCCTCGCCCTCTCCGTCCTTCACCTGCGCCTTCACGAACTAACCCTCTCGCGCACCGCCTCCCTCTTCGACAGCGTCCAAGTCGCGGCACCTCAAGCGCGGCGTCAAGGAGGTCGTCAAGTCGATCCGCAAGGGCGAGAAGGGGTGCGTCCCGTCTCTCGCCGTCCACGCGACACGGTCTCGCCGTCGAGGAGTCGTGCACGGCTCACTGACCCTGTCCTCGCCGCCGCCAACAGCATCGTCGTCCTCGCCGCCGACATCTCGCCGCTCGACATCCTCACCCACATCCCGTTGCTCTCGGAGGAGGCAAATTGCCCGTACATCGTGCGTCCTCGCCCCCCTCGAGCGGTCTCCTGAGGAGGGTCGGGACTGACCCTGTCGACGCGCTCGCAGTGGGTCACGTCGAAGGAGCAGCTCGGCCTCGCGTCGTCGACCAAGCGCCCGACGTCGTGCGTCATGGTCGCCCAGGTCGGCATGAAGCGCAAGCAGAAGGCGGGCGAGGAGAAGAAGGACGACGCCAAGGTCCAGGAGGCCGAGAAGGAGTTCCAGGAGAGCTACGACGAGGTCAAGAAGGAGGTCGAGGCGCTCGTGCGTCCCCTGGTTTTCCCTCTCTCTTCTGCGTCTCTCGCCGCCGTCGCGACCCGTCGACTGACCCTCCCCCTCGCCTCCGCACTCGCAGGAGGTCGCCATCCCGACGTACTAGGCGACGCTGGCCCTCGCCGACCCGGCCGCGCTCTCTGTGTGTTGTTGATGCCTCGTCGGGCGAGCAAGGAGAACGAGTCGGCTTGCGGTCGGCGAGCGGGAACGAGCGCTCGGTGCCCTCCCTCCCCTCCCTCCTCCTCTCGCCCTCTCTCTCTCTCTCTCTCTCTCCCGCCCCCGTGTACTTTTCCCTCTCGCTCGTCCGCCGCAATGGACACCCTGTGCATCTCCCCGGTCGAGCTTTCAAAGCCGTGGACGAGCGCGCGCGCGCGCTAAACTCGCGACGCTAAGCTTGATCAGAGCAAGCGGAAGCGAGAGCCGGTCCGGTACCGGGAGCGAGACGGGTTCTCTCGCTGAGCTGCAGCCTGCAGACGGGAAAGCAAACCGGCCAGGACGGAGGAGAGCTCGGTGGGCGACGGCGAGCAGCTCGACCTCGGCCTTGCGTCGTCGCGCCGGACGAGCTCGCGCTTTCCCAGAGCCACTCGCGCCAGCGTGTGCGAGAACTGGGACGCGTACGGACCATGGCCGACCGTCGGTTCGATCTCCCGGGTGGGCAGAGCCCCGGGTCGAGCCGCGTGGCATTCGAGCTGTTCTCGCCCTCGGCGCTCTCATCGTCGGTCGCACCCATGGCGCACGCGCACGACTCGTCGGCGGGAGACCCGTACGCGGCCTACTACCAGTCGCACATGGACGGTAGCGCCGCGCCGCCGTACCCGCCGCACCCTCTCGCCGGCCGTCCTCCTGCACCTCTCGGCGCCGCTGCGCCTCATCCGGGGGATCAGCCGCCGCCGCAGCCTCAGCCGCCGCTCGTCCAGCACCACCACCACGCGATCGCCGCACCAGGGCCGACCCCGCTGTACCCGCCCATGCAGCAGGCGCTCCAGCACCTCGCCCAGCACCACCCTCACCACCACCAGCCTCCGCCCGCGCAGTCGTCATCTCGAGACGGCCCTCTCGCCCCGCACCACGACCCGGCCTACCCGTCCGACTACCACCACCAGCACCACCACCAGCAGCAGCACCCACATCAGCGCGCCCCGTCGAGCTCGACCCCGTCCATGAGCAACGCGCCGCTCCCTCCGCCTAGCGCCGGCGGCAGCGCCGGCACCCAGGCGAGCCCGCACATGCCCAAGGCTCGCAGCGCCATGGCCTGCCAGCTCTGTCGTCGTCAGAGTGAGCCCACTCTCTCTCGTCGGGCCGCCCCTCGTCGCGCGCACAGCTGCTCACTCTCTCTCTTGCCCCCACGTGTGCGCGCAGAGATGAAGTGCGAGGGCCCCGAAAAGGCGCCGTGCAGGAGGTGTCGGGCCGCCCAGGTCGAGTGCGTGTTCGAGGCGCCCCCGGCGGCTCCACCACGGCCGAGAGGAGGGACGGGCGTCACCGAGGCGTGGGTCGAGGGGTGCGTCCCACCTTCCCCTCCCTCTTTGCGCTCGCCGCCGCCGCCGTCGTGAACTGACTCGGTCCCTCGCACGCGCCCCCGCAGACGGCTCGGCCAGGTCGAGCATCGCATCGAGCTCCTCGAGGACACGGCGGCGCACTCGACCTCGCTCGTGTCGGGCAACGGCTCGGCGCCGACCGTCTCGCCAGAAACCGTCACCGACCACGAGCGCCGCCTCGCCGCACTCGAGGCGCAGCTGTACAGCCTCCAGATCACCATGGCCCGCCAGGTCCAGATCCCGCCGCAGCAGCAGCACCAGCCGCACCCGATGTACGGGCCGGGCCCGTCGTCGCACCCTGCCCTCGAGTACTCGGCCCCGCCCACCGCGCACCAGCAGCCGCACAGCTACGGATCGAGCAACGGCGCCGGCGGCAGCCACCCGTACCCGTCGTCGTCGTACCACCCGAGCCTCGCGAGCTCGGCGCCGCCGTCGCACGCGAGGTTCGACTCGCCGACGATGCCCAAGCACGAGCCCGACCGGTCGCACAGCTCGGCGAGCGCGAGGTTGGGCAGCGGCGGGAGCGGCAGCGGTGCAGGAGGAGCGGCGGCGAGCAGCGACGCGCACCGCGAGAAGCGGTGGAAGGGCGAGTCGGCGGGAGCGGGCGAGGGCGACTTTATCGCGCGAGGGCTCGTCAGCGAGGAGGAGGCGGCGCTCTGCTTCGACTCGTGAGTCCCCTTTCCTACCCCTCGCGCACGTCGTGCACGGGACCCTGACGCCGGCGCCGACTGAAGCAATGCGACCCACCCCTTTTCCCCTCCCCCTCCCTACCCTCGCTCGTCCTGACGACGCCTCGACCTCGCCCTCGCCCCTACCTGTACTCGCCCTCGCCTCTCCTCCACGTCCTGTCACAGATACCACCTCACCTTCTCCTCGAACGGCCTCGAGCAGCCCTCGGACCAGAACCACCTCTCGTTCGAGGAGACGCGCCGTCGCTCGCCCCTCTTCCTCGCCACCGTCATCTCGATCGGCGCGCGCTCCCTCTCGCGCTTCGACACGTTCCACACGACGTACCGCGAGGCGGTCCGGCTCGCGCACGACTCGTTCATCCCGTCGGCGACCGGCGACGACGACCACCGCGCCGACCCGCTCGCGACGCAGCGCCCGAGTGACTCGGTCCTGCCCGCGTTCGCTCGGCCCGGCGGTCACGGCCTCGACGACGCGCACATCAACAGCATCCTCGAGTGCCGTCTGCCGACCCTGACGCTCAAGGCGCTCATCCTCCTCGGCCTGTACCACTCGATGCCCGAGCTCCTCGTCCACTCGTGGATGTCGGGCTACCGTTTTATCCAGCCGATGGTCACCCAGGTCTTCTTCGCCATGACGCCCGAGGAGCGCAACTCGCCCGAGGCGCGCTCGCTCGTCAACCATACCCGGGTCAGCCTCGTCGCGTGGCTCTGGCTCTCGTTGTGCGTCCTCCTCTCTCCCTCTCTCTCTCTTGTCGCGCTCGAGCGACCCGTCCTGACGCTCTCTCCCTCTCTGCAACAGCTACACGTACACGCGCGGGCACCACGGCGCCGTCTGGATCGGCTCGGACCTCCTTCGGCGTCGCCTCGAGCTCATCGAGCAGTCCACCTACGCCGAGGCGACGACCGACAGCGTCATCCGCACCAACTTCGAGGGCGTCACGATCATGTTGCGCATGTACGAGAAGATCAGCCCGGGCGTCAAGGGTTCGAGGGCCAGCCGCGAGCTCGTGTTCGACACGGTGCGCGAGGCGCTCGCCGACATCGACGAGTGGAACGCGAGCAACTTCCGCATGATGGAGACGGTCACCCAGTGGGGCGATTCGGCCGACCGTGCGTCCCCGACTCTCGCTCTCTCTCTTCTTTCGCCGTCGTCGTCGCCTCAGTCGCCGCCGTCACTGACACTCGCTCGCCCACCCTCTCTCGCAGTCAAGTCGATCGTCCCCCTGCACTACTTCCGCATCTTCATCCTCCTGTACATCTTCCGCGACGTGCCCTCGGACGAGCTCGACCCGTCGGACCCGCAAGTCGAAGCTTGGGCGCGCATGGCGGCCGAGGCGGCCATCGTCATCCTGCGGTGGGGCGTCGAGTCGCGCATCTGGATGCCCTTCTCGGTCGTCGGCAACTACGTGCACAACGTCAACGTGCCGGCCGCCCTGTGGATCCTCGGCACGCTCGCGCGCCTGTACCCGACCCTGATCGACTTCAACACGGTGCGCCCGATCCTGCACCGCCTCGCCAAGCAGTGCACCGTGACGGCCGCGAGCGCCGGCGCGACGTACCGCGAGATTGTGCGCGCGCGCAAGACCAAGCACGAGGTCGAGGACCTCGACCGCGTCGCGTTCGAGCTGTGCGAGGCCGACGCGAGCGCGCCGGGCGCCGTCTCGGCCGACGGGCGCACGAGCCGTGCGGGCATGCGCGACCTGCCCGGTGGCGCGCCGGGTCACGGACATGGCCAGGCGTCGAGCGCGAGCAGCACGGCGGGCGACGACACGCCCGGCCTGTTCGGCCACGAGGTGACGGCGAGCTTGAACTCGCTCCGGCTCGAGCTCAACCTGTGGGCCAAGCCGCTGCGAGGGTTCGAGGACGACGACTAGCCGTCGGGGCCGGCGGGCGCAGGAGGGTTGTCGTCGGAGGCGAGCGGCGACGAGGCGCGAGGACGAGAAGATGTACAGCGACGAGGTGACGGACGGACGGCTTGCGATGTACAGACCTGCAAGGCGCTCTCGACTGCCTCGATGCGTCTCAATGAGAGGATCTGTGCGCTTCCGAGAGCTCGCGTGCGCGAGGGAAAGAGCGCGAGTTCTGCAGCAAGTTTGACCTTCTCAGACTCGCCGAGGAGCATCTCTCTCGCGCCCGGCCTCTTTCTCTCTCGTCAGGACGTTACGAGCGAGTCGTGAGCTGTTGCAGCCGAGATTTCAGGGCGGCCTGGAGGCTACACGCCGCCTCGACAGCGCTTGAGCCGCCGCGCTCGAGCCCCGCCCACCCTCACGCGACCGCAAACCCCTCGACGCCGGCCCCGTCTGCGATCCACAGGCTCGGGCACCCCCACCTGCCGGCGCTCGCTCCTCCCTCGCTCCCTCTGTCGACGAGGCGCTCGACGTACGACGGCGACGAGAGCCGGACCGGGTCGATCGTCGAGAAGGCGAGGGCGCGGACTGGTGCGCCGAACGAGCGCTCGAGCGGGTGCGGCGACGGCGTCGGGTCGTGCGAGAGCTGGCGAGAAGACGAGGAGGCTGAGAGAGAGGGGAGGAAAGTCGAGTCGGGGCTGCTTGAGCGAGAGGGAGGGAGGATGGCGAGGCCGGTGCGGAGGGACCAAAGGCGGACGCGGTTGTCCTGGCCGGCTGCGCGGTCGACAAGTAGGCGGTCGTAGTCAGTGGGGCACTCTTGCTCGAGAGCGTGACCTTGACAAGGGGACCAGGCCGGGACGCACCTGCAGCGACCCACTCGTCCTTCCACACGTCGAAGCCGAGGTCGACCGTGAAGCTGTTGGCGTGGCCCTTGAGCTCGAGGATCGGCGATGACCGTGTAGCGCCACCTCCTTGAGGTGCGCGAGAGGCGGACGAGGGTCGGGAGAACGATGTCGAGGGAAAGCGCAGGTCGAAGACGCCGAGGGATCTGCGAGGACGAGAGCGAGTCAGGTTCCGCATCAAGGAGCAGCTGCTGCCGAGCCAGAGAAGGAAGGGAGAGAGAGAAAGGAGGGACGCACCCGTCCATGCACGAGACGACGACGTGATGAGGCTGCTCCTTGAGGTGCCGGATGTGCGTGACCGGGCTGACGAGGTTGAGCTGGACCTGCACGTCAAGACTGCTGTCGTTAGTAGCTGAACGGTGGGAAAGAGAGTGAAAGAAAGGGGGCGGGCGCACCTCGTCCCTCGTCGACTGCTGCTGAGCGCACCCGCTCCCGCTCGAGCCCTCGCTCGTCCCTCTCGACGCTCGCCGGTCAAAGACGCGCACCCTCCCTTTCCTCGTCCCGGCAAAGACGAGCTCCTGTGGAACAAGCCCGATCCGATCAGTCTGACGCCTCGCATGAGAACGAGGGAGAGCCAGAGAGAGTTCGTCGCGACGCACCTCGTGCAAGTCGAGCGCAAACACGGTCCCGTCGCCGCGGTTCCCGCCCGTCACGTACGCGTCCATCTGACATGCTCGAGACGGGTCGGTCCACAGCAGGACCTTCTTGTCGCAGCCTGCGCGAGCGCTCGAGGGCGTCAGTCGTGCGCCTCGAGTCGAGGGAGGAGGGAGGAGGGGAGGAAAGGGAAAGGGGGCGGCGCACCGAGGGCGAGGAGCGAGGGCGAGATGGCTGACGTCCACAGCGAGGTTTTGCGCGGCGAGAGTGTGACGGACCTGTGTGGGAGGCGCCGAAAGTCAGAGGTTCGTTCTGAGGGGAAAGGGGCTTAGTGGATGAGGCGCACGCAAGCGAGATGCTGTCTTGCGTCGTGCCGACCAGCGCTTGTGCAGGTGGACCGAGAGCGGTCGCGCTGCATCGGCGAGGAGATCAGTCGGTGGAGGGAGGAGGCGAGAGAGGGCGAGGGAGAGCGAGACGCACACGATGCGGTCGCCGCACGTCTTGAGGCTCGTGATCTTGCTCGAGCAGTACCAGCTCGTGCGCCAGCTCTCCTCGTCGTTCGGGTAGTCGGCGAGCTCGTCGGCTGGGCGGGCGAGGTAGCCCGTGCTGCGGGACCGTGCACGCGAGGGAGGTCAGTCGTGGGACGAGGCACGGGGAGAGGACGAGAGGGCGGGACGCACGCGAGGATGCCGCTCGAGGTGCCGACGCGGAGTGCCGAGCGGTGCGTGTCGTCGAACGAGAGGTGGAGGACCGTGTCGTCCATGGGGAGGCAGTCGGGGAAGACGGTGCGGCTCGACGACAGGCGTGCGAGGTTTGCTGCGCGGAGCTCACTGCGGCGGGAGGCACGGTCAGTGCGACATAATGAGTCGGATGAAGGTGACGGACGCACTGGTGAAGCGAGTCCCGCCTAGCTGGCGAGTCGAGCCGGGCGAGTTGGAGCGTGCGCAGGGCAGCGAGACCTTGAGGTTCGACGGCGCGCCACTTGCCCTTGGCCTGCGTCCTGCGTTGGCGTTTGCGCTTGCGACTGGCCGACTCGTCCTTGTCGTTCGAGGCGCGGTCGAGCTGGCGAGCGGTGGTGGAGCGAGCCGACGGGGCCGAGGTGTGGACCTGCTTGAAGAAGCGCTTCGAGACTGGATCCCACGAGTAGCCGGGGAGCTGCAGTGGTGGCTGCATCTTGTACGCTCTGCGTCTGGGCGCTCAGAGGCTGTCGAGATGAGCGAGACGCGAGAGAGATGAGGACGAGGTCGACGAGTACGAGAGCTCTCCCTCTCGCTCTACCAGCTCGAGCGTGCCAGACGAGCACCTGAGGCCATGGACGACGACTCTGGCCCGACCTTCACCATCAAGAAGCGCTCAAAGCCCCGCGCGTCCACCTCTTCGCTCCGCTCCTCCACCGCCCCCGATCAACCCGCCCACCAGCCAGCCGCCGTCGACGACGACAACAACGACGACGACGGCAACGTCGCCGTCTTCCGAGCGAGGGGCAAGAAGACCCCGGCCGGCCGCGTCAAGGACCGCGAGGGTGCCGCGACCAAGGCTCGCGCCAGGGTCAGCTTCGGCGGCGACGACGACGTGAGCTCTCCTGCAGCTCAACCGCCTTCCGAGCCGAGACCCACACTGACCCACACACGGCCTGCAGGACGACGCCGACTCGGATGCCTCGCTCGTCAAGCGCTCGACCCCGACCAGCACCCCTCGTCGCCTCTTGCGCCCCACCCTGCCCGCCTCTTCCTCCTCGGCCTCGCTCGCCTCCCCGGCACCAGCAGCAGCTTCAGCACCGATCGCGACCGCCGAGCCGAGCTCGGCCACCCGCTCGACCTACTCGAAGGAGTACCTCGACGAGCTCAAGCGCGGCCAGCTGAGCGCACCTCGCGCCGCCGTACCGGTCGACCCCGATGGCGCACCCGGCTTTGACGACCTCACCAAGAGCAAGTTTGGCAACGATCAGATCGAGGGTGCGGCCTGCCTCTCCGATTCTCCCTTTCCCCGGTCCCTCACGCTCACTCGCCTCGTCTCCCTCTCGCGCAGACTCGACCATCTTTCCCTCGTCCGACTCGATCGCGCGCGCCAAGTCTCGCCGAGAAGAGATGCGCAAGGCGGGCATCTCGGCGCCTGCTCGAGGCGACGACGGCTTCGTCTCGCTCGAGGTCGGCTTCGCGCACAAGGGCGGCGACAGCAGGCTCGTCCGCGAGGAGGACGAGCTCGGCGACGGCGACGACGGTGCGCCCAACTCTCTCTTTCTCTTCCTTTCACGCCGGCCCTGACTCGCGCCGACACCCGCAGACATGGCCGCCTTCACCGACTCGCTCTCGCGCCTCCCGCTCGGCAAGCGCGCCAACGCGGCCGCCGCACGCGCCCTGCGCGCCGAGATGGGCGACATGATCGACGACGTCGAGATGGACGTGCGCGACGACGATGCCGAGATGCGCGAGTGGGAGGAGGCGCAGATCAAGAGGGGCGGCGAGGGGAGGAGGACGACGAGGGACGAGTCGGCGGCAAAGGGCAAGGGCAAGGGCCCGTACCGACCTGCTCCAAGTGCGTCTCTCTTTCTCTCATCTTCCTCCGTCGGCCCTCGAAGCCTCACGAACTCACGCCACCATCGTTGCAGTCCCACAATCCTCGACCCTCCCTTCCCTCGCCGCCGTCTCTGCCCGCCTGTCGGCCGCCATCACGACGCTCACGTCGTCGCACACGCTCGACACGGGCGCGCTCGCCCACTTTGAGCAGGAGCGCGCCGACCTCGACAAGCAGGAGCGCGAGCTGCGCGACGAGGTCGAGCGCGTCGAGCGCAAGAGCCGCTGGTTCGACGAGTTCAAGGAGCAGGTCGAGGACTGGAGCGCGTTCCTCGACGAGAAGGTGCGCCCAGACTCTCTCTCTCTCTATTCTCGTCGCGCAACCGGTGGCCTGACGACGAGCCCTTTCCGCAGTTCCCGCAACTCGAGAAGATCGAGGCCGAGTACCTCGCCATCCAGCGCGAGCGGTACAACATCGTCTCGCAGCGCCGTTACGCCGACGACGCCGACGACGTCGCCCTCTTCACGGGCGCCGCCATCCCGTCGCTGTACCGCCCGCCGCCGCCGAGCGACGCGCCTCTTCCTCCTCCTGTCGACGACGCGCTCGCGCCCGACGCCGCCGAGTCGCCGGAGGACCTCGCCCCGCGCTCGCACGCCCGCAACGCGCGCCGACAAGCCCGCACGGCGCGGTACGGCGCCTCGTCGTCGGCGTACCCGGACGCGCTCGACTCGGCCGGCTACGCCTCGGACTCGTCGCTCTCGGCGGCGCACCAGTCGGACCTGTCGGTCGCCCTGTCGGCGCAGCAAGAGGCGCTCGCGGGCCTGTTTGCCGACGTCAGGGCGGCCGACTTCCGCGACCCCAACTTGGGCATCCGGCGCCGGTTCGAGGAGTGGCGAGAGCGGTTCGGCGACGAGTACGAGATGACGTTCGCCGGCCTCAGCTTGGTCCAGGTGTGGGAGTTCTGGGCCCGGGTCGAGATGGCGTCGTGGAACCCGTTCGAGGTGCGTCGGCCGTTCTCCTCTCTCGCCGTCCTCGTCACGGGCGGCTCACCTCGTCCTTGCCGCTCTGCAGATCGACGAGCTGCCGCGCACCGTGTCGGACCTGTCGGCCTACCAGTGGCACCAGAACCTGTCGTCGTACGGTCACCGCGAGCGCTCGGGCGGCGAGCAACCCGAGGACGACGACGAGGACGACGACAAGCCCGACGAGTCGGCCGAGGTCGTCAACGCGCTCGTCACGTCGGTCGTCATCCCTCGACTCGAGAAGCTCGCGCGTGCAGCGTACGACCCGTACAGCAGCAGGCAGACGGTCGCGGCGCTGCGGGTCGTCGACGAGGTCAGCTACTGCGTCGAGACGAGCAGCCCCAAGTTCGAGGTGCGTCCCTCTCTCTCTCTCTTTCCTCTCCTCGTCCTCTCCCGACTAACCAACTGCTCCCTCGTCCTTGCTTGCAGTCCCTCATCCACGCCTTCCTGTACCGCCTGCGCCTTTCGATCGCCCAGCTCCAGCACCTCATCCTCCCGCACCTCTCGGCCCTGTCGCTCCCCTCGCTCGCCTTCGACCCCTCGACGTTCGTCTCCCGCCAGCACGTCCTCCACCGCGCGCTCAAGCTCGTGCGCACGTGCGCGAGGTGGCGCAGATTCATGCGCGCCCTGCGCGTCCCGGCGCTCCCCGTCGAGGTCGATGGTGGCGTGCTCGAGGTCGGTGCCGGTGCGACGTACGACGAGCTTGTGCAGCGGGAGCTCGTCGCGAGGACGGTGCTGCCTGTGCTCGAGGCGGCGTGGGCGACGGGCGGCGCCGAGGTGGCCAACAAGGTGGGTCTCTCGATTTCGCCCTTTGCTTTTCGCCTCTCGATGCACGAGACCCGCTCTGACCTCGCCCTTGCCCGCAGTTCATCGAGGCGCTGCCGAAGGACATCCCGCCTGCGCTGCGGAGGAGGCTCGAGGGCGAGGAGGCGGGCGTGCATCGGTAGAGCGCGACTTGAGAAGGCCAATCTCGAACTACGATCTCGAACTCTCTCGAGCCGAATCGTGCGTGCGAGAAGGGTGATTGCAATGACGAGGGTATCGAACGGCAGGCAGAAAACTATGGCACAGACAGAGAGGAAAGCGTGCCTCCCCCTCGACCTCCTCCAGGCTCGCTCCTCCTCGCGCTCAGACCCTGGCTCCAGCTCAACCGTCCCGCCGCTCCTCCCTTGTCCTCCTCGCGCTCGAACTCTCGCTCCACCTCGAGCGTCCCGCCGCTCCTCACTTGCGCTCCTCGAGCTTGCGCATCTCCTCCTCGCCAGCCTTCTTGGCGCTCGTCATCTCCTCCTCGACCTGCTTGGCCCACGCGATCGACTCGTCACGCGAAAAGCCGGTCTGGGTGCCCTGGACCGTCGCCGACGCGTGCTTGAACGAGGTCGGGTTCGGGTCGTCCTGGCCGAGGTTTGCGAGGGTGTGGTTGACGAACCGGTGGCCTGCCTCGTCGGCGCGCACGGCACGTACGAGGTCGAGCACTGCGAGCGTGCGAGAGGAGGGTCAGGGCCGTCGCGAGATAAGGAGGAGGAGGAGGAAGGCGAGGGAGAGAGAGCCGAGGACGCACTCGTCGCGTCTTGAGGCAGGCGCCAGTAGTCGATGCTGATCTGCGGCACGCGGAAGCCCGTCTCGGGCGCCCACTCGGGAACCTCGTTGCGCTCGAGAGCCTTGACGAGGCCCGTGTAGGTGTGGACCGCCTCCTCTTCGAGGTAGCCGACGAACCGGTGGCACGACTTGGGAGAGACGATGTAGGACAGGAAGAAGGCGTTGGTGAAAACGCCTTGGGCGGCGAGGACCATCAGGCGGAACAAGGGCGACGGCCCGCGGATCTGCGTCGACGGCGGCGAGCGTGAGCGACTGTATCGGCGAGAGCGAGAGGAGGTACGGGCGCACCTTGAGGAACGTGAGGAGGTGCTGCAGGGGGGAGAGGTAGAATGTCAGTATGTGCGGCGCCAGGGAAGAGTGATAATGTCGGCCTGTGCGGCGCAAGGGGAGACAGGCGGCTCGAGCAGGCGACGTACCACTGCGAGAGAGTAGAGAGTCAGTGCTCGGTCCCTGCTCAGACAAAGGCTCGAAAGGGAGAGCAGGACGCACTGCGCTCGTTCTCTGCCTCCTGCAGAAGCCCGTTGATCCATCCTGAGGGCAAACAAGGGTCAGGGTCCGTGCGCGAGGCCGGCCGGAGGGAGAGAAAGAGTTGCGACGCACCTCCGTCGCGGCGCATGAGCCTGAGCGAGCGCAGGTGGCGCAGCATGGCGGCAGTGAAGCCTGGCACGCCGGCGATGCTCTCGAGCTGCGACGAAAGAGAGGGATAAGCGCCGGACGGGCGAGAGGGGAGGAAAAGGCGGACGTACGAAGAGGATCCTGAGCATCCAGTCGTCGCGACGCATGAGGTAGCCCTGGTCGCGCAGCTGCTGGAGCGACAGGTCGTCGCCCTTGCCGTCCTTCTTGGCCGCCGCCCTTGCCGCGTCCGAGTCGGCGTGCTGCTCGAGGACGAAACGTTGTCAGGTCGGGTGCATGCTCTGCGCAGCTCTTTGCGCGCGTGCGAGGGGAAGAAGGTGAACGCACCTTGTACCCAGAGACGAGGTCGAACGCCCACCGCGCCTTCTTGACGAGGAACCGCGCCCACTTGTCGGCCATGGTCTTGGGCTCGAACGACGTGACCTTGACGGCGTCGAGCTCGGCGGGCGAGTAGACCGGGTAGGCGAGCAGGTACTTCTCGTGCGGGCGTGAGGGCTGCCAGGGAGCGGCGGTCGTCGGCTGGACGGCGGCGGGCGCAGGTTCGGGCGCGACGGCGACCGAGTCTGCGGAGGAGGACGAGGGTTCAGTGTCACGCTCTTCGAGACGGGGGAGGGATCGGGACGCACCCTTGAAGTGGTGCTCGTAGCCCTTCTCGTCGACCTTGCGCCTGGGCGTGGGCGTGGGCGACTGGAGGACGGTCGACGTCGAGAGCGAGCGGGCGAAGGTCGGGGCCGCCCTCACGACGACGGAGCGGCGAGCGAGCATGAGTGGGAGTGACATGTGGTGTGTGTGTGTGCAGCAGGAGCAAGAGAGAGGCGCAGCGTGCGCTAGAGAGGCAACGAGGGCGACCACAAGATCTGCTCGCTGATGAGGTTCCGAGGCGATCCGACGTGCGCGCCACACGGCCGACAGCCGCTTCGGGTCGACCCTCTGTGGCGCAGCACACGCTCTCGGTTACAGACCCGCTCACGGCTGTCACGCAGCCTCGTAAGCAGCCGTCCGGCGGACACAGTCGAGCGCCGCGACGAGGCGGAGGTCCGATCACCGTCATCGGCGGCGACGAAACGAACCTGGCACGGACCTTTCGTCTCGTGCTCTGCAGCTCTCAGGCTCTCGGCGTGCTCCTGCTCTCGTTCGCTAGCACGCACGAGACGACGCCGACGAGGCGAGGAAAGGAGAAAAGATGCGCGTGCCATGCGTGCCTCGGGTGCGACCGCGACCAACTGCAACGCTCGAGCAAAGCGATTTCGACGACGAGGAGGGGAACTGACCAAGCTGGGGAGGGGAGGGACAACAACAAGGGACGGCACACACAGAGAGAGAGGGAGAGAGGAGAGAACTATGCGCGAGGGGTCTGAGCGCCGTCGAGCGGGATGCCCTGCGCCTTGGCCGCCGAGTGCACGATGGCGAGCAGCTGCGACAGGCCGTCGCTGCCGAGGCTCGCGAGGTCGAGCATGGGCGCAGGAGCGACGGCAGCACCCTCGACCGCGGTCGCTGCTGCCGCGCCGCCCGACGGCGTCGTCGCGGCGGCCGTCGTCGCCGCCCGGAGCGGGTCGGCCGTGAGCGAGTCGAGCTCGGCGGCGACGTCGCGCAGGTAGGCGGCCGCGTCCTGCGCCGCCTCGTCCGGGTCGTCGTCCGACTCGTCCGACGAGCTCTCGTCCGAGCTCTGGACCTGGTACTCGCCGCCGTCCGACGACTCGTCGTCGCCGTCCTGCCGCGGCGGCGGCTGCAACGCTGCGCGCTCGCGCTCGCGCCGCAGGCGCAGCACCTCGCCCTCGAGGTCCCTGACCCTGCCCTCAAGCGCGCCGCACCTGCCCCTCAGCTCCTCGTTCTCGCGCTCGAGCTGCTCTGCGCGCCCCTCGGCGCGCACCTTCTCCTCCTTGGCCTCGGCGCGTCGTCGGGCCGCACGCGCCGCCTCTTGCTCCTTGCGGCGCTGCTTGGCCTCCTCGGGCGTGTACTTGGCGCGCGACTTGAGCCGCTTGGCCGGCGGCTCGTCCGAGGGAGGCGGCGCGTCGACGGGCGGCGGGTCGTTCTCGACGGCGGGGGCGGCGAGAGGAGCGGTCGACGATGTAGAGGTGGGAGGAGCAGGAGGGAGCGATGTGAAGGTGGGAGGGGATGCGCGCTGCTGCTGCTGCGGCGGCGGCGGCGGCGGCGGAGGAGGAGGTGGTGGCGGCAGGAGCGGGAAGGCGTCCTCGAGGACGGGCGAGAGCGGCGCGCCGGCCCTGCGCGGGCGCTTCCTCGACGTGCGAGGTGGCGGAGCCGACACGGGCGACGAGGACGACGCCGGGTGGCCGAGCGGGCTGACGCCAGGCCGTGCGCGGCGCGGCGAGGTGCGCGTGCCCGGGGCGTAGGCGCCGAGCGCGCTCGCGGACGGGAGCTCGTCGTCGAGGCCCGTCGTGAGGAGCGCGAGCTCCTTGGCAAACTCCTCGCTCGTGAGGCCGCCCGCGCCGCTCGCGCCACCGGGTCCCGCTGCCCCTCCCGCACCAACGCCGCCGCTGCCCATGCCCCAGTCGCCCTCGTCCTCGGTGAGGGCGCCGTCGCCCTTGTCGCCGGCGAGAAGGCTGCCCCAAAAGTCGTCGACGGGCGCCTCGGGGTCAAAGTCGGGGTCGTCGTCCTCGTCGTCGCTCGAGGGAAAGTCGAAGTAGTTGTTGAACAGGAGCGTCGCCGGGTCGACCGACGAGTCGTTGGTCGGGGCTTGGGGCATGCGGCCGGAGCGAGTCGGCTGAGGGTGGTAGACCGAGCCTGGCGGCGGGTGGGCCGAGCTGGCGTGGCTCGGGGGGATGGCGGCGGTCGACGACGAGGACGGGGTGGACGTCGCGAGGGCGCTCGTGGTCGAGGGAGGGGCAGCCGAGCCGGCGGCGGCCTGCTGCGCGGCCATGGCCTGGCCGAGGAGGGCCAAGAGGAGCTCCTGGGTGTTCATCTGGCTGCTGAGGGCGGTGGTCGTAGTCGTCGCGGCGGCGGCGGCGGCGGGCGTCGGTGCGGCCGAGGACCCGGCGGCAGGGGTGTAGGCCGGCGACGAGTGGGCGTGGGTCGCGGGTGCGCTCATGGCGGGCGACGAGTGGTGCGGCTGGGCTTGGGTCACGGGGGACGAGGCCTGCTGCTTCATGGCGAACAGCAGCGAGGCGAGGGCGCGCTCGGCATCTTGAGCCGACGGGCGGTCCTCGCGCGCCGACATGGTCTGCATGTGGGAGTAGAGTGTGAGCTCCCGGCGGTGCGCTCGAGGCACAGGGAGCGAGTGCGGAGGGAGCGGGGACGCACAGCGATGAAGGCGTGTCGAGGCCCTCGTCACGCTGGCCAGGCTTGGCGAGGGTGCACAGCCGGGCACACCGAGTCGAGCGAGTAGGACGGCGCCCTCAGTGAGCGCGTCTGTGCGAGTCGAGGTGGGGCGAGGTGGGACGAGGCGGTGAAGAGTCTCAACTCGCTGTTGTCGACCACCGACTCGCCCCTGCTCAGGCCAGAGCCGCTCGCAGCCATGCCGCCAAAGCAGCAGCTCTCAAAGGGCACCCTCGGCCTCAAGTTCATGAACCGCGTCGTCCCCTCGTCGCCAGCCTCGACCCCGCCTCCTCCTCCTCCTCCCGCTCAGCAACCTCCAGCAGCCACAGCGCAGCGCACAAAGCCCGCACCGACCGCACCATCCTCCACCTCGACTGCACCCACGACCGCCACCAAGACTGCCGCATCGCGCACAAAGGCGGCCGCCCCCGACTCGGCTCCTGCGCCTCCAGCTCGAGCGCATGCCGCCAACGATGACGACTGGAGCAGGAGGACCGTCGGCGGGTGCGTCCAGCCTCTCGCGTCTACTCTGTCGCACCGCTCTGACCTCTGCACGTCCTGCAGCACCCGCACCGTCGTCCACGAGTCGTCCCTCCTCTCGTTCCCGCTCCTGTCGACCCTCTCGAGCCGCGCGTCGACCTCGACCTCGACCTCGACCTTTACGAGCACCAACGCGACCTACTCGTCCATGCCGCTCACGGCCGGCGCCATCTCGGGCAGGAGGAGCTACGGCGGCGCCAACATCGAGATCGAGGTGAGCTCTGCCGGTCTCTCTTCAGGCTGGCGCGCCCGCTCGCATCCTCTCGGCGACCGCGACGCGCCTCGTCCTTGAAGTTCTTATCGCTCACGCACCTGCCCCTCGACCGCAGAAACTGAACGACCCCTCGTCGCACCAAGCCGCGCCCGCCTCGTCGAGCACGGCCGCCGAGTCCAAGTCGGCGCTCAAGAAGCGCCAGAAAGCCGAGCGCGACGCCGAGACGGTCCCCGTGCGGCGCAGCACCCACGGCGGCTCGACCCTGTCGAGCGTCAAGACGGGCAAGCGCACGGCGGCGCTCGAGGCCGAGCGGCGAGGTGTCCCCGCCGGCGCCGAGGGCGGCGGCGGCGGCGACGGGACCAAGCGCAGGAGGACGGGCGACCTCGACGTGCCGCAGTGGGACGGCGGCGAGGACGAGGTGGCGCTCGGTGGCGGAAGCGCGGCGGGCGCAGGCGGGTTCGCGCGCCCGGTTGGGTTCGAGGGCGCGCGGACCACGGGCAAGGGCAAGGGGCGCGCCGCGGGCGACGCGATGCTCCGCGACGACGGCGACGGGCACAGGTGGGGCAAGCGGGGCGAGGTGCGCGAGTGGGACGAGGACAAGGCCGGCGGGTCGGGCGAGTCGGACGTCGACGTCGAGGGCATGAGCGACCTCGGCGGCATGAGCGGCGGCGACGACGAGGGCGACAGCGACGAGGACAGTGTCGTCGAGGAGGTGGCACCGACGGTCAAGAAGGGCAAGGCGCAGAAGAAGCAGGAGGTCCAGCGGGCGTTTGAGCGCAGCGAGGAGGGGAGGAGCTCGAAGGCGGGCGGGCCCAGGAGGAGGAGGTAGCGGTCGCGCGAGGCCTGCATCTGAAAGCATTGCGCGTCTGTCTGGCTGCTCGACAGCGAGAACGAGAGAGGTCGAGGTTGCTGTTGTTTGGCTCGCTCGCCACCTTGGCCTCGTCCCCCTCTCGCCCCTCCCCCCCTCGTCCTCTCGCCCCTCCTCCACCCACTCGCTCTCGCCTTCCTCACCCTCTTACCCTCCCAAACTCACAAGCAACAATGTCTACTGGTCCGTCCACACCCTCATCTGTTCCTCCCGTCCAGCGAGCCTGACGCGCGCCCTCCAACCTCTCTCCCCCCTCGACCCGCACTCCCACAGTCCAGGGCGGCAAGACCGGCGGCAAGGGCGGCAAGGGTGGCAAGGGTGGCAAGGCCGGTGGCGGTGACAAGAACCAGAGCACGCGCTCGCAGAAGGCTGGTCTCCAGGTGCGCCTCTCGTCTCTCCCTCCCCCTCCCTTCGAGCTCGAGGTCGGCGTGTTTGGCCCCCTCCCTCGCCCGCCTCGGCCTCACGGGCCGTGGAGCACAGCTCTCGTTCTTGCGACGAGCTCTGTGCGGCGACTGCACCGGGTCGCACACCGCCCGAGGGCGAGGTGCGGCCGCGGGGGCTTTGTTTGTTCGAGCCGGCGGCCGAGGAGCGTGATGGCTCGTCACCTCGCCTCGCCGACCTCGCGCCTGCCTGCCGAGCGCTCGCCGTTCGTCCTCGAGCGAGCAAGCTCAGACCGGCAGCACTGTCGGGCCTGCACGAGCGCGACCTCAACTCGGACGACGCGTCGTCCTTGACCTCGATCGCTGACTCGGTCTCGCTCCCTCGCCTCTTCGCGCAAACAGTTCCCTGTCGGTCGTATCCACCGTTACCTCAAGGCGCGCACCCAGAACAACATGCGTGTCGGCGCGAAGGCGGCCGTCTACGCGTCGGCCATCCTCGAGTACCTCACCGCCGAGGTCCTCGAGCTCGCCGGTCCGTCCCCCTCTTCCTCCTCTCCCTGCTCTCCCAATACGCTGAACTGACTCTCGAACACCCTGTACAGGCAACGCGTCCAAGGACCTGCGCGTCAAGCGTATCACGCCGCGTCACTTGCAGCTCGCCATTCGCGGTGACGAGGAGCTCGACTCGCTCATCCGCGCCACCATTGCCGGCGGTGGTGTCCTCCCCCACATCCACAAGGTGCGTCCCCCCTCTCTCTCGCCGACGCGTCGTTCGCCCCGCCTCACACGTCGCTCACCTTTCTTCCTTGCGCGCCTGCAGAACCTCATCAAGGGCCCGGGCGAGCTCCAGGGCGGCATCCAGATGCCCGTCAAGCCCGTCGGCATGCCCCAGCACCCGCAGTAGAGCGCTCGCCCCGCGCCACCGCCGCCTGCTGCACCTGCGACCCCCCTCTCGTGATACCCCTTCCCTCCTCCTGCGCCACCTCGCTCTGTCGCGAGCGGCGCACCCTTTCCCTCTCGGCCCTTTCGTATCCCCTTTTGTGCCTCGTCCCTTTGCTCTACAGCCTTTGTTCCACCCCTTGCGCGCTTGTCGTACACCCTCGTCGGTCCCTTCGCCCCGTCGCCTGTTTTCCTCCCCTCCCCTCCGGACTGCAACCACACAACGCTTCGTCTTTCTCTCACCCTTTCCCCGTCTGTTGCGAGAGAGCCGAGCGCTGCCAGTGAGCGCGGGAGAGGCTATCTCGGACCGCTCGCGTCGTTGACATCTCGGCTCGGTCCCTCGTCTCGGGTCCTCTCACGGCGTCCTCGCTTGCCTCAGCTCGACCTGCAAGCTCTCGTTCGTCTCTGTCGGCTCATTGCGAGCGAGTCCCGAGAGCAGCACGTCGAGAGGGGCGCGGCATCGCCAATCGCTCTCCTGAGCCTCGCCCCGCATGGTTCCGACCGCTCTCACGCTCGCCCCCTCGCTCCTTCCTCCTCGTGCGCTCGACACGACGCTGCTGTCGCCTCTCTCGACGAGCGCGCCGCCCACGACTCGGAGCTCGCGCCGTCGCACGCTCGCCACCGCCCCCTTCCCGCGACGGTCTGTCGCCCGCTCGTCTCGCGGCGGTCGACGGCGCCCTCGCCCATCGTTCGTCCGCCTGCTCCGCCCAGCGCTCCGACTAGACCCGTACACGATGTTGCGACGGCGCACGGCGCGTCGGAAGCGGTGGCTCGCGCACCCGACGCCGTGAGCTGCTCGAGGTCGGAGGATGGCGGCGAGGGGGCGAGGCGGGACGATCGCTCGCCTGCAGGCGGTCGAGGTGGCTGTGTGGGCTCGCGCAGGAGCTTGTCGAGGGCGCAGGAGGGCACAGCAGCGGCTGGCTGGTGCTGAGGCGGGTGCAGGCTCGACCTGATCTCGATCGCGTCCTCGTCCGTCGCTTTCCGGGGCTCGGTGCTCGCCTGCCGCTTGTTCGTCGCTCGCGCTCTGCTCTTCCTGCACGTCGCCCGGTCTCGCTCTCCAGGCCTTGCGCTCCTTGCGCCGCCCACGCCCACGCCCACCAGCCAGCCAGCCTCGACCGTGCCTGGTCGCGCTCCGCCCACGCGCGCTCATCCTTCTCGGCAACGGTGAGTCGGCGGAACTCCCTCACTCCCCACTGTTGGCGCACCCTGACTGACCTGTCGCCCTCCCTCTCCCTCGCAGCAGCTCCACCACGACCACCCGCACCCACCGCGACCATGCCCGCCTCGACTTCGACCTCGACCTCGTCCAGCTCACGTGCCGCCGCGGTCGGTCCCTACGCCAAGCCCGCCCCGCGGCCTCGCCGCACACCCTCGTCCACACTCGATGCCGACCCAGCACTCGGTACCTTGGGAGCTCTCTACATTGGCTGGGGCGCAGGGCAGCAGGACCCGGCGCCGCTGTGCTGCGCCGTCCAGGCGCGCGCGAGCCTCGTGCACCGGTTCGGCGAGGCCGCCGTCGGCTACTTGACGGGTGCGCTCTCCTTTCTCTGGTCCCGGGTCTGCGACGAGGACGACGAGCTGACTTTCGAGCCGGGTCGACAGTGCAACCGCAGGCGCAGCCGCTGCCGAAACCTCGACCTCGGCAACCTCCTCCCTCGGCCTCGCTCGCCTGCCTCCCCCTCGGCGCTCTCCCTCCCCTGCCGCCTTTACCGCGCCGCACGAGCAGCACGTCGCCGTCCCTGTCTACGACGCCATCCCTCTCGGCCACGTCGTCCCTCTCGTCCTCGCCGGGCCTCACGCCCTCGCCGCCGACCCCGCCCCCGAGCGAGCTCTTCACGTTCGAGGACGCGCTCAACAGCTCGGTCAAGGACGCGTTTGGCGCCTCGACGTTCGACGACACGACGCTCGCCCTCCCGCTCGTCGACTCGCGCCCCTCGTCGCCCCGCCTCGGCGCCGCCGCCTCCTCCTCCCTTGCCGCGCCCGCTCTCCCGCCTCTCCCGCTCCACAGCGGCACGACCTTTGTCCCAACCTTCTCGCTCTCGCTCGCGAGCGTGCCCGAGTACGTCGCGGGCGGCGTCTCGTCGGCCAAGGACGAGGTCGTCGACGAGGACGACGAGGCGCTGTGGAGCGCCGGCGAGGACCCGCTGTGGAACTGCGGCGCGACGGACGTCATGAGCGAGGCGAGCTGGGCGTGGTGAGCAAGCGTCGGCGGGCATCTCGAGGGGCCGCACGTGCCGCTCGGTCGGGCTTCTGGTACGTCGTCTTTCTCTCCCTCTCGCGGTGCCTCTCACGTGTGCGACGCAGTCACTGACATTCTCTTTCCGCCCTTCTCGCAGCCCTGCGCGTCTCGTGCCCTCACCCCATCCTCCCCCTCGCCGTCCCTTTTCGCCCCCCTGCCTCTGTCCTTCCCCTTTCCTCCCGTACAGCGACCTTTCTAGACTCCCTCGCTCAGGCTCGTACACAGACACGCGATATCATACAGCGCATGCGCGCGCCCCTCAGTACCCAGGTGCAGCTGCAACCTCGAGCTCTCGATAGACCTCCTCAGCTCTCGGACCCTCTCTCGAGACCGGCTGTCGGCGCGAGAAAGGGGAGAAGAGATAATGCTCGTCTATTGGGCAAGGTCATGAGAGAGAGAGAGAGAGTGTGTGCTACGCCAGGCGTTTCGTGATCGAGGTACATGCAGCTCAGAGCGTCGTGCCCTCGAGCGCCGCCGCGAGGTCCTTGACGGGCGCCGCCGGGTGCTCGCGCGCGGCAGCGTGGATGTCGTGCTCGCCGTCGGGCGCAGCAGGTGCAGGTGTGGGATGGGTCGAGTCGGTGGTCGCGGTGGACGAGGGCGCGTTCGAGTAGCCGACGCCGAGGATGGGCGGGGGGAGGGAGGAAGAGGTCGGTGCGGCGGGTTCGGGTGCGGGTGCAGAGGGGGACAAGGCGGCGTCGGTGCGAGGGGTCGCAGGCGAGGTGGTCGGCGCCGTCGAGGTCGACGAGGTCGACGCAGCGGTGAACGCCGAGGCGGGAACGGGAGAAGGCGTCGAGGAGGAACCGGCCGAGGGCGCTGCCGACGCGGCCTGCGCTTCGGGCTCTCGTGCCGCCTGCTCCGCAACGGGCTCCTCCTGCTCAACCTCCTGCGCCCGCTCTGCTGCCCGGTCCTGCTCCTGCTCTTGCGCACGGCCCTCGGCGTGCCCGTTTGCGCTCGCCGCCGCCGCCGCCGCCTCGCCGGCCCGCCCGCCGTCCTGCCACCGCTCGAGCACAGCCTCGCTCCTGCCCGTGCCCTTGACGACGAGCCTCCCGTCGACCCACCGCACGGGCGCGCTCAAGAGCGGGCCGAGGTCCTCGCCCTCCCTCGCGCCGAGCGTCCGCCGCGCGTCGTCGTCGAGGACCGGTCCCGGCGCGCCGTACGCCCAGTCGAGGGTGCCGCCGTACTTGCGCGGGATCGAGTCGAGCGGGATGCGCGCCGCGAGGTCCTGCGTCTGAGTCGCCGGCGCGAGGATGTTGATCTTGTCGACCGTGCCCGGGTCGAACCACCCCTTGACCCAGCCCCACACGGTCGAGAAGAACGAGGGGGCGCCGACGAGGTAGATCGAGCCAAGCGTCTCGGCGTAGCGCGCCGTGGCGAGGACCGACGCGCGCTGCATGTGGCCCTTGAGGGCCCAGAAGCGCAGGAGCGACACGTTGGACACGTCGACGATGGTTGAGCAGCCCGAGATGGGCGTCTCTGGGTGCTCGTGCGGGACCGACGACGCAAAGGGCAGGACAAACTGGACCATGTGCTGCTCGAGAGGGAGGTGAGGCGAGAGGTCAGGTTCGAGGGCTCGTGTGTGGTTGGGGCGGCAGGACGGGAAGAGGGAGGGCGTGAGACGCACCTCGTACAGGGCAATCATCCTCGGCTCGAGCCTGGCCGTGTCCTTGGCGTACGCGTCCGTCTTCTTCTTGTCGAGGGCGCCGACCTCGTACACGTACACGGGCAGGCCCTGCTTGTCGCGGCGGCCGGTGAACTGCGGGTACAGCTCGCGCGCGAGCTGGAACTCGTCGACGTCGAACTCGTCGTACAACTGGTCGACGTGCTCGTTGCGGCGCCAGTCCTCGGCCGTCGTGAACTGCTTGAACGCGCCCGGGACGTCGAACGACCGTGCGCGCAGGAACCGGCTGTGGCCGGTGGTGGGGTGCATCGTCAGTGTCGGTCGGTCGGAGGGTGGGGCTCGTGTGGCTAGCGTCGGGCAGGAAGTGTGGGTCGGGCGAGGGGAGGGAGGCTCACGTGAGGGTGACATCGTCGTGCGAGGCTTTGGCTGCGCCGTTGGCCGGCGTGAAGTAGCCCTTCTGTTGCAGGCGGTCCTTGAAGGTGTCGAGTGCGGCTTGCTGGTCTGGCGTGAGGTGACCGACGTGACCGGCGAGGGCTTGCCGTGAGTCGACCGGCGCGAGCTTCTGTGGGAGGAGGTGGGAGGTGAGCTCGTGTCGCGGGTGCGGGGTTGAGCGAGGGGCGGTCGAGCTGACGGTGACTGGAAGCTTGTCGTTGGCCATGGTGGTGAGTGAGAGAGCGAGGTGGTCGAACCAAGCGCTCGAGTCCGAAGCGAGCTCCGAGGTTACAGTTGCTCCATCATCGCTCAGCTCCCTCTCTCTCTGACCAGAGATCGCCCAGGTCCAGTCTACCGCTCAACAGCACACCACCACAGCCAGCCACCCGCCCAACCCGTCAACCTCGCCCCCCTTCACCCTCGGCTCCCTCAACGGCTCCAGCTCGACCTCATCGCCCACCACCTCGGCCCACTCGCCCACACGTCGAGCACCGCCAGCCATGAGCCACCAGCACCCGTACGGCTCGTCGCCGTACAGGCCGTTCTCTCCGGCCAAGCACCTCGCCCCCTCCTCGTCCCCCTCGTCGTCCCACCCCTCGGGCTCGGCCCCTTCCACTGGGTCCGCCCTCTCGCCCGCCCACTCGTCCCAGCCAGCGCCGACCGCATCCACCTCGACCGCGTCCTCCTCCTCCTCGTCGTCGAGCCAGATGGCCCCGCCCAGCATCTGGCGCACCTCGGCCTTCTCGCCCCAGCAGAGCAACACCCTCGGCCAGACGAGGATGCGCGCCCGCTCCATCGGCAAGGGCTCGCACCTCCCTCCGCCCGTCCACCCTCACCTGTCACCCACCATCCCGGGCAGCCCGGCCGGCGGCAGCCCCGGCTTCGAGCCGAGCCCGCGCGCCCGAGGACCGCAGCAGCTCGGTCGCGACGACGGCGCAGGACCAGGAGGGTACGGCCCGTCGCCGCTCGCCCGACAGCGCTCCGAGCACGGCGGCCGCGTCGCGTTCAGCGGGCGCGACTTTTACGACGTCGACGACGCGCCCACCTCGGCCGAGGGCACCGAGGAGTCGGGCTCGACCCGCTCCGACAGCCCGCCGCCACGCACGCCCCGCGACGGCCACGCCGGCGTCGGCGCCGCAGCAGCAGACGCCCCGCAGTACTGGGTCGAGTCGCCGAGCCGCCGCAACAGCGACGTCGACCACCACGAGCGCGAGGCGTGGCGCACCGGCGGCGAGCCCGACGACGAGGCGCTCGCGCTCGCAAAGGCGCAGCACGACGCGAGCCGCCGCAACCGCAGCCAGAGCCTCGAGGGCGTCACGCGCATGAGCCTGCGCCGCGGCCGCAGCTTTACGAGCCTCGTCTCGCCCGCGACCGAGCGCAAGGACCCGCTCGCGGCCGCCGTCGCCATGCCCCCGCCCATCTTTGAGCAATACGAGCCGCCGCCGACGCCCCACGTCCCGTCGTCGTCGTCGGTGTCGGCGTACGACTCGGCGGCAGCAGCAGCAGCTGTCGCGGCGGGCGACCGGTCGTCGACGTCGCTGTACCCGCCTGCGACGGGCGGCGTCCCCCTCGCGAGCGACCTCGTCCCGACCTCGTCGCCCAAATCCCTGCGCGACTTTGTCCCGCAGCTCGTCATCCTCCTGTCGCTCTTCGTGTCGTCGTTCGCCGTCATCGCCTTCACCATCTCGACCCTGCCCGGCCTCTTCCTCCCGCACTCGGTCGCCGACCTGCCCGCCCTCACGGCGACCCTGACGACGTACCGCGCGTCGTCGTACACGGCCGAGCTGCACCTGTTTGCCGTCTTGACGCTCCTGTTCCTGTGGAAGCAGTGCTTCTCGATCCCGGGCAGCGTCTTGACCAACATCCTGTTCGGCGCCCTGTACGGCACCTCGCTCGGCACGTGGTGGGCCTGCCTGTGGACCGCGCTCGGCAGCACGGGCGCGTACGCCATCGCGCTCGTCATCGCTCCTCTCGTGCGTCTCTCTCTCTCCCTCTCTGTCTCTCGCCCGAGCATGACGAGTCTGACCCTGTCACCGCCCGCAGGTCGAGTACTACTTCGCCAAGCCCCTCGACATGACGCGCCGGGCGCTCAAGCTCCCCGCACCAGGCGCCGCACCGGTCCCTGTCGGCGTCGCTCAGGCCGCCGTCGCGCCCTTGTCGAGCTCCGACCTGTTCTCGCACCTCCTCCTCGCGAGGTTCTTCCCTCTCCTGCCCTACAGCGTCCTCAACGTGCGTCCCTCTCTCTGTGTCTCTCCAGGGGCTCGTTGTGAGCCGACCTGACGCATCTCGCGCCCCCTTGTCTACAGGTCATCTCGGGCGTGCTGCGCCTTCCCCTCACGCCCTTCTTTGTCACGCTCCTCCTCGGCTCGTTCCCGTTCAACTTTGCGACCGTGTCGATCGGCAACCTGGTCGCGCTCGCGGCGGCCGACCCGTCGGTCCCGCTCGGCGACAAGATCTGGTCGCGCGAGGTCGTCGTCAAGCTCGTCGCCGTCACGCTCGTCAGCGTCCTTCCGCTCGCGTTCAAGGAGCAGCTCAAGCGCGTCCTGTCGAGCGGCGGCGCGCTCGAACGCGCAAAGGACGCCGTCGCGCGCGCCCTGTTTGGGTTCGGCGCCGTGCCGCACGTCGCGCAGCCGACGCCCCACGCACCGTCGGCGTCGGCGTCGTCGGCCGGCAGTGGGCCGCGCGCGTGGCGCCGCAAGCTCGGGCGGAGCATTGGCGGCGCGGGCGACCTGCTCATGAGCGGGTGGGGCCGCGTGAGCCATCCTGGAGGAGGCGGCGGCGAGGGCTCGAGCGCGGCGCAGGGCTGGGGCGGGTACCGCCGCGTGCCGCTCGAGGGCACGACGGGCGTGCTCGACGAGGCCGAGATGGGCGCCGTGCACTGAGTGCGGCGAGCCTGGCGAGGCGCTCGACCCGTCAACGTCGACCTTTCCTTCCCTCCCCTCTCCCTCTCTCTCTCTCTCACTCGTTCTCCTTTCGCCGCCTCGTCTCCCTCGCATCGGCGTCCCTCGGCCCATCATCCCCCCTGCATCCCCTCGCATCGTCTCTCGCTCTCGTCGTCGTTGGTGTACAGCTCTAGACTTCGCCTTTCGCGCGCGTGCTCTTCTCTCGCGCCTTAATCCCCCCTCTTTAGATTCCCTTGGCTCTATGCCCTGTGCAACGTGGCTCTCTCGCGCACTCCAGAGAGCTGTTTCGACGCAGAGCTCGCCGCCTCGAGAGCGAAATCAAGAGATCGTGCGGGGAGGCTGGCGGTCGAGTGTGGGGAAGGAGGAGCGAGAGAAGAGCGAGAACGGCTCGAGGCAAGCATCGAGCAGGACGAAGAGGTAGCAGTACTCTATCAAGAGCTGCCCGGCCTGCCTGCACCCTGCCCTGCGCGAGCTGTGAGGACGAGAGGCGCTGGCTCGACCGAGGCCGTTCGTCGCTTGACCTCGCTCTCCTCACTCCGCCACAGCCCACCCACCATGGCCGCGTTCCAGCAACGCAGGAGGGAGCAGGCCCGACCACACCAAGACCTCGACCGCTCCACCGCCAGCGACGACTGGGCCCAGCTCGGGTCGCCCTCGGCCGACGACGACGAGCACCCCATCCTCCTGTTCAACCCGCCCCCGCCAGCCATCGACAGCTCGCAGTGGAGCGTGCTCGACCCGCCGTCAAGGCTCCGTCCTGCCCGGTCCACCTCGTTCACGTCGTCGGCCGCGTCGACCGAGGCGAGTGGCGACGGCGCGCCCGACTCGTCTTCGCTCGACTCGCCATTCCCGCTCGCACAGGCGTCCCTCTTGCCCGCCCACGACGGCAGCGGCGTCTTTGGCGGCACCACCTCGACCCGCCGACCCCTCGACGCCGGCTCGCTCCTCCAGTCCGACATCCTCCTCCCCTCCGTCTACGCCGACGTCGACGAGTCGGACGCCGCCTCGTCGTCCTTCTCGCGCGTGCCGCCCTCGCTCCTCCGCCGCGACTCGCACGCCTCGAGCACCTTCTCGTCGTTCGCCGGGTCCGACATGTCGTCGCGCGCGTCGAGCGGCTGGGCCCTCACCGAGGAGGCCCTCTCGACGCTCCCCACGGCGGCGGCCGGCGTGCGGGGCGCGAGGGCAGGGCGAGGACGCGGTCGAGGCGCTCGTGACGCCGAGCTCGCCGACGACGAGGACGGCGCGAGTGCGGGCGTGACGTCGGGATCGGAGGAGGACGAAGGACGGGCGCCGGACCCGGCAGCACAGCGGCGCCCGGCGACGACGACGACGGCGGCCGCGAGGCAGGCCGCTGTCGCGCGAGCTGCGGCGGCGCAGCAGCAGGACGACGACGACTGGGCGCACTCGCACCTCGCCATGAGCGCCGGCATCCACCCTCCCTCGTCTCGTCGTCGCCGCCCGCCGCCGCCCAGCACCCACTCTGCCCTCGGCCGCTCGCCCCTCGTCGGCATCGGCGTCGCCCAGATCTCGCCCGACATCGTCTCGAGCGCGCTGCGCTCCCTGTCGCCCGTCAGCAGCAGCGCCCGATCGCGCAACTCGTCGGGCTACAAGCGGCGCCACCGCCGTCCGGGCGCCGGCGCGCGCGACGGCGAGACCAAGAAGCGCAGCAGTGCGGGCGTCGCCGTACCGCTGTACGGCGAGTACATGGAGCGCGTCATGCGCGAGGAGGAGGACCGCGCGAGGAGGATGCAGGAGCTCGTCAGGGTGCGCAAGGAGGAGCAGGAAGTCCGGCTCGCGCAGGACCGCGTTCTCTTCGGTACGCTCCCTCTCTCTTTCTATCTTTCTCTCTTGACCGTGAGCAGGACTGACCCTCTGCGTCGTCTCGCAGGCTCGGCCGTTCACGCCTACATGTCGATCGACCCGTCGACTCTCGCCCTCATCGGCTCGGCCACCCCGACCGCGTCCGCCAACCCGACGCCCACCCCTTCTCGCACCGCCTCGCCGACCCGTCACGCACATGGACCCGCCGCCTTCGCCCACCAGGCCGCTCGCGAGCTGCGCCACTCGTCGTTCGACGCCGCCGCCGTCGAGCGCGCGGACGAGGTCAGCGACGCCGAGACCGAGGTCGACGCCGAGCACACGCACTCGTCGGCCGTCTCGTCGACGGCGAGCGGGCGAGCGCGAGCGCAGGGCGACTCGCCGTCGTGGCGGTGGACGGCCTACAGCGTCGAGGTCCCGCCGGCCGCCTCGCTGCGCACCTCGTCGTCGTCCGCGCACGACGCCCAGCTGTCGCCCGCGCACCGCTCGCACTCGACGTCCGACCTCGTCCAGCACGCGCACGCCGCCTCGCCCGACGGCGCCTCGAGCGCGCTCGGCCTCGTCCTGCGCTCGCCCTCGAGCTCGCCGCAGCGCCGCAGCTCGTCGTCGTTCGGCCCGAGCGCCTCGCTCGACGTTGCCCGGCGCGCGCGCTCGCACTCGAGCCAGTCGCTCAGCGAGGCCGACCTCGCGCGCCTCTCGCACGAGGAGCGCATCCTCCTCGGGCCGGCCGGCTCGGGCCACGACGCGACGACGGCGTGGGGCGGCGAGCTCGACTCGTTCGCGCTCGCGCTCGGGTACTGGAAGAGGCTGTTGCGGCGGCTCAAGGAGGGCGCGGGACTCGGGCCGCATGAGGGCGCGCCGGCGGCGACGGGAGGCGAAGGTGGAGGGGACGGGATTCACCTCGTCGGCGGCGAGGGAGGGATCGTCAGGATGGTGACGGCGCACTAGAGCGCGAGAGGTGGGTGGGCTAGAGCGAGGAGGTCCTGGCAGTTGTTGCTTGTTCTCGTTCTCTCGCACCCCCCTCGCGTTCGCCTTTTCGCGCTCGACTTTTCGCGTGTATCGTTCTCGCCTCTCGCCTGCAATGTTACGAGATGTCTGCTCTAGAGCGAAGCCCTCGTCGGCGACCGCTAGCGAGGCTCACTGCGCAACTGTGTGCCGGAAAAGAAAGAGGAGAAGCTCGCGCGCTCGGACGCTTCTCTCGGTCAAGTCTGGCTCGACCTGACGATACGGTCGCTCGGGAACGAGCCTGTCATCAGAGCAGGCGAGAGAGGCTCATCGCGCACCTCTGCGCTCAAAAGAGGAGCGAGAAGAGGAGGAGGAAGCTCGTGCGCTTTGACCCTCTCGTCGCTGCTTCTCTCGGCTCAAGTCTGGCTCGACCTGACGATACGGTCGCTCGGGAACGAGCCTGTCGTCGGAGGAGGCGAGAGAGGCTCATCGCGCACTTCTGCGCTCAAAAGAGGAGCGAGAAGAGGAGGAGGAAGCTCGTGCGCTTTGACCCTCTCGTCGCTGCTTCTCTCGGCTCAAGTCTGGCTCGACCTGACGATACGGTCGCTCGGGAACGAGCCTGTCGTCGGAGGAGGCGAGAGAGGCTCATCGCGCACTTCTGCGCTCAAAAGAGGAGCGAGAAGAGGAGGAGGAAGCTCGTGCGCTTTGACCCTCTCGTCGCTGCTTCTCTCGGCTCAAGTCTGGCTCGACCTGACGATACGGTCGCTCGGGAACGAGCCTGTCATCAGAGCAGGCGAGAGAGGCTCATCGCGCACCTCTGCGCTCAAAAGAGGAGCGAGAAGAGGAGGAGGAAGCTCGTGCGCTTTGACCCTCTCGTCGCTGCTTCTCTCGGCTCAAGTCTGGCTCGACCTGACGATACGGTCGCTCGGGAACGAGCCTGTCGTCGGAGGAGGCGAGAGAGGCTCATCGCGCACTTCTGCGCTCAAAAGAGGAGCGAGAAGAGGAGGAGGAAGCTCGTGCGCTTTGACCCTCTCGTCGCTGCTTCTCTCGGCTCAAGTCTGGCTCGACCTGACGATACGGTCGCTCGGGAACGAGCCTGTCATCAGAGCAGGCGAGAGAGGCTCATCGCGCACCTCTGCGCTCAAAAGAGGAGCGAGAAGAGGAGGAGGAAGCTCGTGCGCTTTGACCCCCTCGTCGCTGCCTCTCCCCATCTGACGGCGCACGCCAACAAAAAGGAATGGGGGAGCAGTAGGAAGATGGTAGTGGTCAACCTCAGCTGGTACCGCGGCTCAACTCGACCCTTCCGTACACAGGGGCCTTCGCTGGAATGGGAGTTCTTCGCGTTGGGGGTGTACGAGGGAGCAAATCATAACCTGCGCCGGCAACAGCTATCTACCATCGACCGTTGCTCCCGAGGAGGAACGAGAGAAGTACGGGAGAAGTACGAGGAAGGGTGGGTTCAAGTGCAATACCAGAGCGCAAATCGGCAGCCGGTTCGACAAAGGAAAGCGCCACTTTGCCGATGCACGCCACACGCATGGATTCACACCTTCGTCGCCCGTCCTCGTCGCCTCCGTTGCGGACCGTTTCGACTCGCTCTTGCCGCATCGTCGTCTCTCGGCAATGGTGCTCCATCGCGAGAGCAGGCAAGAGAACACGAGCGTGAGGAGCGGCCTGACGCGCCTGCCACGCGACAGCTCCAGCTTGAGAGGGACAGGAGCGTGGGCAGAACAAGCCGCTGCGGCAGCTGCTCGAGGCGGCACTAGCTTGAGCTCTCGAGAGCTGGTGAGAGAGGGAGCCAGCAGAAAGAGCTCTCGCGGCGTCGACGACGTTGCACTTGGGAAGGTCGACGAGCACTCCATCTCGCGCTGTGTACGACAAAGTGGCTCGGGAAACGCGCTCGATTGCACCGCAGACACCTCGTCGTCCGATCTGGCGCGAGCAGAAGGCCGTAACCCTGCTAGATCAAGAGCTAGCGTTTGAGCGAGGGTGCGCAGGATCCCCCTGTCTTTTGTAGGTGGCCGGGCGCACGGGCGCTCCGCAGGGGTGCGCGCCGTGCGAGCGGCTCACCACAGTGCGCCCGCTGCCCTCAGGGGCACGTGAGGGCGGGCGCGGCCTCGTAAAGACCCGTCCGCGACGGCTCGACTCGCTGAGCCGCCGGGACGAGTACGACGACGAACGAGAACTCTGAGCGGTCCGGGAACTCTCGCGAGGGACGAGGAGAGCTTTCGGAGAGGAAAGGGCGCCGTCGCGCGGCGCAGTAAGGGCGCGAGGGGAAGCTTTCGGGTCCGAGAAGGGGGGAGGTGCCATCGAGGGCGCGACTAACCTGCGGCGCGAGGGCGAGAGGGTCAGTGCGCGGCTCGGCGTGGAGCATAGACCCATGTGAAGGCTCTGAGGTCCAGGAGGAGAGCGAGAGGGACGCACAAGGAGGTAGATGTGCCCGCTCGAGGTCGACAGACGCCTTGCGCCGCCCGTCACAACCAGCCCGACCACCGCACAGCACTGCCGCGCCTGCAGGAAAATCAAGATGGGTCAGCGACACGTCTTTCGGGCCTCGCGCGAGACCGCCGAGTGTGTGGGAGAGACGGAGAGGGCCGCGAAACACGAGGAGGTGGGGAGGACGAGGACGCACCCGCTATGCAAGACCCGCACAGCGCCTTCTGCATGCCCAGCCCGCGTCTTGCCCCTCCTCGAGCCGCCTGCGAGCGTGCGCACGGGTCCACGGGTCGTTGTCGGAGTCGAGAACGGTCGGTGGACGCGAGTCGCTGATGAAGATGCGGCGCGCTCTGCGCCGGCGGCGAGCGCTCGCGGTGGCGGGGGCGTGGTGGGAGGCCGATGCCGAAGGGTCCAGCTACGCACACAAGCCGACGCGAGCGAGCCCAGCCGTGAGCGTCGAGTGGTGGGAGAGGGAGGGAGAGGCGAGCGCGAGTGGTCCTTTCGCTCGAGTTCGCGTCGCTCGCAGGCAGCGGCGCACGCGCTCTCATCCTCAGAAGAGCTCTCGGTGGCATACAGCAGGGCTCGCGAGAGAAATGGGGCTAGCAGAGCGCGCGCGCTGGTGTCGAGGCGAGATCTCGCGGGCGCTCGATTGCTTTGCTCTCTCTCTCGCGTGGCCGAGACGGCCAGGGTTTGCTGAGAGCGTTGAGCTCAATTGCACGAAAGCACTTGGGGGTAAACCTACATGAGGGGGTACGGTATGGTCCGCAACGCGAGGGGAATCGCAACGACAAGGCACAGAGGGAGAGACGACGACGAGGGGGGGAAGCTGTTGAAACTGATGCGGGTTCGGGGGGTAATCAAGTGCTGTGTGCAGGGCAGAGAGGTGCCGAGTTGATCGGCGGGGAAAGGTATGCGAGGGGGAACGAGGGAAGCGAGGACAGGGTTCGACGAGGACCGGCACGAGGTTTACTCGGGGCGCTCGGCGCGCGCGAGCTTGGCGACCTCGACCATGTTCTTGAGGCTCTGCTCGGTCTCGGGCCAGGCGCGGGTCTTGAGGCCGCAGTCGGGGTTGACCCAGATGCTGGAGGAGAGAAGGGGAAAGAGGTCAGGTCGGGCGGCAAGGAGGGGCATCGCGACGACGACGACGACGGCGGCGACGAGGATGATGGGACGCACTGCTTCTGGGCCGGGAGAGCCTTGAGGTAGGCGTCGAGACGCCCCTTCATCTCCTCGACCGACGGGACGCGGGGCGAGTGGATGTCGTACAGGCCCGGGCCGATCTCGTTCTCGTAGCCCTTCTCGTGGAAGGCGACGAGGTCTGCGGGCGAGGGAAGAACGTCAGGGCGATGCTCTGACAGTAGACAGAGCCGCACGCCGCCGTTGGTCCGTCTCGAGCGCGAGGAGGCCGACCGGCCCCGACCGCGCTCGCGACGGCCCGACGACGGCTACGGTTCGAGAGGAGCTGCTGGAACGTACCGCGGCCGCCCGCCTTGCTCTGTTCCACGGAAATCACATCACAGTCCAAGCGCCTGTGGGAGTAGTAGGAGGATCGTGGGGACCGAGGAGAAGGAAGAGGAGGAAGAGGGGAAGGAGGAGGCGGGGCAAGGTCAGGACGGGGTTCCAGGCTCGCGAGGAGTCGGCGGTGACGCACTTGATGTGCTCGAAGATGAGCGAGAAGTCCGAGTAGCCTGTGGGAGAGAAGGAGGGTCAGTCATGGACTCGAGCCGACTTGAGAAGGTCGCAGACGACTCGGCCGGCGACCTCCCCTGCGACACGGGAAAGAGAGGGTGGACGCACAGAAGTGCGAGTGGACGCTCGTCTTGTCCTCGACGCCGGCGGTGGCGAGCTTGAACGAGTCGACGGCCCACGTGAGGTAGCCGTCCCAGTCGACCTGGCGGAGCGGGAGGCCCTCGCGGATGGCCGGCTCGTCGACCTGGATCGCAAAGATGCCGGCGTTGGCGAGGTCGATGACCTCGTCGCGGAGCGCGAGCGCGAGCTGCTTGCACTGGACCTCCTTCGAGACGTCGGCGCGCGGGAACGACCAGTTGAGGATGGTGACCGGGCCCTGCAGGAGCGCGACGCACACACGGTCGTCAGTACGGCGTCGGTGAGGAGAGGCGAGGCGAGGGAGAGAAGGAGGAAGAGGGAAGGAGGGAGAGAGAAGGAGGGAAGGAGGAGGAAGAGAAAGTGGGACGCACGGTGAGCATGCCCTTCATCGGGCGCTTGGTGAGCGACTGGGCGTACGACGACCAGCGGACCGTCATCGGGTGCGGGCGCGAGACGTCCGAGACAACGATGGGCGGGCGGACGTAGCGCGAGCCGTACGACTGGACCCAGGCGTTCTCGGTAAAGACAAAGCCCGTGAGCTGCTCGCCAAAGTACTGCGACATGTCGTTGCGCTCGGGCTCGCCGTGGACGAGGACGTCGATGTCGATCGCCTCCTGGAAGTCGACGGCGTGCTTGATCTCGTTCTCGAGGAACTTCTCGTACTCCTCGGTCGAGAGCTCGCCCTTGGTGTGCTTGGAGCGGGCGAGGCGGATCTCCTTGGTCTGCGGGAACGAGCCGATGGTGGTGGTCGGGAACTGGGGGAGCTTGTAGACCTTGGACTGGGCGGCGAGGCGCTCCGGGAACGGCGACTTGCGGTTGTACTGCTCCGGGGTGACGGCGGCGAGGCGCTCGCGGACGGCGGCGTCCGAGTTCTTCTCAAAGTCGCGACGGGCCTTGATCGACTGCTTGTTGGCGTCGAGCGCGGCCTGGACGTCGGCGCCCGAGAGCGCCTTGGCGAGGGTGGCGACCTCGGCGGCCTTCTCGGTCGCGAACGAGAACCAGTCCTTCTGCTCGGGCTTGAGACGCGACTCGTTGGCGAGCGTGACGGGCGTGTGGAGGAGCGACGACGAGGTGGCGACGACGACGCGGTCGGCGCCGAGGGCGTCGACGGCCTTCTTGGCCGTGGCGAGCGACGCCTCGAAGTCGTTCTTCCAGATGTTGCGGCCCGAGACGAGGCCGAGCGAGAGCTTGAGCGACGTCGGCTTGACGGCGGCGATGACCTGGTCGAGCTGCTCGGACGCGCGGTCGAGGTCGATGTGGAGGGCGGCGACCGGGAGCTTGGCGACAAACTCGACGTTCTTGTCGAGGCGGCCAAAGTAGGTGGCGAGCGTGATCTTGAGGCCCGGGGCGGCCTTGGCGAACGCCTCGAACGTCGACTGGTACTTGGCGCCGAGGTCGGCGGTCGAGTCCATGACGAGCGACGGCTCGTCAATCTGGACCTCGGTCGCGCCGGCCTCCTCGAGCTTCTTAAGGAGCTCGCCGTAGACGGGGACGAGCTTGTCGAGGAGCGACAGGGGCTCGAACGACGCGGCGCCGGCACCCTCGTCACGGCCGGCCTTGCCGAGGAGGAGGGCCGTGATGGGGCCGACGAGGACCGGGCGGGTCGTGATGCCGGCCTCCTTGGCCTCGTTGAACTCGTCGACAGGCTTGAGGTTGTTGAGCTTGAACTCGGTCTTGCTCGACACCTCGGACTTGATGTAGTGGCTGTGGGGAGGGACGGCGACGAGCGAGGGTCAGTCGGGTCGACCTTCTCAGGGAGAGGAACCGTGGACGCACTAGTTCGAGTCGAACCACTTCTGCATCTCCTGCGCCTCGAGGTCGACGCCGTCCTTCTGGTGGCCGCGGCCCATGGCGAAGTAGCGGTCGAGGTCCGAGAGGTTGGCCTGGGCGAAGCGCGACGGGATGATGTTGAAGGTCGCGTTAAAGTCGAGAACGTGGTCGTAGAGCGTGAAGTCGCCCCTGCATGGTGGAACGGCGTCGAGGAGGGGAGGAGAAGGGGGGTCGCACGTGGGTCAGTTTCCGGCATTGCGAGGCCGACGACGAGCGCGCCTTCTCGACGAGCGCTCGCCGCCTGCCGGCTCGACCGAGGGAGTGAAATGGGGACGCACGAGGGGATCACGTCGACGCCCTGGTCCTTGAGCGTCTGCCAGCGAGCGAGGCGCTGCTCCTTGGCCACCTTCTGCAGCTCGGCGGCCTGGATCTTGCCGGCCCAGTACGCCTCGGTCGCCTTCTTGACCTCGCGCTTGGCGCCGATACGCGGGAAACCGAGCACTGCGCTCTGGATGGACATGGTGGGATGGCTGTGCGAGGTGGGAGATAGCCCGGTGCGAGAGGGGAAAAGTTGCGACGAGGTGGGGCGCGCGGAGAAAGGGGGGAGGGCGAGACGAGTCAGTGCGGGAGCTCGGGGAATGGTGCCAGCTCGAGGCTGAGCTGCACGAGGCGAGACTGGACGCACAGGTGTGTGTAGAGAGGGGGGAGGGGGATGGAGGAGGAGAGAGAGCGAATGGCGGGATCTGCGGCGCCACGTCGCTTGACTCCGCTCGCCCGACGGCTTGCGCTAGCACAACATATCGCATACACCGGCCACCTAGCAAAGCTTGCGCACACAGCTCGACGAGATCTTTCACCGTCCACGAGCTTCGCAGCGAGCGTGTACCAGCCTCGTCCTCGTCGCCCTTCTCATGCGCAACTTGGCCCTCGTCGTCGTCGTCGAGCTGCAGGCCGGCGACGCAGATAACCGCTACGTCCGCAATGCGAGAGATGCCGGACGCGAGCAGGTCGACGAGCCAGAGAAGAAGCAGAAGCACAGCGCGAGCGAGAGGAGAGAGGCGAGAAGCGAAAGCGAGGAGGCCCGAGCGGGCGAGCGAGGCAGATGGACGACCGGATAGAAATTTCGGAAAGATGATGCTGGCTGCTGCTGCTCGACGCAGCGCAAGGGACCCATACAGACACCGGCACGACACGCTTTAGGCGTCGTCCGCCTTAACCTCGCCCTCGTCGACCGCGTCGGCGACGCTCGCCGGCTCGTCGCTCGCCGTCGCCGTCCCCTCGGCGTTGGCGACGGCCTCCTCCTTCGAGCCGCCCTCCTCGATCGGCTGCGGCTGCGCGTCCTTGATCTCCTCCTCCTTGTCGGTCGGCTCGGCGCTCGCGACGGCGTCGATCAGGGCAGAGTCGGACGACGACGCGCCGTTGCTCTTCTTGTCGGCAGCGGCAATCTTCTTCTGCACGGCGGCGACGCGCTCCTTGGTGACGCGAGCCTGCGAGGGTACGAGCGGACGAGAAAGGGAGGACGGGCGAGTCAATGACGGCGCCTGGAGCGAGAACGAGAGGCGGGGGCGCACCTGGTTGTCGTTGAAGTAGCGCATCTTGAGCTGCAGCGAGTCGATGGCCTTCTGCACCTCGCTCGTCGTCAACGGCGCCGCGATGCCGAGGCTCATGAGCGCCGTCAGGGTGCCGAGCGGCAGGTTGAGCTTCTCGTCCTTGACCGTCGTCTTCGCCGCCGCCTCGTCGTCGGCGCCCTCTGCCGCCGCCGCCGGTGCCGCAGCGCCGCCCTTCTTGCCGCCCTTCTTGCCCTTCTTGGACCCGCCAAAGCCGCCCCACGACTCCTCGTCCTGGTCGGCCTTCTTCTTGAGCGGGACGGCACCCTCGGGCAGGTCCGAGTCGACCTTGCGGACCTCGAGCTTGGGCACGCTCGCGACGTCCGGGCGCGCAAACAGGCTCGACGACGACGAACCCGATGCCGACGACGACGAGGCGGCGCCGATGCGCTGTTGGAAGAACCGGATCAAGGTGCGGCAGTCGTCGATCTCGCGCTCGAACGCGGGCGCCTGCGCCTCCTCGAGGAGCTGCTCGTTGATCTCGGCGCGCTTCGAGTCGTCGTGCGCCTTGCGCTCGGCGCGGCGGCGCTCGTCGCGCTTGGCGCGGTCGTCGTTGAGCTTCTGGTCTGTGCGGCGCGAGTGAGGGGAGAGAGAGGGGGAGCAAGGTCAGTCTGTCGGGGCTCGAAAGGGTCGCACAAGCGCACGAGAAAGGGAGAGCGAGACGTACAGTACTTGTTGTTGGCCTCGCGGAACGCGGCGACCGAGGCCTTCTTGCGGCCGAACAGGTCGTCGAGCTGCTTCGAGACTGCGCGTGCGAGAAACCGAGGGTCAGTATCGCACATAGAGCGTGATGAGGGCGAAAGAGAGATGCGGGCGCACCGGCGTTGCGCTCCTCGAACAGGCCGTCGCGACCCTTGCTGACCTCGTCCATGCGGCGGTTGATCTCGTCGAGCTCCTTGCGCAGCTCGTCAAACTTGGAGCTCGCCGCCTTCTGCTCCGGGTCGTCGAGCTCCTTGCGGACCTCGTCGACCTTGGCCTTGTCGGCGTCGATGGCCTGCTGCTGCGTCGCGAACGACTCGACGAGCTTGCGCGACTTGCGCAGCGCCGAGATCTCGTTGAGCGCCTTCTTCTCGTCGACGAGCTTCATCGTGCCCGACTCGACCTGGCGCTCGAGGGTTCTGCGGGTGGGCGAGAGGAAAAGGGGGGACACAGGTCAGCTGAAAGGGACGGTGGAGGAGGAATCCTGAGGGAGAGAGCGCAAGCGCACTTGATCTGGTTCTCGACCTCCTGCACAGTCTTGTACGGCGCCTTTGCCTTTGCGGCCTGCAGGTCCTTGATCTGCGTGCGCGTGAACCGGACAATGGACGCGGCGGGTCAGTCTACCTGGTCGAGGAGGGGTGACAGGGGCGGGAGAGAGGCGGGGCGCACCTTCTTGTTCATGCCGTCCTGGATCGCCTTGAGCGAGTCGAGCGTCTTGCCCCGGCCGCCCTTGAGGCGCGCCTGCTCACCGCGGAGCGCGTCGAGCTCCTTGCGGACAGCGATCTTGCGCTCGTAGTCAGGCCCGCCCTTGTTGCTCGACGCCGAAATCTTGTTGCGCAGGTCGTTCTGTCGAGGAGAGGGGGGTCGGGTGAGGTCAGCTCGTGGGCGAGAGAGGGGGCGAGCGGGGGGAGATTGTGCGAGATGGGGCGGGAGGAGGAGGAGGGGGAGGAGGCTCACCGACTTGGCCTGGAGGACGTCGATCTCGGCACGGAGGGCGTCTTGCTCTACAGTGCGGGTGCATCCGACGTCAGCCCTGCTCTGTAGAATCGCCAGCTGCGAGAGGAGGGAGCACGCACCGGCATCGTATGCCGCCTTGTCCGGTCGGCCGCTCGACGAGTCGTCCTGCGGGCGCACGGCGAGTCAGTTTGCGGTACTGGCGAGGCAGGCGAGGGAGTGGTCGGGCGCACTTTGTGCTTGGGCAGGTCGACGACGACGGCGGTCGGGTCGACGGCCTTGGAGGCGAGGACGGGTCCCTGAGCCGCCTGGGCTGCGGCACGGCGCTGCGCCTTGGTGAGCGGGGCAGGTGCACTTGCGCCCGGGATCGTGCGTGCTGCGGCCATAGCTGGTCGAGGTGGAGGGGTACGAGGACGAGGCGGAGCGGCGTGGAAGCTGAAGCGGGGCGAGCAGCGAGCACAAGGCGACCTCGCGCAACTCTCGAATGGACAGCAAGATCGAGTGTATGACAGGGAAACGAGCGCACTACCCGTTCACCCCAGCCGCCCGAGCCTGCGCCAACACACTCTCCGCCTGAAGCACCTGCGAGCGCTCGACCGAGCAGGTCAGTGCACGCGCCCTGCTTCTCGCCCAGCAGTCCTCCTCCACGCCCCACGCCCGCGCCGGCAACTCGAGAGAGGAAGAGAGACGTCGGGCGCACCATCGGGGCGTCCATCATGTCGCCGTCGAGCCCGTACGCTCCTGCGCCCGTCGCTCGCGCCGCGTCGTACTGGGCGAGGATCGCCTGCGCACGCTCGATCTCTGCGGACATCGTCGAACAGGCGACGAAGAGTCGGAGCAAGGGCTGCGTCAGGAGGGTCTTGAGGAGGGCGTGGAGGAAGAGAGAGAGAGGGAGAAGCGGGCGCACCGGCTGAGGAGGGCGAGAACTCGCGCTGGATGATGTCGACCTGCGCGGGGTGTATCGCCTGCTTGCCTGTACGACAAGCAAAAGACTCAGCTTCGTGCTCTGGCGCGCATGGCTAGATGCGGCCGAGAGAAGCGACAGGCGGAACGAGAGCGCGACGCACCTGTGAACCCGAGCTCCCTCCCCTCCCTGCACTCGTCGGCGAGCACCCTCTCGCTGTCATCGCCCTTGTACCGCACGCACACGAGGTCGACGGCCTCGAGGCTGTACGCGTGCGCGACGGCGACGACCGCCGAGCGCGCAAAGAGGAGCTCGCGCCGCGAGGGGGTGCGCGTGATGCGCGACGAGGCGCAGTAGTCCTCAGCCGCGAACTGTGGCAGGGGGAGTAGAGTCAGTTGGGGTCGCGTCCCGACGACGGCGTTCATCTGACCTCTCGGCCCGACAGCTCGAGGCTGAGGATGAACGAGGAGGTACGAGCATGGCGAGCGAGCCGACCCACCAGCAGTCCTCCGAGCCTTGTGCTGCATGTCGCGATCTCGCGCATGTTGAGGAGGGCGAGCGGGCTCTCGATGCTGGCGACGACGCGCAGGTCGCGGTGCCGCTCGCCGCCGTGCTCGAGGATGAAGTTGTCGACGGCGAGCAGGTCGGCGGCCGTGTGCACCTTGGGGAGGATGAGGCCGTCGAGGGACGAGGATTGGAGCTGTGGGGGAGCAAGACCGTCAGACGAGGCGCGGACTGAGAAAGAGGGTTGTGAGGGACGCACGATCGACTCGAGGTCGTCGAGGCCCGCCTGCCCCGAGTTGATGCGGACGAACTTGCGCGACCTCATCGACGAAGATGAGGACTGCAAGGGCGGGGGAATCCTGTCAGCAACCGCCAAGGAGGAGGGAAAAGACGACGCAGCTCACGTCGAGAGCTCTGCGAGGACCGAGGAGGCCAAGGTGAGCTGGCTGCGCTCGAGCGACGACTCGGCGGGCGGAGAGAGAGGGGACGTACCGAGTGACTGCAGACCTCGCGAGGGCCTTTTGCTCTGAGCGGACCGAGTCCTCGAGGTCGAGGGTGACGACGTCGGGCTGGGCGGTGCGAGGGAGCGAGCCGGCGAGGACCTTGTCGAGCATCTTTTGCGACGAGCCGGGGACGTAGAGGAGGGCGCGTTGCGGTGGTCGTGGCGGTGGTGGACGGGCTTGCGAGGCGGTTGAGAGGCGTCGAGCTGGTCGGAGCAAAGTGGGGGAGGAGGAGGACGACGAGGCGAGGTGGGAGCGGACGGCGCGGCTGGCTGGCCGGGTCGCTCGAGCGCAGCACTGATGGAGCATGGTGTGCGGTAGTAGCCTCGCTCAGCCGGTGAGTGTGAGGCGGGAAGCGGGCCATCGCCTTGGTTCGTCCGTCTTGCTCCCACTCTCGACCACCGACTGCCCCGTCGCTGCGGGCGTGTCTCGCACCATGCCCAGCACATCTGCACCGAGGCCCGCCTTCATCTTCTCGTACAACGCGACCGACCCGGACATTGTCGCCCTCGCCGCCGCCGCCGGCTCGTCGTCGACCTCGCGCCACCCGTACCACGCAGGGCTCGGCGCAGCACGCCGACCAGGCTACTACGACTCGACCGCCGACGACCACGTCCCCGTCTATGGCCCCACCACCTACCGCCGCGGCCCAGTTCGCTTCGTCCCCGCTCGCCTCGCCCAGTTCGGCGTCATCCCCGCCAGCGGCGAGCCTGGAGCGACCCCGACCTTCGACCTCAAGGGCAAAGGGCGCGCCGTCGACATCAAGGGCGAGAGCGACGACGACAACGACGACGACGACGACGTCAAGCCCGCTCTCGCTCCGCCGCCACGCCCGTCCACCTCGTCAACGCCGAGCGGCAGCACCATCCGCGGCCTGTACGCCGGCATCGTCGGCATCTCATCGTCGTCGTCCTCGTCGTTGAGCGGCTCGGCTCCAGCGTCGGTGCGCGCGTCGGTCGCGCCGGACCCGCCGCCGCCCCAGTCGAGGGCGAGCAGCGACCAGGTCAAGCGCGAGGAAGAAGCCAGCCCCGGCTCTCGAGACGGCGGCGACGACGACGACGACGTGCTCGTGCTCTCGTCGGACGACGACGACGACGAGGCGGACGGCGGGCGAGACGACGACGACGACGACGACCTCATCGTGCTCGACCCTCTCACCAACCTGCCCGAGGCTCGCCCTACCACCGCCGCCGCCCGACCTCGTCGCCCTCAGCCCCTCCTCATCCACGAGCTCCTTCCGCCCTCGAACACCTCCTCGTCCGCTTCGACCTCGTCCGCGTCCACCGCACCCGCCTCGGCAGGGCGCGTCCTTCTCCCGCCCTCAACCCCGCAGTACGCCATCAACCCGCTCAACCCCGGGTGGCGCATGCTCGTGCGCCAAGGCTGGCGCGAGGGCGCCGCGCTCGGGCCCGCAGTGGCCCCGGGCGAGCAGCAGCGCGGCCTGATCGTGCCGTTGCGCGCGAAGGAGAAGTTTGACCGGGCCGGGCTCGGTGGTGGCACGGTCGGGAGTGGCGAGGAGCGGAGGATGAGCGGGAGGGAGCGGGACGAGCGGCGGAAGGAGCGCGAGAGGAGCGAGAGGGAGAGGAAGAAGGGTCCGGGCGGCGGCAGAGGGGCGAGAGGGATGGAGCGTGCGGCCAAGGAGGAGGAGCGGCAGCGCAAGGCGCTCATTGCGTACATGAACCGGCCGTGATTCCTCGAGCAGCAGGTGCCGTTCAACGAGCGAAAGCGTGATGAGCCAAGCCATCGTTCGCGGAGATGGCGGAACTCTGGCACGAGCTTGCTTCTGCTCTCTGCTCGCGCTCTTTCTGCCTGCTCGACTCGCCAGAGCATGGCACAGGCAGATCGCCTCGTCGAGCCGCCCGCCTTGCTCGCCGAACGCGACCTCGCCTCGTCGCCCTCTCCGCCTCGTCGCATGGCAATCTCCCCACCTCCGCCCTCGTCCACCACGGCAAAGCCCGCGCGCAAGTGTGCCGTCCCGCGCCCGACCTACCGCCTCACACTCCTCGGCCGGTGCCTCGCCCTCCTCGCCGGCGAGCTCGTCGCCAATGCGGCAGTGTGGACGGCCGCCGCGTGCGTGTTTACCGGCGACAAGCGCGGCGTGTTGAGCCTGTGCGTCGTCGCGTGGACTCTTGGGTTGCGGCATGGACTCGGTAAGTCGCCCTCGATCACTCCCTTTCCTGCCGTCGTGAGCGAGAGCGAGCGCTCACCGTCCCCCCCCTCTCCCCGCACCCTCTCCTCCTCGCCCGTCCCTTTCCCTCCTCGACCCAAAGACATGGACCACATCGTCGCCGTCGACACGACGACCCGTGCCCTCGTCGCCCAAGGTCAGCGACCTGTCACGGTCGGCCTCTTCTTCTCGCTCGGCCACTCGACCATCGTCTTCGCCATGACGGTCGCCATCATCATCACCGTGCGCGCCATCGACAAGCTGCCCGACATCAGTAGCGTCGGCGGCGTCATTGGCGTCAGCGTCAGCGCGAGCTTCCTCTTCTTGCTCGGTGAGTCGCTCGGACCCTCCTCTCTTCCCCTCGAGCGAGTTCTCTGCGCCTCTCGACAGCGAGTACTGATCATGCCTTCGCAGCCGTCGTCAACGCCGTCATGCTGTGGCAGACGCTGCGCATGGCTCGCCGCAGAGTGCGTCCCACCCTCTCTTTCACGACCCTCCCCTCCTTCGTCCGCCCGAGTTGACGCTCACCGTTACCTCCCCGCATCCTCGCTCGCGCGCAGAAACGCTTGCGCGCCGCAGCCGCCACAACCACGTCCATTCCTGTCGAGGGCGCGCCGCTCGCACCTCAAGACTCGGACCTTGCGCTCGCCAAAAAGGTCTCGGGCGACTCGAGTCGGGCCGACGACGAGGAGGCGGCGGCGCGTCCCGACGAGCGCGTCGACGGCATGGTCGAGCTTCCGGCGACGACGTGCGTCGGGCGGATCGGGCGACCGCTGTTCAGGATCATCGACCGGCCGTGGAAGGTGCGCTCAGGGCTCGTTTCTCCTCGTCCTCCTCGTCCGCGACGTCCAGCCCTGACGCTCTCGCCTTGGCTCAGATGTACCCTGTCGGGCTCCTCTTCGGCTTGGGCTTTGACACGTACGTCCTGTTCCCCTTCGTCTTCTCAATCGCGCCGTCAACTGACTCGCTCGCCTTTCGCCTCTCGCAGCGCCTCAAGCATGTACGCCCACTTCTCCCGCCTCAGCCCCTTCGCGCTCGCCTCTCTTTGCCTCAAAGTCAGGCGCTTATGTTGTACTCCTCGTGCAGCTCCCTCCTCGGCGTCTCGGCCCTCGCCGGCAGCGGCGACAACCGCATCCCTCCCGGCCAGATCATCATCCTCCCGCTCCTCTTCATGGCCGCCATGACGGCCGTCGACAGCGCCGACAGCGTCTTCATGCTCATGGCCTACACGGTGCCGCAGCGCACGGCTGCCGCCGAGGCGGGCCTCCTCGTCGAAAAGGGCGGCGACTCGCCGGCGGCGTCGGCGGCGCTCGAGGGCGGCGCGGCGAGCAGCAGGCGGTGGTACGACCCTCGAGGCTGGGTCCTGTTTGAGCGTCGGCCGTCGGCCGAGGAGGAGCAGGTCGAGCTGCGCGACGCGGCCGAGCGTGCGCGGATGCCGCCGCAGGCGGACGAGGACAAACTGCTCAACATCAGCGTCGTGCTCACCGTCATCTCGATCGTCGTTGCCCTCCTCATCTCGATCGTGAGTCCTCACTCCCTCTCTCCGTGACAAGGAGGTAGACGACGAGCGCGCACTGACCGTCCTCCTTCCCTTCCTCGTCCTCGCGCACAGACCGAGTTCATGGGGTGCGTCCCTGGGCTCTCTCACGACCCTCTCATTCGTTACTGACTCGCCGTACACGCAGTCTCGCTGTCGAAAAGTGCGCGTCGTGCGCCGAGGCGGCCGAGAACGACCCGGGCCTGTGTGCGTCCTCCTCCTGTTCCTCCTTTCCGAGCCTTTCCTGACTCCTCGCCGGTCCCGCAGCCGGTCGATGGTGGCGCTTCTGGTCGAACGTCAACGACAACTCGCAGTTCCTCGGCGTCGGCGTGATTGGCGTATTCGTCGTCGCGTTTGGCGGTTGGGCCGCGGTCCACTTCGTCTCGCGGCGGCGGGCTCGCCGGGCGGGCAAGCGGCGGGCGTTCGACTGAGACGGCTTCGCTGGGACGACTGGGTAGACATTGGCTAGCTTAGACGGGCGGGAATGGATCGCTTCCGCAGTTCCGGTGTCGAGTTGTCGGACCTGCTCGCTTTCCCGTTCGAGGGCGCTGCCCTCTGCCGAGAGCAATCGTGTTCCCGTGCGAGTCGAGAACTCGCAGACTCAGCCACGCGCTCGTGGTACTGCGCCCGAGCCACGAGACCGTGCGCAAGCGAAGAGTCCGCCGTCGAGCGCGCGGGCGAGAGCTCGTGCCTCTCACCCCCCCGCGAGCAAGCCGCCGCTTTGAGCGAGTTCAACGCGGACCATGCAGCTCGCAGAGACCCGCACCAGCTGCGCACCGGCTCTCGTCCGCTCGCGAGGTGGTCGACCAGGGCCGCGCCTCGTCGTCGACCTCCCGCCGCCCGTCCTCGATCGTACAGCCTCCTGAACCTTGTGCGTCGCACGTGGACCTCTCTCTGCTCGACCGGGAACTGACCCTTGCTGCCGGAACTCCACCGCAGAAGCCCAGGACGGCGCCTCCCCACCTCGGGACGGCCGCCTTCAAGTCGAGCCGACAGCTCCCCTCCCTCCCCTTCCTTCGCACCTTGCACTCGCCCGACTCGCCCCAGACGACCATGGCGACCGACCGACCGACCGCCGCACCGCCGCTCGCCGCCAAGCCCACCCGTCCTGTCCTCCCCTCGCGGCAGAGCTCCGGCGTCCTCGAGTCGATGCGGGCTCGGCTCCAGCGCAGCAAGTCCAGCCAGAGCTCGGTCTCGACCCTCGTCGACTCGCCGACGAGCGAGCACCCGCCCTCGGCGGCCGCAGGCGCTCACCCGCCCTCGTTCGCCGCCGTCCACAAGCTCGTCGACGCGATCGCGGCACGGCCTCCTCCTCCCGGCGGCGACGGGCTCAGCAACGTCATGGCCAAGGCGGCGTCCGACGCAGCGCCGACCAGTACGCTCGCGGCGTCGTTCTGGCACCAGGCCAAGGCGGGCAAGCTCGCGACCGACGCGGCGACCGTCATCCAGGCGCTCGAGACGGGCGTCAAGGGCGCCGTCGACGACCGCGAGATGCTCCTTGAAAAGGTCGTCACGCTCCTGCAAGGGCTCCCGAACGACTCGCCCGTCCAGAAGCCCGTCACCGACCACCTCATCCAGATGCTGTGGGACGAGCTCCACGCCGAGGGTCCTCGCGCGTTCGCCGGGCCCCAGTACCGCTCGGCCGACGGCAGCGGCAACTCGTTGACGCAGCCGAGCCTCGGGGCGGCCGGCACGCCGTACGCCCGCACGGTGCCGCCCTGTCACCCCAAGATGCCCAACTCGCCCGACGCCGGCGTCGTCTTTGACGCGCTCCTCCGCCGCCACGAGTTCCGCCCTCACCCTTCCGGCATCTCGTACGTCTCCCGTTCCCTCGGACAAGCGACCGAGCGACCCGTTCTGACCTTGTCTCGTCCCTCGTTCCAGGTCGCTCCTGTTCGCCTTCGCGACCCTCATCACGCACGACGCCTTCTCGACCAACCCAAAGGACCCGTCGATTAACGACACGTCGTCGTACCTCGACCTGTCGCCCATCTACGGCGTCAACCAGGCGGAGCAGGACACGGTCCGCGCCTACTCGCTCGGCCGCCTCCACCCGGACGCCGTCGCCTCGAGCAGGATCTTCTTCCAGCCGCCGAGCGTCGTCGCGCTCGCCGTCATCTTTTCTCGGTGCGTCACTGCCGTCCCTCTCTTCTCGCCAACCTGCCTGACACCGTCGATGCGCCCGCAGGAACCACAACTTTATCGCCGACAAGCTGTTCGCGATCAACGAGTCGGGGCGCTACAAGCCCGAGGTCGACCTCGACAAGGCGCAGCAGGTCGAGCAGGACAACGACATCTTCCAGCGTGCGCGCCTCGTCAACTGCGGCTGGTTCTTGGGGATCATTGTGCGTCCGCCCGGACCTCCTCCCTCCTCTCTTCCCCGATGGCGGCACTGACCCTCCTTCCCGCCCCGCAGGTCAACGACTACATCCGCACGATCCTGAACGTCAACACGACCGAGTCGACCTGGTCCTTGATGCCGACGGTCGACATCTCGACCTCGCCCGTCGGGCACGCTCCTCGAGGGACCGGCAACTGCTCGTCCGCCGAGTTCAGCAGTGCGTCACTCCCTCCTTCCCTCTTCTCCTCCCGCGGAACAGGCACTGACTCCCTCTCGCGACAGTCCTGTACCGCTGGCACGCCGCGATCAGCGAGAAGGACGAGCGGTGGGTCGAGGAGCTCATGGAGTCGGCGACGGGCGGCAAGTCGGTCGACGAGGTGCGTCGCCCCCTTCTCTCTTCCCGTCGCACTATGTCGACGAACGACAATGTCCTGCAGCTACTGATCCAGCCTGCGCGCACCGCAGATGACGCGCGGCGACTTCATGACGGCCGTCAAGGCGCTCAAGGACAAGGCCGGCCCCGACCCGCTCAAGTGGGAGACGTCGGGCCTCGAGCGCAGCGAGTCGGGCTTCTTCGACGACGACGACCTTGCGCGTGTGCTCGCCGAGGCGGTCGACGAGCCGGCGGGCGCGTTCGGCGCTCGGCACGTTCCGGCCGTCATGCGCATCATCGACACGATGGGCATCAACGCGAGCAGGCGCGACTGGGCCGTGTGTACGATGAAGTGCGTCTCGCTCTCTCTCTCTCTCTCCTCCATACACCCCTCGTTCGGCGACGTCCCTCGCCTCGCGACCCGCTCCGTCTCGGGGACTAACTCTTACTCGGCCCACAGCGAGTTCCGCCAGTTCCTGCACCTCAAGCCGTTCGAGACGTTCGAGGAGTGGAACTCGGACCCAGACGTCGCGGCGACGGCTCGTCACCTGTACGGCCACCCGGACAACCTCGAGCTCTTCCCGGGCCTTCACGCCGAGGAGGCCAAGCCGTCGCAAGCTGGCTCAGGCCTCGCTGTCGGGTGCGTCTGACCTTCCTCTTTTACTTAGACGAGCGCCCCGGACCGACATACCCCTCGCTCGACTCGCAGGTACACGATCTCGCGCGCCATCCTCAGCGACGCCACCGCGCTCGTTCGCGGCGACCGCTTCTTCACCACCGACTTCAACACGGCGACGCTCACGTCCTGGGGCTACCAAGACGTCCAGGGTGACCCGCAAGGCGGCTCGTACGGCGGCTTGATCGGCCGAGTGCGTCCCTCGCCTTCTCCCTCTCTGCGCAGGGTCGTCGCCTGACACTCATCGTCTCACAGCTCCTCATCCGCAACCTGCCGCACAACTATACGGCGCGCTCGACCTACGCCCTCTTCCCGTTCTCGACGCCGGCGACGATCCAGCGCATCCTGACCAAGAACGGCGTGGCCGACAAGTACGACCTGCGCTCGCCGACGACGATACCGCCCGTTCACGGCGTCTTCTCGTACAAGGCGTGCCTCGACATCCTCGCGGCGCCGGCCGACTTTGGCGTCGTCTACTCGCCGGCGATCAAGGCGTGCTCAAACTCGTACGGGTACATGCTCACCGAGGACGACGTCGACGCGCACCGCCGCGACCGCGCCCTGCAGGCGCACGCCCTGTTCGCGCCCGGGTGGCAGGACCGCCTCGCGACGTTCTACCGCATCAAGACGGCGAGCCTCCTCGAGAGCGCGTCGTGGACGTACGACGGCGGCAGGACCCGCACGGTCGACGTCGTGCGCGACGTGACCAACCTCGCGTCGGTCTTCTGGTGCAGCCACCAGTTCGGCATGCCCCTCAAGACGAGCGAGAACCCGCACGGCGTCTTCACGCCCGCCGAACTCTACTTGATCCTCTCGGCCTTCTTCATCTCGTACGTCTCGCCTCCCTCGATCTCCCTTTTCGCCTCGCCTACAGCCCTGACGACCCTCCCTTACGCAGCGTCTTCATGAATTTCGCCGCCGACGCAGGCTTCAAGCTCGGCGAGGCGGCCAAGGAGGCGGCCCCAGCGCTCCTCTCGCTCATCCGCATGCGCCTCAAGCAGGTCAAGGGCATCCCTGTGCGTCCTCACCTACCGCCCACCTACGTCCACGAGTCGTGCATCACTAACTCGAAGTCCCTGCAGACGGTCGTCGACGACTTTGCCCGCTGCATCCAGGACCGCCTCCTCGGCAAGGACGTCCAGGCCATCGTCATCGGCAAAGACGCCCACGCGTACTACGAGCGCCTCCTCTCGAACAAGGACGTCGCGCTCGAAAAGCTCGAGTCGAGCGTGCAGTCGACCATGACGGCGTCGGTCTCGAACCAGGGCCAAGGTGCGTCCCTGCTCTCCTTTCCGCTCTCTCTTCCTCTCCTCTCGGCCTCACCCTGACGGTCTCCTCACCCACAGCCTCTGCGCACGTCATCAACTTCTTCCTCGACGACAAGAACGCGACGCACAAGGCCGAGCTCGTCCGCCTCTGCCTGCTCGACACGCCCGAGGCCGACAAGGAGATTCTTGTGCGTCCTCTTTTCTCTCGTCGCGCCGCACGCACCGAGCTCGACTGACGACCCTCTCGCACAGGCCTACGTCACCGAGGCGCTCCGTCTCGACCCGCAAGTGCCGCTCATCCCTCGCGTCGCCAAGCGGGACGTGACGATCCAGGACGGCGCGCGCGAGGTCAAGGTCCGCAAGGGCGACTCGGTGTATCCGTCGATGCTCAGCGCCGGTATGGACGCGTCGGTCTTTCCCGACCCGCACACGTTCGACCCGACGCGCGACCCTGGCCTGTACCGCCTGTTTGGCAGCGGCATGCACACCTGTCTCGGCGCGCCCATCGTCAACATCTCGCTCGTCGAGATGATCAAGCAGGTCTTCCGTCTCAAGAACGTTCGTCGTGCGCCTGGCAAGGCCGGGCAGCTCATCCGCTTCCGCCAGGAGCTCGGTGGCACACCGTGCCCGGTCTACTTGTCGGAGAACCAGGGCCTGTGGCCTCTTCCCGTCTCTCTCTCGATCGTCTACGACGGCGAGGAGTAGCTCTGTATCCTTTCTAGTCACTTTGCAGTGTAACTCAGTCGTCAGTGCTCGACCTCGCCCCGAGACCGAGAGCGACGAGAGGTCCAAACCGCTCTCTTCCCTTTCGTCTCGCTCGAGCTTGCACGAGGTCGACGGCCGGTGCTCGCGATGGACTCGGCGAAGCGTGCACGCAGCCCGAGCGAGCACTCAGAGGCGTCCACTGCGTCAGAGCCCGAGTCGAAAGCTCATCGCTCATCGTCAACGTCGAGGCGAGTCTCTCTCTGATGAGGTCGCGCAGGAGTGCGACTGACCTTGCAATCTCTCCACAGACCGTGCTGGACCTGCTCTCTGCCGCCAAGCTGCCACCGCAAGCCATCGTCGCACACCTCCCTCTCCTCGCTCGAGGCCCACCACCGCGCCTTCCACTCGTTCGTCTGCACCGCTCCGCCGCCGCACTACGACTGGGCCGTCGCAAAGGGGCGGTACGAGGGTCGGGAGCACTACGTCGGGTCTGGCGAGGCCAAGGAGCGCGTGTGCGGCCGCGTCTTCCCGGACGACCGCTTCCTCCAGCTCCACCTCACCGAGTGCCACGACGAGCTCGCCCAAGTGCGGCGCGAACGAGGCGAGCAAATTGTGCGTCTTCTCGCTCGACTCTCTCCCTCTCTCTGCGCGACCAATTGACGAGTTGCACCTCCAGTTCGCCTGCTTCCAGCCCGACTGCCGCCAGCTCTTTGCCACGCCCAAGGCCCGCCGGCTGCACCTCGTCAGCAAGCACGCGTTCCCGACGCAGTACTTCTTCGGCGTGACAATTTGGGGCGTCGAGGACGTCCTCAACAAGGGCGGCGGCATGGTGCGGCGCGACTGGAAACCGCGCGAGGGTCAGCCCGGTTGGCGGAGCGAGACCAGGGCGTCGTCCGAGGAGAACTCGTTCGGCTCGCCGCCGTCGCCGGCGCAGGCCAAGCTGCGCGAGCTGTCGCCCGAGCCTGCCGAGAGGGCGTCGGCCCCGGTCGCGCCGTCGCAGGACGTCGATGACCTCGCCGACGCGCTCTCGGGAACGAGCATCTCGCTCGTACCTCGTGCCGTGCGCCTCGCTCGCAAGAACAAGATGGCCACCGACGCATAGCTCTCCCTTTCTCTCGTTCTCTCTTGTTGTTGTGTAATCGAGCCTCAGTTGCACCCGTTGTACTCGCCCGAGGACCCGCATCGAGAGCGCGCTCACCGCAAGAGCTCGTCCACCCTCGCCGCGAGCTCTGACCCGGCGAGCTCCTTGAGCCTCGCGACCTGCATCGCTCGCTGTTCCGCACCGGCCTCGAGGCACGCCGGCGACAGGATGAGCTCCTCGCCAACTTGCGCCTGCCGGTACCGCGCGACCTCGCCGAGCGTCTTGCTCGCGCCGCGACCGACGAGGGCCTTGACAAGCTTGACTGCGCTCTTTTGTGCGGGCGAGTCGTGCTCGAGGAGCGCGGCGGCGACGTGATGGAGCGCGACAAAGTGGAGGAACGGCGTGCGCTCGCTCGAGACGCGCCCGCCGACGAGCGCGTCGACGTAGGCGGCGAGCATCGGCTCGCTCGACTCGGCTGGCGCGAGGTACGCCGAGAGCGCGCCGGCGCCACCGACGTCGCTGATGGCCTCGTCGACCGAGAACTTGAGGGCGGGCAGGACGTGCGCGTAGTCGGTCCAGATGAGCCGGCGATAGTCGATCGGGTAGGCCATGGCGAGCGGCGGCAGGAGGACGAGGCCAAAGAGGCGGTCCGAGAGCGAGATGGCGTCGTACAGGCCGACGAGGTCGGTGTAGAGCTGGTAGAACGGCGCCGAGCTGACGACGGCCGAGACGCCCTCGATCGTCGCGCTCGCGTCGCGCTCGTCGGCGAGGAGCACCTGCGGCGACGCCTGCGCGCCGACCGAGAGCTCGGCGAGGAGCGCGCCCAGCGACGCCTGGCACGCCGGGTCGCGGAACACCTCGGCGTCGGCGCCGCTCGAGCCCTTGGTCGTCCCGCTCGAGTCCTTCTCGAGCATGAACACCTTGACGAGGTCGTACACGAGCGCCGGCGCGTCGCGTGCCGCTCGACTCGTGCCCATAGCGGCCGCCGAGCGCACGAAGCGCATGAGGGCGAGCGACGACCGCACGAGCTGCAGCTCGCTCGCGTCCCAGCCCTTGGGCAACTGCTGGAACACGGGCGACGTGCCCGACCGCAGCAGCTCGTTGAGCGCGGCGAGTGGCCAGTTGGGCGAGAGGACGGGGCCGTCGGGCGCGAACGGCGCGAGACACGCCGTGAGCTTGATGTCGCGAGGGGTGGGGAAGAGCGGGCCGACGACGCGGCCGCCCGAGGCGGTCACGATGGCGTAGGTGAGGAAGGGGCGGAGGGTGGCGGCTTGCGCGAGTGCGGGGAGCTCGAGCCGGGCGTCGAGTGCGGCGACCGGCGGCAGGATGTGGTTGTCGGGCTTGGCGACGAGGGCGAGGAGCCATTCGACGAGGTCACGCGCCGCGACGGCGTCCTCGACGCCGAGCATCGGGAGGAGAGCGACCGTGGCGGACAGGCGCGAGGCGAGGTCGAGGCGAGGAAGGAGGACGGCGGCGAGGGCGAGGGACGACGACCTGGCCGAACTGCCGACGACGCCCGAGACGGCCGCGCTCGCCGTCGCCGCGTCGAGCGCGAAGAGCTGCGGCGTCGCGGGCTCGAGGACGTCGGCGTCTGCGTCCGAGAGGCGAAGCGCTCGCGCCGCGAGCCCAGCCCAGCCCTCGAGGTCCTCCTCGCCGCTTGCGACGACGGCGAGCGCCCGGTCGACGAGCGTTCTCGCCCGCCCGCCCGCCGCAAAGTCGCCGCCGAGCGACACGCGCACCCATCTGCGCTCCTCCTCGCCCCGCCAGCTCCGGTTGACCTTGCTCCCCTCGAGCCAGCTCCCGAGGAGCTCGACCGCCGCGCTCAGAACCGCCCGGCCGGCGCCCGTCGCCTCGCCGATCGCGAACCCGAGCTCGTACGCCTCGAGTGCGACGTCGCGGAAGCCCTCGACCTGGCTCCACGTCACGTCGTGGCCCGTCACGTGCGGGTCGACGGCGGCCGTCGTCCACATGCCGAGCAGGCCGAGGAACGGCGCGATCCAGGCCGCGTCTGCAGCGCCGGCGGACGTCGACGAGGCACGGCGCAGCTCGCCGACGCGCTCGACGAGGCCGTCGAGGAGCGGCGCCGCCTTGCCGCGCAGGTCGGTCGCGAGGCCGTACCGCGCGAGGACCGTCCACAGCTCGATCGTGCCGCGCAAGAGGGCGTCGCCGAGGGCGTGTCCTGCCGGGTTCGAGGGCGGGAGCTCCCATGGCGGGAGGGCGATGAAGCGCAAGGTCGGGTCGACGAGGCTGCGGGTGCACAGGAGGGATGCGCGAGATCGCGAGGTGCGGGCGAGGAGGGCGAGGAAGGCGAGGGCTGTGGGTGAAGGGAGGATGGACTTAGATGACGGCGGATAGGGGACAGCGAGGAAGGTCGAGACGAGCGACTCGAGGAGCCGAGGCGTGTCGAAGATCGAGTCGAGGATGTCGGACGACGAGGGCGACGAGCGCGACAGGTGGACGAGTGACGTTAAGATCGCGAGGACGGCGTCGAGAGAAGGGCGAGGGACGGCGCCGAGCGATAGGTGCGAGGCGAGGGCTGGGAGCGGCGCCGTCTCGAGGAAAGTCGAGGCGACCGTGGCCGTTTCCTCGGCGCCCTCGAGTCGCGGCGCTGCTGCCGCCGCCACCGGTGCCGCGACATCTTGCGCGAGGAGGACGGCGGCGAGCGCGATACACGCGCCGACGACGCCGAGGTTCGAGTCGCGCAAAGCCCATCCTGCTCGCTGCGCCGCCTGGACCCGGACGGCCTGCCACTCCTGCTCGCCGAATCGCGGCGCGTACTCGACCGAGCGCGACAGGATGCGGTGGAGGATGGCGAAGGCGGTCGAGCGTTGCGAGGGGACGGACGACGCGGTGAGGGCGAGGAGGGATGGGACGGTAAAGGTCGTCGAGGAGGAGACGTGGTGGTCGGGCGCGGCGGCGGGTGCGACAGGTGCGGCCTCGCCCTCGAGGAGGCGACCCTGGACGTCGAACACGAGGCGAGCTGCTGCTGGTAAGGCAGGCGCGTCGCCCGCTCGGCCCGCCGGCGGCGGCGGCGGCTTCATCCAGTCGAGCGCCGGGTTGCGGGGCTCGTTGGGGAAGAAGTGTCGGCGGATGTACTCGGGGCTGCCCTCCTCCTCGTCGCCCTCGCCCTCGCCTGCGACGGTTGGCCGCGGTGCGGGCGCGTCGGCCGGAGCTGGACGGGCTCTGGGCGTGGGCACGATTCGCGGGGCCGGCGAGCGCTTCTGCGCCCGCGCCTGGAGCATCTTGAGCACGCCGTCGGACAGGCCGAGCTCCTCGCGGATCTGACGCTGCTCCTCGAGGATCTGGGCCTCGGACATGCCGCGCAGGACGTCGTCGTTCTCGCGCGAGACCGAGTCGAGGAGGCCGTCGAGCGAGGTCGGGTCGGCGTCTTGGCCTGCCGCCTCGGGGTCGCGGTCGTCGACGAGGTCGGGCGATGCGAAGGAGGTGGCAGGTGGAGGAGGGGCGGGTTGGCGAGGGAACACGCCTCGGCTGGACGACGGGAACCCGGTCGGGCGTGCGCCGAGCGGCGAGGGCCTCGACGGGCCGGGTGCCGACGGCGGTTTGGGCGCACTTGCGCCCCTCGCGCCGACTGGTCGTTCGACGACGCCCTTGATGAGCGACGGCCGTCCACCTCCTCGCGGCAGGGCACCGCCTCCTCGTTCGGGCTCCTCGTCGCCCTCGTCGTCAAGGTCGAGCTCGAAGCGCTGCGCACTGTTGGCGGGCTGCGTTGCTGCTGCTGCTGCTGCTTGTGCGGCGGCGGCGGTGGTGGCGGCGGCGTCCTTCTCGCGCTGGAGGGCGAAGCGGGATTTGGGCTTGGAAGGAGGGGGAGGTGATGCGGCCTGGTCGGCAGAGCTTGGCGGTACGACAGGGATTGGAGCTGTGGGGGTCCAACAGTCAGACTGGGGATTCTTCCGCTGGCCAGAGAGCGAGGGTGGGACGTACGAGGGAGCGAGCTGGACGAGACGGCGGGAGGTCGTTGGCGGACGACACGGGCGGCAGGAGCTTGGCCGGGCTCGAGCTCTGGGAAAGCAGGCTCGTCGTACAGGTCGGCGAGCGAGGGCCTGATGCGCTGCGCAGCCATGTCGGGTGAGGAACACGGAGAGAGAGTCGAGGAAGCTGATGAGGCGATGCAGAGCTCGACGCGCTCTCGCTCTCAGTCAAGCTGTGTCGTACGTGCGCAACGGGGCTCCCAGCTGTTGCAGTGTACCGCCCGCGCAACCTCGAAAGCGCGGTTCCTCGAGAGTCGCTCGCTGGCCGACTCGCTGCTCTCAACTCTCGCGACCGACCGCGCGGCGCGACGACGACGAGGACGCGACACTATTTGCAGAGGGGCCTAACGAGGGTTGCGAGAGTAGGTGGGAGGGCGCGGACGGAAAGAGACAAGCACGAGAAGGGGCACAGGCGCGACACGGGGCGAGGGAGGCGAGAATGCAAAATAGACGAGGACGAGCGACAAGGGGTATGGGGTGTGGCAGGCAGGCGAGGGGGCGAGGGGAAGAGTGGGAGACAGGGTAGGGAGAGAGAAAGGCTGCGATGGTGGTACGAGGGACAAAAGGGGGGAGGAAAGGGGAAGAGGGAGGGGAAGCTGGACATGGACGGGCGTCGGCTGACAGCGACGTGGCCGGCTACATGATGGTGCCTGTCAAAAAAAGCGTCGTCAGTAGGTCGTCGAAAGGCGACGAGAGCCGAGAGGGAGGGGACGCACAGCCACGAGAGTACCACCACGACGACCGGATCTGCTCGATCCAGAAGACGATCAGGCGCAGACGCTCGCGCACGCTCGTGATCCTGTCGACAGGGACGGTGAGTCAGTACGGACTTGTGGCCGGGGCAGATAGAGAGAGAGGAAGAGCGGCGACGCACTGAAGGAGCGCGACCTTGACGTGGTCCTCGACAGGGAAGACCTCGGCGGCGAACCAGGTAAAGTCGTGCGCGTTGGTCGGGATCTCGCCGACTGTGTAAGGGGAACGCGAGGGTCAGTTCGAGTCATTGGGGCAAGGAGGCGAGGGGAAAGGAGAGAGAGGACGGACCAGTGCGGTTCAAGCGCTCGATGACCCAGGGCGCCGAGCCAGCGCGCAACGTCTTGATGAAGTCGAGGCAGATCTGCATGAGCTGATGCGTCGTGAGCTCCTGGTTGCCCGTGATCGGCGGCCGGGCGCCGCTCGGGGTCGGGTTCGGGTCCATCCACGAGGCGTCATCGTCGAGCTGCTGCTCGCTGCGCTCGATGGCGGCGCGCTCGAGGGCCGCCTCCTGCTCGGGCGACACGTCGTCGACGCGCTCGATCTTGCCGACGTTGTAGCCGTCGACGACGCTGCGCTCGACGAGCCGGAACCGGTGCGTGCCGATCGTCTCGAGGATGAGGCGCCCGTCGTCGAGCATCTGGCAGCTCGTGATGCGGAGCATGGTGCCGAACTCGTTGACGGCGTCGGCGCCGCCGTTGCGCACGGGGAGGACCATGCCGAACGACTTGTCGGGCGTCTCGAGCGCGCGCCGGATCATGAGGCGGTACCGCGGCTCGAAGATGTGCAGGTACGACTTGATGCCTGGCCACGCCGACGTGCAGACAAAGATTGGGACGTGCTCGAGGAGGGCGAGCTCCTCCTCCTTGACGGCGGCGGCGCGCTCGGCGGCGAGGTCGGGCAGGGCGGCCTCGATGACGGCCGTCAGGGCGCGGTTGGCGCGCTGCCAGCGGAAGTACGACAGGGGCGGCAGGCTGGTGCGGCACATCGGGCACTTGTCCGAGTGGTCGTACGAGCGCGCGAGGCAGCTGCGGCAGTACGAGTGCCCGCACGGCGCCGTCACCGGCTCGTTGAAGAGCTGGAAGCAGATCTGGCACTCGCACTCGTTCTGCAGTTGCGCAAACAGGGTCGACGACACGGCGCCGTACGAGGGCGCGCCGGCCTTGGGCGCAGCCATCGACGCCGCCGCCGACGACGACGACGTGGACGACAGGGTGGGCACGACAGGCGCCGGGACCGGGCTCGTGCTGCGAATCTCGCGCCGCTTCTTGCTGTGGCGGTAGTCGGCGCCGCTCTTGTGCGCACGCTTCGAGTCGTCCTCGGTCATGGGCTCGTCCTCGCCGCCGCCGCTGCTCCCGCTGCCGTGCCGCGTGACGTGGCCCGGCTCGGGCGGCTCGACCTGGACGTCCATCGGCGCCTCGCTCCCGAGGCGCACGTCCGAGAACAGGGGCGCGAGGCTGCCGTCGACTCGTGCGCGTGCGGCGGCGTGCTGCGCCTTGACGAGGTCGGACAGGAGGGCCGGCCCGGCGACGCGCTCGACGAGGTCGACGAGCTTGCGGAGCGTGTAGTCGACCTTGAGCGGCGGGTGGCGCATGACGAGCTGCGAGTGCGGGAACGCGCATGTCGGGACGGGGCACGTCATGGGCAGCGGCTCGACGACCGAGCTGCGCCGCGACGACACGCTCGACGCCGTCGAGGCGCTCGACAGGGTGCGGTACAGCTGGTTGCTGTTGAGCTGCGTCGCCTGCGTCGGCGTCGACAGCGCCAACGAGTGAGGCGACCCGGTCGAGGCGTGCGCGACTTGTTGCGCCGGGATCGAGAAGGTGAACTCGGTCGCGCTCGTCGAGGCCGTCTCGATCGGCGGCGTCGCGTGAGGGTCGCGAGGCGGCGGAGGACAGACGAGGCAGTGCGAGTGGCCGCAGGCGATCGTCGTCGGGTGGTGGAGAAGGCGGTGGCACGAGGGGCAGGTGAGGAGGGAGGCCAGTTTCGAAAGGACGACGTCGATGGTCGGACCGACGTGGTCGAGGGTGGACGAGGGAGGGGTTGGCGCATCGGCGTGCGACGGCTTGGCGGTGGACGAGCGCTGCAAGTCGGGGAGCGTCGGCGCGTCGACGGCGAGGCCCGACGGCATGGGCAGCTTGCGATCGGGCTCGTCGCGGCGCTCGACGTCGTCGTCGCTGCCCGGCCTCCTGCGACGCCCTCGACGCAGGCGGTCAAAGTCGAGCGTGACCTCGCTCGCCTCGTCCTCGGAGAGCCAGTGCTCGCCCGGGTCGAGGTGCCGCGACGAGCGCGACGACGGGCCGGGCTGCTCGACGGCGGGCGTGGTCGACGCGCTCAGCGAGTTGGCGCGCGCGCGCCGACTCGACGGGGGCGGGAGCGAGCCTTGTCGCCGATGGCTGCGGGCCGTCGACGCGACCGACGAGAAGTAGTCGCCGCTGCCGGCGAGAGACGAAGGTGCGGCGCGCTCGTTGCGCGAGTTTGGCGAGAGTCTAGGGACCCGGCGCATGGGGTGATGCGAGGACGTCGAGGGGAGGGTCGAGGTCGACGAAGAAGACGAGGTGGGAGGCGCTTGGTGATCAGGGCGAGCGGGTTGTGGGTGCGATGCGGCGGGAAGCGACTCGGAGGTCGAAGGTGGCGGAGGGCTGACGATCGGCGTACGACCTTTGGCCGGGGAAGGCGAGCGGCCTGCACGGGGAGGGAAAGAGAGTGCGTGAGCGTGTGGCCGAGCCCCCAAGTCGATCGTGCGCTTGCGCGCTCGAGCGAACAGCGACGTACCGAGGACCGAGCCGTCGCCAACGTCGACACGCGCATCGTCGTCCGAGCCCGGTGCGACTGCTCCGCTCGCCTGCACGCCCACGCCATGCGCATGCCCCTGCACCGACATCGACGAGCTCCCCTGCTGGTGCGAGCTCCGATCCTCAACGACCCGTTCTCGTCGCGCGGCGCCGTGCTGCCCATCGACCGCCTCGAGCCGGCGACGATCGGGCGGTTCAGCGAGTTGGTGGTGAGGTGTGGGCATGGTTGCGGCTTCTAGGCGGCGGCAGCCATGCGCTGAGGGCGAGTGAGACGGCTGTGGAAGGACGAGGAGACGGGTCAGTCGAGAGATCCGAGGGGGCGAGTTGGCGGCAACCGACGCGAGACGCACCTGAGGAGGCACGGCGAGGTGTACAGAGTGTGCTCGAGTGGACCTAGTGCGCGGCGAGTGCGGCAGAGCAGCCGATGGCGACGAGGAAGGAGGATGACCGCGGTCGGCGACCGATGAGGATTCGAGGTGGGGTGAGGACAACGCGGTGACGGCTGGCGGTGGTGCAGGGCTGGGTGGCGGTGGTTGTGCAATGCAGCAGTGCAGTCGAGCGTGCAGCCTGGGTGGTGCGAGGCGTGAGAGTCGAGAGCAAGCGACCCTCCCCCTTGCCGGCTCGCGCCCACCGCCGGCGAGCGACTCGAGGCTGCGATCGCCACAAACGCACGCGCGCGCTCCCCTGCCTCGCTCAGTCGTAAGATCGTCGCTCTCGTTCTCGACAGCTCTGCTGCTGCTCTCTGCTTCCGGCGCTCGCACAACTTCGCTCAAACCGACGCAGCTCGAATGGCATTACGTCGCGCTCGGCGGAAACCAAAGACTCGCTCCGCACGCTCGTCCTGATCGAGCAACCTCGCTCGGCGCACCGCCTACTTCGCCCATCGCGAGCAGCTCGCGAGCGAGAACAATCTGCGGGGCCGGGGCGGCCGACGACGCACGCGTATGAGCACCTGAACCCGAGCGAGAAGGATCGAGAGAGACGGGGGACGCACCTGAGAGAGGCCCTCAGGCGTAGTCGCGGGGCGCGACGCGGTACACGATGAGCTGGCCGGCGCGCATGTCCTCGACCTTGTAGCTGCCCTCGACCATGCTGCCGCTCTTGGCGTCGACCTCGAGCACGCGCAGCTTGCCCTTCTTGTCGTCCCACGCTGCGACGACGGCGACGTGAGGCGCCTGCGCCGACCCGACCGTCTTGCTCGACAGCGCATGCTTGAACTTGGCGTGCATCGAGACGACTGCGAGAGAGAGAGAGCGGGAGTTAGGAGATTGCGCAAGGGTAGAGAGAGGGAGAGCGGGACGCACTGTCGCCCGCACGAGGCTCGTCCTCCTGCGACACGGTCGCCGCCTTCTTGCCCTGCTCGACCGTCGCGTCGAACACGACGGCGCCGTACCTGCCGCCGCTCGGCGGCATCGGGTCGGTCGCACGCCCGAGGCAGAACTCGATCAGGTCGCGGTCCGACAGCCCTCGCGCCGATTTGTCGCTCTGCTTGACGTGCGCTGCCGCAAACACCTGCGCGCCGAGCGACGCCGACCACTGGAGGAGCGAGTCGAGGTTGGCGCGGACCGGGGCCGAGCCGCTCATGCTGTCGCCTGGCTGCGACTGCGACGGGTAGTCGCCGAACGACTGGCGGGGCGAGATGGGCGCGCCGGCAAAGGCAGACGAGCGACGAGACGACTGCGTCGCCGTGCGCGCGAGGTCGGTCGACATGCGGGGCGAGAGCGGAGCGCGCATCGGCGGCGACGAGGGCGAGTCGTGCGTCGGCGAGAGGGGAAGCGAGGCCTGGTGGCCGCCGGCCGGGCGAGGCGGCGGCGGCGGCGGCGGCATGGCGCTCTCCTCCTCGTCGACCTCGACCTGCTCGGGCTCCTGCTCGTCGTGCGCGAACGACTCGGGCTCGTCGACGTGGTGCTGCTGCTCGTCGAGGACGTTGCCCTGCTCGGGCTCGGCGTCTGCCGCCGGGACCGGGACCGAGCGGCTCGGCGGCATCGTCGGCGGGCGACTCGAGGGCAGAGGCGGCGGTGCCGGCTCCTCCTGCTCACCGCCCTCAACCTCGTCGCGCTGCTCGCGGCGGTCCCCCTCGCTGCTCGCGCTGTGGCGCTCGAACGCCTCCTCGGTCGCCGCGTCCGACTTGGCCTTGAGGCTATCGGCGTCCTCGGCGAGCGGGCGCGACTCTTCCTGCTCGGCCTCGACAGGAGGGGGAGCAGGACGAGCCTGCGCGATGCCGGGGAGGGCAAAGCCGCCGGCGGGCATGCCGCCGATACGGCGAGGCGGGTGCGCTGGGGCGGCCTCGTCAGAGCCCGAACGAGACTCGACGGCTGCGTGCGGGCAAGGGGTGTGTCAGGGTAACGCCCAGAGAGAGGAAGGGGCAAAGAGAAGGGACGCACGGCGAGATTCGAGCCCTGCAGGCTTGAGCTGGCCCTCCTCGGCGAGCTCGTTCGTCGGCTTCTTGACGGGCGCCTTCTTCTTGGGCGCACCACCCGGCGGCGGCCCACCGAGCCCGCCGAACATGGGCATCATGCCCTGGCCGCCGAGCTTGGCCATGCGCGCCGCGAGAGCCCGCCGGCGCGCCACCTCCGGGTCCTCCTCCTCTGCCTCGTCCTCGTCCTCGCCGCCCTCCTGCTCGTGCTGCTCTCCGTCGGCGCCGCCGACGTCCTCGGCCTGCGCCTTGGTGAGCGCCGCCTTGAGCATGGCCGGCGGCGGCGGCGCACCGGGCACGAGTGGGTCGGCCTTCTCGACCGCGGCCGGCGTCTGCGTCCCCTCGACCTTGCCCCACACCGGCTGCGCCATGTCGGCCGGCTCGTGGCCCTTCTCGGCGCGGCTCTCGGCGATCTGGCCCGTCGACGGCGCGTCGACGAGGGGCGACGCCGTCGACTCGTCGAACGCCTCCTCGGGCGGCGTGACGATCTCGGGCATCGACGCGATGATGCGGTCCTCGGCGGCGGTCGTGACGCGGTCGGCGCCGACAGGAGGAGGGTGCGTCGGGACGGGAGGGTGCTGAGGCGTGGCCGGGTCGCTCGGCTCGTCGACGGCGGACAATTGCGTCTGCGGGACGGGCGGGCGGCTCCTCGTCGGCGGCGGTGGCGCCTCGCCGTCGGGCGCATGAGCGGTCGGGCGCGGCTCGTCGACGATCGTGTCGGCGCCGCTCGCGAGCGCAGGTGGATCCATCGAGCGCGAGGGCGGCGGCGGCTCGCGGCGAGAGAGGCCCGAGGTCGGCACCTCGGCGGTCGGCGGGCCGGGACGAGGCTCGTCGGTCGGCTGGCGGACGAAAGGAGGTGGGAGAGGCGGACGAAGCGCGGACGGCGAGAGCGTGGCGCCGTCGTCGGTGGCGGCCGAGTCGGGCAGGGCGGCGACGGCCTCCTCGGCGATGGTCGGGCGCTCCTGCTCGGCGCTGTCGTCGTGCTGGCCGTACTCTTCGGCGGCGAGCGGCTCCTCGTCGGCCTCGAGCGGCGGCTCGTCGAGCTCGACCGCGTGCTCGACCTCGTTCTTGACCTCGGCGGCGGGAGGCGGCGGCGCCGGCGTCTCAAAGTCGTCGTCGTCGGCCGGCGCCTGGACGCGCTCGTCGTCGTCGTCGTCCTGCGCAAGGAGCGAGCTCGCGCCGCCCATCGACGCGAGGACGTCGCCCTTGGGCGCCTGCTCCTCCTCCTCGACAGGCGGAGCCGGCGCCGGCTCCTGCGCGGGCGCGGGCTCGGGCTCGGGCGCAGCCGGCGGCGTCTCGACGGCCGGGCTCTTGGCCTTGCGCGCCGCACGAGGGCCTGCCGCACGCTTCGGCAGGGCGGGCATGCCCATGCGCTGGCCGCCGAGGCCCGCCATGCGCTGTGCGACGGCGGCGCGCTTGGCCTCCTCGTCGGCCTCCTCGGGCGACGCGCTCACGCCGCCCTCGACGGCCGCGGCTGCGGGCACACGAGAGCCGGCCGGCGTGACGTCGGCGAGCGAGGGCTGCTCGACGGCGTGCTCAGGAGCGCGAGCGGCGGCGTCTCGGGCGGCGCTCGCCTCGGCCGGCTTGCTCTCGCTGCCCTCGACGACGTTGGCCACGTCCAATGGCGTGTTGCCGACCGCCTCGGCCGACGCCTGCTGCTCGTCGCCGTCGACGCTGCGCGGCGCGTCGGGCGTCGCCTCGGCGGGCTCGAATCCGGGCACCTCGGCGCCGGGGCTCTGGGCCGTCGTCTCGTCCTCGCCCGGCTGGTCGTCCTTGACGACCGTGTCCTGGAGCTCGGCCGCCTCCTTGGCGCTCTCGCCGCCCTCGTCGGCCGCCTGCTCGTGCTCGGGCTCGGGCTCGGCGCGGCGCCACGGCTTGGGCTTGGGCGCTTGACCCGGCGGCGGGGGAGCGTCGACGCGCACGCCGCCCGAGCCGCCGCCGCCTCCTGCGCCGCCTTGGAGGAGCTTGATGCGGTCGCGCAACGAGCCGCCGCCGCGCGAGATCGAGTCGGCGGCGTCCTGCGCCGAGAAGTCCTGCACGGCGCCGGGTGCGGGCTCGTCGGACGACGTCGAGCGCACGAGGTCGGGGACGGGTGCAGAAGGTGCGGCGGCAGTCGACGACGACGAGGGCGCAGCGGCGACAGCCGGGGCGGGAACCGGAGCGGGCGAGTCGGCCGCCGGGCGAGGCTTCCACTCGCGCGGCTTGGCGCGAGGGACAGGCGGTGTGTTGCTCTTCTGCGCCTCGGCCGCCTGCTGGAACGCCGCGATGCGCGACGCGAGGGCATTGGGCTTCTTGGCCGGCGGCGGCGGCGTCGCCTTGGCCGCTGCGGCGGGAGGTGCCGAGGGCGGAGCGGCGGCGGGTGCGGCGGGCGCGAGTGCAGGCGCAGATGCGGCGGGAGGCGCGACATCCTCGAGCGTCGGCTGCTCGACGGGCGAGGTTGGGGAACGGGCAGTCGGCTCGTTGGCGCGAGTGGTGGAAGTCGGCTCGGCGGCGGCGGCGCCCTCGTCCGACTTGACGCTGACGGCGGCGGGCGTCGGCTGCGACCCTTGGGTGACGTTGGTGTCGTCCATGGGCGTCTCGTCGGAGGTGGCCTGGGCGGGCGAGGCCTTGGTGGGCGGCTCGGGCGCGCGCTCGGCTGGCGATGCGAGGACGTCGTCGGCGACGGCCTCGACGAAGGTGGCGGGGAAAATGCCCTTGTCGCCGGTCGCGAGCTCGCCCTCGAGCCAGTCGCCGTCGTCGTCGGCAGCCGACAGGACGGTGAGGTCGGCGCCGGGTGCGAAGGCGAAGGCGGGCTGCTGGCCGGGCGGCGTCTTGTACTTCTGCACCGCGCGAGCACGGTACGGGTAGGTGGACATGTCGGTTGTGGAGGTTGCTCTGGTGGTGACTGTATGGGCCCGTCGAGGGCGTACGAGATCGTGAGCATCAGGGACGAGGATCGGGGGATGACGATGAGGGGGAGGGGAGGGGGAGTGGAGGACGGCGAGGGCGCACCTGGTAGGGCGTGCAGTGGGTCGAGTCGAGTGCTGGCGGTACTGCTGAGGTGCTCTCGCTCTCAGAACAGCGTCGAGTGGGTTGGGAGAGGGACGAGGAGGGAGCGACGCTCGACTCGCACGCGAGCCAAGTGGGGGACCGTCTCTCTCGCTTTCCTCTCGCACGGGCAGGCTCCCGGCTCGATAGTTGTGCCCAGCAGTGCATTGCGTACCGCCGAGTCCCGACCTCGCGGAAAAGGGAGAGCTAGAAAAGGGTCGAACGGCGAGGAGAGAGGGAGAGAGCGACGCTCGTCGAGGTCCAGCCCCGCGAGTCGAGGTGGACGAGGGAGGGGGAAGAACGAGACAAAGGGGCGACGACGAGGAAGAGGCGAGGCGAGGCGAACGAGCGTGAGGGGCATCTGGTACGAGGAGAGGGCGGGAGGGCGAAGAAAGGCCGCGAGGGAGAAGGGGTATCGTCGAGACAGGTGGTCGGGGGCAAGCGTCCGTGGCTAAGGGTAGAAGGGGGGCCGAATACGAAGCCAGGGCGGCGCGAGGGCCAAGAGGGGTACTGCATGCAAGAGAGGAGGAGGGCGAGGCCCGAGGAAAGGGGAAAGGGGCGCGGCGACGACGACGCTCAGTCGAGCATGAGCGAGTTGCTCTGCTGGACAGGTCTGCGAGGGCAAGGGGCATGGTCAGTCCTGCTTGCACGAGAGAGAGAGGCGAGAGAGAGAGAGAAGTGGGCGCACCTGCCGATCAAGCCCGGTGCGACGGCGCCGTCTGGCCCACGGTGGATCTGGACGCGCCTCGGGCCCTCGCGGTACGTGTCGGTGCCGCCGAGCGCGAGCCCGATCGGCGGCGATCCGCCGTGACCGTGCCCAGACGACGAGTCCGAGAAGCGCCACCACGACGAGCGGCGGTCGTCGGTCGAGCCCGCCGGGGCGTGGTGCGCGCCCGCTCGCGGCGAGCCGAACGGCGACGAGAAGTCGCCCGTCGAGGCCGTCGACGTCGTCGAGATGCTGCCGCTGCGGCCGCGGTACGTGCCCTGGTTGAGGTAGAACCCGCGCAGGCCGGTCGGGCTCGCGCCGCTGCCCGGCGCCTGGGCCATGTCGCGCGGCAGGTCGCGCTCGTTGCGGCCGAGGCGCGGGCTCGACGAGAGGGCGATCGCGCCCGACTTGGTGGCGCGGAACGCGAGGTAGCCGGCGATGGCGATGAGGAGGACGCCGCCCGTGACGACGACGGCGATGATGATCGTCTTGCTCTTGTCGCTGCTGCCACCGTCCTTGGACGTGCGCCTCGTCGACGTGCCGTCGGCCGACGAGGCTGAGCCCGAGTCGCCGTCGTCCGAGCCCGACTCAGACGCAAACGACGTGACGGCGAACGACGACACGAACGTTTGCGCGAGCTGGCCGGGGAGGCCGTCCTGCGTGTAGATCGGCGACGACGGGGTCCGGATCATGGCGCTGAGCGCGTCGACGTAGCTCGTCGGGAGCGACCCGAGGAAGACGGTGCGGATCGTGCTCGCGCCCGTCGCGTCGGTCGTCTGGTACGCCTGGAGCGCGATCGTCTCGAGCGTGCTGAGCGACACGTTGAGCGCCTGCGTGACGACGATCGGGACGTAGTAGAAGATCTGGCCCGACGCGTCCGAGTTCTCGACGACCCACGACCAGGGCATGCTGTCGTCGAGCAGGATCGAGATGGTCGAGACGGGCACTGTGTCGGCCGCCGCCTGCGACACCTGGGTCGACGAGCCGTCGCCCGACGACGACGACGACGACGACGAGCTGTCGTCGCCGGGTACGATGCGCGACGGCATGTCGCTCGGGAACGCGACCTGCGACGTGATCGTAACCGACGGCTTGCCGCTCACCATCGACGTCGACGCGCCCTGCTGGAGCGCACTCGAGTCGGGCGCGGTGGTCGTGAAAGAGCCCGACGACGAGTCGGTGGCCGAACCCGACTGGGACGAGCTCGACGACGAGGGCTGGGCGATGACGAGGGTCGAGGTCGGGACCCACTCGTACTCGCTGTTGATGCTCGACGAGCTCGCCGAGACCGACGACGACGACAACGACGACGCAGAGCCCGACGCCGAGGCCGAGTAGGACGAGCTGGCGGCGGCGGCGGCTGACGACGTCGCGTTCGACGAGCCCGTCGGGACCGCGCTCAACGACGACAGCGGACCGCTCGACGACGTCGAGTTGCCCGTCGCGATGGGGACGGCGGCGCTCTGCGACACTGTCGCGTTGCCCGACGGGAGCGGGGCGACCGGCGCGGCAGAGCTCGACGACGCGCCCGGGATGGGCACGACGGCGGTGCTGTTGCCGGCAGCGGCGGGGCTCGATGTCGCCGATGCCGTCATGAGCGGCGTCGAGGCCGACGAGCGCGTCGCCGGGGCGGTCGCGTTGCCGGCACCCGCCGAGAAAGACGGTGCCGACGACGAGTCGACCTCGCTCGAGCTCGGGACAGGGCTCGCCGGCGGGCTGCTCGTCGCGTTGTTGGCCAGGTAGGTGGGCTCGGCGACGACCGAGGACGACGCAGGCGCGACAGGAATGCGGGTCGAGACGATCGGCGACGAGGTCGGCAGGACGGACGCCGTCTCGTTCAAGCGACTCGTCGGCACGACGACCTCGGGGCCCGACGAGCTCGTCGGGCGCGCAGTCGCAGTCGAGTTGCCGACCGCGGCCGGCTCGGACTCGATCGGGGCGCGGATCGTGGTCGTGTCGGCGGTCGAGGCGGTCGAGGACGGCGTGAGGACGGGGACGACGGCGGTGAGGTTGCCGAGGATGCCCGACGCGCTCGACGCCGAGGCCGACGGTGCGACCGACACATCGATGGTCGACGAGGCCTGCGCCGCCGACGTGATGACGGGCACCGACACGCTCGTGGCCGACGCCGTCGCGGTCGCCTCGTCGGTGGCCAACGACGACGCCCGACGGGTCGAGGTGACGCTCGCGCTCGGCTCGTCGATGCTCGAGGCGGCGGCGGTGGTGGCGGGCGCGACGGTCGAGTTGGCGGCGCTCTTCGTGCCGAAAATGTCGTCTGCACGCGAGGACCAAAGTTCGGGTCAGTGTCGGCATCGACAAGGAGAAGGAAAGAGAGAACGGAAGACGCACCGAGCTGGCTCAGGATGCCGCCGAAGCTCCCGGTGCTGGACGAGGCTGCCGCGCTGCTCGCCTCGGCCGACGTGGTCGCGCCGATGGGCGCGACCGTGACGCTCGAGGGCGCGCTCGAGGTTGCGCCCGAGGCGGGTCCTTCGATTTGTGCACTCGACGACACGTCGGCAGCCGCGGACGACGAGGCGCTGTCGGCCGGGGCGTCAGAGGAGGCCTGCACCGAGCTCGACGACGCCGGGGCAGAGCTCGACTCGGCGACCGGGCTCGCCGATGTCGACGCGTCGGCCGACGAGGGGGCAGGCGAGGACGAGGCGATAGTCGAGGAGGAGGAGGACGTCGAGCTGGGGGCGGAGGACGACGAGCCGCCGACGAGGCTCGACACGAGGTTGCCGAGGAAGCCGCCGGTCGACGACGAGGCGCTGCTGCTCGACGCGGGAGCGGCACTCGAGGTCGTCGGCTCGACCGTGGACGACTCGACAATGGCGGACGAGAACGCGTCGTCGGCGGCCGCAGCGGAGGACGCGCGCGCCGCCCGAATGGACGAGACGACCTCGCGGCGACTCGGGGTCGATGCCGAGGGCTCGGCGGACGATGTGGTCGGCTCGTCGGTGGCCGAGGTGCGAACCGTGCTCGTCGTGTCACTGTCGGCGGCTGCGGCGGTACTCGGCGCGTCCGACGTCGTCTCGGCGGCGGGGGACGAGCCGAACGACGAGCTCGAGGCCGTCGACGGCGACTCCTCGGTCGAGACGGGCGACGCGGTACTGGTCGCGTCCACGACGGTCGACGAACGAGTGCGGGACGAGGTCGAGGCAGGCTCGGACGAGGTCGACGACGAGTCGGTCGCGTTGAGGGACGAGGTCGCGTTGGCGAGGAGGGCGTCTGCGAGCTCGGCGAGGTCGATGTCTGCGCGCGTGTGCGAGGAGAGAGTCAGTACCGAGTCTGCCGAGGTGCGTATCACGCCAAGGCTGTGCCCGAAAAAGGGCGGGCGATTGTCGAGGGAGGCACGCGTCGGTCGAGGACGCGTCTCTGCCAACGGCGGGGGACAGGGACGAGGGAGAAGCGGGAGGGGCTCACCCTCGCTGAGGCGGTCGACCGACTGCCGCTTGACCACCTGGGCACCCTCGTGCCCCTGCTGGCCGAATCCACGCGCCCGCCTGGCCCCCTGGGGGGTCGAGCGCTCGACGACGGCGGCGGCGAACCCGAGCCTCCTCGGGCGCTGGAACGGCTCGAGGGGGGCACGGCGCTCGAGCTGGGTCGGCTGAGGCGGCTCTTGAGGGTTGGCGAACGCTAGTGGGGCGGCGAGGAGCACCCACGCCGCGACGAGGGCGGGCGAGCGCATTGTCCGTTGAGCGAGACGGGGGGAAGGGGGAGGGGGGGGAGTGTGCTTCTTGGCCGGCGGACGGCGGGCTGGCGGGAGGGGAGGGGGAGCGGAGGGCGACACGGACCAGCCGAGGGGATCAGGGAGGGAGTGGTGAGAGCCCTGGGTGTGGTGACGGGCGAGCGAGGGACGAGGGGTGGGAGAGGGCGAGCGAGAGCTGGGTGTGTCTCTCCCACGCGACTCCGGCTCCGCAGCACCTACCCAGCGCTCCTCTTTCTGGCAAGTCCGTCACCCGCTCGGTGCCCTTTCTCTCGAAGCTCTCCCACCCTCTCGATCGCTCGCACCCTCGCCGTCGTCGGTCGTCCCTCTTCCTTCTCCTCTTCCTCCTCGTCCCTCTTCTTTCCCCCCCGCACTCGACCTCGCTGCGGAGCTTTCTCGCGACCCTGTTTTCCTCTGCGCTCCGTCTCTCTCACACGTCGTCGGCTCGGCCGCCGCGCCTCTCGTCGCCGACCTCGAGCCGCACCGGAGTCGGCCACCGAGTCGGTTCTCTTCCTCCTCGCGACTCGGCACCGCGAGCAGCGTCGTTCTGCGACTCGTCGTCGCTGTACGACGTGCGTGCAGTGAGTGCGCGTGCGCGCAAAGCTGTCGCCCTGTCGAGGTCGTCGGCCCACCTGCTTCTTCTCCGAGCTCGTCGCTCGCTTCCTGCTTGAGCGCGACTTTCCTCGAGTTGACTCGAGGACCAGATGAATCACGGCTCTGCAGGACCGCTGCCTGAAGGGCGAGCGGCGCAGAGCGTGCCTCGCCTGTCACCGGGTCACCTCCTCTCGGCGCTCGACGCGCCGGCGACATGCGGGAGGACGGCCTGCAGGCGGTCTCGGCGGTCACGATTATGCTCGTCAAGCGCCGACGGGGTGGACGAGTGCTACGAGGACGGGCGAGGCGGGAGAGGCGCTAGAGGGCGGACGACGTGACGGTCCGTGCGAGGGAAGAGTTGGGCCAGAGCTCGTCCAGCTCACTCTTCTCTGTTCGCGCTTCGAGCTTCTCTTTACGCTTCGATTGCTGCTTGGGCTCGACTCATCCCAAGAGGGCTCGAGAGGCCGGCGAGCCGACAATGACTGAGCGAGGGACGCAAGCGCTTCGGGTGACTCGCCGTTCTCTCTCTCTCTCTTCGCGTTCTGCAGATTCTCGGTACTGACACTCTCACAAAGTGCCTCTTGCAGACGATCTCGCCGTCGAGCAAGTGCTGCCGCAGGGGCGGTGCTCAACCAGGCGAGCCGGTCAACAGTGAGTTGTCGACGAGCTCTCCTTCTCGCGCCTGCGCCGCCCGCGCCTCACTTTCCCTGACGTCGCTCCCGTCACACACAGGCTCGCTTGCAGAGAGACATCGAGCGAGTCGTGTCGGTCAGGGCGAGCCGCCAAGACGAGCAAGAGCGAGAGGAAGAAAGCGAGGATTGAGGAGGACGACGAGGCAGGCTACGGCTCGCCATCGACTCGCGCCTTGCGCTGTCGCTCGTGCTCGAGCGAGCGATCCTGAGAAGGGAGCCGCCGTCAGGAGCCGAGTGCCCCCGCTTCGACGCACGCCGCTCGAGCCGTCTCGAGAGAAGGAGCTCGAGCGGACGAGGACAGCTCTGGCGCTGGCCCGAGACCGTCAAGCAGAGAGCAGAGACTGCGAGGTTCGAGAGAAGAGTTGCAGCAGGGATCGCCTGGCCCCGCCGCTGTGGCGAGGGCAGGCACGAGCAGATGCAGGAGACGAAGCGACTCGAGGAGGTTCGCGGGCGCGAGGCAGCTGCGCCTCGGGCACGAGCGGCGTAGAAGCAGGAGCGTCGTGACGAGACTGCCTCGCTCTGCAGATGACCTCGACAGACGGCCGCCAGGAGAGGGCGGTCGCAGTCAAGGTCCGAGCCGAGGGGGAGGGAGCAAAAGACGAGCAGAGCGAGCCGGCGCAATGCGCGCATGCTGCCCTCGACCGCGCGCAGAACGGAAGCGACAGTCGCTCGGGCGAGAGCTTCGAGGACTACTGCGCGCGGGAGGACGAGTCAGCTGTCGACAACGATAGGCGGGAGGAGCGGAGGAGGGGAGGGGGAGGGAGACGCACCAAAGGGAGGCTCTTCGCGCTCTCGAAGCGCTCGAGTTGACCATGCTGGGCCTGTCGATGTGCTTGAATCGGGCGCAGAGGTCGTGGCTGGCGGGTGGACGAGGTTGCGGCGAGTTGGCGAGATGAGGATGGCGCGAGGGCTGGCGACACCTCGTGAGGGTGCGCGACTTGGACGAGGTAGCTCGTGAAGGTGCACAGCAGGTGGTCGAGCAGTGCAAGCATCCCCACAGCGTGGTGTGGGAGCGAGAGGGAGCGACTTGGTCCGGCTCTGAGTCGTTCCGCTCTCCTCCTCACCTCTCACCGCTACTGTGCTCGAGATGCTCCTGCACGCCTTCAAAAGACTGGGGTCTGCCGTCGTCGCATACTGGTCCAGCCCGTGCGTCCCCTGCTTCCCTCCCTCTCCTCCCCGCCCTTCTCCTCCTCACCCTACCTCGTCACCTAACAATCGCCCCTCTCGCCCTCGCCGCAACAGGTTTAGCCCCGTCGACCCTGTCACAAAGCCCCGCAGCGACCTCGTCACGTCTGCATCCTTCGTCCGCCTCGCCCGTCTCCCTCTCGAGCTCGTCGCCATGATTCTCAACGAGCTCGCTGTCCTCGACGAGCTCGACGGCGGCACGGCGAGAGCGCCCATGATGGCGCCCAGTCGCGAGATCCGCATGGCCCTGTCGAGGTGTGCGCGCGTCAGTCGCTCGTGGTACCTGCTCGCACGAGAGCACCTGTACCGGTCCATCGTCGTCGTCAACTTGTGCCATTGCGAGGCGTTCGTCAGCGCCATCGAGCGCAACCCCGACCTCGCCCTCCTGTCGCGCAACCTCGTCCTGTTCGGCGGCACGCTCTTGGCGTCACCGTCGGCGTCCGAGGCCCGGTTCGAGCGCCGGTACGACCTCTTGGTCCGCGTCTTGCGCCTGTGCCCTCGACTCGAGCGGGTCCGGCTCATGCACAACTGGGACATCTTCTGCCCACTCGTTATCGACGCGCTCACGAACCTCAACAACCTGTCGTCACTGTACTGCCGCCCGTTCGTCCTCAAGATCGTCGAGCAGTACTCGTCGATCCTCGATGCGCACGATCTGCTCTCGCGGCTGCCGCCCTCACTCTCGTACCTGTTCGTCGACGGCACTGTCGGGAGCTATGACTTCCTGCACCACGTCCCGTCGACGATCGGCCTCGTCGAGTATCGGCTGTCGAACACCCACCAGCGGTGCGACCCGACCTTCGTCTTCCAAGAGCTCGAAGCCGACCTTGTCGAGGGCGTCAAGGCCATCCCGGGCAGCCACATCAACATCCTGCACAAGGCAGACGTCGACTCGGCCCTCGTCGGGCGCGTCGTCGCCGGCTTTGCGGCGCAGGGCGTCGAGCTTGCCGCGATCAGGACGGCGTGAGCGACCCTCTCTCCTGTGACGGTGCGTCCTCTCTCTCTCGCTCCTGATGCGCAGAGCGATTGCCTGACATGACGAGCCGAGTGCGCAGGTGGTCACTGTCGTCGTCGCTCGGTGGCGGTTCCTCCCTTCCTCCTCGCCCTCCCTCTCCTCGCTCAACGCCGCCCTCCATCCTCTCGCCTCAGTACCTTATCCTCGTCGCCCTCGTCATCTGTAGCCGTCCCTCGTCGTGCCCTTGTTGCTATCTATCCCTCTCGAGCCGTGCCCACGACGAAGCGAGAGCACCGAGAGCGTCAAAGTTCCGCCAGCTCGTGCTCAACTCGACGAGCGGTCAAGCTGCCCGTCGGCCACGCCCCTCCCTGAACGAGAGCTGCACTGAGAGACGGGCGGCGCGAGTCTCGAACCCAGTCGAGAGAGGCTGACACGCACGTCGAGAAGAGCCCTCTCGTCAAAAGTCGAGGTCCGAGCGCTCTCGTCGACGTTCACCTTTCTCTCTCGTCCTGCTTCGAGCACGGCGAGTACGTCTTGCTCAGTGCGAGGATGCTGGAGCTGCGACCGAGAAGGCGCTAGCGGTCGACTCGGCGCGAGCCAAAGAGGAGACGAGGAGGAGCACGAGGAGCGTCGGTTCGGCGCCGCCTCGTCTCGCGCAGCGCTGCGTCGCTCGAGCTCGAGTCGAGAGCTGACGAGAGCGAGCTTCTCTCGAGAGGTAAGCCTCGAGAGAGCCGAGTGCGGCTGCTCGTGCCGGATCGACGAGCAGCTCGAGCCGGACGACGAGGGCTCGAGCGGGACGAGGACTAGCTTTCCGCTCGCTCGAGACGGATAGACGAGACGCACAGGGATAGCGCACACAGATATAGAACAGGGTCGTCTACAAAAGAGGAGGAGAAAGGCGAAGAAGGCGCAACGGCCGTACTCGCTCCCTCGCTCGACGGTCCCTCGGGGTCACACACGGCACACAAGCGAGACGTCGACGGACCTCAGAGGTGCATGATGAAGGCGAGGTGAAGGACGACGCCGCCGATGAGGATGGCCGACGAGAGCTGCGGGCGCGCAGGAACACGCCGTCAGTACGATTCGCGGGAGGGCAAGCGGGACCGACGTAAAGGGACGAAAAGGTCGACCCACACGCTGCTCGTCCTTGGCCTCCTCGATGGTCTTCTTGATGGCGCGCCAGAGCAGGTGCCCGCCGAAGAAGTGCTCGCGCGGCGACGTGATGGCGCTGGCCAACAGCTGGCAATAGCCCTCGGGCGCCGAGAGCGACTTGGGGCAGCCGTCCTCCTCGTACAGGTGCTTAGCTACGAGGCTCTTGTTCGAGATGACCGTTGCGACGTCGAGATAGTCCGAGATGGCGGGGTACCACATGTAGGCGATGCCGAGGAGGGCGGCCGGGATACAGTAACGCGGCGAGAGGCGAGCACGGCGGCTGTAGCTGCGGACGTTGCGGGATGAAGATGATTGACGGCTCGAGACGAGACCGAGGACGAGGAGGGGAGAGGTGCGCACACAAAGTAGGGCGACACGAGTTGGGCGACCAAGTTGGCGTACAAGCCGGTCGCGAACCAGACGAGAAACAGCCAGATGATGAAGGTCTGCGAGAGAGGGTGCGAGGCGAGTCAGATCGTGGCGTAAAAGGTGCTGAGAGCGGTGAGAAGGGACGTACGAAGACGAAGACCGTGCCCGACTGCGCGGGCGAGTCGGGGAGCAGCGCGTATTCCGCCAAATCGGACCCCGGCGCCAGACTCATGTGCCCGTCGAGGAACTGCTGAGCCTCGAAGTGCGGGAGGGCATCGGCCTGGAGCTGGGCGCGGTAGGTGTCGCGAAGGTTGAGGATGAACAAGTCGACGGGGAGGAGGAAGGCCGACAGGCGAACGAGGACCGTGAAGGCGATGGTGGCGAGGGCGCTAACCAGATCGGAACTGCGCGCGGTATGTGGCAGATCAGTAGCGGCTCGACGAGAGCACGCGCTCGCGAGGAAGGGAGGGATGCCTTCAAAGCGAGAGGAGGCGCACCTGCGACGGGTCCAGCGGTACCCGCAGGCCGCCAGGACGAAGAAGCCGCCACCAAACAGGATGGTCTCCATGAAGGGCTGCCGAGGGTGGCGGTGAAGAGGTAGGAGGAGAGAGAGAGAGGGAGAAGAGAGCGGGGAAGCGAGGCGCGTGTCGAACGGCCAACGCGCGTCCGCCGAGTCACCTCGACCGCCTGTTGCGGCTCGCCTTGCCGTCAGGATCGAGCTCGACTTGTGCAGCGACTGCTCTGCGAGCGTGAGGAGCCGCCGCACGAGAGACGCCGAGTCGACCCGACTTGTGCCCAACACGAGGCCCGAGCGATAGGGCGAGGGAGCGCGAACGCAAGCGCTGCACGAGCGAGCTCGACGAGCGGGTCGGTCGACATCGAGGGCGACAGGAGGGAGAGCAGACGAAAAGTGGGCATCGCTGCCGAGCGCAAGCTACAGGTCCGAGCACCTCCCTCGCTCCCTCACCTGCTCGCGCCGCCCACCGCCCCGTCTTCTCCCCGACTGCCCCCGCCTCGCCTCGCTATTGCCCCTCCCACTCTGTCCCTCGCCCCCCGGGCCGCCTCACCATCTACCGCCGCGCCTGCTGCCCCGGCGCGCCCGTACCGGCGCCCGCCTCGGCCGCGCCGAGCCCCCAGTACCGGTTGAACCGCATGCGGATGCCCTCCCAGCCGTCGAGCGCCGGGCGGCAGTCGATGAAGAAGGCGAAGTTGGGGCGGAAGTTGGCCTCGGGTGCGGGAGCCGAGGAGGAGGAGGAGGACGAGGGAGGAGCGGGAGGGGCGAGGAGGCCCGTGCCGCGGCCGGTGTAAAAGTCGATGACGTAGCGCACGCGGACGGACGAGGGCTGAGAGGGGTCGGTGGAGGAGGCGTCGGTGGTAGAGGACGAGGGGGACGAGGTCGAGGGAGGGACGACGGGTCGGTCGACGAGCCAGTCGTGGCGGTCGAACGGGGCCGTGTACCTGCGCGCGCACGAGAGCGAGGTTAGTCTCGGCGGACGAGGTCGTAGAGAGAGAGGAGGGGACGCACCCGATGAGCGTCTTCCACCTCGCACGCGGGCTGACCTCCTTGGGCTTGCCGACGAACGACACGAGCTTGGAGCCCGGGTCGACGCCGTGCGGGAGGCCGAGGGCTTCGCGCTCCCAGTCGAGGACCTGGTTCCACACGCGCTCGTTGACGGCGTTGTGGATCGGGACGACGATGCCCATGTCGCGGGCGTTGGGGTTGCGGTTCTTGCGCTCGAGGGCCGAGTAGAACGAGGCGGGCGAGGGGTAGACCCAGTTGTCCTCGGAGGGGACGGCGGCTGCTCGCTCCGACTCGTGCATCGGGCAGGCCGAGGGCGGCGCATCGGCGGCGGTCGAGGCGGGTGCTGGTGCGGGTGCGGCCGAAGTCGAGGACGAGGACGAGGACGAGGTGGGTGGCAACCAGCGCGGGATGGACGACACCTCGCGCTCAGTGCTGAGGAGGTGGGCGTGCGGGTCGGTGTCGCTCTTGGGTGCCGGGAACGAGTGCTTGGCGGGTGGTGGTGGAGGCGAGTTGGCGGTGTTCTGGCGGTCGAGCCAGGCCGAGCGGGTGTCGTGGTCGACGGGGCACGCCGAGGGTGGGGGCGGGTCTTGGGGTGTCGGTGCACTTGAGAAGGGCCACATGGCTGCTGGTCGAGGCTGCAGAGCGAGAGGGCGAGTCGTGGAAGGCGACAGACCGAGTCGGCTTCATCAGCTCGAGCGGCGAGGCGACAATCGCCCGCTGTCAACCTCACAGACGCGTCCTGTGAGGCTGCGAACCTCTCTTTCAGACTATCACACGGCTCCCTGGCCCTCGAGCACCACCTCTGGAGCGAGAGGGAGAGCGGCGGCGCCCGCGCCTGCCTCGCGTCGGCTGTGTGCTCTCTCGTCCTCCTCCGTTCACCCACCGTAGCTCCCTCTGAGCGACACCATGGCCCCACGAGTCCTCTCGAGGTCGTCCACCCTCGAGAACCAGCTCGACACGCTCTCGCTCCACGACGACGCCCACCCGCCAGCGCCCGCCGCCGCTCCTCCCACCGCGCCTCACCGCCTGTCGACCCTCGCAAAACCCTCGACGACCCACAAGGTGCGCACCCCGTACCCTCACTCTATCCTCGCACCAACTCACTCGCGCCTCCACCACAGCTCGCGCCCATCCGCCCCTCGACCAGCGCACCCTCGTCGTCAAACCCGCCCTCATCCAACATCGGCCGCACCTCGCTCCTCAAGCCCCAGCTCGCACCGCCTTCGACCGCACGCTCGTCCACTACCACCGGGTCCCAGTACCGTCAACCCACCTCGACCTACGCCCCACCTGCCGCCCCCTCGACCACCGGCCTCCCGACCAAGTACCGCCCGGCCGGCGCACCCTCGACCGCGACCAACCCTTCGTCCACCTCGTCTACTCTGCGCGTGCCAGGCCCTTCTTCCTCGTCCTCCTCCTCGTCGGCGGCGGCACCCTCCCGCACTGGGCCGCCGCCTCCCTCGGCGTCGCCCGACATCGGCTCGTACGACGGCGGCTTTGAGCGCGACGAGCGCGCAGCGGCACAGGGCAGCGCCCACGTCCTCAAGGGCGACGCCGTCAAGACGCTCGCTCTCGACTCGTCAAGTGCCTCGGGCAGGTGCGTCGCCTCGCTTCGTTCGACAGAAGCCTCGTGCGCGACGCCGTCCGCTTGCGAGCGGGCACGGCGCGCTTGGATGCACGTGTAGCGATGCGCACTGACACGTCGCACACGCGCAGCCACCGCACGACGGTCCCGTTCTCGCTGTCGTCGTTCGAGATTGGCAAGCCGCTCGGCAAGGGCAAGTTTGGCCGCGTCTACATGGCCCGCACAAAGGCCGAGCCCAAGTACATCGTCGCCCTCAAGTGCCTCCACAAGGAGGAGATCATCAAGAACAAGGTCGAGAAGCAGGTCCGCCGCGAGATCGAGATCCAGTCGCACCTCGCGTGCGTCCTCCCTCTCCCTCCTTTCTTTCCTCCTCGACCGCTCGAGACTGACCCTGTCCTCGCCCGCACTCGCGCACAGTCACCCCAATATCCTGCGCCTGCACGGCTACTTCCACGACGAGCGCCGCATCTTCCTCATCCTCGAGTTTGCCGGCAAGGGCGAGCTGTACCGCTCGCTGTCGCGCACGGGCAAGTTCAGCGAGAAGCGCGCCAGTCGGGTCCGTCTATCCTCCTCTCTCTCTCTCTATCTCTTTTGTTCTCGTCCCGACGTCGAGCGTCGGCAAGCTCGGGCACGAGAGCGCGGTCCTGACGATGCCCCTTCCCGCCTCCCTCGCAGTACATCGCCCAGATGGCCGACGCGCTCGCGTACCTGCACGCCAAGCACGTCATCCACCGCGACATCAAGCCCGAGAACATCCTCATCGGCGTCAACGGCGACCTCAAGCTCGCAGACTTTGGCTGGAGCGTTCACGCGCCGGGCAACAGGTGCGTCTTGTCTCCCTCTCTCTCGCTCTCCCTCGTTACAGCGGGACACCGAGACTCACCCTCGCACTCGCACCGGTCCTCCCCGCTCGTCCACTCGCAGGCGCACGACGCTGTGCGGCACGCTCGACTACCTCCCGCCCGAGATGGTCGAGAACAAGGAGCACACGACGGCCGTCGACCTGTGGGCGCTCGGCGTCCTCACGTACGAGTTTGTCGTCGGCACGCCGCCGTTTGAGGACATGAGCGGCCACGCCGGCACGTACCGCAGGATCACGAGGCTCGAGTACACGATCCCGCCGAGCGTGAGCCCAGAGGCCGCCGACCTTGTGCGCAAGGTGCGTCTCTCTCTCTCCCTCTCCCCTCCTCGTCCTTGTCCGCTCGCGTCCCTTTCCCTCCTGTTGTCGTCACTGACACTCTCGCCTCCTCTTTCGCCCGTCCCCTTGCTCTTTCCCTCCCTTCCCCTTTCCTCCCTTACCCACGCCCACAGCTCCTGCGCCTCAACCCGCTCGACCGCCTCCCGCTCAAGGACGTCGCCGTGCACCCGTGGATCAAGAAGTACGAGAAGCGCGCGACGGGCAGCAGCGCCGGCGCCGAGTCGACGGCGGGCGGAGCGAGGGCGAGCCGCTGAGGACGGGGGTTGGCGGGCGCCAGACAGAGGTCGAGAAGGGTGTCGGCGTCGATGTCGAGTTCGCGTTTCGAGGTCCGAGCCCGGGCGGGCGGTCCTCCTTGTTGTTCGAGCAGCTCGCTCTCTTTTCTCTCTCTGTCTTGCGCTCCCTGCACTATCACCATCCTCGACTTGGACTCTCGCTGCCTAACTCTCGACCCGACATCGACGTGCGTGAGAGATCGAGAGAAGGAAAGGCACGCTTGCTCTGCAACTCGGCGAGATGGCACTACTCGAAAGGAGAGGGAAGGCAACGACGACGACGACGAGGAGGGCGCAGCCTCAGCGCTTGACGGGCGCCATGCGCAGGACGACGCCGCGCAGGCTCTTGCCCCACCCGCCGTACAGCGGCGTCCTGCACACGGGGCAGTGCTTCTCGAGCTCCGGGTCGCCCGCTTCCTCCTCCTCGTCCATCCCTCCCGCTCCTGCTCTTGCGCGCCCGCCGTTCCGGCCCCTGACCTGCCCCGCGAGGCGCGCCAAGACGTCCGGGACGGGCATCGAGGCCGCTGCGCCTCGACCGCGGCCCCTCCCTCTGCCGCCGGCGCCTCGCTGCCCGGGCGGCGGCGGCGTGAGCGCCGGGCCGGCGACGAGCGCGGCGTGGAGGCACGGCGCGCAAAACGCGTGGCCGCAGGCGGTGAGGGCGAGAGGCGAGGGCGCGCCGAAGCAGATTGGGCAGGTGAGGTTGGCGAGCGAGGGGAGCGAGGACGAGGGCGAGGGGGACGGGGTGGGGACGGTGGCGGGTGGCGCGGGCTTGAAGAGTGGAGGAGGGAGGGAGGTCGACGAGGAACGAGCACGAGCTTTGCCCTTGCCCTTGGCCCGGCTCTTGATCTTGGCCGTGCCCTCGTCCTTGACCTTGACGTCGTCGTCCTCGCCCGAGCCCGGCTCGGCGCCGACCCGCCGCTTCTTCCGCCGGCGCGACGAGACGGGCACCGACACGAGCAGCTCGCCCTCGCCGTCGCTGTCGTCGCCGTCGTCCGAGAGCTCGACCGCCGGCGTCCCGTCGCCGCTGCGACCCTCGAACAGCGACTCGCCCGGCCGGCGCCGCGTCCCGCCCGCGCCGTACACGATGCGCGGCAGGCCCGCGTCGTCGCCGTCGTCCGTCAGGTCGAGGACGGCGCCGGTCGTCGACGCCGCCGCCGCCGCCGCTGGCTCGGGGGACCCGCTCGCGCTCGCGCTCGCGCTCGCCCGGCGGCGCTTGCGAGTCGGGCGCACGACCTCCTCGGGCTCGTCAGGCTCCGTGTCCGGCTCGGCCTCGTCGTCGTCGCCGCTGCCGCCGCGAGGCGCGCTGCTCGGTCCCGCTCGCGGTGGCGCGACCTCGTCCTCCTCGGTGCTCGGCTCGGCGAGGTCGTCCTCGTCCGAGTCGGGCTCGCGGGGCGGGCCGTGAGCTGCCCTCGTGGTGGAGGTGCCGGCGGCGGTGGCGCTGGTGCTGATGCTGACGCTTGGGCGAGGTGCGGGTGCGGGGTGCGAGGACGAGTCGGATGAGGAGGAGGAGGACGGCGTCGACGACCGCTCGCGGTTGCGCTTGCCATCGCGAGCTGCAGCAGAACGCGAGCTGTCCATGGTCGGGTGAACTGTTTCCGTGCTCGACGGGCTGGTGGAGAGGTACGACGGGTGGAGGTGGGATGAGTGATGAGGATGCGGTGCGGCCGCAGCGGGGCAGGACGAGGCGGGGGCGGTAGGCGCGGGGCCGTGGGGGATCTGGTGGTGACTAGCGAGCTATGCACGCACTCGGCGAGGCGCTGAGAGGTCGTGAGGTGCGAGAGGAGGAACCAGCTCCGAGCCACTCCTCCCCGCTCGGCGACAACGACCCGAACCAGCTCGTCTCGCCTTCCTTTGCCTCTCTTGGGCGCTCTCGAAGGTGCAGTGCGAGCTTTAGTCTCCGTCAATACGCCTCGGGCACACGAAGCAGCGGTAGCAATCCTGCCCTCTCGCGAAAGCTCTCGCTCGCACTCTCGCTCGTCCTCTCGCTCGTCCGCGCCGTGCCATTGAGCTCGTCTGCATTGCGCACTGTATCTACATGTCGTCGGTCATCTGTGCAACGGGTCGAACGAGTCAGGAAGAGCGCACGAGCAGAGCCATGGAGACAACAAGGACGCACCTTCTTCCCGATCTCGGACCGCCACCCATGCGCGCCCTCAAAGCCGTTGGTCTCGCCGCGGTAGTCCATAAAGGTCTGCATGATCTCCTGTGGGGCGCGAGAGTAGGTGAGTGAGGGCGCTCGAGCAAGGAGAGGAAGGGAGAGTCGAGACGCACCTGCTGCGAGGTCATGACGAACGGGCCGTGCTGCACGACCGGCTGGTCGAGTGGCTCGCCGGCGACAAGCACAAAGCTCACGTCGTCGCTCGCCGCCTCGAGCCAGACGCCCGTCGTGCCCTCCTCGTTCGACAGGACCGCCGTGTGGTACTGCTCGATGGGCGCCGCGAGGGCGCCGCTCGACGTCGACGAGGACGATGAGGACGCGCCGACGCGAGTCAGGCCCTTGAGGGTATAGATCTGCGCGCGACGAGGAGCCGTCAGTAGGTGCGCAGGAAGGGGAAGGAGGAGAAGGGAAAGAGGACGACGTACGAAGGCGTTCCACCCGGCGGGCACCGGCTGCCACACGCGCTCGCCATTCTTGCCCATGACAAAGTGGAGGAACCAGCACCCGCCGAGCGGGCGCACGTTGCCCTTGACGAGGCCCTCGTCGGCCGACCCTTGCGCCTCGCCGCAGACGACCTTGATGGTCGTGTCGGGCGACGGGTGCGCAGAGCTGATCTCGGCCGCCTTGCGCTCCTGGTACGACGCCTCGACCATCTTGTGTTCCTTGGGCAGGTCGATCCAGCTGCGGGTGGACAAAGGCAAGGGAGAGAGTCAGGAAGGTGGAAAAGGACGAGGGAGGGAGGAACGGGCTCGAGCGACGCACAGCTGCAGGCCAACCGGGTCCTCCTTGCCGTGTCCATGCACAGGCATCTCGCTGTGCATGATGCCGCGACCGGCGATCTGTGGACGGTGAGGCGGGGAGTCAGGACGTCGTCGACATGCGAGGAGGCCGAGGGGGCGAGGACGACGCACCATGAACTGAAGGTCGCCGGGGCCGATGCGGCCCTTGTGGCCCTTGAAGTCCTCGTGCTCGAACTCGCCTGTGTGAGTAAGGGGGAGGGTCAGCTTCGAGGACGGGTACCGTGAGGCCTGGACGACGTTCGTAGGCTTACCAGCCAAGAGGTACGTGAGCGTCGTCATGCCCCGCTGCAACCGCAAGGAGTCAGCTTGGTAGGTCTGGAGGGAGAATAAGACAGAGGACGCACATGCGGGTGATCGGGGAAGCCGGCGCCCTCCTTGACGACGAAGCTGCGTGGGGGCAGGGGCGAGTGAGCGAAGGCCTCGCGCGGTACGGGCACGTGCAGGGGCTCACTTGTCGAGCATGAGGAACGGGCTGAAGTTGCGCAGGGCGGGCGTGCCGATCGAGCGGCGCACCATGGCCCCTGCGCCCTCGGGCGTCTCCTGCGTGAGGGGCAAAGAGGGGTCAGGTCGCTCGGGCGAGTTTGGGAGGGCGAAGGAGAGTAGACGCACACGAGCGAGGACCGTCTTGACAACTGAGCGCGAGATGTGGGCGACAGACATGGTCGACGGCGAGTTGGTTGAGGGGGAGGCGGAGCGAGAGGAGGAGGAGGAGAGGAGGAAGGCGGCGAGGGCAGCGACAAGGGCGACGGCGCAGGCGAGTGCGCGGTGCAAGTAAGCCACGGTGGCGTCGCTTTCAGAGGATGGCTGAGAGCACAGAGGGAGCCGAACGATGAGACGGCCGCTTCGACGAGCGATTGCCGTACGCGGCACTTTGCCAATCACGGCACGTGCGGCTGATCCTCTGTGCCGACGGGGGCTCGACTCGGCAATTCCTCCTCACTGCGTCACAACTCGCTCTCGCCGCGACCGCACACAAGCTCACAACTCGCACAGCTGCCCGCGCACCTCTGCCCAGCTACTCGGTGACCTCGTACGACCCCGCCGCCAATCCCGCCCCGCCCATCGCCATCGTCGCAGCGGCCCCCACCTCGACCCGACGCCGACTCGATGGCGACAGCCGCCGTGTGCACCCCTCGCGAGCACCCGCACACCCGCCTGCTCGAGCCTGGATGGCACCTGCCGACGCTCAATCCGCACCCGACGCCCTGCCCGAGCCGCTGCAGCCCTCGACCACCTTGTCGCGGCGGCCTCTCGACAAACAAGCGGCGCAAGCTCGGCGCAGCGGCACACTTCCGCCTGTTTGAGCAGCTTCCCGTCGAGCTCGTCGAGCGCATTGTCGGGCACCTCGACGTCGAGGAACTGTGGCGCCTGCGCCGCGTCAATCACGCCGTGCGCTCCCTTGCCTCCTCGTCTCGCACCCTCGTCCGTTCCCTGACTCTCCCTCTCTCACGAAACAGTTCTACGCTCTGCTGCAAGATCCTCGGCTCTACGGCGATGTCTCGATCCCTCACCTGCAACACCTCGACCCGCACCTCGTCGCCTTCCTCCCCTCGGTCCTGAGCGGTACCAGGCACTTCTCCTTGCGCTCCTGCCCCTCGTCCACCCTCTCGACGCTCCTCCCGGCGTGTTCCTCCCACCTCACGACGCTCGACCTGTCGTTCTCGGGCGTGCGCGACCTCGACCTCGTCGCCCTCGCCGGCCTTCCTGTTCTCGACGGGCCAGGGTCGACGGCGTCGCGGCGGCAAGGAGGAGCGCTGCAGAACTTGCGCGCCCTGCGCGTCAAAGGTTGTCGTCGGTTGTCGGCGTTCCTCGGGCAGCTGTGCCCGACCGACGGTGGTGCCGAGACGGCCTTCCCCTCCCTCGAGACGATCGACCTCTCGTGGTCCTCCCTCTCGCTCCTTCCCCTCCCCCTCTCGACGCACTTCCCTCGACTCGTCGAGTTCAACCTCAGCACGACCCCCTACCTCGCCCTGCCGCACCTCGCCGACGCGCTCGCCGACGTCCCGCCGCAACTCGCGCTCCTCGACCTCAGCCACCTCGGCCTGTGCGCCCGGGACCTGCGCGGGCTCGGCTCGGCGGCGGGCGACGCACACCTCGCCGCCGGCGACGCCGTGCTCGTTGGCGCATCGACCCGCAGCCCGGCGCGCTCGTCGCCGGCGATGGCAGGCGACGCTCGGCCCCCTCCTTCCCTTTCCTCCCCAGCGCGCCCGGCCCTCCACCTCGTCCTCTCGGGCAACGACGCCCTGACGCACCAGTCCCTCGCGGCGCTGCGGCACCACTGGGCGGCGCCGCACTCGCAGTGGGCCGGGCGCCGACCTGTTGAGGTCGAGCACAGCCCGGTCCTGCTCGAGAGCGACGACGAGGACGACGTGCGCCGGTTCGTCGAGATGGTGGCCGGCGTCGTCATGCGCGGTGAGGGCGAGGAAGAAGGGAGGAGGAGCAGAGGAGAACGAGGGCCCGAGGATGAGGAGGCCCGAGCACGGAGCGCGCTGTCTAGCCGATAGTCCTTTACCTCTCGTTCTTGCGATGCATCTACTCCCCTCTCGCATGGCAGATACACGAACGAGAGAAGAGAGAATAAAGTTGTCGCGCGTACGACTACAACAACACGCTGGATGCGTCTCCTCCTCGCTCGCTCGCTCCCGTCGGGCGCTCCTGCCCTGCCCAGCTCACCTTCGCCCGAGCCCTCCTGCTCCGAGCCCCATGCGCTCGAGCATCTCCCTCGCGCCGCTCGTTGGGAAATAGTCGCTCAGCTCGCTCGGCGCGCCCCCTCCACCGCTGCCGCCTCCTCCTCCGACGCCGAGCCCTCGAGCGGCGACAGCGGGCAGACTCTGCGTCGCCGCCGACGGCGCAAGGTGGCTGCTCCTCAGCGGCGACGTCGCCCGGCTGAGCGACGCTCGGGTGAGGGGCGCGCCCGGACGGCGAGGCGGGACCGTGCCCGGCGCTGCGGGCGTGTAGCCGCCGTAGCCCGAGCCCGAGCCCGCACCCACGCCGGACGACGACGACGACGACGCGACGCCGCTGAGGAGCGCAGGCGAGGGCGGGACCGAGTTGCGCGCGGGCGAGGCGGCCCGTGCGGAGCCGATGCGGTGCAGCCGCTTGCGGACCGCCTTGACCGGCTGTGCGGGTGGCGCCGAGCCAGGCCTGCCCGGCATGGCGCCTGCGCCGTGCACGAGCGCGACGCGGCCCGTCCCGGGCGCAGAAGGCGCCATCCTCGCCGCGCCGGACGAGATCCCGCTCGCCGAGGTCGAGTACGGCGCGCTGCGCGCCGTGACGTGGGCGTGGTCGCGCGTGAAGGGCGACAGCGTCTGGTTCGAGCTTGTGAGGGTCGCGAGGTGCGCGCACGAGTCGTTGCCCGACGGGTTGAGCGTGATCGGGAGGTGCTCCTCGTCGAGGAAGGACGTGTTGAGGACCGACGACGGCGAGCGCGACAGGAGGTCGATCGGCGAGGGGCGCGAGTAGGCGAGCTGAGGAGGGTCGTCGGGATCGTCGGCGGGTGGTCGAGAGCGAGAAGGAGGAGGAAGGGCGGGAGAAGGGAGGCTCGAGGGTGGGGACGAGTAGGCCGACGGGTCGTTCGAGCGCAAAAAGGGCGTGCGCGCGTACTCGGACGAGGTCGACATGGACGACGACGACCGGCGGTGCTGGAACGCCTTGGACGGGTACCGCGACAGGCTCGGGAGCGACGTGTTGCGCACGAGCGACGGCGACGCGCTGCCCGGGTACGCCGGCGGCGGCGGCCCGCCGTACTTGGGGAACGGGAAGTGCGCGCTCGACGCGCCCGAGAGCGACGGTGCCCGGAAGCGCGACTCGAGGCCGGCGAGCTGCCCGAACGACGCCGACCGGCCGAGCCCGACCGTCGAGGTCGACGACCCGCCGGCGGCGCTCCTCGCCGTGACGGACGACGGGCTGCCGTGCGCCGACATCGAGCCCGTCGAGCCCGTGCGCGGTCGCATCTGCGACTGCGTGTGGAACACGCGCGGGCGCGTGATGGTGCCGCCGCCGACGGCCGGGATCGTCTCGAGGTGGTGGTGGTGGTGGTCCTGGAGGCCGAGGCGGTAGTCGAGCGAGTCGAGCGACGCCCGGCCTCGCTTGTCGGCGGCGATGTCGCGCAGGTCAAAGGCGAACGGGTCGTCGTCGAGGTCGCCGGGCCGGCGTCGGGCCGCGAACGGGTCCTCCTCGTCGACAAGGTCGGCCTCGTCGGCGTCCTCGCTCACCTCGAGCACGTCCCCGAGCCCTCGGCGAGACGCACCCGCCTTGACCGTGCGCTCGTAGTCGCCGAAGCCGGCGTGGTGCGGCAGGGCGTCGGGCCTCAGGCCGTAGGTCGGGTCGTAGTTCTCGATCGACTCGGGGACCGAGTCGAGCTGGTCGTGCCGTACCGCCGCGCTCGCCGCCGACGCCGAGGTGGCCGCTCGTCGCAGGCTCGGCGACCGGCCGTACGACGCTCCCCCTGCGCCGCCGCCGCTCCCGCTCCCGACCGACGACGAGCCCATGCGGTTCTCGCCCCAGGTCGACCAGCTCGAGTCGGCCTGGCTGCCGAGCTCGACGCTGTCGCCACCGTCGGCGTCGCTCATGCCGCTCATGCGGCGCGACAGGCCTTTGCCGCGCACGGCGCCGTCGTGGCCTGGCTCGTACGCCGTGCGCGTCTCGATCTTGGCGTCGCGGCTGAACCCTTGTGCGAGGCCGCCTCGGGCGCGCTGCGGGATCGTGTCGGCCGCCTTGCCCGCGCTCTTGACCTCGCCGCTGAGCCACTTCTGGCTCAGGCGGTGGATGACGCTCGGCAGGTCCGAGCGGAACGCCTCGCGGAGCTGGTTCTCGATCTCGCGCTGGATGAAGCCCGCGACCGAGTCGACGCCGTCGAACGACGACGAGACGTTGACCGACTCGAGCGGGTCGTTCTTGAACACGAGCGTGATGCCCTTTTGCCGCGACACGACGAGGACGACGATGGCGCGCAGCGACAGGTTCGACAGGCGCAGCGTCATCGGGACGACGAGCGGGGCGGCCGCGAACAGGATGCGGGGCGAGCTGAGGATGTCGAGTGAGGGTCGAGGAACGTTGAGCGGGTTGGCCTGCGTGCGCGAGAGAGGGTGAGCTCGTCGTCCGCTTTGGGGCGGCACCGTCGGGAGAGGAAGGGGGAGGAGCGCACCTGAACCTTGGTCTGGAGGACGATGTAGGCGTCGCCCGAATAAGTGAGGCGAAAGATGCCGCGAAACCGGTCGGTCGACAGGTCGCCAATCTCGAGGATCTCGAGCTCTGGCGGCTGCGTCCGGGGGGAAGGTCAGTCCGGGTCGAGGCTCAAGAGGGAGGCTGCGGGGAGGGCACGCACAATGGTCCCCATGTTGAGCTCCTTGACCTCGATGCGGTCGGCGATGATGGGCGGCTTCTGGCCCTTGTTGAGCGCCTGCGAGGGAGGAACCGAGGAGGGGAAGGCCGAGACCAGTCAGGGCACTTCAAAGCTTGCTGTAGGACGTGCTGAACCGCTTGAGACCACCTTCCGCCGCAGCATCGAGTGCTGCGCGCCCTCGTTCTCCTCGAGTCGCCGGCTGCTGATGAGGGAGAGAAACACGGGGCGCACCTGGGCGAGCATCTCGCGCGCGTCGGCGTAGAAGTCGTCGCTGAACTGCGGCCACTCAAAGTTGAACGACATGGGCGCACACGCAGCCCCGAGGCGCGGTCGGTGTCGAGCAGAGCTGGGCGATGAGCGCGAGAGGGGCGGTGCCCGGTCGGCGGGAGGCGATGCCGGTCGGCAGGCGGGGTGCTGGGTGCCACAGCGAGGTGTGCGGGGCTCTTGCTGCTCTGGCGTGCGCTGCAGGCGGTTGTGGGCGAGGGCCGGGTGCGGAGACGATCCAGAGCCGGAGCGGCAGAGCTGCTTCCCCTCTGGCCTTGCAGAGCGCTCGCATCTGTATCTTTCCGGGCAGAAGGAGTGCAACTACACTCTCAGATATCACTGCGTGCCCTGCCGAGCGTCGGCAGCCCCGACTAAGGCCGCGTCGACCGGGTGAACTCGAGTGCCTCGCTCGCGCAGCAAGCCGTCTCGGCGACTCTACACTGCAGCTGGGCTATCGCCGGCTCGTGAGCCCCATCTGTAGCTATTCCAGACTAGACTGCCCGAGCGAGAAAGGTAGCGCGGGACGTGACGAGAGCGTTCAAGGCTGGTCGAGAGCGAGGTGGGCGAGGTCCGCTATGGCCGAGCCCAGCAGCGCTCGTTGCGCGGTACAAGCAGGCGCAGGCCGCTTTGAAACCATTGCAGAGGCAGGCAGCTCAAAGAGTATCGCGGAAAGACGCGTTGTGCTCGAGAAGCGACTCGAGAGGGAGTCGAGCGAGGTGGAAGCGGTCGGAGGCGCGCAGGCTCGCAGCCCCTCATCGCACCGTTGCCGCTAAAAGCAAGACGTGGAGGTAGCCATGGTTCGTCTGAGCATAGTGAGCGAGCCCGCATAGCCTAGCCGAGCGAGACGAGGGCGAGAGAAGGCCGAGAGAGGGTCGAGGTTGGACGCGACCTGGGCCGGCGAGACGAACGCTCGCCTCGAGCAGCCCCTCGCTCTGGCAGCAACACGCCCACACCTCGCCCCACACCCCTCTGGGCACCTCGCCGACTCGTCCACCAGCTCACCGAGACCCGACATGGGTCCACCGAGCTCGAGCAGCGCCGGCAGGGCTTCCTCAAGGCCCGCCCTCCCCGGCACCTTTGGCCAGGGCTCCCCGCTCGAGGGCCAGAGCTTCGAGACCATCGCCGACAAACTCAAGGACAACTCGCTCGGTCCGTCTCCCCCTCTCTCCACCCTCTACAGCGCGAGGTGACCTCGTCCACCTCGACCCGAACCTGACCTCTCTCGCTCGACCACACCCAGACTTCAAGGTCAAGACCAACCTCGCCACCGAGCTGCGCGATGTCATCGACATGTACCAGAAGGACCTCGACCTCGGCCGCCTGTTCGAGGTCCTCCTCCCCTGCTTCACCGACATCCTCAGGACGGGCAAGCCGTCCTTCGTGTCGACCTCGGGCGAGCACGTGAGCCTCCTCTCGCCTTGGGTTTCTGCTGCACGACGACGACGTCACCGAGCAGCGAGCTGACCCAAGCCGTCCCCCCACCCGCAGAAACTGCGCAACCTCCTCATCCAGATCCTCCACCGCCTGCCGCATGTCGAGCCGCTGCGCCAGCACGCCTCGTCCCTCATGTCGCTCCTCCTCCAGCTCCTGCGCGTCGAGTCCGAGGACAACGCCGTCCTGTGCATGAAGGTCATCATCGACCTGCACCGCACCTACTCGCGCCCGCCGCCGCCCTCGTCGTCGCAGCCCGTCCCCGACGGCACGCCCGACCCGACCGTCGCCCAGATCGAGGCGAGCGTCGACGAGTTCCTCGAGATCGTCGCCGACCTGTTCAAGAACATGGGCAGCGTCGTCGAGGAGACGTTCCGCGACTCGCGCCAGACGCGCTCGCAAGGACCGGCCGGGTCCGGCGCCCAGAGCGACGCCCAGTCGCCGTCGTCGGTCGGCCCGCCGAGCATCGAGGGCGAGGGCGGCGCCGGCGGCGGTCCCGTCGTGCACGCGCCGGCCATGCGCAGCTTCAAGCTCCTCCAGGACTGCCCGGCGTCAATCGTCTTCATCTTCCAGACGTACCGCCCGCTCGTCAACAAGGCCATCACGATCTTTGTCCCGCTCGTGTTCGAGTTCATCCAGATGCAGGCCGAGCCGCAGCGCCGCAAGCACGAGTCAATGGACCCGGGCAAGTCGTGGGTCGGCATCTGCCCCGAGATCCCCAAGGACAAGCGCGGCGCGTTCCAGGACATGGTCATGGCCCAGACCAAGGTACGTCCTCGCCCTCTCTCTCGCTCCTCTCGAGAAGCGTCGACCTGACGCCGTTGCCTCCCCGACGCAGACGATGTCGTTCCTCGCCTACATCCACCGCGTGTCCAACACGGCGCTCCAGGCCTACCTCAACGTCCTGCCCGAGATCGCTGTGCGCCTCATGAAGGACTGCCCGTCCGAGGCCGTCTCGATGAAGCGGGTGCGTCGACTGTTCGCCCTTGCGCTGCGAGCGCCCGGACCCCTTGCTCACTCGCGCCTCGTCACCTCGCAGGACCTCATCATCGCGACGCGGCACATTCTCCAGAGCGACCTGCGCACGGCGTTCCTGTCGCAGATCGACACGCTCCTCGACGAGCACGTCCTGACGGGCAACAGCGTCACCGGCCACGAGAACCTGCGCCCGCTCGCCTTCTCGATGCTCGCCGACCTCATCCACCACTGCCGAGCCGACCTCACCCTCCCGCAACTGTCGCGCGTCGTCCACACCTACTGCGCCAACGTGCACGACCCGACCCTCGCGAGCGCGATCCAGACCATGTGCTCCAAGCTCCTCCTCAACCTCATCGACCCGATCGCGAGCAAGGAGCCACAGGAGGCCGTCAAGATCCTGCAGCGCATCCTCCTCGCCTTTGTCGCGCGCATGGAGGCCATGGCCGAGGTGCGCGACGAGTGGGCCAAGTGGAGCAAGGGCCGCGAGCCGCTCGCCGTCACGGTCGACAAGGTGCGCGAGCGCGAGACGGACCGCCGCGCGTGGGCCGCGAGGAGGAAGGACAAGGGCAAGGGCAAGGCGATCGAGGGCGACGGCGACGAGGACGAGCAGATGGAGGACGGCGACGCGGCGGCGTCGGCGACGGCGACGGTCAAGGCGGGCGGCGCGGCCAAGGCCAAGGCCAAGGCCAAGGGCAAGGGCAAGAAGGTCGACAACGGCGACGACGAGGGCGACGTCAAGATGGACGTCGACGGCGACGAGGCGACCAAGGACGGCGACGACCAGGGCGACGAGGACAGCAAGAAGCGCAAGATGGCCGGCGAGGAGGCCGACCCGTCCGCCTCGACCTCGAACTCGAAGAAGGCCGGCGCAGGCGCCGCCGCCGCCGCCGCCGACGAGGACGACGAGCCCGCCGAGCTCGCGCTTGACGACGTCGACATCGAGCGCGCAAAGCCCATCAAGAAGGCCGTCGTCATGGTCGACCCGGGCCCTGACCCGGTCAAGGACGCCCGGTTCCTGTACCGCAACCTCCTGTTCGGGTTCAAGACGCTCGGGCTCGCGCTCAACCGCATGGGCGGCCAAGGGCCCGACGCCGAGCTCATGTGCCGGTTCTTCGACGCCGCCGTCAAGTGCATGGTGCTGTTCGACCCGGCGCGCGACCAGGGCCGCGAGCAGAAGGAGGTCATGGAGGTCCTCACGTCGACGCTCGTCCAGACCGAGCTCGTCATCTTCCAGGAGGTCATCGAGAGCCGCATGGGCTTCTTCTTCGACGAGCTCATCCGGGTGCGTCCTCGCCCTCTTCCTCTTTCTCCTCCTCCCTCGGCTTCTGAGACTGACCTTCGTCCCTCCCTCTCTCCTCGCCCTGCAGAACCACGAGCTCCTCGTCATCCCGCAGTCGCTCCTGTCGAACGAGAACGTGTCGCAGCACTTTGTCGCCATCCTGTTCCGGTTCCTGTCGGCTCGCCTCCCCGACCTCGGCAACAACCACAAGGAGAACACGAGCGTCATGCTGCGCCTGTACAAGATGTCGTTCATGGCCGTCACCATCTTCCCGGAGAAGAACGAGCCGGTCCTGTTGCCGCACCTGTCGAACCTCATCATGAACTCGCTCAAACTCGCGAGCCAGGCGGCCGAGCCCAACTCGTACTACCTCCTCCTGCGCGCCCTATTTCGGTCGATCGGCGGCGGCCGGTTCGAGATCCTGTACAACGAGGTCCTGCCGCTCCTGCAGACGCTCCTCGAGCAGCTCAACGCGCTCCTCAAGTCGGCCGACAAGTCGCGCAAGGACCTGTTCGCCGAGCTCATCCTCACGGTCCCCGTCCGCCTCTCGGTCCTCCTCCCCTACCTGTCGTACCTTATGCGGCCCCTCGTCCACGCCCTCCAGGCGGGGAGCGAGCTCGTCAGCCAGGGCCTGCGCACCCTCGAGCTGTGCGTCGACAACCTCACGCAAGAGTTCCTCAACCCGCTCTTTGCGCCCGTCATCGACGAGGTCATGGTCGGCCTGTGGCGCCTCCTGCGCCCGCTCCCGTTCAACCACCAGCACGCGCACACGACGATGCGCATCCTCGGCAAGATCGGCGGCCGCAACCGCAAAGGGTTCGACCCGCCCAAGCTCGAGTGGAAGCCGGTCGGGCCCGAGGCGCTCCTCAACGTCAAGTTTGAGGGTAAGGACGCGGCAATCCGGATCGGGCCCATCGTCGACGTCGCCCTCAAGATCATCAAGCGCGGCGACGTCCACTACCGCCGCGTCGCGTACCAGTTCCTCAAGTACTCGGTCGCGTGCTTCCTCCGCCAGGTGCGTCCTCGTCCTCTGTGCCCGTCACAGGCTCGCGAAGCTCACCCTCGTGCCGCCTCTCCCTCTCTCCCTCTCTCTCTCTCTCTGCAGGGCCTCCCGTCGGGCGAGCCCGAGACGACCTTTGGCAGCGTCCTCAAGGGCCTGTACGACGCGACCCGGGTCGACGACTTTGCCGACGAGGCCAACAAGTACATGCTCGACCTCGCGCGCCTCATCTTCGCGTTCGAGCTCGGCAAGGACCTGCCCGAGAACCCGGTCCAGGCGCGCCAGTCGATGCCCCTCTCGTCGGCGTTCGTCGACGCCGTCATCGAAAACCTGTGCACGGTCGAGACGCCCGACCTGAGCAAGGCGGCGGCGCAGACCAAGGCCGTCATCGAGGTCCTCATCTCGCGCCGCACGGTCGACGCCGCCGGCGTCAGCGGTCGCCTCGACGCGGCGACGTCGCTCCTGCACCAGATGGGCTCGCGCCTCGCGTCGCACTGCTACGACCCGTCGTGGCAGCGCAAGACGGGCGCCGCGAGGGGCATGTCGCTCCTCATCTCGGACGTCGGCGTCGAGACCAAGTGGGTCATCGAGCACGAGATCGAGTTCACGCGCGCTCTCCTGTTTGCGCTCAAGGACATGCCCGGCGAGGCGCCGTCCAACGCCGACATGGTCGTCGACACGCTCCTCCACCTCGTGCGCGTGTGCAGCAAGACGACGACGCCCGAGGAGAAGCAGGCGTCGCGCACGACCCTCAACTACCTCGTCGGCCTCCTCCTCGTCGAGGTGAGCAGCCAGGTCGCGCCCGTCCGCGACGCCGTCAAGCGCGCGCTCAAGATCGTGTCCGAGGAGGAGGGCAAATCTCTCACCGAGATGCTCACGCCCGTCAAGGACCGCCTCCTCGGCCCCATCTTCACCAAGCCCCTGCGCGCGCTCGGCTTCACGATGCAGATCGGCCACATCGACGCCGTCACGTACTGCATCACGCTCGACCCGCCCCTGATCGAGGTCGACGACCAGCTCGTGCGCCTCTTGCACGAGGCGCTCGGCATCGCCGACGCCGAGGACGTCGCGCTCCTCGGCGGCAAGATCACGAGCAAGACGACGGCGCCGCTCACGCAGCTGCGCGTCGTCTGCGTCCAGCTCCTGTCGGCCGCGCTCGCCAACCCGCAGCTCAACACGCCGCCGTACAATCAGACGCGGATCCGCGCCCTGTCGGTCTACTTCAAGCTCCTGTACTCAAAGGCGCCCGAGGTCGTCGACGCGGCGTACCAGAGCCTCAAGCAGGTCATGCTCGCCCAGGGCAAGCTCCCCAAGGACCTCCTCCAGACCGGCCTCAAGCCCGTCCTCATGAACCTCGCCGACCACAAGAAGCTCTCGGTCGCCAGCCTGCACGTGCGTCCCGCGTCTCGTTCTCTCGCACACACAAACACACACACGTCGGCTCGCTCGACGCGCCCTCACGTCGACCGTCCTGACCCTCGTCCCTCACCCCTCCCTCCCTGTCCTCCCTCTCGCGCAGGGTCTCGCCCGCCTCCTCGAGCTCCTCACCAACTACTTCAAGGTCGAGATCGGCCAGAAGCTCGTCGACCACTTCCGCAGCCTCGCCGTCCCGGCCGACATCCTGCGCGCGACGGCCAAGCAGCCCTCGGAGGACGGCGAGCTCGAGGTCATGGCCGCCATCACCAACATCTTCCACCTCCTGCCGCACCCGGCGGCCGGCCAGTACCTCGACGACGTCATCGAGATGGTGGTCCAGGTCGAGCGCCTCCTCAAGAAGCTCAAGGCGAGCATCTTTACGCCGCCGCTCGCCAAGTTTCTCGCGTTGCACCCCGAGAAGGCGACCATGTTCTTCTTCGGCCGCCTCGCCGAGGAGCGTTACGTCCCAACGTTCCGCGCCATCCTCGCGTCCGAGCACGCGCAGCCGATCCGCGACTGGATCGAGGCCAACGCCGAGTCGCTCATCCAGCCGTGCCTCGACAAGGACGGCGACGTCGGGTACCACGCGGCGCTCGTCATCCGCGAGCTCGCCGGCGTCGACGCTCGGTGGCTCGTGCGCTGCGACAAGGTCCTGCCGGCGCTCATCACGCGGTGGGTGTCCGACATCCGCCGCACGCGCCTGCGCCGGCAAGGGCTCCCGCACGTCCAGCAGCTCAAGGAGGACGCCGTCGTCGTCGAGGTCTTTACGGGCTACCTCGAGCAGGTCGAGCACATCGACCTCCTGTTCCACCTCGTCGAGGCGTACACCTACCTGACGTCGGCCGACCACACGGCCCTGTCGCGGTTCCTCAACCGCCACGTCGCGCTCAGCACGGGCGTCGAGTTTCGCCGCCAGGTCCTCGACCGGTTCCTCGACATCTACGAGAACCCGGTCGTCAAGAGCGCGCACAAGTCGGCGGCGCTGCGCCTGCTCGTCAACCCGATCCTCCTCGTGTCGCACTCGCGCGGCGAGCGCGAGGAGGGCCTCCTCGACGCGTCGTTCGTCACCAAGGTGCACGCCAAGGTGTGGCACCCGCTCGTCCAGCCGCCGAGCGAGTTCGGCACGCTCGACGACGAGGAGCTGCGGGTCGAGCTGTGCCACATGTCGACGATCCTCATCCGCACGGCGCCCAAGCTCCTCGACGCCGTCAAGAAGGACGTCATCAAGTTCGGCTGGATGAGCATCCGGTTCGACGACATCACGGTGACGCAGACGGCCTACATCCTCATCGCGACGTTCCTCGCCGCGTACGAGTCGCCGGCCAAGATCGTCGGCCAGATCTACGTCGCCCTCCTGCGCGCGCACCAGCCCGAGGCGCGCCAGCTCGTCCGCGAGGCGCTCGACATCCTCGCGCCGGCGCTCCCGCAGCGCATGCCCGGCGGCGCGCCGTCGGCCCCGGGCCAGATCCCCGGCTGGGCCTACTTCACGCGCAAGACGCTCATCGAGGAAGGGTCGACCATGTCGCTCCTCGTCAACATCTACCAGCTCATCGTCCGCCACCCCGACCTGTTCTTCGTCGCGCGCGACCAGTTCTTCCCCCACATCGTCGCCTCGCTCGCCAAGCTCACCCTCAGCTCGACGACGACCGACACGCGCGTCCTCACGCTCGACGTCATCGAGGTCATCCTCAAGTGGGAGAAGAAGCGCGTCGAGCTCGCCAAGCAGGACGAGGCGCGCATGGACGTCGAGGGCCCGAGCGGCACTGCCGCCGCCCCCGACGCCGACGCCGGCGCCGCCGTCGAGCGCTCGCCCAAGCGCACCAAGACCGAGCGCGGCGCGTCGCGCGCCCCGTCGACGGCGAGCAGCAGCGCAAACGCGACCTACGTCCCGCCCCAGTCGCTCCGGGACCAGGTCGTCAACAACCTGCTGCGGTTCATCTCGAACTCGCAGGAGCCGGTCCAGCGCAACAACCTCGTGTACCGCGCCCTCGCCCTCTTGCGCGAGCTCATCGGGCCGGGCGTGTGGGGCGAGAGCAACGTCAAGCTGTCGTTCTTCCAGCGCACGTTCGCCCACGACGTGACGGACGAGACGCTCAGCCAGCTGTGCAACTCGGCCGAGGTCCTCAACGTCGTCAGCTCGTACAAGCCGTCCGAGTGGCACGTCCAGAACGTCGCCGTCCTGCACGGCATCGTCGAGAAGGGCTTCACGAGCGGCGAGATGCGCCTCACGTCGAGCCTGCGCCCCGTCGTCGAGCGCCTGTTCGACCACCTGCCGCGCAACGTGACGGCCGACTCGACCGACGTGCCGCCGGCCGCCAAGGCGTTCATCGAGTGGGCGCGCACCACGGTCGACGAGGGCCTGCGGGCCATGTACAACCTGCCGGCCGTCATCCTCATCCTCCAGTCGTGGTCCAAGGTCGAGCCCGAGCGCATCGACGGCTTCGTGCCGGCCCTGATCCGCGTCTTTACGCGGTACCTCAAGGAGCACACGGCGTCGACGACGGTCGTCTCGTCGGTCGACCCCAACCTGCGCCTCCTCGTGTCGAGCCTCGACGTCCTGCGCCAACGCGTGTCGCACCTCGGCGAGCAGCGGCGGTGGTTCCTGAGCGGCATCGTGCAGCTCGTCGAGAAGTCGAGCAACATCGACGTGTGCCGGTTCCTCCTCCAGATGGTCCGCAAGTGGGTCTTTGACAAGGACGAGCCGTTCCCGACGCTCAAGGAGAAGGCCGGCATCCTCGCCAAGATGACGGCGTTCGAGAACCGCAACAGCGAGGCGCTCCAGAAGGACTTCCTCAACCTCATCCTCGACGTCTACACCGACCCGGCCCTCGCGCGCAGCGAGCTCACGCTCCGCCTCGAGCCCGCCTTCCTCATGGGCTGCAAGGTCCGCGACCCGGTCATCCGGTCCAAGTTCCTCGCCACGTTCGACAAGAGCCTCGCGACCGGCCTGTTCAGCCGCCTGCACTACATCCTCGGCGTCCAGAGCTGGGAGACGCTCTCCGAGACGTACTGGATCCACCAGGCGCTCGACCTCCTCCTCGGCGCCGTCGACACCAAGGACCCGCTGTTCGTCCCCGGCGCGTCGCTCGAGGGCGTCAAGGACGCGCCCGTCGACTTTGCCGAGCAGCTCGAGTCGTACTCGACGGGCGAGCTCCTCGCCGCAGCGCGCAAGCTCCTGTACGCCGACCCCAACGCGACGCACGCGACGTGGATCTCGACGTTCAAGACGGCGTGGTCGTGCCTCGCCCGGCCCGAGCAGCGCCACCTGACCGAGTTCCTGGTGTCGCTCCTCGTCAAGGAGTACCACCTGCGCAGCGTCGACCGCCGCCCCAACGTCATTCAGACGCTCCTCCAGTCGGCGTTCGCGTGCTCGCCGGCGCTCGTCCTCCCGCCGCACGTCGTCCGGTATCACGCTCGCACGTTCAACGCCTGGTACACCGGCATCGAGCTCCTCCAGGACACGCTCGAGAACCCGCGCGAGTCGGACCCGGTCAAGGAGACGGCCATGGACGCCCTCACCGAGCTGTACGCCGAGCTGAGCGAGGACGACCTCCTGTACGGCCTGTGGCGTCGTCGCGCCGCGTACAACGAGACGAACTCGGCCCTCAGGTGCGTCCTGTCCCTCTCTCTGCCTCTCCCCGTGTCCCTCGCCGTCTCACGAGGGGCTCGAGCGCTTACTCTCTCTCGCCGTCGCCGCCGTCGCAGCTGGGAGCAGATCGGCCAGTGGGGCCAGGCGCAGGTCCTTCACGAGTCGGCCCAGATCACCGCCCGCAGCGGCGTCATGCCGTTCACCGAGTCCGAGCTCGCCTTGTGGGAGGACCACTGGATCAACACGGCGCAGAAGTTGCAGCAGGTGCGCCCCCCTCTCTCTCTCTCTCTCTCCCTTCTCGAGCATGCGCTCCCTCTCTCGCTCGACATGAGCGCCCTCACTGACCTTCTTTCTCCTTTCCGCCCTCGCAGTGGGACGTTCTGAACGAGTGCGCCTGACGTTCCTCCCTCTTTCGCGTTCGCGAATGCCGCAGGGAGAGCTCGCGACTGACCCTCTCTCGCGTTCCTCCCCCTCCTCCCTCTCTCCCTCTCTCGTCGCCTCTCGCGCCCGTCCCTCCCTGTGCAGCATGGCCAAGAACGAGGGCAACAAGGAGCTCCTCCTCGAGTGCGCGTGGCGGCTCGCCGACTGGAACCAGGAGCGGCCCATGATCGAGGACGCCCTGTCGTCGATGAACCCGGTCCCGACGCCGCGCCGGCGCGTGTTCGAGACGTACCTCGCGCTCCTCGCCGCCTACTCGGCCAAGACGCAGGACGAGGCGACCGCCGCCAAGAAGGCGTTCGCCAAGCTGTGCGACGAGGGCGTCCAGCTGTCGCTGCGCAAGTGGTACTACCTGCCCGAGACGGTGACGCAGGCGCACTACCCGCTCCTGCAGACGTTCCAGCAGTTTGTCGAGCTGCAGGAGACGCAGCAGATCTTTGCGAGCCTCGCCGGCACCAACGCCAACAACCTCGACACGCGGTCCGCCGAGCTCAAGAGCATCGTCGGCACGTGGCGCGACCGCCTCCCGAACCTGTGGGACGACATCAACGTGTGGAGCGACCTCGTCGCGTGGCGCCAGCACGTCTTTTCGGCCATCAACAAGGCGTACCTGCCGCTCGTGCCGCCGCCGAACGCGCCGGGCGCGCCGCAGAACGCGAGCTCGTTCGCGTACCGCGGCTTCCACGAGACGGCCTGGATCATCAACCGGTTCGCCCACGTCGCGCGCAAGCACCACCTGAACGAGGTGTGCATCACGTCGCTCACCAAGATCTACACCCTGCCCAACATCGAGATCCAGGAGGCGTTCCTCAAGTTGCGCGAGCAGGCCAAGGCGCACTACCAGAACCCGTCCGAGTTGGCGTCGGGCCTCGAGGTCATCAACAACACGAACCTCATGTACTTCAACGGCCCGCAAAAAGCCGAGTTCTTCACGCTCAAGGGCATGTTCCTCGCCAAGCTTCACCTGCACGACGAGGCCAACCAGACGTTCAACCTCGCCGTCTCGATGGACATGAGCTTCCCCAAGGCGTGGGCAGAGTGGGGCGAGTACCACGACCGCATGTTCAAGGAGAACCCGGCCGACCTCACCATCGCCGCCAACGCCGTCAGCTGCTACCTCCAGGCCGCCGGCCTGTACAAGAGCGCCAAGGTCCGCAAGCTCCTCGTCCGCATCCTGTGGCTCCTCAGCCTCGACGACGCCGCCGGCACCATCTCCAAGGCGTTCGACAACTACAAGGGCGAGATCCCGACGTGGTACTGGATCACGTTCGTGCCGCAGCTCCTCCTCACGCTCTCGCAGCGCGAGGCGCGCTACGTCCGTGTCATCCTCCTCAAGATCGCCAAGACCTACCCGCAGGTGCGTCTCTCTCTCCCTCTCTCCCTCCCTCTCTCTCCCTCTCTCTCCTTCTCTTTGGCCTCCCCTCGACACTGGCGGCGACGGCGACTGACCCTCGTCCTCGGTCGCGCACGCAGGCCCTCTTCTTCCAGCTCCGCACGACCCGCGACGACCTGTCGCTCGCCAAGCGCCAGTGGCAGGCGCAAGAGCACGCCAAGATGCAGCAGCTCAAGCGCCAGCAAGAGCAGCAGGCGGCGGCCAACGGCGAGGCGCCTCCTGTCGCCGACTCGTCCGAGGGCGGCGGCGTCGACGGCGCGCCGAGCATCGTCACGCCCGGCGGGACGCAGGTCGCAGGCGCACCCGCACCCGGTCCGCGCCACCCGTGGGACTACATCGATGAGATCATGGCGGTCCTCAAGACGGCGTTCCCGCTCCTCGCCCTCTCGATGGAGATGATCGTCGACCAGATCTCGAGCCGGTTCAAACCGACGCCGGACGAGGACATCTACCGCCTCATCAGCGCCCTCCTCGCCGACGCCCTGTCGCAGTACATCCAGCGCGCCCAGAACCCGGCCGACGACGGCCTCCTGCCGCAGACGACCAACACCAACATCGCCCGCTTCGCCGAGAGCCTGCACCCGACGCACGTCAAGGTGCGTCCTCCTCCCTCTCTCTTCTCGTCCTCTCTCTCGTCGACGCCGACGAGCTCACCCATCTCGCCCGTCGTCCTCCCCTCGCAGGCCCAGTTCGAGAAGGACTTCCTCACGACCAAGCCGACGCTGCGCGAGTACGTGCAGCGCCTGCAAGACTGGCGTGACCGGTACGAGTCGATGCTCAACAAGAAGCCCAAGCGCGCGAGCCTCGAGGCGTCGTCGCACTGGCTCGTCGAGTTCCAGTACCAGAAGTTCGACGAGATCGAGGTCCCGGGCCAGTACCTCCAGCACGAGGACAACAACAACAACTTCGTGCGCATCAGCCACTTCGCCAACAAGTACGACGTCAACCGCGGCACGGGCGTCTACTACCGCCGCCTCACGATCCTCGGCCAGGACGGCAGCGTCCACCAGTTCATGATCCAGATCCCGGCCGTCCGCACTTCTCGTCGCGAGGAGCGCATCATGCAGCTCTTCCGCATGCTCAACTGGTGCGTCCTCGCCTCCTCCTTCCTCCTCCTCGTCGTCGTCGTCGTCGTCATCGGCGGCGGCTGACCTTGGTCTCTCTCCCTCGCAGCACGCTCGCCAACCGCAAGGAGTCGCGCAAGCGCAACCTGCAGTTCACGATCCCGGTCGTCGTCCCGCTTTCGCCAAGCGTCCGCATCATCGAAAACGACGCGTCCATCACGTCGATGCAGGAGATCCTCGAGCAACACTGCGACGAGCTCGGCCTTCGCAAGGAGGACCCGATCCTCGCCGTCACCGAGCGCCTGCGCACCCTGCACCGCCAAGAGCCACCTCTCGACGTGCGTCCCTCCTCCCTTTCTCTCTTCCTTTCCCTCCTCGCCGCCGGCACTGACTCTCGTCGACGAGCGTCCGCAGAAGGCCCAGATTTGGAGCGCTCGGCAAGAGATCCTCGACGAGGTCGCCTGCAAGATGGTGCCCGACGACGTCCTCAAGAAGGTGCGTCTCTCTACAGTTCTCGTCGTCGCTGTGCGAGAGACGGCGTCCTGACTCTCTCGCGCTCGCAGTACCTGGTCCGGTCGATGTCGAGCTCGAGCGACCTGTGGCACCTGCGCAAGCACTTAAAACCTTAGAGGCTATTTAAGTTGCTGATTTATATTAATTTTATTGTTCAAACATGAGAGCTTAGTACGTGAAACATGAGAGGTCAACCGGCAAGCTGTACACGTCCGACATGGTCCCTTGTGCGTCTCTTGCTCCTCCTCTTCCTCCTCGCCGTTCTCCCTCACTGACTCGCTCTTCGGCAGCCATCGTCCCGGGCAAGCCCGAGCTGTTCCACAACGAGCCGGTCCCGTTCCGCTTCACGCCGAACTTCCAGCGCTTCATCGGCCCGCACGGCACCGAGGGCCTCCTCACGAGCTCGCTCATGGCCATCGCCCGCGCTCTCACCGAGTCCGAGGTCCGTCCCTCTCTCTCTCTTCCCTCCAGCTCGACGCCGTCCTGACCCTGCGTCATCCCTGCAGTACGACCTCGAGCACCGCCTCTCGATCTTTGTCGGCGAGGAGATCCGGACCTGGTTCGCCATGTCCAAGACGGAGCCACGCGCCAACCTGCGCGACTACATGCTCGGCGCCGTCGACAACGTCACGCGCAAGGCGCGCGTCCTCTCGTGCAAGCTCGAGCGAGAAAAGGTGCGTCCCTCTGCCCTCTTCCTCTTCGTCTGCGCGCCTGAACGTGACTGACGTGTTCTCGCCCCGCACCTCGCAGCCTCCGAGCGCGGTCACGCCCGTGTGCGCCTCGATCACGCAGTTGCTGCTCGCCGCCACGGCGCCGCAGAACTTGTCGCAGACCGACCCGCAGTGGGTCGCCGCTCTCTAGAGCGCACGTTCCCTTCCCCCTCCTTCATCACCCAGATACCCCCTCCCCCTCTCTCGCAGTGCGTAGTGCCCGTGTGTATACCCTCTCTCGCAATAGCCAGTCTGCTTTTCCCGCACTTGAGCGCGTCGGCGCAGAGAGTTGGCGAACGAGCCTCCCCGAGCCAGTCCACCTCTGGGCTCGCAAGCTCGCCCTCTCGACGCGCGCGTCCCCTCTCTCACCTCGACCTGCGCCTGTCGCCTTCGACTCTCGCCCACCTTGTCGCCGCCGCCGCCGCCGCCACGACCAGGCTCGCGAGGACCTCGCCGCGCTCGAGAAGGACTACGGTGCGTTGCCCTCTCCTCTCGTCCGCCACGTCTCTCGCACGGTCACTGACGCTCTTGCGGGCACACAGAGGAGGTCGCCGACGAGGTCGTCGCCGAGGGCGAGGAGTACTGAGTGCCCCCTCGCGAGCGCACACGCTCGAGCCTCTCCTTCGAGTAGTCGCGCCCCCTCTCTTTCGCTTTTCCTGTTTCCCTCGCGCTCGCGCAATCTCATCTCCCTTCGTCTTCTCTCTGTCTTTCGAGTCGGTGTGCCTGCAAGCCGAGCGTGTCCGCCATCGCGCCCGAGAGACGAGGAGAGCCTGCGAAAGAGCCTGCGAGAAAGAGCGCCTGCGTGCGAGCGCCGCTGTGTTCTCTCCGCCTCGCTAGCAGACGCACTCTCGACGAGCCCCGTGACGCCTGGAGAGAGAGAGACAGGAGCGTCCGGCTTTTGGAGAATTGCACACATGGACCGAGAGAAAGGGAAAGAGGAGAGGGGAAACGAGACCGTCTAACGCGACCACCAAGCACGCCCACGCCGGCCGCCTCTACAGCTCGTCGATGTCGAGCTCGGCCGCCGAGTAGTCCGAGTCCCACGCGCTCGTCTCGGCCTCGCTCGCGCCGGGCGTCGCCACCTCGTCAAAGTAGTGCGCCGCGACCGACCTCGGCGTGCGCGGCGTGCGCGGCAGGCGCGCCGTCGAGCCAGTGCTCCAGATGAAGTAGGCGACGAGGCTGCGGGCGAGAGGGAGGCGCGTCAGTGACGGGAGGAGGAGGAAAGAGGAGGAAGGAGAGGAAGGGGTCCGAGCGGAGAGCAAGTCGACGCACCCAGTCCAGCCCGTCTGGTGCGACGCTCCCAGGCCCTTGCCCGTTTCGCAATTGAAGAACTCTGCGTGATGGGAGGGTAGGAGGGTGTCAGTGAGAGGGTCGAGAGGGAGCGGAAGAGGGTCGACGAGGAAAGAGGAGGGCGGACGAGGGGAGGGGTTCGAGCGAGCGCCGACTCTCGGTCGATGCCGAAAGAGAGAACAGGTCGACGCACCGTGGAAGGGGACGTAGTCGCGGAAGTGCGGGTCCTTGTTGAGCAGCTCGCTGCCGCCGTTGCACGCCCGGTTCCCCTCGTGGTCGCGCGCAAAGAGGTGGATGACGCGGTGCTGGATGTCCTCGGCGACCTGCGCGAGCGTGTGCATGTCGCCCGACCCAGTCGGGCACTCGCTGCGACAGGAACCGGCGGGACCGAGAGCGAGGGCAAAGGCGAGGTGAACGAGGTAGGTAGACGAGGGGGGAGGCGACGACGGCGAGGGGTGACGAGAGAACGAGGTAAAGAGGACGAGGACGTTGTAGATGACGAGGCAGAGGAAGAGGAAGAGTCGCAGGGCGCGGGGAGGCAGAGAAGGAGGGAGGAAAGGAGGGAAGAGAGGGAGAGGGAGTCAGTTTCGCGCCCTGACGGTGCCGACAAAAAGAGAGACGCACATCTTGAACTCGTTGCCGTAGTACTGGTAGAAGCGCTGGAGCGACTCGATGAGGAGGAACGTCGTCGCGAGCCAGATCGGGCCGCGCCAGTTCGAGTTTCCGCCGAACATGCCCGAGTGCGAGTCGCCGGGCCAGAAGTGGACGCTGAACTCCTCGCCGTTGACGTTCCACGACCACGGGTGCTCCTTGTGGTAGCGCGAGAGCCTGTAGAGAGTGTATCCGAGTCGGCGACGGTCGCTCGAGAGGAGGAGAGAGGGAGGGGACGGTCGACGCACGAGCGGATGCCGTACTCGGACAGGAACTCGTTCTCGTCCAGCATGCGCTCGAGGATGCGGCGCAGGCGGTCCTCGTTGGCGAGCGCGAGAAGGCGACGGTCGCCCTTGCCGCCGGCTGCGGACGAGACGAGGGGCAAGTGAGCGGTCTGGCCTGGACGGCGAGGGAGAGAGAGAGAGAAACGGCGACGGACCCGACATGTTGGCGATGTTGCGCTTCGAGATGCTCGAGCGGTTCTCGAGGAACCAGTCCATGCGCTTCTTGAAGCCGGGGAAGCGCTTGATCGTCGACGGCTCGAGCGTGAGGGTGGCGTACATGGGGATGAGGCCGACGAGCGAGCGGACGGGGATCTGCTGCGGGTCCGTGCCCGGGCCCCACGTGATCTGTAGACGAGGAGGGAGAGGGACAAGTCAGTCACCGTACTGCCGACGAGGCGAGAGAGAGACAGAGAGGGAGAGGGGACGCACGGCGTCGAAGTAGAAGCCGGTCTCGTCGTTCCAGAGCGATACCTCGCCTTGCTCGCCGTTGTGGAACGTCATGGCGTCCGAGATGAAGAGGAAGTGCTCGAAAAACTTACTCGCGATGTCCTCGTACACCGAGTTGTGCTTGGCGAGCTCGAGGGCGATGTTGAGCATGGTGAGGGCGTAGAAGCCCATCCACCCGGTGCCGTCGGCCTGGCGCATCGTGCCGCCGGTCGGGAGCTGCTCGGAGCGGTTGAACGGGCTGATGTTGTCGAGGCCGAGGAAGCCGCCCTCGAACACGTTCTCGCCCGACGCGTCCTTGCGGTTGACCCACCTGCGACGAGGAGGCGAAACAGGGTCAGGGTCACGTCGGCAAGCGAGGGAACGTCGACGAGGAGGAGGGAATGGGAGGGAGAGAGGGAGAGGGTCCGAGGACGCACCAGGTGAAGTTGATGAGGAGCTTCTGGAAGACGCGCTCGAGGAAGCCGATGTCCTCGCGGCCGTGCATCTTGCGCTCGATCTTGAAGACACGGAAGGTGGCCCACGCGTGTACGGGCGGGTTGACGTCGCCAAAGTTCCACTCGTAGGCGGGGAGCGCGCCGTCGGGCTTCATGTACCACTCGCGCGTCATGATGTCGAGCTGCTTCTTGGCGTACGCCGGGTCGATCATGGCGAGCGGGATGCAGTGGAAGGCCTGCAGGAGAGAGAGAGAGAGAGAGAGAGAGAGAGAGAGAGAGAGAGAGAGAGAGAGAGAGAGAGAGAGGAAGAGGGAGAGGGCGAGTCAGTCACGAGGCTCGGACGGGGCTCGAGCGCGAGAGGGAAAGGGGCAGGGAGAGATAGGGCAACACGCACCGAGTCCCAGATGGCGAAAAACGGGTACTCCCACTTGTCGGGCATCGACAGGATGTCCTCGATGTGCATGTGCTTCCACTCCTTGTTGCGGATGTTCTTGCGCTCGGGAGGAGGAGGAGGCTGGCCGGGGTCGCCCTCGATCCACTCCTTCTGGATGAACATGTAGAACTGCTTGGTCCTGCACATCGTCGAGAGCGACAGAGTCAGTCAGGGTCGTGCGGCACCGAGAGGGAGAGAGAGAGAGAGAGGGAGAGGACGCACCAGAGCATGCCCGAGAGGGCCTGGCGCATGACGTTGCGCAGGTCGTCGCTGAGCGCGCCCGAGTTGAAGCGCGAGTAGAACTCGTCCGAGTCCATGCGGCGGTCCTCGACGACGCCGTCAAAGTTCTCCTCGTCGAGGATGGCCGGGTCCTCGTCGGCCGTGCGGGTCGTCAACTTGAGGCGCACGACGGCGCACCCGCCGTTGCCGGGAACGTCGCGGAACACGTAGTGCGCGCCGCACTTGGTGCCCTCCTTGTTCGGGTTGACGAACTGGCGCGTGTCCTCGTCCGAGCGCGGCGTCGACGTGCCGTCCTGGGTCGAGTCCGAGTCGTAGCCGTCGCCGTTGGCGCCCTCTGTCTCGGTCTCGCTCTTGGGCGTGGGCGGGCGGTGCGACGGGATGATGTGGTCGTGGAAGGCGTCCTTGACGTACGGGACGGCGTTCTTGCCGCCGTAAAGGCGCTCAAAGTTGGTGTCGTTGTCGGTGAACAGGAGCTCGGGCGTGACGACGTCGTCGACAAAGACCGTCTCGTGCTGGTCCTTCTTGCCGCGAGGGCCGATCGGCGCCGGCGACGAGTTGGCGTGGAAGAAGTACTTGCCGAGCTTGTCGTGGTCGGCCTGGACGACGCCCTCGCCGACCTGGCGGAGCGACGGCATGGCCGGGCCCGTCGGGCGCTCCTTGGGCCACGACCACGTGTTGCGGAACCAGAGCTGGGGCACGATGTGGAGCGTCGCCGGCTCGGGACCGCGGTTGTAGGCCGTGATGCGGATCGAGACGCCCTCGGCGCAGTCCTCGTCCTTGGCGTACTGCGGAGCGTGACAGAGAGAGGGTCAGGGTCGAGATCTCGATGAGGAAGGCCGACATCGTGCGTCGAGACGAGAGGAGGGAGCGAGAGAGGGAGAGGGAGCGCACCTCGACGAACACGTCCCAGTACCGGTTGTCGTCAAAGGCGTCCGTGTCGGTGATCTCGTACTCCTCGACGTCGCGGCCGCGGTTGGTCGACTCGCGGACGAGCTGCTCGTACGGGTACGGGCGCTGCGGGTACTTGTACAGCATCTTCATGTACGAGTGGGTCGGCGTCGAGTCGAGGTACCAGTACAGCTCCTTGACGTCCTCGCCGTGGTTGCCCTGGTGGCCCGTCGTGCCGAACATGCGCTCCTTGAGGATCGGGTCGACGCCGTTCCACAGGGCGACCGACAGGCACAGGCGACCGTGGTTGTCCGAGATGCCGGCGAGGCCGTCCTCGCCCCAGCGGTAGGCGCGCGAGCGCGCGTGCTCGTGCGGGAAGTGGGTCCACGCGTCGCCGTTGGCCGAGTAGTCCTCGCGGACGGTGGCCTGCACGAGGCGAAAGAGAGAGGGAGGGGAGGAAGGGAGAGCTTGGTCAGGGAAGGGCTCTCGAGGCGACGACGGCGACGACGAAGAGATGAATGGGGAGAGAGGACGCACCCATTGACGCTCCGAGACGTACGGGCCCCACCGTTTCCAGTGCTTCTCCTTGCGCTCGTCCTCGTCGAGGCGCTGCTCCTCGAGCGACTTCCACTGGTCGAACTGGAAGCCGTCCTGCTTCTTGAGGCCCGGGGTCGGGAACGGGTGGCTCGTCGCCTCGACGCTGCGCTGGCTCGTCATGCTCGGCGAGCGCGCCTTGGGCGGACCGCCGCCCTGCTGCTTGCCGCGGCCGTACGGGAGCTTGCCCGGGTGCGAGTAGGCCGACGCCGACGGGTTGCGGTTGCGCTGCATCGAGCGCGCGAACGAGTCGGCGTCGGGGAGGTCGCTCGGGAGCGAGTTGCGGATGCCCTCGTGCGCCGCCGGCGAGTTGCGCGCGGCGGCCTGGGGCTTGACGGCCGCGGCGCCGGGCGTGGCGTGGTCGCGCGCCTTGACCTCGCCGCTCGAGCCGTGCGACGCGAGCTTGGGGCGACGGGCCTGGTTGCCGCCGTCGACGCCGGACGACGCCTGCTCGTCCGAGTCGTCGTCCTTGAAGTCGTTGGCCTGGCCATGACGCTCGACGCCGCCCTCGTAGCCCTGGTCGTCGGCGATCTGCTGCTGCTGCTGCTGGCGCGACGAGGTTTGGCCCTGCTGCTGCTGCTGGGCCTTGAGGGTGCCGGATCGGCCGAGGGGGCGAGAGGCCGACGCGGTCGAGAGAGGCGGGGTGACGCCGGGCGACGCGCCGACGGGGAGCGGGCTCGCCGTCGCGTGGAGGCTCGGGGCGGCCGCCTCGCGAGGTGCGGCGTGCTGCTTGAGCGGGACGTCGCCCGCGGGCTCGTTGTGCGGGACCGTGGGCGGGATGGTGAGGGTGGGGAGCGGACCTTGGCCGGCGTTGCTCATCTTGCGCGCGGTGAAGGACGAGGGCTTGGACGAGCTCGACGAGGAGGGAGGAGGAGGAGGTGCCATCGTGGCTCTCGAGGCGGGTCGCTCGGGGTCGCAAGGGGCGAGAGGCGAGAGGCGAGGGGGCCGAGGTTCGAGGTGGGATCGAGGATGGGGTGACGCCGCGAGAAGGGTGGGCGTCTGGGGAACTGGGGGCGAGGACCCACGGAGTCGATAAAGCTCGTGCGCGGGTGCACGACGACGAAGCTCGACGGTCGACAGAGGCGCGAGCTGCTGGCGGACGAGCGAAGCCTGCGCGGGCGGACGGCGAGTCGAGCGAGCGGGCGCGAGACGGTGGGCGGGCGAGCACAGCGCAGAGGGCGAGCGATCTTGCGTCTCGATCTCGCTCTCCTCTCGTTCGAGCAGCGCAAAACTCTCTCACGCCAGTGCCGCACAGCTCAAGGCACCGAGAGAAGCCGGTCCCGCAGGCCGGCGAGGAAAGAGAGCCGCCGACGAGGTCAATGCGCATGCAGCGACTCTGGAAGACAGCTGGGCGACGACGAGCCATGACGGCGTTGCAGAGACATGCGGGAATGGTACAACACGGTGCATAGACAAGGGCGTGCGAGAGGAGAGAGATAGAGAAGGAGAGAGAGAGGGGAAGATGCGAGAGAAGAGGAGGAAGGGCGAGAAGCGGCGGCGCACGAGACGCCGCGTCAATACGCTCGTCACGCCATCGACGCCGTCGTTGCGACGGCGAGGACGACGATGAGGGCGACCTGCCACTGGACGCCGTTGACGAGGAGGACCGCGAGCGCAGCTGCGGCGAGGACTTGACCTCGACGCGCCTCGGCGCCGCCGAACGCCGCACTCGTGTAACCTTCCTCGACGGGCAGCGTCTGCTGGATCGTCTGGTTGACGCACGACTCGAAGTTGACGTCGCGCGTGTCGGCCGGGTACTGGTACGGGGCTTGCGAGACGGACTCGGTGTAGTTGACCGTCGCCGCCGGGTCGGCCTCCTGGCCGTCGAAGAACGAGTACAGGGCGAACGAGGATGCGCGATAGTAGGTCAAGACGTTCGACGGGTCGAGCCGGGGCAGGAGCGTCGAGTTGGTCGACGAGGGGAACGTCCCGTCGTCCATGACGGGCGTCGAGTCGACGACGAGGACGGCGCCGCAGTCGTCCTGGAGCGCCTGCGTGACGTTTCCGACCGAAGCCGAGTCGCCGTAGACCATGTACTGTGGAGGGACCGACGCGTCGAGCTGGGAAGGTGAGAACGACGCCGCCGCGAGTGGACCGCCCGGGCGCGAGTCGTTGCGGTACGGGCCGTACTCGTCGTCGCCGTAGTAGCCGTGGCCGTAGTAGAGCTGTGGAGCAGGCCAAGCGTGAGCTTCAACTCGTGCTCGTCTCGAGCAAGGAGAGGAGGGCGAGGACGGACCGGCCAGTAACCGTAAGGAAAGCCGAGCCCGCCGACGTAGCCGAACCCAACGCCAGCGACGCCGCCGAGCGCTGCCCCTCGCGCATAGTTGCCGTACCCGCCGCCGTACCCTCGCCCGCTGTAAATCGAGCCCCTCGTCGCGCCGCCGAACTGTCGGCCCGAGAAGGGGACGCCGCCCGAGACGGTGCGAGGTGCGCCGCCGCCGTAGCCGAACGGCGAGGGCGAGTAACCTGGCGGCCCGCTTCTTGAACCTGCTCGGCAACGGACGAACGCGCGCGTCAGTACATGACTGCTACTGACGCGTCTGAGGGAGGGGAAGAGGACGCACTGGTGCCGCTCCGAGTCGACGACCCGCTCGACGAGCTGCCGCCACTTGACCGACCGCCGCTCGAGCTGCCCCCGCCTCCACGTCCACCGCCGCCGCCGCCGATTCCTGCAGGAGCGCGCCCTCGTCAGTCGCGGACGGGGGGCGGTCGAGGCGAGGAGCGAGAGCTCGAGAGAGCGGGCCGACGCACCGCGACGCTTCTCGAGAAGGTGCTTGATGGAGACCATGCCGTGTGTGCGAGGCGAGAGCTGTCTGTGAGCGAGTGCGGGCGGTGCGCGATCTCGAGGTGAACGAGGGAGAGCAAGAGCGAGCTTGGGAGGAGGCACCGCCTCCGCCTTTGACATCGTCGGTCCGGCTCCGGTCCGGCTGCGTCATCAATTTGTAGCTCGTTTGACTTGCTCGCATGGTAGCTTTGACAGCTCGCTCGAGGGGAGGGCCCTCGAAAGCTCGGTCGCTTTCGCTCTACCTCGGCAGGAACCACTCCTGGGGACTGCACCGTCACACATGCTGCGTCGGCAATCTTCTTCGTCATTTTGGCGAGCCAGGGGAAGCAAGGAGAAGAGCTGGAACCTGGTCGAGCGGCCTTCTCAAGTCGAGCCTCGCCCGCCGCTCGGGCCCTCGCTCTCGGTCCCGCCGGTTCCTGTCGCAGCGAGTGCCCGACTGGGTCGGGCGACATGCACACGCTCGCGCAGGTTGCCGAGGACATCCAGCACCGCGTCATCCACCTCTTTGCGCGCGACCACGAGAGGAACCGGGCGTGCAACGGCGGCAGCGAGCTGCTCAACAAGGACCCGCACTTCCGCGACTACGTCCCCTTCCACGGTGCGTCGACCTGTTCTCTCTTTCGGCATCGACCGAGAGTCGGCGCTCGCTCGAACCCCTCCCCTCGTCCGCCCTCCTCTTTCCTCGTCGACCCTCTTCCGCTCCCTCTCGACCCTCTCACTGACACCCTCCTACCCTCCCATCACGCAGAGTTCTTCAATTGCGAAACGGGCAAGGGCCTGGGAGCGTCGCACCAGACGGGCTGGACTGGGTGCGTCGACTTGCTCTCCGCTCGGACCCCTTCCTCTCCTTCCTCCTCTTTCCTCCTCCTCCCGTCACTGACGCGCCTCCCTCTCGCCCGCAGCCTCGTCGCCTACTTCATCTGGAGCACTGGCTCGACGGCGCGCCTGCCGCGCACGCCGCGCACGCCGAGGTCGGTCGCGGCGCACTACTTTGACGAGGTGGCGACGCCCGGCGCGAGCGAGGCCGAGACGAGCGCGTGGGACTCGGACTACTCGGCGGCCGAGCTCGACATCGACGAGCTGTAGAGGCGGCCGGCGTGGGCGTGCTTGGTGGTCGCGTTAGACGGTCTCGTTTCCCCTCTCCTCTTTCCCTTTCTCTCGGTCCATGTGTGCAATTCTCCAAAAGCCGGACGCTCCTGTCTCTCTCTCTCCAGGCGTCACGGGGCTCGTCGAGAGTGCGTCTGCTAGCGAGGCGGAGAGAACACAGCGGCGCTCGCACGCAGGCGCTCTTTCTCGCAGGCTCTTTCGCAGGCTCTCCTCGTCTCTCGGGCGCGATGGCGGACACGCTCGGCTTGCAGGCACACCGACTCGAAAGACAGAGAGAAGACGAAGGGAGATGAGATTGCGCGAGCGCGAGGGAAACAGGAAAAGCGAAAGAGAGGGGGCGCGACTACTCGAAGGAGAGGCTCGAGCGTGTGCGCTCGCGAGGGGGCACTCAGTACTCCTCGCCCTCGGCGACGACCTCGTCGGCGACCTCCTCTGTGTGCCCGCAAGAGCGTCAGTGACCGTGCGAGAGACGTGGCGGACGAGAGGAGAGGGCAACGCACCGTAGTCCTTCTCGAGCGCGGCGAGGTCCTCGCGAGCCTGGTCGTGGCGGCGGCGGCGGCGGCGACAACGTGGGCGACGTGCGAGGGCGACGGGCGTAGGCCGGGGCGAGAGAGAGGAACAGTCGAGGCGAGGGAAGGGGAAAGCAGGGAAAGGGAGAAGGGATCGTCAGTCACCGACGCCCAGGACCGACACCGCGCCGCCCGCATAAGGAGAGGAGAGAAGAGACGCACCTCGGAGAACTCGCCCTCCTCCATGCCCTCGCCGACGAACCAGTGGACGAACGCGCGCTTCGAGTACAGGAGGTCGAACTTGCGGTCGAGGCGGCTCCAGGCGGTCGCGATGGCGGTCGTGTTCGACAGCATGCACAGCGAGCGCGACACCTTGGCGAGGTCACCGCCGGGCACGTTGGCGGGCGGCTCGTTGCAGATGCCGAGCTTGAAGCCGGTCGGGCACCAGTCGACGAACTGGATCGTGCGCTTGGTCTTGATGGCGGCGACGGCCGAGTTGACGTCCTTGGGGACGACGTCGCCGCGGTACAGGAGCGCGCACGCCATGTACTTGCCCTGGCGCGGGTCGCACTTGACCATCTGGTTGTTGGGCTCGAAGCACGAGTGGGTGAGCTCTGAGACCGAGTTGGCCTCGTGCGACGCCTTGGACGCCGAGATGATGGGCGCGTAGGTGGCCAACGGGAAGTGGATGCGCGGGAACGGCACCAGGTTGGTCTGGAACTCGTTCAGGTCGACGTTGAGCGAGCCGTCGAACCGGAGCGAGGCCGTGATCGACGAGACGACCTGGGCGATGATGCGGTTCAGGTTCTTGAAGCCCGGCGCCTGGATGCCGAGGTTCTTGCGGCAGATGTCGTAGATGGCTGTGCGGCGGGGAGCGAGGGCGGGTCAGTTCCCGACCGCCTCGAGGGAGAGAGAGAGTAAGGGGACGGACCCTCGTTGTCGACCATGAACGAGCAGTCGACGTGCTCGAGCGTGGTGTGGGTCGTGAGGATCGAGTTGTACGGCTCGACGACCGACGACGAGAGCGACGGGGCCGGGTAGACCGAGAACTCGAGCTTGCTCTTCTTGCCGTAGTCGCCCGAGAGCTTCTCGAGGAGGAGGGCGCCAAAGCCGGAGCCCGTGCCGCCGCCGAACGAGTGGAAGACGAAGAAGCCCTGGAGGCCGTTGCAGTTGTCGGCGAGCTTGCGGATGCGGTCGCACGTCGTGTCGATGAGCTCCTTGCCGACCTGCGTGGGGGGGCGGATCGAGGGTCAGTGACGGCGCTTCTCCGTCGCGTAGGAAGGCAGAGGGGGACGCACGGTGTAGTGACCACGGGCGTAGTTGTTGGCGGCATCCTCCTTGCCGTTGATGAGCGTCTCGGGGTGGAAGAGCTGGCGGTACTCGCCGGTGCGGACCTGCGATGGGAGGCGAGTTCGTCAGGGCCTGCTCGCTCGAGGGAGAGAGAGAGAGAGAGAGAGGGAGGGCGCACCTCGTCGACGACCGAGGGCTCGAGGTCGACGTAGATCGAGCGGGGCACGTACTTGCCCGAGCCCGTCTCGGAGAAGAAGGTCGAGAAGCCGCCGTTCGAGTTCTGCTTGTCCGGGTCCTCGTTGATGACGCGACCGTCGGGGCCGAGGCCGTGCTCGAGGCAGTAAAGCTCCCAGCAGCTGTGGCGCGGGGCGGCAGAGTCGGGGGTCAGGGTGGGCTACGCGTCGACGAGCGAGGAGAGGGAGCTCACGCGTTGCCGATCTGGACACCGGCCTGGCCGACGCTGATGGAGATGATCTCTGTGAGGGTGCATGGCGAGTCAGTGCGTGTTCGCTGCAGCCCTCGAGGGCTGTGGGTCGCGCGGTGGACGCGCCGGTTCCCCCTCCCACGAGGCCTCGCCGGCTCGCGCTCACGACGCGCTCCAGAGGTGCGGGAAAGGGGGCAGCGTACCGCGCATGATGCTTGAAGGGGTGGAAGGTAGGTGGTAGGTGCGGAAACTGTGCGTGAGGCGAGGGTCAGGGGCCGAGGTCGACACACGTTGAGGGAGGAGGGCGCGTGTTTGCTCGCCGGGGACGGCACGGGGCAAGGTGGGGGTTGGCCAGAGTGGACGTACAGAGAGAGTAGAGTGCAAAGGGAGGGTCTCTGACTGGTCCTTGTAGCTACGACGGGACTGCAGAGAAGTGCGGGTGGGAGGAAGGCACCTGCTCCCTCGCTCGCTCGTGTCGTCGCCCCTCTCGAGCTGCACCTCGCTTGCAGAGGCCGAGGCACTGCTTCCAGGTGCACACAGACCAGCTACAGCAACTCCCCTCCCCCGCCCTGCTGTCGGCGTCTGCTCGCCGTCCCTCTTCTCCTCCTCCGCCCGCCGGCAGCTCCCTCTCCCTCTTCCCGCACGCCCGGCTCTGCGCTCGAGCGACTGAGAGCGCTCTACGATTCGTTCTCGAGTGACGCTCGAGAAGCACCGTTCGTGTACGCCGCCGCAGCGGCCGCCTCGCCCTCAGCCTTTGTCCTCTCGGCGGCCGCAAGCGCTGGCTCCCCTCCCCGCTCGAGGACATAGGGCATCCGAGCGCACGCCCGCACCGGCCCTCGTCCCCCGTCAGCGTCTGCGCACGCCCGAGCCTTGCGATCACCGATCGCTGGCCTTTGTCGGCTCCGCCCTCGACCCGAGGCCAATGTCCTCGAGCGCGACCGCCCTCGTCCCGGCTCGAGCTGGCTTCCTCGCTTTCGCTGCCTCGCAACTCGTGCAACTCGCCGACCCCGCCAGCCCTCGAGGTGCGTCCCGCGTCCCCTCGTCGACCTTCTCCTCGACTTCGGACTGACCTTGCCCTCGCCTCGGCAGATGACGACGCTCAAGTCCGCCCTGCGCTTCCCTCCAGCCCACCCTCCTCCTCTACCGCCGCCTCCCGAGCCGCAGTACCCCAACCTCACCTCGCGCTTCTCTGCCGAGACCCTCCTCATCAAGTCGCCCCCTCGACCGTTCCAGCGCCTCTTCTCGTCGACCAACCACGCCACGACGCCCTCGCCGCCTCTCTCGCCGCCGTCGGGCGCCGTCAGGCGGTATCACCGCCGCGTGTCGTCGCAAAAGGGCGGCAGCGTCTACCGCCATGCCCCGTCCGCGAGCGAGAGCCGCCTCGTCGTCTCGTCGCCCAAGGCGTACGACCTCCCCGAGACGCCGACGCGCGCCTCGATGGACCACGTGCGCCCGACTCGGCGCTCGGGCTCGATCTCGCGCGCGAAGGCGACGAACGGGACCGCGGCCGACAAGCTCGCCGGCGCCGCCAAGGACGTGCTCGACATGTTCACGCTACGGCGCCACGGCCACGGGCACGGGCGCCAGGGCAGCCACAGCAGCTCGGCGAGCGGCGACAGCGTCGAGTCGCTCGCGTCGACGAGGCCGCGCTCGCTGTCGTCGCCGTCGCCCGCGCTCGTGTCGCAGCCGCCGCCGGCTCCAAGGCGCAGGCCGCCGCCTCGGCCGTACAACCCGCCCGCCGCGCTCGTCGACCCTCCTCCTCGGTCCGACTCGCGCAACGCCATGGCCTCCGACGTCGCGGCGTTCGGCGCACCGTCTCGAGCCGCGCACGGGCCTCCCGCGCCGCCGGCGGGCCGCCCTCGCCCGAAGCAGCTCCCCCTGCAGGCTCGCCCGCACCTCCGCCCGACCTCGCCACCATCGCCCTCGATCCCTCCTCTCCGTCCAGCACGCCAACCGCCCGCACCTCCCGCCGTCGACAAGTCGCACAAGCCGTTCCACGCCATGATCGTCTCGGGGCCGACGCGCGCCGCGGTCGAGCGCCGCTCGCTCGACGAGTTGCTCGTGCGCATCGACGTCGGCGGGCAGTCGACGTACACGACGAGCGCGGCGACGCTCGTCGGCCAGGGCGTCGAGGGCGGCAGGCTCGGCGACTTTGTCGAGGCCGTCCTCGAGGACGTCAGGCGGGGCGGCGACGAGCCTGTCGAGGAGGACGAGGCAGCAGCAGGGCACCAGGAGCACGAGCAGCACCCGCACCCGTACCTCCAGCTGCCCGGCGCGCTCACCGACGCGTCGTCGAGCTCCCTCAGCCTCGCGCCCTCTCTCACGCCCTCGCCCTACCCGTCCTCGCCCTTCCCCTTCGCCGACAACCTCTCGACCTACTCGACCTGTGCACCTGGCGACGGCGACGAGCCGATGAGCCCCATCGACCCGCTCGTCAACAGCTCGCAGGCCGCCCTCGCCTCGAAGGAGCTCTTCCTCGGCCTGCCGCACGCCTTCAGCCCGCCGCCGCACCCGCTCCCGACGACGCGAGGGCGCGCCCAGTACGCCGAGATGGTCGGCTCGCCGACGCTGCCGCACGGCGGCAAGCACCGCTCGGTGTACCCGGACGTGGGCTCGAGCGTCGACCTCGGGCCCGAGGGCGGGCCGCTCCTCCCGCTCGTCATGCCGTCGGCGAGGGCGCCGCCGCCGTCGCTCGCCGAGGAGGCGGCCCGCAAGGCGCTCACGATGCGCTCTCGCGCCGGCGTCACGGCCAAGGTCGAGCCGGCTGCCGACGACGAGATCCCGTTCCAGAACCCGTTCGAGCGCGGCCTCGGGCCCTACTTCGACGTCGTGCGCAATCAGCTCCACGCCTCGGTCGGCTCCGACTCGCTCCTCGGCGTCCCGCGCTCGCCGGCCGGCACGTTCTCGTCATCGCCGTCGTCGTCGCCCATCCTCGCCACGTCACCGCGCCCGGCGAGCGCCGTCGAGCGCAGCTCGCTCGACTTTGGCCTCCTGCCCTCGGACGTCGAGGGCTACGGGTCCGAGGAGGAGCACCGCAGCAGGAGCACGGTGCTCGGCGTGCCGCGCGGCCTGAGCAGGCGCACGCTCGAGGGCCTGTCGAGCTTGGCGCGCGGCGGCTGCGGCGACGACAAGGTGCCCGCCGTGCCGAGGCTCGCCGTCGAGGCGGACACGGCGGTGGCGGCGCCGGCGGCGAGGAGCAGGGCGGGCACGCCGTCGCTCTCGATGAGCGTGTCGACTGTCGACGACGAGGAGCACTCGGGCGCGCCGGCCGAGGTCACGCTCGAGGACGCGACGCTCGCCGTGTTCCTCGACCGAACCGACTCGCCGCTCATGTCGCTCGCATCGGCCGACGGTGCGGGCAGCGACGTCGCGCCGGGCCTCACCCTGTACGGCGCCGTCGTCGACTTCCTCCGCAACAGCGCTCTGCCCGCCTCCCTCGTCCTCCCTCCCGCCTCCTCCTCGACATCGTCGTCGCACGTGCCCACCTCCAGCACCGCCGACCCTGACGTCGACCCGCTCTACCTCTCGCTCTTCGCCCTCGCGCCCGCACCCCTCTTTGCGCTCCTCGCAGCCTTGCGCACGCTCTCGACCGAGGCGGCGTGGCTCGGTCTGCAAGACCTCGAGCGAGCGTGCAGCGTCGAGCAAGAGCGTGTCGCGGGCGTCGGGCGGTGGCTCGCGCAGGCGAGGGGAGCTGGAGCAAAGGTCGGTGCGCGAGACACGACGAAGGGTCTTTCGGCGAGGGCCAAGGAGGGCTGGATCTAGATTGAGCGTGCTCTTGACGCTGTACCGAGTCGTACTGCAGCTTTCCCATTCCTTTGCACAGCGAGAGAGTCGAGCAAGTTGTGCGGCCCCTCTCCTCCTGCGCCCCCTCCCACCACTCGACCCTCACGGCCGGGCCCGCTCGAGTCGGCTTGCGTGCATAGCTGCAGACTTGGGCAACGGCTCCCGCCAAGCCCACGCCGCCGCGAGCGCTCGCCGACCGCGCAGACCGCGTCGCATCCTCATCAGCGACCCGCGTCGACCGACCTCTCTCAACTCCGACAACGACCCGTGGACTCGTGCGCGTGCTCGCAGACGGCTCGAGGAGGGTCGAGACGCGGTCTGGGCATGCAGGAGGCGCTGTGCGAGACTCGGAAAGCGGGTGTGTCCTCGTCCTCCTCGCCTCCCCATGTTTCGCGGCCCTCTCCATCTCTCTCACACACTCGCCCGTCTTGCGCGAGGCGTGGAATGGGTGTCAATGACTCATCTTGATCTTCCTGCAGGCGCGGCGGCGCTGTGCGGCGGTCGGGCTGGGCGTGACAGGCGGCGCAGGGCGACTGTCGACCTCGAGGCGGCTCATCTTGTCCTTTGTACGTCCTGCGCACTCTCTTTCTTCCGTGCAGGACCTTCATGTGGGTCTGTGCTCCTCGCCGAGCCGCGCACTGACCCTCTCGACCTCGCGCCGCAGGTTAGTCGCGCCCTCGATGGCACCTCCCCCTTCTCGTCCTCGAAAGCTTCCCCTCGCGCCCTTGCTGCGCCGCGCGACGGCGCCCTCTCCTGTCCGAACGCTCTTCTCGTCCCCCGCGAGTGTTCCCAGACCGTTCAGAGTTCTCGTTCGTCGTCGCACTCGTCCTGACGGCTCAGCGAGTCGAGCCGTCGCGGACGGGTCCTTACGAGGCCGCGCCCGCCCTCACGTGCCCCTGAGGGCAGCGGGCGCACTGTGGTGAGCCGCTCGCACGGCGCGCACCCCTGCGGAGCGCCCGTGCGCCCGGCCACCTACAAAAGACAGGGGGATCCTGCGCACCCTCGCTCAAACGTTAGCTCTTGATCTAGCAGGGTTACAGCGTTCTGCTCGCGCGGGATCGGACGAGGAGGTGTCTGCAATGCAATCGAGCGCTTCTCCCGAGCCCTTTAATCCTGTATAGCGCGAGATGGAGTGCTCGTCGACCTTCCCAAGTCCGAGGTTGTCGACGCCGAGAGAGCTCTTTCTTCTGGCTCGCTCTCTCGCCAGCTCTCGAGAGGGCTCAAGCTAGCGTCGCCTCGAGCAGCTGCCGCAGCGGCTTGTTCTGCGTGACCTCATGTCCCTCTCGAGCGGGAGCTCGCGCGTGGCGGGCGCGTCAGGACGTTCGTCTGGCTCGCTTTCTCTTGCCTGCTCTCGCGATGGAGCACCATTGCCGAGAGACGACGATGCGGCAAGAGCGAGTCGAAACGGTTCGCAACGGAGGCGGGACGGCGACGAGGACGGGCGACGAAGCTGAGAATCTATGCGTGCGGCGTGCGTTGGCAAAGCGGCGCTTTCCTTTGTCGAACCCGTTACCGATTCCGGCTCTCGTACTACACTTGAACCCACCCTTCCTCGTACTTCTCGTACTTCTCTCGTTCCTCCTCGGGAGCAACGGTCGATGGTAAATAGCTGTTGCCGGCGCAGGCTATGATTTGCTCCCTCGTACACCCCCGACGCGAAGAACTCCTTATTCCGCGAAGGTACCCGTTGTACGGCACGGGGAGTTGAGCCGCGGTACCAGTTGAGGTTGACTACTACCATCTTCCTTGCTGCTCCACCAATCCTTTTTGCCGACGAGCAGCTCGTTCTCGAGCGACCATTGCGCAAGGTCGAGCCAGAGCTGGAGCTGAGAGAAGCAGCGACGAGAGGGTCAAAGCGCACGAGCTCCCTCCTTTTCTCGCTCCTCCTTTGAGCGCAGAGGTGCACGATGATCCTCTCTCGCCGCCTGCGATGACAGGCTCGTTCCCGGGCGACCTTATCGTCAGGTCGAGCCAGACTTGAGCCGAGAGAAGCAGCGACGAGAGGGTCAAAGCGCACGAGCTCTCACCTCCTCCTCGTCCTCCTCGACCGCAGAGTCATGCGGGCACATCTCGAGGGCGTCTACAGGATGTCTGACTTTCATTGCGAGCATCTACGGCTTCTCCTGCCGGCTTCTAGAACGCCGCCGGGATCCTGCGAGCGGTCGAGGAGTCAGTTTCGCTCCTTCGAGGGAAAGAGGAGGAGCGGACGCACCCGTTCTTGCGCGAGTCAGACGTTGCTGTTGAAGTAGGCGAGGCGAGGGAACCGGCAAAGAGGAGGAAAGGGTAGAAGAGGGAGAGGGCGGGTCAGGGAGTCGCTTTGAGGCGAGGAAGGACGAGTTGAACGAGCTGCGACGCACCGAAGAATTTGCCATCCTCGTCCCGCAGGACGGCCTGGACCTCGGCGATGCCGACGTTGATGTCGAAGAGGCTGCAGGCGAGGACCGAGAGCGTCAGTGACTGACCACATGAGTGCCTTGCTGCGCGCCGACAAAGGCACCAACGAGGACAGGAGCCTCGAGAGAAAGAGTGGGAGGTAGAACGAAAGAGAGAAGACGGACGTGATGTTGTGCCCTCGGTCGCGCAGGCTGTCGAGGATGTCGGTGCGGAAGGTCGACTCGACCGAGACCTGCAGGAAGGACGAAATGGTCAGGGACGTTCTCCTCGCCCAAGAATGCAGGCCGGTCGTCCACGACGTCGACAAGGGTGTGCAGAGGAGAGGGAACAGGCCGACGCACATATTCGGGAAGGAGCTGATGGTGGACCCTCGGCAACTCGACGGCGCTCGCCAAGTCGTGGCCCCAGTCGAGGTTGAGGAGCGTCTGGGCGACGGCGCCAAAGATGCGCGACCCGCCCGAACCGCCCATCGTGAGCCACACGGCGTCGGACGAGGCGTGGTCCATGATGAAGGGCGAGGTCGACGACAGGGGACGCTTGCCGCCTTCGGGGTAGTTGAACGGCGAGGCTGCGAGAAAATGTGGTGTTGTCAGGAACGTGAACTGCTGCACGACCTCGTGTGCCCGGAAGAGGGTGCTCGCGAGGGAGAGAGAGCGTCAGGCGGGTCGACTCACGCCTGAGGCCGAACGCATCCGGGATGCCCGGGGTCGCAAAGTCGTCCATCTCGTCGTTGAGGATGATGCCCGTCTTGGCGTCGAGCACACGAGAGCCAAAGATGAGGTTGACGGTCGACGTGAGGGCGACGGCGCCGCCCCACTGGTCCATGGTCGACATGTGCGTCGTGCCGTGGTCCTCGAGGACGTCAAACTGCGGGTTGTAGTAGGCGAGGTGGTGCGTGCGGTCCTGCAAGGGGGGCGCAGCAGACGTCAGGGCGTGGACGCAGAGCTCAAGGTCAAGGCGGCCGGGCAGCGAGCCCGCAGGAACCCGCCGCCGACCCGCCCGATAGAGAGAGCGGACCGTGCACGACTCACGTCGGTAATGTTGGCACGCACTGCGTCGGCAAACTTGCGGGTCGGGATCTCGGCGAGGCGCTTGTCGTTGTGGATGAAGGGCGGGTCGCCGACACTCGTGCGGGCGGCAAAGGCGACTGTGCGGCGGGCGGGAACGAGGATCGTCAGGCGCGTTCTCTCGCAAAGTGGCAGAGAGGAGAGAGGACGAGGACGCACACTTGAGGGCCTCAATGAAGCGATGCTCGGTGAGAGACGTCTGGCCCGCCTCGGCAAAGTCGTCGAAGCCGTCGAGGACGTTGAGGAGGTGGCGGAGGATGGGCCCGCCGCTCGGGTAGCTGCCCGTGTAGTACCTCCTGCCGCGGTACACGCCCTCCTCGGCCCGACGCACGACGGCGCGGTACGAGCGCATGTCGTCCCGCGTCAGGATGCCGCCGGCGGCCCGAGTCGTCTCGACGAGCGCGTCGGCGATGTCGCCCTCGTAGAACGCGCTCGCGCCGTCGCGCCCGAGGCGCTCGAGCGTGTCGCCGTACGCCTGGCGGCGCACGATGTCGCCCTCGCGGAGGAACTCGTCGCGCCGGCCGTCCTTGCCCGTGTGCTCGCGCATGAAGACGCTGGCCCAGTCGTCCTCGTCGCGGATCCACTCGTTGAGCGTCGGCCCGCCCTTGCCGCCCGTCCACTGGCTGATGCGCGTGTTGAGCCGGCGCGAGAGCTCCTTGCCGACCGCGAACTCGCGCGCGAGCTCGGCGGCGGGCGCAAAGAGCCGGGCCCACGAGACGCCGCCGCCGCACGCGTGGTACGCCGCCTCGAAGCCGCGCAGCTCGCCCGGGACGCCGACGGCGAGGCCGCCGACCTTGCTCGCACGCGCCGGATTCCACTCGGGGTCGTCCGGGCGCGCGTCACGCGTGAACATGTCGGCACGAGCGAGGGCTGGTGCGGCCTCGCGGAAGTCGATCGAGATGGGGTGGGTGCAGCGAGGGTTGGACGTGTAGGCAGAGGGGAGGAGCGTGTCGGACGCCGAGGTGGACGAGTTGAGGGAGGGAGGGCGGATGACCATGAAGCCGCCGCCGCCGATACCGGACGAGAACGAGTTGACGACGCCGACGCACAGGGCGGTCGCGATGGCGGCGTCGACGGCGGTACCGTTCTCGCGCAAGACTGTGAAAGAGGCAGGCGTCAGGTCGTGCGACGAGTTCGGTTTAAGAGGAGAGAGAGAGCGAGACGGACTCTCGACGCCGATCTGGCTGCACCTCTGCTCCTCGCTCGCGACGGCGCCGTTCCAGCCCGTGACGAGGTAGCTCGGGTTGCGCGTGCCCTTGCCCGGTGGCGGCAGGTGCGTCATGTCGGGCGTGTCGCGCTTCTTGCCGCCGCCGTCCCCACCGCCTCCCCCTCCTCCGCCGCCTCGCCGACCGATCGTGAGCGGGAGGACGATAGCGAGGACGATACCGGCGACGAGGACGAGCCCGAGGCAGGCCAACAAGGCCTGGCGGACGCGCCGTGCCCTCCTCGCGCGGTACAGGGCACGCTCGGCGTCGAGGGCGGCCTGGTCGTCGCGCTCGGGGGCGCGCTCGAGGAGGGCGGCCTGGGCCTCGGCGGTGAGCGGGATCGGGTTTCCGGACGCCCGAGAGAGGGCGCGCTGGCGGTACGAAGGTCGGGCGGGCGAGAGGGTCTGGGTCGAGCCGGGCGGAGGGCTGTGGAGGAGGGGGGACCGCTCGTCGACGGGCGACGACGGCGTGGCCGTGCCCTTGGCGTGGCCATTTGCAGACATGGCGAGCAGGCCTGGTTGAGCTCGAGCTCGAGCGCTCTGGTGCGTGTGAGGAGCGAGAGACGAGCACGCGGTCCTCATCTCGCTCGGCTCCACTCGCCGGATCTCACCTCTCGCAACGCCGCCAGCTCAAGTGACAAATAAAGGGACGAGTTACAGATGATGTACGCAGGACGGCGATCTAGGCGCGAAAAATCTAGCTCGACAGCTCGCGGAAAGGGGAAACCCGTCGACGGAGGAGGGACTTGAGCCTCGAGCCGTCGACGACGAAGGCGAACGGGCGACCTGGCTCGACAGCTCGACAGCGACGAGGACGACGAGGGCTCAGACGAGAGAGAAGCCGCCGTCGACCACGACCGTCGTCCCGGCTGCAGAGCGAGAGAGAGTTTGTCAGTGTCCTTGCGCTCACTGCGGCGACGAGCGAAGAGAGAGGGGGACGCACTCGTGAAGCGACTCGCGTCACTAGCGAACAGGACGGCGGCGCCCTTGAGCTCCTCGACGCCGCCGACACGTCCGAGAGGTGTCGCTTGCTGCCACGTCTTGGCGAGCGACGGGTCGCGCTCGAGCAGGGTGGCGACCTCGGGCGTCTGTGGGTCGCCCGAGTCAGTCGTCACACGCACGAGAGAAGGAGAGAGGGCGAGAGAAAAAGGAGGGGGCGCACCTTGATGAACCCGGGCGAGATCGTGTTGAAGCGGACGTGGCGAGCGGCAAACTCGGCGCCGAGCACCTTGCTGAGGCGGCTCATCTCGCCCGTGCCCGCCGTGCGCGCCGAGTCGCACCCTGCGATAGTCGACTCGCCGAGCGGCTGCGGCTGGGGCAGGTCGACGCGCGGGCCGTACGGCGCGCTGAGGAGGATGACGCTCGCGCTGCGCTCGGGCCCGTCGAAAGCGCCCGACGACGACGACGACGTCGCCATCGACTCGGCGAACGTGCGCTGGAGCGGCATCGACGCCGTCGCGTCGCTGACGTCGTGCGGTGGGCCGCAGCACAGGACGTCGACCTGGCGGGACGAACCGAACACGCGCTCGACGGCGGCGAGGACGATGCTCGCGGCGTCCTTCTCGCTCGCGGCGTGCTCGATCGGGACCTCGACGAGGCGGTCGCGAGGAAACCCGCGCTCGGCGGCGAGCTTGTGGAGCTGGGCGACGGGCGACGCGGCGAGAGGGTCGAGCGGGGTGCTCGAGTCGACGGCGGGTTCGCGCACGGCGAGGACGATGTCGTTGGCGCCTGCCTCGAGGAACGTGGCGGCGAGAGTGAGGGCGATCGAGTGGTCGGGGTGGAAGACGACGCAGAGCTGCGGAAGAAAGGGTTCGTCAGGTCGAGGCGAGCGAGGGAGGGAGAGTTGGCGAGAATGGGGGACGCACCTTGTTCTCGAGGCTGAGCGACTTGAGCGTCCTGCCCCTGCGCTGACCCTTGACGACAGCCTGCGCGCCTGGACTGCTCGGCTCGTGCGCGTGCGCCGCCGTCGCGCCCTCGCGCGAGAAGCTCGTCGCCACCGGCTGGTGCAGGTGCGCCGACTCGTCGCCGGCCCACGCGACGTGCGCGAGCGCTTTGCTCGTCGACGTCGAGGTCGAGAAAGTGCGCGCCGCGCGCAGGAGGGCGGGCGCGTCGGCGAGACGACGAGCTGGCCTGGCGGCGACGGGCGACGGGCGCTTGACCTCGGCGGGCTTGGGCGCGGTGCGGGTCGGCGTCGGGTACAGGCGCAGGCTGGCGAGCTTGCGGGCTTGGGCGCGTACGGCGCGCATAAAGGCGGGTTCCTGGGCGGCGAGGGACATGGCGAGAGGACGAGTCGAGGGCGAGGAGGGACGGCGGGATCCGGGGCTTTGGCGAGGCTGAGCGTGCGGAAAGTAGAGGAGAGAGCGCGCTCAGGGCAGACGCGGTCGTCTTACGGCGAGCGAGCGAGCGAGCGAGAGGCAGATTGCGTCGAGGGCGTGCTGCGCGAGGCACGCACACAGACAGGAGCACGCTCGCTCTTGACGCGCGTGCGAAGCCTCTCAACTCCTGTCTGCGGAGCGACCACACCGAGAGCCGCGCGAGCGAGCCTGCAGGACGCGTACGCTGTCGTCGACGAGAGTTTGCGACGTCGACGTCAGGCGGACCGGCAAAAGGGCCCGGGCGGCGGTGCAGGCGGCGAGCGGGTCGCTGCGCCTCGCGCGTGTGCGCGTGTGCGCGAGCGTAACCTTCGCGTCGACCGGCCGAGAGAGCGCGAGGCTTGCGACGGCGCGTGAGGAGGAGGAGGAAGGGAGGAAGTTAAGACGTCGACGGCCGCCGCGGTCTCGTCGTCGCCTCGCTCAGGGAAGCGAGCAGCGTCTCTGTTCGCTGTGCGACACTGTACAAGGGGCTGTCTGGCCATGCTCGAGTGCGCTCGAGCAGCGTGAAGGAGAGAGTGAGAGATCCGGTGGTTCTGCGAGCCGGACGCCTGGCCGGTCGGCTCCTCTGCTCGCAAACTGTCCGAAGCGGCGGTGCAGCCTCGCCAAACCGCTCTACCGACACCACCACCAGCCAGCCCCACCCCTCGCGCGCACAGCAGTCCCGCCCCGAGCCCGCCCTCGCCGTCCCCCCTGCCCTCCCTCCTCGTCCACCCCGGCCATCCGCCCAGCTCGACTCGGACATCGAGACGACCAGTGCCCAGCCCGACAGCACACCTCGACTCGGCACAGCTCCACCCTCGCCAGCTCCACCCTCGCCGACGCCTCGTCGAGCGCACCTCATGTCGGCTCCTCCGCCTCAACCTCCGACCTTCTACCCGCCCACCTACGCCTCGAGTACCGCCCTCGGCGCAGCAGGGTGGGGCCAAGATCCCGCCGCCGCCGCCCCGAGCCTCGCCGCCCAGGGCCGCAACCGCTCCGGCAGCATCTACGTCGACTCGGCCGCGGGCGGCGCGCACGACTACGACCACGACAACTTCTCCGACTCGCCCGCCTATGACGACTCGTCCTTGCCGCCCGAGCAGGGCTCGTCTCGAGGCGGCCCAGGCGGGTACGGCGACGCCGACGCCGACGTCGACGGCGATGCAGACGGCGACGGCGGGCCGGGCGACAAGAAGAAGGCGACGCGCGGCGCGAGGGCCTGCCTGTTCTGCAGGAAGCAGAAGATGAAGTGTGTCGGCGGCGAGGACGGTCCGCCGTGTACGCGCTGCAAGAAGGGCGGCAAGGAGGTGCGTCCTCGCTCGCTCGCTCGTCTTGCCGGGCAGAGCACTCTCGCGCTCTTGCCCGGCTGTCATGACGGCGAGGTGAAAACGCTAACACACCATCTACCCGCAGTGCATCTTCGAGGAGAGCCAGCGTGGCAAGCGCAGCAACCGCAAGACGGACGCCATGGTGCGTCCCGCTCGTCCTCCCTCCCTTGCCCATCCCTCAGCCCTACTCACGCCAATACCTTGTCGCACACTCGCAGGCCAAGTCGCTCAAGTCGATGGAGGCGAAACTCGAGTCGGTCCTCGCGTCCATCTCGAACCCGGGCCTCCTCGCCGGCTCGGGCGGGCTCGTCACCGACGTCTCGCAGGCCATGCCCTCGGCCCCGCTCAACTCGGGCCCAGGCGGCGCAGAAGGCCGCGGCGACATGCACGCCGGCGTCGACCCGTCCGTCGTCGCCAACGCGCTCGAGAACTTTCGCAACGGCGGCGCCGGCGGGTCGGGCCCGGGCAGCGCGTCGGGCCGTCCGCCTCAAGTGCGCCACGACTCGGAGAGCGCCATCACCCGTCGCGAGCCCATCGTCCTCCCGTCGATCGCCCAGACGGACGGCGTCCGGTTCGACATCGGCGGCGGCGTCGGCGCGCACAGCGACATCGGGCCGAGCCGCACCGGCGGCCACCCGCTCCACACCTACGCGCCGCACCCTCTCACGCCCAACGGCAACAACCTCGCCCTGACGCCGGGCAGCGCCGGCACCGGCGTGTCGCTCCCGTCCCTGCCGCACAGCACCTACCCGTCCGCGCCGCAGCCGCACGCCCAGGCCCACCCGCACCCTCTTCCCCACCCGCACCACCCGCACCACCCGCACCAGCATCAACATCAGCACCCGCACCAGCACCAGCACCAGCACCAGCACCCGCACGTGCACTTCCCGTCGGGCCTGTCGGCGCCGGGCTCGGGCAGGAGCCCTGCGGCCGGGAGCAGCACGAGCAAGAGCTCGCCGCTCGAGTGGAGCGGCGTCAAGGACCCGAACGCGACCGACGGCAGCCCGAGGCTGCACAGCCTCCCGGACAATACGCTCAACCCGTGCGTCCCTCACGTTTTCCTCCTTCTTCCGTTTGAGAAGGTCGCCGACTGACTCGGGACTCTCTGCGACAGGCTCGGTCTCCTCGCCGAGGCGTCGCTGCGCAACACGCGCAAGCGTCCCGTCGACCTCACCGAGGAGTACGACGTGACGACCGACGACATGGACGGGCCGAGCGTCGGCGGGGCGGGCAAGGGCAAGGGCAAAGGGAAGGGCAAGGGCAAGGGCAAGGGCGCCAAGGGCAAGGAGAAGGAGGGCGAGGGAGAAGGCGAGGGGGACGAGGACGGCGACGAGGGTCCCGAGCGCAAGAAGCGCAAGAAGGAGCTCGGCATGGCCAACCGCAACTATTTCGCCCCGGGCCCGATGAACAGTGCGTCGCCTCTTCCTCCCCTTCTCTCCTCGTGCCGAGAAGGCCGTACTCACGTACTTGCGTGTCTCGCAGTCCTTCCGCTCCGCCGCATCGTCATCGAGCAGCGCATGCCGCCGGCGCTTCTCGAGGAAAAGATCCTGTCGGTCGAGGAGGTCGTCGAGCTCTTCCAGCTCTTCTTCGAGGTGCGTCCTCGCTCTCCCTGTTCATACGGAGCGAGCGCGTACTGACGAACTTGCCCGGCGACAGCATTGCTCGCGGCACTGTCCGTTCCTCGACCCCGAGATCCACACGCCCGCCGCGACAGGCTCGCGCTCGCCCTTCCTCTTCACCTGCAGTACGTCCACTACATTCCTCGTCGAGCATGTCACTCAGTCGAGGACGGTCCGCTCACCGTCGCCGTCCCCTGCCCGCAGTCTGCACCGTCGCCGCTCGCTACTACACCAAGCGCACCGACGACCTGTACCGCAAGTGCCTGCGCATCGCCAAGCGCGTCGCGTTCGACGTCATGAGCAAGGGCTACAAGAGCACCGAGATCTGCCAGGGCTTCATCCTCTTGTGCAACTGGAACCAGCCGGCCGAGCGGTTCGAGGAGGAGCGCACCTGTGCGTCCCGACTTTTCCCTCTCCGTCGCCCTTCCACCTCGCCCAGCACCTCCTGACGCTCTCTCAAACGACGACGCAGACCAGTTCAGCGGTCTCGGCATCCGCATGGCGACCGACCTCAACCTGCACCGCAAGACGATCGCCCAGTTGCCGCCCGACGTGAGCGACGAGACGCGTGTCCTGTACGAGCGCGAGCTCCTCAACCGCGAGAGGACGTGGATGTACTGCTACATCATCGACCGCTCGTGCGTTCTGCCCCTCTCCTCTCTCGCCCCTCCTCGAGCAGCCGAATGACAGGGTCCTCTCTTTCTCCCTCGCAGGGTATCGACCCAGATGGGCAAGCCGTACGCCATCTCGAAGGAGGACTTTCTCGTGCGCAACGCGACCAACTGGTGGCGGTCGCCGGGCGCCTTGCCGTCCGACATGGGCCTGAGCGCCATGGTCGAAGTCCTCCGTATCGTCGTGCGTCCCTTGTCTCCCTTCTTCCGCCCTCTCCTCGCCGCCTGACACGCCTACACCTCGCAGAGCCGCATGATCGACGTCTTGTACTCGGACACGCGCTCGGTGTCGGGCCTGAACGCGCACCTCGACTACCCGATGCTCATCCGGGCGTTCCTTCAGCAGCTCGACCAGTGGCGCCAGGAGTGGAGCGACCCCAAGTTTCAGGAGACGGACCAGGACGAGGCGTCGCTCCGGACGCGGTCGATCGTCCGGGACTTCTATCACTCGTAGTGCGTCAGCTTTCCCTCTTCGTCCTCCCCTCTGCGCGAGCCTCACTCACATGCTCCGCCCTTGCCCGCAGCTACCGCCTCTTCCTCCTGTCGTTCGCCGTCCAGCACGCCCTCGACGACCCGTCCTCGTCGATCGACCTGCCGAGCTACTGCGTCCTGTGCTTCGAGGCGGCCGAGCGCATGATCGTCATCCTGCGCGACTATCTCGGGCCCCAGGGCATCCTCCGCTACGCCATCGTGCGTCCCTCGCTCTCTCTCTTTCTCAGTCGTAGTCGTCGAGGGCGCCACCTGACCGAGCCCTCGCCGTTGTTGTCGCCGCAGGACTCGACGTTCGTGTACGCCAGCTACGCGGCGACCTTCCTCCTCAAGCTCGTGTCGCCCACCTTTGCGTCCTTCATCGACGAGCAGGCGGCGATGCGCCTCGTGCGCGAGACGGCCGACGTCCTCGAGGCTGCCGCCGTCGACGAGCAGCACACGCCGGCACTCTGTGCGTCTCACCTCCTTTCGCCTCTCTCGGTCTCGCTCTCGAGCCTCACTGACTCTGCTCCGCCGCCCTCGCAGACGCCTCGTTCCTGCGCACGCTCATCGACAACAAGCTCAACGGGCCTCGCACGGCCGCCAACTCGCGCGCACCGACCCGGCCCGGCTCGCCCAACCCGTCGGGCGCTCAAGGCGGCATCTACATCAACAACCTCGCCATGGCCAACGGCGCCGGCGGGCACACATCGGGCCACAATGGCGGCGGGCCCACGAGCGGCGGCAACGGCAACGTCGTCGAGTCGTACCTCAAGAGCCGCGCACCGTCGCTCGGGCCCGAGTTTGCGAGCCTCGCCAACGCGCAGGGCGTCGCCGGCGGTATGGGCGGCGAGTTTGGTGTCGGCAGCATGGGCTTCCCGGCCGAGCTTGGCGGGGCCATGTTGGGCGGCGAGTTCGGCGCGTTCGGCGAGACGAACGGCGGGTTCGACTCGCTCATGGCCGACGACATCCTCTCGGCCAACGGCTTCTGGTCGAGCATGCTCATGGTGCGTCCCGAGTCTCTCTCTCTCTCTCTCTCTCGTCGACCATCTCTTGCAGTCCTGACCCTCGTGCGCGCTCGCAGCCTGGCTTTGGCGGCACCTCGCTCGGCCTCTCTGGCGGGTCGGGCACCATCCTCGGCAACCCGCACGACCCCTTCTCGGTCACGCCCTTCCACTCGCGCCCACCCTCGCCGACGGGTGGTGCCCGGCCGACGCCCGGCGGCGGCGCGGCGCCAGGAGGCGGCGGCTACGACTTCTCGCTCCTCGCGTCGACGCCGGCGGCCGCCGCCGCCGCTCCCGCCTCAAGCAACGCGCCGCCCGTACCGGCACCTCCAGCTCCCGCACCCGCACCTGCACCTGCACCTCCTGCCGCCGCGTCTGAGCCTGCGCCCGCACCCGCACCCGCGTCGGCGGAGCAGGACGAGCACACGGCGGCGGCAGAGCCGGCTCGAGAAGGCGAGGGGGCGTCGGCGGGGGAGGCGATGCCCAAGGTGGAGGACGGGACGGACGGTGCGCCGGCTGAGGGTGCGTGAGGTCGAGGAGGGCTCGAGGTGGTCGAGAAGTGCTTGTCGGTCGAGGAGGCTGCTGTAGAATGCCTGTCTCTCTCTCTCTTTCTCTTGTCTCTCTGGCTAGAGGACTGAAAAGTAACGCATGAGCATGCACGTTGACAATCGGCCGCACGTTGACAATCGGCCGTCGTCGAGAGCTGCTCGCGAGCTTTCTCGCTCTCGTCGTCACGTCTCTCTGCTTCGCGCGCCGAGACGGACACGCCGTTGAGCACAGACACAGACTTTCGTTGCACGTCACCCGCTCGTCGATATCCACGCTGCGGCCCGCTCATCAGAGCTTGCCCTTGATGTCCTCGGCGAGCTTCTTGAGGTCGTCCATATCGGCCTTCTTGGTCGGCCAGCCGATGACGAGGCCGGCCTCGTCCGAGTCCGAGGGCTTGGGGATCACTGCGCGCGAGTGAGAGGGTGAGCTTGACGCGGCGGGACGAGGGAGAGGAGAGAGAGAGAGAGAGAGAGAGGGCGGGAGGGACGCACTGTGGAAGTGGACGTGCTGCGGGTTGGGCGAACGCGAGGCGTGGAGGTCAGCAGGGCGGGTACTAGGACGTGAGAGAGGGACGTACGTCGACGACTTGGTGCGCGATGCGGCCGTTGTTCTGCAGGACAGGGATAGAGCGTGTCAGGAGCGCGGGGTTGGTGTGCTCCACTAGGCCAACGCGGCCAACGCGGCGAGCGCCTCGACCAGGAGTCAAGCACCAGTACAGGACGCACCTGGAGGATGTTGTAGTTCTCGACGCCCTGGGCGACCGCAATCTTCTTGAGGGTGGCGAGGATCTCGCCGAGGTGCTCGTCGGGGAGGTCGTGCAGCTTGGCGGCGTGGTCTGCGGGTGGGTGGGCTCGTCAGTTCGGACGACGAGCGTCACAGGGGAGAGGTGGACGCACACTTGGGAATGACGAGGGCGTGGCCGGGCGCGATGGGGCCAATGTCGAGGAACGAGTAGCTGCGAGGTGGGGGAGGACGAAGTGAGCGGGCCGTTCTGGGTGGGTTTGAGGCGGTAGGAGCGCACGTACACTGCGTCGGTCTCGATGAGCTTGAACGAGGGGATGTCGCCCTTGATGATCTTGCAGAAGATGCAGTTGTCGTCCGTGTGCGACGAGGCGGCCATGGCGGAGGAGGAGAACTGCACGGGCGGGTTGGGAGGGTGAGTGAACTGTGCGTGGACGGCTCCTCGAGTGCTTGCGCGCACTCTGCGCTGCTGCATGCTCACTCGTCGTTGTCCTCGTCCTCGCCCGAGTGTCAGGAGATGAGAAACGAGACTCGCCCTCCCTCGCACTCTGTGCAGCGCTGCTCGACATGCACGCTCCGAGACGCCGCTAGAGATTTGTCAGGGCATGTGGCTCACCTTGCGGGGCGTGTGTGCGGCGAGGTGGTGAGAAGTGGGGAGGGTGGACGAGGCGAGGGGGCGAGGAGGTCGAGCGAAGGCGGTTCGGCTGAAGGCGGGGCGGGGAACGAGGCGTGCGAGGGACAGCTTGGCTGGTGCGTGCGTGGCGGTCTCGCTCGAGGGGCTGTTGCTGTGCAGACGCCGTCGCCAACCTCCTCCTGGTCGACCCGACGGCTCGCTCGGCTTCGCTCTCCTCGGCTCAAGGCGCATAGCTGCAGTCACTGTCGCCATCTCTCTGCTCTCTACTCTCTGCTCGAGGGCGCGCGCCGCGTCGAATCCCGCCTCGTTGCACGTCTCGCTCTCCCCTCCTCGCGCCGACCACGGCCAGCTACATGACGACGCACGTCTTGCTCCGCCCGACGTCGAACCCGCTCGCCTCGCCGTCCTCGCGCTCCCGGTGCGCGCGCGCGACGTGCTCGGCCGCGTGCGCCGCGTGCGCCGACGATGGCCTCGCAGCCGGGTCGTTCGCGTGCGCGTTGAACACGACGGCGATGCCCTGGATCGTCTCGTCCCTGTCGAGGCGGTCGGCCGTCACGACCCGGTCGTCCTTGTGCGTCGGGACGAGGAACGACCCGCCGGGCAGGCCGTTGAGCGCGCGCTCGACGCCGGCAGGGTACCGGCTCGGGTTGGCGCTCCACGAGAAGCGCCAGGTCGACTGGGCGAGTTGAGGGCCGAGCGGCGCCGAGTCGAGCGTCCAGCAGTCGAGGAAGAAGAAGAAGTGCGCTTTGTGCGGGTCGGGAGGAGGGACGTTCAGGAGGGAAAGGACCGGGTCTGCAACGAGCATGGCGGCTGTGACGAGGCGACGCAAGTAGAGAGAGAGAGGGAGACGCACTCGCCACCGTGACGCGGTGAAAGTTGTCGCTCACGATCGAGCGAGCCTTCGTCGAGGTGCCGCCGAGGTTGGCGTCGGGGGCGAGCTGCGGAACGCCCGTCGCCTCAAACTTGAGCACACGACGTCCACTTAGCCCGATGCCGCTCATGTGGCTCGCGCCGCCCATCGTCGGGACTTGAGGCGTCACGACGAGGTGATGGCCTTGCAGGAGACCTGCGCGAGTGGCGGCGAGAGGTCAGTGCGCGCTCGGTCGGACAGAGAGCGACGGCGTACCTCTCGAGGCGCGGATGTGCGGAGCGTCGGTGTGCTCGATGTCGACGACCCACACGCGGTACGGTCGAAAGTGGCGCTTGGCGTGGCCCTCCCACAGGAACGACTCGAGGCGCGTGCACACGAGGTCGACCGCCTCGTGCGCGACCTTGAGCTCATAGCCTTTCTCGCACACTGCAGCGGCGACGTGGTCAGGCGCGTATCTGACATAAAGACGAGAGAGAGGGACGCACAGAACTCGATGATGTTCTCGGCAGCATGGACCGTGAACTCGCGGTCCTTCGCCGGTTGCCCAAAGTCGGGCGGCGTCGACGAGTGGCGGTGGTGCTTGTACCGCGTGACGCCAGTGAGGAACTCGCCGACAGCTCCACGTTCAAATTAGCCTGTCTTGTTCGGGCTGTGAGCTTGCATCGCGATGAAGGAGAGAGGAAGCGAACGAGAGCAGAAGCTCGAACGTACGCGTGGAGCGTCTGCCTCGGCGGACCTTCCACGGACCTATACAGGCGGACAGGGGCTTGTCTCGGAGAGAGCTGACGGGCAGCAGCGGCGGAGAACAACAGAGCGAGAGGGGCCTGAGCGGCGGGCGAGGCTCGACTTGAGAAGGCCGGGGCGGCCAAGTTGCGACCAAGCTATTCGAGATTAGCAGAGTGTTGCTTGATCTCGATTACTCCGAGCCGAGTACTCTCGAATATGAAAAGTCAAGCGAAAGTCGAATAGCGAGTCCGTTCACCGTGCGTGGCTCAAGTTTGCGGTGTCAACCTGGCGCAGGTGCTGCCCCGTTGGCTCCGTCAGTGCCCTGACAGTGTCCAACGGCGAGTCCAGGTCACAGAAGCTGCCGCAGAGGCGCGAGAGACGGCGGTGGACTCGTCCACTCGGTCGGCGGTCGGTCGCTTGCTTGGTCTCCCACACTCCCCAGCTCCCCTCGCCATGAGCTGGATGAACCAGCCCTATGCTGGCGGCTACGGCCAACAGCAGTACCCGCAACCTACAGGCTACATGCCCCAGCAGCTCCAGGTGCGTCGCCGCCTGCTCCCCCTCCCCCGTCGTCGCGTCACCCTCGATCCCGCTCACCCATCGCTCGTCTTCCCTCGTGTCCACCCGCACACAGCAACAGCGCACTGGCTTTGCACCTCAGCCCCAGTTCCAGGTGCGCCCACCTTCCTCCCACCGCGCCGTCGTCCTCGAGTCCCCCCTCCCTGACCCCCGAACCTCCCCCCCACCACCACCACAGCAGCCGCAGCCGACCGGCTTCGCGGGCCAGGGCGCCATGGGCGGCATGCGCCCGCCGGTCCCGATGCAGCCTCAGCCGACGGGCTTCATGGGTGCGCCGATGCAGCAGCGCCCGATGCAGACGGGCTACGGCGGGCCAGGCGCACCGGCACCGCTCGTCCCGCAGGCGACCGGGTTCAACTCGAGCGGCCTCGGCGCCGGCGTGCAGAACCAGTTCCTCCAGACGTTCCTCCCCGCCGCCCAGTCGCACCCGTCGGCCTACATGCAGCCGGGCCAGATGCAGTTCGCCGCCCAGCAGCAGCTCCAGGCCCAGCCGACCGGCGTCGCCCCGGCCCCGTCGCTCCAGCAGCAGTTCCAGCAGTCGAACCAGCAGCAGATGGGCCAGGCGAGCGTCCCGATCCCGTGGAAGCTCACGCCCGAGGAGAAGAAGCGTTACGACCAGATCTTTCGCGCGTGGGACCAGCAGGGCAGCGGCTTCCTGCCCGGCTCGATGGCCAAGGAGGTGTTCGGCCAGGCGGGTCTGCAGACCGACGACCTCATGGCGATCTGGTGCGTCCCTCTCTCCCTCGCGCCGACCTCGCCTCGAGCGCCTCGACTCACCTCTCATCCCTCTGCAGGAACCTCGCCGATGTCAGCGACCGCGGCAAGCTCAACATCGACGAGTTTCACGTCGCCATGGGCCTCATCTATCGTCGTGCGTCCCCCTCCCTCCTTCTGAGCCGTCGGCGTCGGCAGACGTTCCTGACCTTCCTCCCTCGAGCAGGCCTCAACGGCAACCCGATCCCGCAAACCCTTCCTGCCGAGATGGCCCCTCCCTCAGCTCGCGACCTCGAGGACTCGGCCAACTTCCTGACGTCGCTCCTCAAGAACGACACGAACCGCCGCGCGACCAACCAGACCGACGTCGACGGCCCCCAGTCGCGCGCCAAGCTCCGCTCGCTCCACGAGTCGGGCCCGTCCGGCTCGAGCCGCAAGGACGCGACCGTGTACCGCAACGACGACGACGCGACGCCCGTCTACAAGAGCAGCTCGCGCCACCTCAACCGCGACGACGTGCGGTCGCGCAGCACCGACTCGCCGACGAGCGAGCTCGACGAGGCCAAGCGTCGCCTCCGCGAGGCGCAGCGCGAGGCCGAGCGTTCGCGCGAGGAGGACGACGACGAGGAGGACCTCAAGGAGGAGCTGCGCCGCCTGACGCGCAAGATCCAGCGCGTCCAGGACGACCTCGACGACAACCGGCGCAGCGGCCGGCGCACGGCGGCCAAGGACGAGGAGCGTCGCATGCTCGAACGCGAGCTGCTCCGCCTCGAGCACGACGACCTGCCGCGCCTCGAGAAGCGCCTCGAGGACAAGGAGCGCGAGAAGCGCCTCGACCGCAAGAAGCTCGCCATCGAGCGCGACGGCCGCAACGGCCCGGCGTCGAGGCGCTACGAGGACAAGTACGACCGCGAGCGCTACGGCTCGTCGTCGCGGTACGACGACGACGAGCGCAGCTACTCGTCGTCGCGGCGCCGAGGCGACGACGGCGACGACGGCGAGGACCGCGGCTACAACCGCGGCACCTACGACCGCGACGACCGCGGCCGTTACGCGCCGTCACTCCCTCGCCGACAGAGCCCGTCGGCGCGCTCGCGCACCCCGCCGCCGCCACCTCCTCCCGCACCCTCGACCGCCAAGATCGACGCTCCGCCTCCGCCTCCCCCGACCGCTCCGCCGACGACCGCCGCTGCGCCTGCCGCACCCGACACGCGCTCGATGACGCCCGAGCAGCGTCAGGCGTTCATCCGCTCCGAGGCGCAGCGCCGCATCCAGGAGCGCCTGCGCGCCCTCGGCGTCGCCGCCCCGTCGGCCGCCAACGGCGTCGACACGTCGGTCCAGGACCGCCTCGAGGCCGACAAGCTCGAGGCGGCGCGCAAGGCGGCCGAGGCCGACGAGCAGCTCAAGGCCAAGGAGCTCGAGCGCCAGGCCAAGCTCGACCGCGAGCGTGCCAAGGGCGTCGCCGTCGAGCAGGCGCTCCAGGACACGCAGCGTGAGTCGCACGCCGTCCAGCAGGTGCGCGACGAGGTCGAGCGCGACGCGCGCGCCTTGCCCGGCCAGAGCAACGGCGCCGAGCCTCGCCAGGCCGTCGCCGCCGCCGAGGACCAGCTCGATGCCGAGGAGAAGGCGCTGCGCGAGCGCGAGGCGCAGCTCGAGCGCGAGCGCGACGAGCGTCGCCGGCGCATCGAGGACCTCGAGCGCGAGGCCAAGGAGGCCGAGGACAACTTTGCGAGGAGCAAGGCGGCGTTCCAGCAGGCGAGCACCAAGCCCAAGACGGCGCCGCCTCCTCCCGCATCGCGCAAGCCTGCGCCGCCGCCGTCGCGCAAGGCGGCCCCGGCGCCTGCGCCAGCTCGCCCGCAGCAGGACGACGACGACGACTTTGGCGCGCCGCCGCCTCGTGCGTCCGCCCCGGTCGCCTCGCCGCCGCCGGCTCCTCCTGCGCCACCCATCCCTCCTGTCGCACCGCCTGCACCCTCGGCCTCGGCGACGACGCTCTCGCCGCCGCCGTCGATCGCGTCGCCGCAGGCCAAGAGCCCGAGCACCAACCCCTTCTTCCGCCTCCAGGGCGCCGGCGGCGGCGCGTCTCCCGCCGCCGCTACTGCCCAGGCGGGCAAGCCCAACCCGTTCTTCGCGGCCGGCGGCGCTCCTGCCGCCGCACCGCCCGCACCCGTCGCGCCGCCGGCGCCCAAGGCGCGTGCGCCTCCCGCCGACGACGACGACTGGGACGCGCCCGCCGGCCTCGAGAGGGACGTCGACGAGTCGGACAGCGACGACGAGCCGATCGGCGGTGCCCGAGCGCAGCGTGCCGCACTCGCGCAGAACCTGTTCTCGGGCCTCGGCATGGGCGGCGGTCGCTCGTCGCCGGCGCAGAACACGACGCCGCCGACCCGCTCGGCTGTCGCCACGCCTGCGCCGGCCGCAGCTGGCGGCGCTCCTCCTCCTCCGCCGCCGCCGCCTCCCGCCGCCCCGAGCGCGCCATCGGCGCCTCCTGCGCCCAAGGCCCCGGCCGTCGCGCTCGGCGGCGCGGCGGGCCCCGCCGACCGCGGCGCCCTCCTCGGCGCCATCCAGGGCGGGCTGCGGCTCCGCAAGGCGCAGACGGTCGACAAGAGCGGCCCTGTCGGCGCCGGCGCCGTCATCGGCGACGCGAGCCCGCCCGTCCAAACGTACGCGCCGCCCCCTCGCGAGCCGACGCCGCCGCCTCGCGAGCCGACGCCCGAGCCTGCTGCGCCCGAGGTCGAGCCCGAGCAGTACGGCGCGAACGGCGACGGTGCCGAGACGCTCCCGGCCATCGTCAGCGAGGACCCGCTCGCCAACGTCGACTTGAGCAAGACGATCCGCGTCCGCTCGTTGTACGACTATGACGCGCAGCGGCCCGAGGACCTCGGGTTCGTCGAGAACCGGGTCTTGCTCGCGCACCCGTCGCGCGACGGCGCCGGCGACTGGTGGTACGGCGCGACCGAGGTCGACGGCAACACGTTCGGCTGGTTCCCCAAGGCCTACGTCGAGGAGATCAACGGTGCGTCTCTCTCTCTCTTTTTCTCTCTCCATCTCTCCCTCCTCGCGAGTGAGCGCTCCGCGGCGACGAGACTGACTCTCGCCTTTCCCGCCTTCTTCTTCTCGCCTGCAGCTCAACCCGCACGTGCGCTCTACGCCTACGAGGCCACCTCGGCCGACGAGCTTTCGTTCGAGGAGGACGCGATGCTCGCCGTCGTCGACTCGTCGGACGCGAGCTGGTGGAAGGCGGAGAAGGACGGCGTGGTCGGGCTCGTCCCGGCGACGTACTTTGACCTCTCGAGTCAGTAAAACTACCGCACCCTCGTCCCTCCTCCATCCACACGGGGTGAAAGAGGCGGTGCAGGCTTTCATCGAGCTGCGTCCCCTCTTTCCCCTTCTCCTCTCGCCCCCCTCGACTGCCTCCCCCTCCAAAAGACCTTGCGCTGAGACCCCTCCCTTCTCCTTCCCCTTCTTCTTCCCTCGTCGTACCGCAATATACTCTTCCGTCTCTCTCCTTGTCTCTGCCCGTCTCGACAGCTCCCTCGTCTCGCACAGAAGAGCTCGTCGTCGCGTCGTCCGCCGTCCCCGTCCTTCTCGACGCACCTCTCTCGCCGGTCCCGCCGACCTCGCCCAGCTCGCCGACTAGCCCGACCGATGCCGACTTGAGCGACGACGACGCCGACAGCGACGATGAAGGAGCCGTCGCCGCTCGCGAGGCCGAGCGCCTGCGAGTCCTCGCAGCCGCCGGGCTCCTCGTCAAACCTGCGGCCAGGCCGGGTTCGCCGAAACGGCGTCGTCGTCCGCCGCCTGCGCGCCCGCAGCGACGTCCGGGCTCGATGGCCGTCGCGATCGAGGAGCAGGCGCGTGCGTCGGACGAGCAGAAGGACGAGCAGGGCGAGCGAGAACCCGAGTTGGAGGAGGAGAAGATGGAGGACGCCTACGACGTGCGTGCGCTCTCCCTCCTCCTCTAGAGATGGCTACTGACGCTCTCGAGACCCGCAGCTGTATCAGCGCGCCATGCGCGAGCAGCGCACGGCCTCGCTCGCCCCGACCGTCGACTCGCCCGCGGTTCCTCAGCCTTCCCCTCCCGGCTCACCCACCCTTTCCACCGCTCCTTCGACTACCGCCGCCGTCAAGGACGCCTTCCAGTCGTCCGTGAGCGGGTTCTTCAACCGGCGAGGGCGTTCGGCGACCGTAGGGAGCGAGAAAGCGAGACCGATCATCAGCGCGCCGCTCGCGCCTCAAGGCGACAACACGTCGCGTGACAGTCGGGCCAGTGGAGCTTTCGGATCTGTGCGTCGTCTGTTTCCCTCTCTACCTCCTGCCTCGAGCAGAACTGACAAGCTCCCCTCGCGCAGACCTGGGCGAGCCTCGTCGACGAGGCGGCACTTGTCGACCTTCCCGACTCGGAGCGCAAGCGGCAAGAGGCCTGCTACGAGCTCATTGCGACCGAGCAGAGCTACGTTCAGAGCCTGCAACTCGTCATCGAGGTGCGCCCACTCTCTCTTTGACCATCGATTGCGCGCACTGACCTCCTCTGCGCGCAGGTCTTCCTGACCGCCCTGCAGCCGATCCTGCCCGAGAAGGCGCTCCAGGTCATCTTTGCCAACATCGACGACATCCTGCTGTTCGACACGGTGCGCCTTGTGCTCCTCCCATCTCTCAAAAACGACGACCGCTCACCCTCCTGCACACCGCCGTACAGGTTTTCGTCTCCGAGCTCGAGGAGCGGCAACGACAAGCCCGGCTCTACATCGACACGATCGGCGACGTCCTCAAGGAGCACATGCGCGGTGTAGCGCGCCACTACCGCCTCTTCTGCGTCAACCAGTCGAACGCGATGAGGACCCTCGACGACCTCAAGCTGTCGAACGCGCCCGTGCGAGAGACACTCGACGTGCGTCCCCCTCTTTCCTCGACTCTCAGGTTGTAACTGTGTGCGGGACTGAGTCACTGCCTCGCCTACAGCATCTACGGGTCAAGAACCTCGAGCTCGACCACTTCCTCCTCGAGCCGATGCAGCGGGTCACGCGGTACCCTCTCCTCATCAACCAGGTGAGTTCTCTCCGCACTCGAGACTCGTGTCTGGTCGCTCTCCCTGCCCTCGGACTGACGTCCCGCCCCTGGCGTCGCCGCCTTCTCCCAGATCCTGCGGTACACGCCTCCCGACCACCCGGACCACCCGGCGCTCTCTCGCGCCCTCGAGCTCGCCGAGGCGGCCCTCAACGACATCAACGAGGCGGTGCGGGCACACGAGAACCAGGAGAAGCTCGTCTGGCTGAGCGACAACATCGAGTTCCCAGGAATCCCTGGCGGTGTACGCCTCTCTCTCTCTCTTTCTCCCCTTTCTCGTCGAGGTTGCAGTCGCCGACTGACATCTACTTCGATGCCCTCGCAGCACCTCGACCTGAGCGCGCCGACCCGGCTACTTGGCCCTCGCCGCATCCTTCGCGAGGGCAAAGTCGAGAAGGCCAAGTCGCGCCGCCAGCTCAACGCGTTCCTCTTCAACGACCTCCTCATCTTCACCGAGTCGCGCCCTGGTGCTGGAGAGGTCGTTTATCGCTACGTGCGTCCTCCTTTCTCTCCATCTCGGCCTCGCGAGCGGTCACTGACCTCGTCCTCCCTCGCAGCCGATCCCGCTCGAGGAGAGCTCCATTCGCGGCGCCGACAGCGAGTTCAGCGTCACACATCGTGGCGAGGCGATCCGGGTCCGTGCCGGCACGCCTCGGCAGGCGCAGCTGTGGGTGCGCGAGGTCGGTGCCGCGAGGAGGGCGTGCCTCGAGGCGGTCAGTGCGTCGAGGAGTGCGAGGTAGTTCTCTGGCTTTGCTGCAACTCGAGCTCGTCGCAGAAGAGGACGCGTGTCGTGCACAGTGCGTCTATAAATTGCAAAGATCTCGGAAAGTCAAAGAGTGGTACAAGAGGGACCTCGGCCCCCTCCTCGCCGTTGAGAAGGCCAACTCGCTCGTCTCAGAGCACCGCCGAGACGCCCATCCGCAGGCAGTCCTCTGGCGAGGCGAACTTGAACTGCTCGTACGCGTCGAAGTTGCGCGCAAATCGGCGATAGACCTCCTCGAGGAGGAAGCGGCGGATGGCGCGCACGACGCGAGGACGACGAGGACCGGGCGCACGGTCGGCCGAGACGTAGAACTGCGGCAGGCTGTAGAGAGGAGAATCTGTCAGTACACGTTCACCGAGATCGACGAGGCGAAACGAGAGAGTGAGAGGCTCGACGCACATGTGCGTGACGGCGCCGGCGAGAGCCTCGTCGATCTTGCGGACCTTCTCCTTGAGCTCGTCGGCGTTCTGCTGCGCCCTCGACTCGAGTGCGACGATACGGTCGCGCAGAGGCGGCGCGATGGTCGACAGGTCGAGTTTGTCGCGGTAGCCGAACGAGACGACCGCGGTGAACAGGCCGTCGAACCGGCGCAGACGGTCGACGAGGAACCGGTCGTCGAACGCGACGTGAGGGACGCCGACGACTCGGACAGTCAGAAAGACCTGTGTCGAGAGGATATAGAATGGATTAGGTCAAGGACCGTGCGAGGAAAATACGAGGACGCACGATGACCTGGGGCAGGGCCGGGTAGCTGCGCACGAAGGCGGTGAACGAGTGCGGCGCGCCATCCGAGCTCGACGACGAGTGGTTGTGGAACCTGCAACGGCGGGGCAGAAGAATGTCAGGTCAAGTCAAGGCCAAATCGGTCGAGAAGAGGGACGCGGACGGACAGCGCAAAGACGGGCAGGCGGGCGAGCGACGCGCCTCCCGCCGCCGCCTCGTACGCCGGCAAGGCGAGTCGACGCTGTCGAAGCTCGGCGCCGGCGGTACCGATGTTGCCGTGGCGGCCGTCGAGGACCGAGATGCCCTGCGGCGCCCGAGGCGACCGATTCTCGCCGTCGTCGTCGCCGCCGGCGACGGTGATGTCCTGCTCCACTTCGGGCGACAGCTTCTCATCGTCGGCGTCGTGCTCGCCGGCCGGGCCGTCCGTCTCGCGCTCGAGCCGAGGGCGCATGATCTCGGACAGGCGGTACCGGTGACCGGCGTCGAACTTGTCCTCGAGGCCCTTTGCCCAGGCCCAGAAGATGAAGACGACGAGGAGGACGGCGCCGAGCCCGAGAGGGAACCAGGCGCCGTGCGGGACCTTCTTGAGCGAGGCGCCGAAGAAGAGGGCGTCGATAAAGGCGGCGGCGAGAAAGTACGCGAGCGCGACGACGACGGGCATGCCCTTGAGCTGGACCATCGCGAGCGCCAACGTGAGGGTCGTGATCAACATGACGCCCGAGACGGCGAACCCGTAAGCGTTGGTGAGCCCGACTTCGGTGCCGAAGCCGCACGCTGCGAGAGAGGGAAAAGAGTCAGTGAGGGTCTGCGACGACAGAGAGGACTCGAGCGGCGACGCACTGAGGCCGATAGTGCCGATGAGGAGGAGGACGTTGATGCCGGGCGCGTAGATGCGGCCCTTTGAGGTGTCGTCCGTGTGGACGATCTTGACGGGCGGCATGACGTGGAGCGAGGTGAGCTGCTGCACGAGCGAGTACGTGGCCGTGATCATGGCTGCAGGAAGGTCCGAAAGAGAGTCAGTAGGAGAATCTCGAGAAGTGTAGAAGGGAGAGAACGAGACAGAGGGAGGAGGAAGGGGAGGAGGAAGGGAGAGAGGGGAGGAGAGAGGGGAGGCGCACCTTGACTGGCAATGACGGCCGCGAGGACCGCAAAGATCCACACGAACCACCACAGGCCGCCGCCGGTGCCGCCCGGGATCGAGTTGAAGAAGACGTTTTGAAGGACAGCTTCGCCGCCGACGATCAATTTGGCGCCTTGGCCGAGGTACTGGAGCATGAGGCACGGCGCCGCGAGGCAGCAGAAGGCGAGGCGGATCGACCCTTTGCTGAACTGGCCGAGACTGCGAGGCGCAAAGAGAAGGGGAGAGGAGCAAGTCAGTGAGAGGCTCGAGCGGCTCGAGGAGGTCGAAAGAGGGCTCACTTGGCGAAGAGGGCCTCGACGCCGGTGATGCACAGGATGACGCCGCCGAGAAGGTCGTAGTTGCCCGTGCGCACGAAGAGCATGACGGCGCGCGACGGGTCGAACGCGCGAAAGATGCCCGGGTAGTGCGTGATGTTGACGATGCCCACGCCGGCGTTGATGAGGAGCCAGATCGTGACGACGGGCGAGAACAGGAGGCCGAGCTTCTTGGTGCCGAACGGCTGGGCGAGGAACAGGACGCAGAGGATGCCGCACGAGATGCCGACGACCGACGACGCCGCGCCAGGTGCGCCGTACGAGAGGCCGACGACGGCGCTCGTCACCGAGACGGCCGGCGTCAAGAGGCCGTCGCTGATGGTGAGGGCGACGCCGAGGAGCGACAGGACGAACAGGGCCGTCTTGACGAACGGCCGGTGGAGGAACGAGGTGACGGCGTGCGAGGACGGGGGAGCGGTGGCGAGGCTGTACGTCGTGAGGGTGCGCCACCCATCGGTCTTGGACTCTCGCGGCGGGAAGAGCGCCGTCCAGACGGCGAAAGGCCCGCCCTCGCCGGCGGCCGTGCCGAACTCGAGCGCGATGAGGCAGTACTTGACGACGGGGACGAGGATAATGGCCCAAAGGATTGCGCTGATGCCGCCGACGATGTTTTCGCGCGAGGGCATCGGTCCTGACGAGGGAAAGATGCCGTTCACGGTGTAGAGTGTACTCGTGCCGATATCTGCGCACCGGGAGAGCGAGACGAGGGCGTAAGTCCCTCGGTCCTCGAATTGCGCCTCTCCCCCTCGGCCCGCAGCTGCTCGTCCCTCCTGTATACTGTCAAGAAGATGTGGGACGCACCGCCGTAGATGACGCCGACGCTGATGTAGGCGAGCGCGAGCGTCGCCCTCAGGCCGTTCTTCTGCGACCGGTGCTGCGCCTCGCGCGGAGCTTCTCCTTGTTGCTCGACGTGCATCTCGAGGAACCCTTTGACGATGACGGTGGGACGGGAGAGGCGGGCCGGGTCGAACGTTCGAAGTGTGCAGGCGAGGGAGAAGGGAACAAGGAGAGCGAGGGAGGGACGAAAGGGTCAGCTGCGGCGCTGAATGGGCACCGCCTCTGCATGCGGACGCTAGGGAAAGAATGTACCTACGATCGGGGTCGTCGACTGAGCATGCGGGTGCAAGGGCGATTGAGCGAGATGCGCATGGCGAGAGAAAAGCGCCCGAGCGGAATCAGCGCAGAGGCGCAAGTCGCGCGGCGTCCACTCCGAGCGGGCGGGCGCGCGGTGCTCGAGGGCTCGAGGCTAGCTCCATCAGGCAGCTGGATGCCGCCCGCCCCGCCTCGCGAGGGGCGCAGAGCCCTCCTGGCCGCGCCGCTGAGCAAGAGGACGACCTCGCCGGCTCGCGGCGCAGGCTCTTGGGGCGAGAAGGACACAAGCCAGCCGGAACGGAGCACATTGCTCCTGCCCAGAGAGCCAGCATGTGCGTCTCTGGAGTCGAGAGCGGACGAGCGAGGTGAACGAGAGCAATCCGCTCGCGGGAGCTCCACCTCGACAGCTTCTTGTCACGCACCAAGGCTTGCTGCCGAGCTAGACGGGCTCTAGCACAGCTGCAGGACTCTCTGGCTCTGCGCTCGAGGCCGTCGAGCAGCCTGGCGAGCGGTGCTCGCTCTCTCTTCCCCGGACCTCTCCTCCTCCTCGCCGACGGCGGCGATGAGGGCGAGCGAGCTACGGGGCGCGGCGGTGTCGCCTGTGCGGCTGCATGTCGAGTCAAGTGACCCGTCGAGCTGCCCGTCTCGGCCGCACGACGAGGCGGTGCGCAAGCACGAGGTCGCAACGCTTGAGCGACTTGTGCCTCAAAGGGGACAGGCGCTCTCTTGAGCGCGCCCTCTCGATGCCTCTCTGTTCCTCAGCTCGCTTCCATCCGCTCTACTCGCCGCCCGAGTGCGCTCCCTCGACTCGCCGTCCTCGCCCTCTCCTCCCTCGCCTCGACCCCGTCAGCCTCGTCCTCAGCCGCCTTCCAGCCCCCGTCTCGCGCCGCCATGCTCGACAGCAAGCCCGGCGACCTCGAGTCGGTCACCTCGCGCTCCTCGACGAGCTCGTATAGCCCCATGCCGACCTTGAGGGTGCAGGCGCCCGCCAGTCACGGCCGCGCCTTGCGCCGTTTCGACACAATCGCGAGCCAGGGCTCGGTCCGCCCGCGTGCCCGCATCCCTGTCGACTTCCGCACCCTGTCGTGCGTCCATTTTTCCCAGTGCTCCTTCGCCGCACACGCACTGACTGCCCACGTCCGTGCCACAGGATCCAGGTCACCGAGAGCCGCGCCGTTCCCAAGGCGACCGGCCTCCCCGAGAAGAAGAACAAGGACCTCGACGACCTCGCCTCGCTCGACTGGCACACCCTCAGCCCCGACGAGGTCGCACAGCGTCTTGGCGTCGCGCCACAAGCCGGCCTCGACAACCAGGTGGTCGCGCGCCGGCTCTCGTCGGACGGCCGCAACGTCATCACGCCCGCTCGCGCCAACTGGCCCCGCAAGATCTTTTTATACTTCTTCGGCGGCTTTGGGTCCCTCCTGTTCGTCGCCTCGGTCCTGTGCTTCGTCGCCTGGCGGCCGTTGGGCGACCCGAATCCGGCCGTCGCCAACCTCGCCCTCGCCGTCGTCCTGCTCCTCGTCGTCATCCTCCAGGCCTTCTTCAACGCGCTCCAGGACTACAAGACGACTCGCACAATGTCGTCGATTGCGAGTGTCCTGCCGACCGCGGTCCTCTGCCGTCGCGACGGCGCCACCGTCGAGTGCGTCCTCGTCCCTCCCCTCTCACCCCTCTCTCCCTCCCCTCTCGTATCAGGACTGACGCAGAGATTGCTCGCAGACTCGCTGCAGCCGACCTCGTCAAGGGCGACATCGTCCTTCTCAAGATGGGCGTGAAGGTGCCGGCCGACCTGCGCCTCATCGACGTCTCGCCCGACTGCCGCTTCGACCGCTCGATCCTCACAGGCGAGAGCGTCCCTGTCGGTGCCACCGTCGAGAAGACCGAGGACAACTTGTGCGTCCCTGTCCGCCTCTCCTCGTCCTGGCCCTTCCTTGACCGTCTGCCTCCCTCAGCCTCGAGACGCTCAACATCGGCCTTCAAGGCACGCTCTGCACAGACGGTACCGCTACCGGCATCGTCGTCGGCTGCGGCGACTCGACCGTGTTCGGCCGGATCGCCAAAGCGGCAGGACGCTCTCGTCCGCTCCCGTCGACGCTCGAGGAGGAGGTTCGGCACTTTGTCACGATCATCGCGAGCCTGGCGGCCGCCGTCGTCGTCCTCATCATCAGTGCGTCCCCTCGAGCCCTCGGTGGCGGAGCAATAGCGGCAAACACTGACCATCTGCCCGTCACAGTCCTCTGGGCAGCCTGGCTTCGAGTCGCGCACCCGGGCTTCATCACGGTCCCGGTCCTCATCATCGACTGCGTCTCGGTCGCCGTCGCCTTCATCCCCGAGGGTCTGCCCTTCTGCGTCACCATGTCGCTCACCGTCATCGCGAACAAGATGGGCAAGAAGGGGATCCTCGCCAAGTCGCTCACGACGGTCGAGGCGCTCGGCGCCGTGTCGGTCCTCGCCTCGGACAAGACCGGCACGCTCACCCGGAACACGATGACCGCCGTCAGCATGACCGTCGGTACCTCGTCGTTCACCGCCGCCGACGCTCGCCGCATCTCGGTCGACGCCGCCAACCCGACGCACATGGCGCTCAACCAGGTCGTCGCCGTCGCCGCCATCTGCAACGACGCAGAGTTTGTCGTCTGCGAGGACAAGGACATGCCGCTCGAGGCGCGCAAGGTCGTCGGCGACGCCACCGGTGCGCTCCTCGTCTTCCTCCGTCTCGTCGGCCCTCGCGCGACGACCCTGACTCTATCCATCACCTCTACCTTCCAGATACGGGCCTGTTGCGCTTCGCCGAGTCGTGCTCGCCGGTGTCGTCGGTCCGCAACGCCGTCGTCGTCAAGCAGAAGCTCGCGTTCAACTCGAAGACCAAGTTCGCCGTCAAGCTCTGCGCCAGGGCGCACGCCTCGACTGCAGCGCTCCCTGCGCTCTTTGACGGCGACGAGTGCAGCGACCAGGTCCTTCTCGTCAAGGGTACGTCCCCCTCGCTCGCCGCGACGACCTTCTCGGTCGACTTGAGAAGGCTAACTTTCAGGCGCCCACAGGCGCTCCCGACATCCTCATGCCTCGCTGCGCCTCGATCTTGCGCACCGATGGGTCGGTCGAGACTTTCACGGCCGATGCCGTCGCCGCTCTCGTCGCCGTCCAGTCGCGTTACGCCGCCCTCGGACAGCGCGTCCTCCTGTTCGCCAAGCGCTCCATCTTGCCCGAGTACACGGCCGACCTCATCGGCACCGAGGAGGACCAGCTCTTGTCTCTCGTCGAGAGCCTCACGGTCGTCGGGCTCGTCGCGCTTGTCGATCCGCCCAAGCACGACTCGGAGGAGACGGTCGCGAGGTGCCGCGCCGCCGGGATCCGCTTCTTCATGGGTGCGCCCTCGCTCACTCTCGGCCTCTTTTCCTCCCCTGTGTCATCCACTGACTCAGTCTTTCCTCACGCAGTCACGGGCGACTTTGCGCTCACCGCCGCCGCCATCGCTCGCCAAGTCGGCATCATCACGGCGCCGGCCGAGTCGGTCAAAACGGTCCAGCAGCTCTCACGCACGGCCGACGACAAGGAGAAGGCGTCGATCGTCGAGGGCGTCAACCAGGCCAAGACAGCGCTCGTGCTGAGCGGCCCCGAGATGCTCACCCTGAGCGAGGAGCAGTGGGACCAGGTCCTCAAGGTGCGCTCGAGCCTCTCTGTCTCTCTCTGCCCATCACCTCGATCCTCGACTAATTCTTCAACACCTGCTACAGTTCGACGAGATTGTCTTTGCCCGCACGTCGCCTCAGCAGAAGTTGCAGATCGTCAAGCGCTTCCAGGCCGCCGGCGAGACGGTCGCCGTCACGGGCGACGGGGTCAACGACAGCGCCGCGCTCAAGCAGGCCGACGTCGGTGTCGCTGTTGCAGGAGGGTCCGAGGTCGCCATGGAGGGTGCGTCGCCAACCGCCCGTCTCGATCTTCCTCCCGCAGGACACTGACCCTCTCCTCGTCCTCTCCCTTCCTCTTTCGCCCTCTCTCCCTCCCCTCCCTTGCCTTTCCTCTCACTTTCCCGACACCCTCGTGGACCCTTTGCAGCTGCCGATCTCGTCCTCCTCGACGACTTCTCGGCCATCGTCGCGGGCGTCGAGGCCGGTCGTCTTTGCTTCCAAAACTTGCGCAAGAGCATCCTCTACCTTCTTCCCGCCGGGTCTTTCTCCGAGCTCATGGTACGTCTCTCCATCCGAGTCGTCGAGGTCGCCATGGTGCCCAAGGACGGCCGACTCACTCTGTCTTTGTCCTTTCACGCAGCCGGTCCTCCTCAACGTCTTCTTCGGCCTCCCTCAAGCCCTCAGCAGCATCCAGATGATCATCATCTGCGCGACGACGGACCCGCTGCCGGCCTTGAGCCTCACGTACGAGGCGCCCGAGGCCGACCTCCTCCTGCGCCCTCCCCGCGACCGCAAGAAGGACCGCCTCGCCGACTGGCGCCTCCTCCTCCACGCCTACTCGTTCCTCGGCCTCCTCGAGTCGCTCACGGCCATGGTCGGCGCCTTCTACTTTGGCTTCCACCGCCGGGGCATCGCCTTCTCGTCGTTGTGGCTCAAGTACGGCGGCTACGACATCGACCCCGACCTCTTGGCCGAGGCGACGAGCGTCGCCCAGTCGATCTACTTCTTCACCTTGTTGGGCTGTCAGCTCGGGTCCCTCCTCGCCACGAGGACGAGGCGCCTGTCGATCGTGCAGCAGGACCCGCTCTTCAACCCTCGGACCCGGAACTGGCGCCTGTTCGGCGCCATGGCCTGCTCCCTCCTCATCGGCTTGTGCGTCAGCCTCTCTCTCTCTCTCTCTCTCTCTCTCTGGACCCTCCCTGATCCTCTCGCCGTCACGCAGCTTCTTCCACTTCGTCCCCTGGTTCCAGCGTACGTTCGGGACGCGCGGCGTCCCCGTCGAGATGGTCTTCCTCCCCGTCGGGTACGGCGGCGCGCTCCTCCTCCTCGACGAGGCGCGCAAGGCGGTCAACCGCCGGTGGCCCAAGGGCGTCCTCGCGTGCTTGGCGTGGTAGAGGGCGGTGCGGTCGGGTGAGCCGGGAGCAAGGAGGGTCGGCGGGGAGGACGAGGGGACCGAGCGCTCGGCTGGCTCGAGCGCGCTCGTTGTACCACTTTTTAGTCTCTCTCTCTCTGTCCCAAGCACGAGCATGCAGTATCACGTCGTTTTGAGCTCGCTGCGTCCCCTCGAGCGAGTAGAGAGCGCGCCTCGCTGAAAGCGCTCTCGAGGAGGCAAAGCTTCGCACGGACCTCGCTCTCGCTCTCTCGCTCCCGAATAAGCCGCGATTCGGACATAGTGAGAACAAAATGTGGATACAGATGCGCTACTCGACAAGGCGCACTCGCCCCGTGCAGAGACGGCCTCACAAGGCGTGCCGCGAGCTGTCGAGCGGGAGGGAGAGAAAGTCAATCTCGGCGCTCGGACCCCCTCGTACCGCAGCCAGGAAGGGAGAGGGAGGCGCAGCTCACGCTTTTGAAGAGCTTTAGCCGGGCGGGAGGAGCGACGCGTCGAACGCCTCTGCCTCCTCGGCGACGCCGTCGTCGGCCATGCCGGACCAGGGCGACGAGATCGGGGCTGCGTGCGACGAGGCGAACGAGTCAGTTCCTGTTTCGCTAGAGGCGCGAGAGACGAGTAAGAAGGGGCGGGACGGACCGCGGGGCATGACCATGAGGCCGGTGCGGGCCGCCTCGAGGATGCCGTAGGGCCGGACGAGCTTGAGGAAGGCGTCGACGCGCTGCGTCTTGCCCGTCATCTCGACAATGACGCTCTCGTTGCTGATGTCGACGAGCTTGCCGCCAAACTGCTCGGCGAGGAGGCGCACGCCACTCAGGTGCGTGTGCTTCATGCGGAGCGCCTCGGACGGCGACAGGCGCTGCGCCTGCTGGTCGACGTCGACGCGCGGGTGGATCTCGCTCGTCGCGCGGTGCGTGTTGTCGATGTGCTGCTTGACGGGCGAGCCCTCCTCGGCGCCCTCGGTCGCGGGGAGGATGTCGGGGCCCTTGTTGGCGAGCTGGTCCTCGAAGTACTCGGGCCCGAGGATCGAGATCTTGGCGAGGAGGAGCTCGCGCTCGATCGTGCGCGTGCGCGTATAGTCGAGGACGGCCCAGACGGGGACCTGTGGTCGGGTGAGAGAGAGTCAGCACTCGGGGAAGAGAGAGAGTGAGTGAGGGGAGGAGGAAAGGACGACGGACCAGGTCCTCGAGTTGCCGCCTCGCCTGCTCGATGACGCCGTCCTGGCCGCGCAGGACGATGCACATGCGCGACAGGTCCTCGATCTCGGTGGCGCACACGACGAGCGAGTCGATGTTGAAGCCGCGGGCGGCGAGGATGCCGGACACGCGCGACAGGACACCGGGCTCGTTCTGGACGAGGCAGTTGAGGGTGTGGCGGGTGAAGGGCTGGAGGGAAGGAGGAGGAGCTGCGTGCACTTGCTTGTGGTCAGTGTACCGCTCGGTGCAGGCAGGGAGAGGGAGAGACTCGCTGTTGTAGAGGATGTTGTCGACGGCTTGCTGAGCGCTCCACTGGGGCGGGTCGATGACGGGCAGAGGGGGCGGCCTGCGCTTCGGGTGGGCAACCTTGTAGTCGCTCGCGGCGGTCGACGACTCGGTCTTGTGCGGGCCCTGGGCGAGAGCGGGCGAGGACGGGGTCGAGTAGGCGGCGCGGTGCTGCTGCTGCCCGAGGGCCTGGGCGGTGCGGCGTCGCAGCAAGGTGAACGACATGGCCACGGCTCTGGAGCTGGCTGGGAAAAGCAGAGAGGCTGGTCGAGGCGAGCGGAGGAGGACGAGGAGAGCCGGAGCAAGCGGGCGGAGCATCCGCACAACTTGACTCTGCGCTCTCGCCCGCCGCTCCGTGTGAGCCATGCTGCTGCGTGCGAGTCCGGTAGTCACTCACAGACCGTGCGCGCGACCCGCCGAAGCCGCAGCGAAAACCGCACGCTTGAGCCTCTCCTCTGCACAGCCAACTTTCGGTCGGCGCGCTCTCCCGGCGGCAGCACAGCTGCGCGTGCTTCAGTCTCTGCTTGCTTTCGAGCTCATCGCGTGTCCGCAAGGCCGAGGAAGAGCCCGAAAGGTGCTCGTGAGCGGCCGTCCTCTCTCTCTCTGAGCAGACGCTCGTCGTGAGGAAATGTCATCGCAGGCACGCTTTCGCTCGGCGTTCGATTCGGTCGAGCTGCTCTAGAACAAGAGCTTGGTGTTGGTCGCGTTGCGGTCGTCGTCGAACTGTGCGCGCGGCGACGAGGGAACTTGGGAAGGTCAGTCTCGCGTTCCTCGACGCACTCGCTCGCTTGGGCGGCGACGTCGACGGGCGGACAAAGGGAGAGAGAGCGGTTGAAGGACGCACGTTGAACACGTCGATGCGGAGCGTCGAGACGTTCTTGGCGTCGGCGCCGAGGTTTTTGAGGATGCCGACCGCTGCCGGCACACACGTCGTCCTCGCTCGTGAGCTCCAGGGACGTCTAGCTCGAGAGTGAAAGAGGAAGAGGGACGCACCAACGACGTGATTGAGCCAGTAGTACGCCTCGCTGCCCGTCTCGATCTTTGCGCGCAGGTGCAGGCCGCCCGCAGCTTGACCGGGCCCGGACGTCTGGAAGAACAGGTCGTCGCCCTTGTCGTTGTAGGCGTTGTACCGCGTGTCGGCCGTGAAGATGCCGGTGCGAGGGTCGACCGTCTGGCGAGGTGGCGAAGGGAAAGAGGCAAAGGCGAGTCGGGTCGAGGAGGAGGATGAGGACGAGGTGGGAAAGGGATCGTCAGTCTGGCTCGCCTCGAAGGGCGACGGGAAGGGAGGGAAGGAGAGGGACGCACACCCCAGTCTGCGCCCAAGTCCCGAATCTTCCACTCGCTGCCGTCGGCCATGGTCACGTTGCCGCCGACGATGGGAATCGCCTTGCGCACGCCCTGCGGGCTCGTCACGTTGGGCATGACGTTCGCCGGGCACAGGACCATGGCCGTGTACAGCCACTTGAAGCGTGGCGCCGCAGGGACCGTCGACGACGACGAGGCGGACGAGGAGGGCGCAGAGACGGCGCTCGAGAGGGTCGACGGGGCGGCGACGGGCTTGGCCGTCGCGAGCGAGGCGAACGCGAGGAGCGTAGTCGAGAGGGTCGGGAAGAGCATGCTGAAGAAGCTGTAGAGAGAGCACAGAAGCGAGAGAAAGCTCTCCCTCGTCCCTCCCTCTCTCCTCGTCGCCCATCGTCCCCGCCGGCAGAACCACGTCCCGCCTCGTCCCCGCACGCTCGATCGGCTGCGCTAGCGAGCGACGCGGTCCTCCTGCACCATGTCGAGGCCGTCACGCTAAGAGCGAGACCCGGCGGACGAAGGTGGACCGCCGTGGGCCGTCGCGGTCCGAGAGCGCCGGCCGAAGACGCCGGACGAGAAGATGAGTTGCCGGGTCACGTGCGCGAGGACGACGGCGGTGTCGACGCGGCACGAGGGTCGTCGAGAGGACGTCGCAAGGATGGCGAGGATGAGCGAGGGCGAGAAGCTGAGGCGAGAGGCGGAGGAAGAGCCGTCGAGTCGAGGACCGTGCGGCGCCTGCCGCCCGAGGGAGGACGCGCCCGCCGCACACGAGCAGCGCCGCACCGCTGACATCGCAACCTCCTGCCCCTACACGTCCGTCCCACCTGCCACCCGCACCAGCTTTTCGACCCGCTCGACCGCTCGCGGACCTGCCGCAGGACCTCGGCCCGCTCCTCGTCCCCCCTCTCCCGCTCGCCGTCCTCGCCGACGACGTCTCGCCGCGCCTGCCCCACAACGAGACCGACCACCGCCTCCTTGACGACCTCGAACCGGGCGACCTCGAGCTGCGCGCGACGCGAGAGCCCCGCCGGCCCTTTGCCCTTGTCCGCGCTCGCGCTCGCGCTCGCGCCTGCGCCGCCGCGGCCGCCTCGGAGCGGCACGTCCCTTGGCACGCGCTGCGCGAGGTCGAAGAGTTGCGCTGGTTGCGCGATGCTCGGGATGCGCCAGTAGGCCGAGTGCGCGGTCGCGGTCGGGATGGAGGCGGACGAGTGGTTGAGCTTGGAGAGCGAGGTCGTGGCGGACAGCTTGCGGGGCGAGAGGGGGTGCGACGGGTCGGCAGTGGAGGCGAGGGTTGAAGGCGCGAAGGACGGGTGAAGCTGGACGACGGCCGAGGGCGGGTGCGAGTGCGTCTCGAGGTAGGCGGTGAGGAGGCGCGTCGTGAACACTTGCGCGGTCGAGATGTCGGCGAGGTGCTGCAAGAGTCGACGCATGAGTCATTGACAGGGATATAGACGTGAGCGAGAGCGAGGGACGCACCTCGACAAGGGCGACAAAGTCGTCTTGGGCGAGCGCCTTCATGCGCTGCACGAGGTCCGACACGGTCGGCTCGCCGTCGAGGTACCCTTGCACCGCCGAGTCGCCGATCTGGACGCATCGAGTACGTCAGGAACGCGCTCGAAGAGAGAAAAGGAGAGGAGAGCGGGCGACGCACGAGCTTGAGGAGCCGGACGGCGACTTGACGCTTGACCTCGAGGCTCGTCCCGTCCGCCTCGGCCCGCTCCCTCGCAGCTCGCTCACGCGCAGCTCGGCCGTCGCTCCCCAAGAATATATAAGGCTTTTAAAGCTTTTAAGGTTTCACGAGCCCTTCTCGTCCGACCCATCCTCGTCCTCGTCCTCCTCGTCGTCCGACGCCGAGCCGTGCACGAACGGCCAGAAGACGACGTCGAGCGCCTTGGGCGACAGCTGACGTGCGGCGCTCGTCGAGGCGCTCGGCTTGAACTGGCGCAGGAGGCTGAGCGGCTCGGGGAGGTCTGCGGGCGCGCGAGAGGGGGGGCGGTCCGAGCGGGTCAGTACGTGTCGTGCCTGTCGGCGACGCGAAAGAGAGCATGCAGACGCACCGACACCTTGAGCTCGTGCAGCTGCCGCCTTGCGCTCGGCCTCCTTGTCCCACGCCGCGACGAGCACGGCGACGAGGTCCCACCCGCCGACCTCGAGCACTGGGCTCCTCGCGCTCCTGACGCGCTCTCGACGCGCCGTCGTCCCGCCGAGCACATCCCACAGGTCGGTCGCGTCCGACAGGATGCGGTTCGCGGCGAGCGACAGGACGTCGTCGCCGTCGTGCGGGTCCTCGACGTCGGGACCGGCGGCGGCGCGCGCCTTTCCCTTGCCCTTGGCCGCCTTGAGCTTCTTGCGGGCCGGGTAGTCGCCCTCGTCGTCCGAGTCGAGGGCGGCGCCTGCTGCCGCGCTCAGGGACGAGCCGGCGTCGGCCCTCGAGGGCATGCCGTACCCGACGACGGCGTCGCCAACGAGCTCTGCGCCGCCCTGCGCGTCGAGCGCATCGGCGAGGAGCGCGCACGCGAGCTCGCGCAGGCGACGGTGGGTCGGAGCGAGCGGGTCGGGGGACGTGACGAGGAGGGCGGTGCGCGACGGGGCGGACGACGGTGTCGAGGTTGAACGCGACGAGAAGTGAGTCATGCCGTGCTGCTCGGGGGGCTTGAAGAGCTGGGGGAAGAGGGCGATGCAGAGGAGGAGGCGGACTTGGTGGCTGTTGCGGGGACAGGGGTCAGCGTGCCGAGAGAGAGGGCGCGAGGGAGACAGGAGGACGGACCGGGTGAGGTGGTTGAGGCGGTTCGAGATGCCCTCGAGGATGAGGAGCGCGTCTTGGTCTGTCGTGGGGGATCACTCGTGAGTCGACTGGGCTGCAGTGCACGCAGGAGAGGGCGAGGCACGGACAGTTTGCGGCATCCTCGACGTCAAAGTGCGTGTCGACGAACGAGGCCTCGACATTCCTCATGGGGGCCGGGTCGCGCTCGTGGGGCTTCTTGAAGAGGCTAGCGAGTTTGGGGGTGCGGCTGGTGGGCTCGGGCATGAGGCGTGCAGGAGGGAGCGAGGTCTGAATCGGGGTCGTGGTCGCGGCGAGGCGGGGGAGCTTGAAGGCGCGAGCGGGCGGGTTGGCCGGCGGTGGCGACGAGCGCTTGAGCGGCGGTGCTGGCGAGGTAGCAGCCATGGCTCGTCGGCGACTGAGTAGAGTTGGGACGAGGAGCGAGCCTTCATCAGCTCGTCGTCGCTTTCGACTCTCTCTCGGCCTCGCGCACCTCGCTAGACACGCCAGCGACGAGCTCACCCTCTTCCGACTGCCTCGAGACGCGCCTCCAACACGCGCCCGCACCGCACCTCGGACCACGAGGGGACCCGGCTGCATCGCCTCCTCCTCTCCTCCAACCTCTCGCCCTCGCTCGCCCACCGCCACAAGCAGCCAGCGCACACGGTCCACCCCGCCATGCTCTATCCTCTCTCGTTCAGCATCGACCCGGGCCGCCCCATCGAGTCGTACTTCCCGCTCGCCTCGACCTCGTCCGCCAACAAGGTCCAGCACACCGAGGCCAACGCGCAGCGCAGCCCAGCCCCTCGCGAGCCCTTCGTCGACGCAGCCAACGTCCAGCACTCGTCCCGTGCGGCGCCGGTCAACCCGTTCAGCTCGCCGCCGGTCCGCCTCCGCGACGACCACACGGCCGACCCGCGCAAACGGCCTCGTGAGCGTCCTGTGCATGTACCAGTCGGGTCCGTCATCGAGATCGAGGGTCCAGCAGTGTCGACGAGCTCGCAGAGCGCCGTCAAGTCGAGCCAGGTCGCGAGCGGCAAAGGCCCCGAGCGTGTCGTCGCATCGTCAAGTCGTCGTTCCACCGCGAGCAGTGTCGAGCAGCAGGTCGAGCAGCGCGCACCGTCAAGCCGTCGCCGATCTTCCCCGGTCCCGGATCTCGACTATGCGCTCCCCGACACGTTCTCGTCGAGCGCCCTCAAACCGCCGCTGTCGGGCCTGCGCTTCCCGTACTACATGCCCTACCTCGTCGACGAGCCCGTCGAGCCCGCGTGGTCGTCGACCTACTGTACGGCCTTCGTCGAGTTTGCCTGCACGGTTGCGCCTCCTCCAAGGTGGAGCACACGCCCCGGCACGCTCGTGTCCGAGTACGACGCGCCCGCCATCGTCCAGGAGATCCGCACCTACCAGCCCAACAAGGCCCTCATCCGAGACCGCGCCCCGCTGTGTACATCGAAGGCCGGCGACACGGTCCCGTTCGGGTGGCACGGCAAGTTGCTCGCCATGAAGGACGTCATGCGGTGGATCTGGGACGACGAGACGCTCTCGGTCGAGCACGTCGCCGGCATGATCCTGACGGCGCCCATCTCGATCCACATGATCAGTGCGTCCTCGCTCTCTTTCTCTCTCTCTCCCTCTCTCTCGATCTCGATCGCCCTCCTCGCACGCGACGCACGAGACCTGACGCAGTCTCCCTTTTGCCCCCTCGTCCCTCTCTCCCTCCCTCCTTCGCCTTCCCTCTCGGCGCCGTCCCCGAGAACAGTCCGCACGTTCGGCTCGATGCAGCGCTTCACCAGCGTGCGCCGCATCGCCGAGGAGGACCTGACCCAGTACCTGTCGCGCGTCGGGTCGCCCTCGTCGCGCGAGCGCGCCGCGCTCGTGCTCCTGCGGTGGTTCCAGCGCCCGGACGCGCCGCACGACAGGAGGTACCGGTTCTTTGTCGAGCGCGGTGGGACGGTCAGGAGGGGCCCGAGGGGCGAGGACGGGTGGGAGTGGTGGTTCGCGCCGCGAGGGCCGGGAGGGATCGAGAGGCGCGAGAGCGAGCTCGACGAGTGGGAGAGGGACGTCATCAGGACGGAGGGGTGGACGTCGTAGTCGGAACGAGGTGTGCAAGTGCGCTTGAGGATGGCTTTGACGCGAGCTGGCTGGCAGCGAGAGGCTCGAGAGCAGGACGACGACCTTCTCAAGTTCGCCCGCGAAACGTGCGCTCTCTCTTGTGGCTCTCTCGTAGACAGCCTTGTGCCCTCGAGACTCGCTGTGCTTGCGCTCGACGTGTGGCACACTCTGGACGAGCTCGTCGGCGGAGCTTTGACGGAGTGCGGGGGAGACGAGGCGCGTGCTTCAGCTTTCGCCCCTTGTCCTTGTCCTCTACACTCGCCGCGCTCGCCCTGCTGCACGCCTCGCCAGTGCCACACAGAGCAGCAGCCATGCCGCCTTGGCCAGACACGTACCCGCTGTCCTTCTTCGCGCCGCTTGCACCGCCGCGCTTCATGTCCGCCGCCATCTCGCCGCTCAACCACGCCGACTCAACCCGCTCGACAACCGCACGCGACGTGCACCCGCACCTGCCAGCCGGCACGGCAGCCCTCGGTATCCCCACGTCCACCGCACCGCCCGCGTTCGTTCCTCCTGCCACCTTTCCCCCTCCTCCTTCGCCTCGACCCGACTCGTCGCCGCCTGCACCCTCTCGCCAGCCCGATGCACAGCGGCTCCAGCGCCCAGTCGCCTCGGCTTTCTTCGGCGAGCAGGCGGGCGACGGGCCGCACCGGCTCGGTGCCGCCGCCGCGACGAGCTTGACGGCGTCGTCGTCGCCGGCACAGCGTCTGCAGCAGCACGCGTCGGGAGAGCCGACCCGTGACGTCGCTCGTCGCGGTGAAGAAGACGGCAACGCGGTCGAGAGGGGCGCGAGGTCGGCTCGGGCGCGCAGCCCCAGGCGCAAGAGCGATCCTCGCCGCGACTCGTCGGTCCGATGGGCGCCGTCGGCGGTCTCGCGCTCGTCGCACCTGTACGAGGACGACCTCGGTCCCTGTACTTTCGCGCCGAGCTTCGCCGGGCTCGGCGAGCCGCGTTATGCCCCGCCGAGCGCGCACGACCACGGGCGGCCGCACAGCCCGCGCAGGCGGACCCGCTCGCCGTCCCCTCCCGCCCGCCGCGGCTCGCGCCTCGAGGCCGTCGAGCCTCGCCGCACGTCGGTGCGCTCGATGCCGCCGGCGTTCGTCGACCGCCCTGCGTCGGCGAGGTCCGAGTGCGCGCCTGGGCCCGTTTCGGCGCCGAGCGGCCCGTCCTACGCCCAGCCGCGCGACGAGCCCTCGACTGCGCCCGTCGGCGTCGACCCGCCCTCGTCGAGCACGCGCTCCAGACGCCAGGGCGCGGGCTCACGGCTGCGGCGGCTCGAGAAGAAGCGCGCACGGGCCGCCAGCCGCGATGACGACGAGCTCGACCCGTCGGGGAGCACGAGCGCGAGGGCGTCGCACGACGGCCCGCTTCGTCGCCTCGACGGCAACGTCGACGAGCTGCGCGACGCCAAGCGCCCTCGCGTCGAGCAGGCCGCAGCAGCAGCCCGCACATCGCCGGCGCCGTCGCCGCAGCCGCGTCACGACGCGCCCGCGCCCCTGCCCGACTCGAGTCGGGTTGCGCAGGGCGGCATGTCGCTCTCGGACCGGTGGGACGCGCTCGAGGAGGGACGAGGGCAGAGGGTGAGCGCCGGGACGGGCGGCCGCCGTCGGCGAGGAGGGAGGAAGGAGGCGCGGCGGTTGGCGGCGGCGGCGGCGGCGAGAGGCTGGGACGACGGCGGTGGAGGCGACGGCGACGCTCCAGCTCGACCGTCGTCACGGGAGGATAGGGGAACCGGGCGGCGCCCGTCGGTCGACGACCTTGACGGGCTCGTCTTCGACTTTGCGGCCGAGCCACCTCGTCGGCCCTCGGGCACGCCGCCGCTCGTCACCCCTCACCAGCTGCCGCCGAGCAAGCGCACCTCGTCGCCGAGGAACGGGCCTCGATGGGCCGAGCCTCGGCGCACGCGCTCGAGCAACGGCGGCGCGCCAGCACCTCCACCCGAGCGCACGCTGCGCGACTCGGACCTCTCGCCGTCGATCGCTGTGCTCAGGGAGCGCGACTTCAAGCGGTTCGTCCTCAAGCGCCCTGTCGAGCCGACCTGGAGCCTCCCCCTGTACCTCCTCATCCTCAAGCTCCTCACGTCGATCGCGCCGCCCGAACTTTGGGCGCCCGACGCCGCCAGCCTCGGCGCCAGTCCACCCTCACTCGAGCCCGACTGGCTCGCAACGAGCGTCATCGGCCGACAACCCGACAAGGCCGAGGTCCGAGCGGCGTGCGGCGGCTCGCCCGGGCGCGGGCTCGGCTTCGCGAGCTTGTCGCGCGCCGTGCACGAGCGCTACCTCGCCATGGTCGACGTCGTGCGGTGGCTGTTCGAGGACAGGAGCCTCGGCGAGTCGGAGACGGCGTACGTCATGCTTCACGCGCCGCGCGAGGTCCGCATCCTCGGTGAGTCCCCCTTTCCTCCCCTTCCTTTCTACATCCAGGCCACGACCTGACTCTCCTTCGCCCCACACACAGTCTCCCGTTTCGCCGAGGTCGTCCTCTTCTCCGAGCTCGTGCAGCGCCACGAGCGCACCCTCGTCACCTACCTCGCCCGCCTCCCGTCCCCCTCGCCACGTCAGCGCGCCTCGCTCACCCTCCTCGAGTGGCTCAACACGACGGCCCAGCCCGACCGCCACTACCTCTTCCTGAGCGAGCCCGACGGGCGCCTGCGCGGCGAGAAGACGGGCGTCGAGCCGTGGAGGTGGTGGTTTGCGAGGGCCGAGGCAGGGAGGTCGACCGCGGTCGAGGTGCTCGACGACTGGGAGCGGGACACGTTGAGCATGGAGCAGTGGTGAGCAACGATGCCTCGCTTTGCGCGCTTCTTTCGGTCCTTGTGCGGCGGCGAGAGCGAGAGCGAGAGCCGGTTCAGAGCAAGGGGTCCGAGCGTTTTTGAGAAGGTCGACTCGAGCGAGTCGAGCGAGCCATTTGCTGGTGCGCCGGCGAGGCGAGATCGACTCAGTCCTGCTCACGCAGAGAGGGCTGCGAAGAGACGGGCAGACGCCGGACCGAGTGCCAGAGGGCGCACGCCGTGAGCTCGAGGAAAGCGAGAAGCGGCGAGAGAAAGGTCGATTGACCAGCGCGAGCTCGAGCGCTTTCGAAGCCAAGGACGCAAGACTCGATGACAAAGGAAATGCGCGTCTATGCAAAGAAAGAATGGCTCGCTACGCAGCCCTGAACTCGCGCCGTCTCGATCCCGAACCTCCTCCTCGTCCTCGAGCGCCGGGCAGCTAGTCTGCGCGGCAGCTCAGGTGACCCTCGACCATGGCGAGTGCGGCGCCGAGAGCCCTGCGAGAGGGGCAGAAAGAGTCAGGATGGTGCCCCCTCGTGAGGAGAGAGAGGAAAGAGACGGAGAGAGAGGGACGCACCAGCCAAGCTCGACGTCGCCAACCTTCTTGCCCATCCACACCTGCCGCTCCTCCTCGAGCTCGTAACCGAGGCTGAGGAGCGAGTACATGAACGTGAGGTCGAGGCAGTACTCGGGGCGGTCGCTCAGCTCGTCGAGCGCCTCGGCGTTGCCCTTGAAGCGCGCCCACGCCTTCGAGTCGCGGCCCGAGCACACGTCGGCCGTCAACTGGCGCAGGGACGAGATGCTGAAGGGCGACGAGAGGCCGAGGGGCGCGATGCGGTCGTAGAAGTAGGACAGGCTGCGAGAGGGAGGGAGGCCAGGGTCAATCGGCGAATCCTCCTCGGCTCGGGTGCATCGTCGACGAGAGGGAGAAAGGGAGAGAGGGGACGCACGCCCAGACCTTGCCGGCGGAGAAGACCTCGCTCATGCGCGGCTGGTACACGCCGGCGAACGCGCACGGCGGCTCCTCGCACGCCGCGTCCTTGTTGATCATGACCTCCATGACGCGCCTGCACGCCTCGAAGCCGGCGCCCGTACCGACCATGGTCACGTCCTTCTCGGCGCGGCCGGGCGGGTCGAGCGTCACCTTCTTGGTCTCGCCCTTGAACATGCACGGGTTCGGGATGCGGTCGCGCGTCGACAGGTCGTCCCACTCGACGTGCTTGCCCTTTGGCGCCGACGACCACACGTACGAGTAGGCGACGAGGTTGTGGAGCGCGCGGCGCGCCTGCATGAGGCCGTACCCGAGGTGCGAGTGCTGGTACAGGACGTGGTCCTTGCCGGCAAAGTCGAGCTCGTAGATGTGGTCGCCCGGCGCGAGCTTGTCCGACGAGCCCGGGTCGTAGATGGGCTCGAACACGATCTGGGTCGACGCGCCGCCGAGGTCCATGACGGCCGCCGTGCCGGCCGACGCGGGCTGGTCGGGCCCGATGAAGCCGAGGAGCTGCGGGCGGGGTTGAGTCAGTCTCGGGCGCAGAAGATGTCGCTCGACGGACACAGAAAGAGAGAGAGAGAGAGAGAGAGGCGCAGGCGCGACGCACAAAGTTGATGGTGATCCAGGCGTACACGCCCTCGTCCTTGCCGTCCATGACGACGACGCCGTCCTTGACGACGGCGAATGGCCACTCGTCCGACAGCCAACGCTCGACCTCGTCGAGGATGTCCTGGCTCTGCTTGGAGCCGAGGAGGCGCAGGCCGGCCGTCGCCTTGACGGCGATGGGCGTGCACGAGCGCTCGTGTTCCGGGACGGCGTCGACGGCCTGCTGGAGGAGGCTGCGCAGCGACTCGGCGGCGTCGACGGGCTTGCCCTTGTACGACGACAGGCCGGGCTTGGTCGTGACGAACAGCTCGTCCTCGAGCTTGGGGAGCGCGTCCGGGTTCGGGTCGCAGTGCGAGAAGGTGTACAGGTGCAGGCGCGAGCCGGTCGAGCCGGCGTCGATCATGATGGCGTACGTCGTCGCTTTTTTGCCCGGCGGCGGGGTGCACTTGCGCGACGAGGCGCTGTGCTGCTTCTGGGGCGAGCCCGACGGGAGCTTGTCGACCTCGACGGCGGCCTCGTTTGGCGCGACGCCGTCGGCCGTCAGGGTCTCGACGGCGGCCGAGTGGTAGCCGTCGCGGCCACCGCCACTGCTCTTGCCGAAGAAGAAGATGCAGACGATGAGGACGGCGGCAATGGCGGCGATGCGGCGCGGGGTGAGGGAGCGGAACGGGTGCGACGAGCTGAAGCGGTCGCCCTTGTCGCCCGGTTGGCGCCTCGAGTTGGCGGTCTGCATGTCGTCGTCGTCGTCCGACTGGTCCTGGTGCTGGGCGAGAGGCTGGAGCTGGTGGGTCGGGAGGCTGCTCTTTGGCGGGAACGAGGGCATGCGCGGTGGTGGGGTTGCGGTGGTGCGGGTGCGCAGGATGGAAAGGGGCGTGATGCTGGGCAACGCGGCTGTACGGCCTGCTGGTCGGGAGGCCGCGGTGGTGAACGAGGACGAGGTGGAAGTCCGACGCGAGGAGGAGGCGTCGACGAGCGAGGCGGGCGGGCTGGGCCGAGTGGAGCGCGTGCTGTGGTGGTGCGCTGGGCGTGTGCGAGGCTTGTGGTGCTCTGTGCAGGTCTGCACGAGTCGGTCGAGCCAAGCTGAGCCCGATCGCTCCTCCTCGCGGCTTTCCCGACGTCGACGCGACCTCCCTCGCTCGCTCGTTGATGTGCACTGCATGGTGGGCGCGCTTACAAGACTGTTTCAGCGACGGGCAAGCTGCAGGGCCAACAGGAGCTGCCGTCGACGAGGGCCACGGTGGCCGTGTCTCGCGTCGCTTCAAACCACCTCTCGCGTCGCTGTCTCCTCTCTCCGAGTGCCGCGAGGGTCGCAGTAGTGTAGCTCGAGTCGGACTGGATGCCGCGAAGGCCCCCGACCGGTGCTGTGAGGGCGTCGAGGGTGCTCGAGCCTCGCTCGGGCCGGCGCGCGCGCGCTCCTCGTCCTCGTCGTTCCTCGCTCCCTCTTCCCTCTCGCCCGCTCTTCGCACTCGCCTTCGTCCCCCTGCCCACCAAGCCCCGCCAGTCACTCGTTCCACCCACACTCGCTCTCGCCCTCATACCTCCACCATGCGCACCGCTTTCTCGCTCGCCGCCCTCCTCGCCTTTGTGTTCGCCCTCGTCTCGGTCGACCAGGCAGCCGCCAAGTTCTCCCAGGGCAACATCGACCTCACTCGCGACTGGACCCTCCAGGTGCGCCCGCTCTCCCACGCTCCCTGAGCCTCCTCGTCGCGCCGCACGCCGACCCGGCACGCCGACCCGGCACCTCGACCTCAATTGACCCAGCCCTCCCACCTCGCAGTACTCGACGGCCAAGTTCTCGACGACGGAAGCGTTCTGCAAGAAGTTCCGCTCGGCCTGCGTCAACTACGTGCGTCTACACCGCTCCTCCTCGACAGAGTCCCCGAGCTACTCGTCGCCTGTCGCTCTAGAGTGGCCAGACGCTCACTCTCTTGCTCCCTTCGCAGGTCGGGCCCATTGGCGTCTACGGCAGCCACCACCAGCTCGACGTGTGTCCCTCTCGCCCGTCTCGAGACGAGCCGGCCCTTGACCATTTGGTCCTCCTTCCCTCGCGCAGTGCGTCTTCTCGGACGCCAACGGCAACCCGCTCCAGCCTGGCCGTGCGTCCACCCTCTCTCCATATCCAGGGACGAGTCTCATGGGCGGGTGGTGACTGGACACTGACCCTGTTCCGCCTCGTCCCTCGCGCAGCCCGCATCCACGCCTTCTGCGGCGGCCTCGCCAAGAACCCGGACGGCACGTGGACCAACGGCGGCGCCGTGACCGACTACACCAAGCAGCTCGTCAAGAAGAGCTTCTCGTCGACCGTGTCGGTCAAGGGCGGCCCGATCTCGCTCGCCGAGTGCACGGCGTTCAAGAAGAAGCACCCCAAGTGCGTCGCGCTCTCGTCTCTCTCTGTCTCTCTCGAGCCTCACCCGAGCGAGCGAGAACTGACCGGTGGGTCACTCCCGGAGCGGCAGTGTCACCTGCAGCGCCTGAGCGTCCTCGGCAGCGTGGCAACTCGCCCGCTCGCCCACGTCGACCGCTCTTCCTCGCGCCCACCGCCTCGTCTCAGTACATTCTCTCTCTATCTCTCCATAGACACTGTCAACCCCTCTCGTACGACCCGTAGCAGTTCCGCACGTCCTCCCTCCCGTAGCGAGGCCCTTTGCAACGCGCTCGGTCCCTCCCTCTCTGCCTCAGCGAGCGTCTCTATCTCTCTCTCTCTCGCGAGCTCTCTCTTCCTGCTCCGCTCGTCTCGTGTCACAGAAGCACGCGCAGTATGTACAGGCCGCTCGAGCGAGCAACGCTACAGCTTGGGTTTCGGCTCCATGGCCGCGCGCATGCCGCCCTCGGTCCCCTCCTCCTCGGACCCATCAATCTGTGTTGCGCAACTGAGCTCGTCAGTCCATGCGGCGAGAGAGAGAGGGCGAGGACCGTCAGTACGGGCCGGAAGGGGGAAGAGGAAGAGGGAGAGGGACGCACGCCCGAGTCGGCGCCGGCGTCGCCGGCCATGGTCGTCCCTGCCTCGACGAGGTTGGCGTTCGGGTTGTCGGCGTGGACCTGCAGTACGTTCGACGTGTCAGCTTCGTCTCTGCAAACGGGCGTGCGCACGTGCTGTCCCGGCACGCGACGAGCGCACCGAGTCGCACGACGACCGGTTCGAGGAGAGAGCGATTGGGGACGCACCTGGCCCGCCCTCGGCTCACCCTCCTTGACGCTCGACGTCTTGAAGCCCTCGCCCTCGCCCTTGCCCTCGACGCTGACGCCAAAATTGTCCCCAAACTCGGCCGCCTTCTTCTGCTCCCTCGCGACCGGAGCCTGGTTCTCCCTCGACAAGCTCGAGCTCGGCGCCGCCGAGTTGCCCTGCCCCCGCAGTGCGTCCTGGGTGCCCGGCCGGTCAAACTGGGCGTGCTGCGACGACGGGATGTTGGCGTTGGCCGGACCCTCGTCGACGACCTCCGAGTCGTTGATGGGCGCGGCGCCGCCGGCGGGCATGGGCTGCGCGACGCTGTCCTCCTGGATGGGCTTGACGACGGTCTTGGGCGGCATGACGAGTCGTGCGAGTCGTGCGTGTGATGGAGAGCGAGAGAGAGAGCTCGAGAGATAGTCCGGCGTGTGGGGGAGGGGGCTGACGTCGACGTCGCTCCGGCCTGCGGTCCGCTTGACAGTCTCAAATCGGGATCCGCTCCGAGCCAGATCGCGCGGCATTTACCTCTGCGAGACGTCGGTAACGCGCGAGTCGCTCTCTCTCCCTCTCTCTCTTCCCTCTTCCTCGTCGCTTGTTCCGCTTCTCTCACTTTCCCTGTGCACGTCGTCGACCACGGCTCGGCTCTCCCGCTGCGCCTAGCACGCTGCAGTTATACGATCTGGCTCGGCCGGTTTCTGAGCCGGCGGGGCGCTCGCCGTGCGCGCACGCACCTCCTGCGCTCCCCGGCTCGCCCGTGTCCGTCGCGCTCGTGGCGGACGATGAAGCGGGCGTTCTTGGGTGCCGACGCCTCGGTAACCGCCCCTCGGCGAGCAAGCCGGAAGCTCCGCGCTCGCTCGTCTCGTCCGCTCGCCACCTCTGAGCTCAGCTTCCTCGCGACTCTCTCGCCCGACCGACGCGCGCGATGGAAACGAGGACTGGCTATCTCCTCTCGAACACCAGGGCGGTCCGTCTCGCTGGCCACCCGGGCTACAAGCGAGCCGAGCGCAAGCCGCCGCCGGGAAAAGCAGGCGACGGCCATGCCTTCACCGTCCACGCGGAACCAGATTTCTACCATTATCGTGCGCTCACCTCTTTCTCCTAGCCTGTACGACGGGGTGTGCGGCAAGTAACTGACGGTCTCGCGCCGACAGTCGTCCAGGGCGGGTACTCGCGCGAGGCGGCCGACGCCTTCCTCGACCTGCTGTGCAGCCGCCTCGAGGGCTGGCTCGCGGCCGCCGACTCGTCCCGTCACTTTGTCGCCTACAACGTGTGGAGCATCGACGTAGGCGGCGGCTCGATGCCGGGCTTTGCGCCGTCTCCTGGTGCGCTCGACCCTCCTTTCTCCTCGACGCGTTCTGGTGACGGCAACTGACTCGTCGACTCTCGCAGGCCTCATCCAGGACTGTCACCTCATCATGCGGCCCCAGGACCACCGCTACGGCCGCGGCAAGGGCGTCGGACCGCTTCCTGAGGGCATGCTCGGCGGCGTGCCCAACATGCGGCGGCCCGACCGCGAGTTGCGCAAGCACGAGCAGGCATTCATCGCGGCGACGAGCGAGAAGTGCTTGGGCAACCACAAGGTGTCGTCAAAGAGTGCGTCCGCCTAGACTCGCTCCTCTAGATGGTCGACGCGCACTGACCCTCCTTCTCAAACTGCCTCTCGCGCAGACCCTGTCCTTCCCCTTCTCGACAACCCGTCGCCGAGCAAGGGCGCCTACTACCGCTTCAACGACTACTTCACGCTCCTGTCCGACCCCCTCGCCAACAACGTCTCGCTGCACGAAGCCGCGACCCGGACCTCGGTCTGGCGCTTTTCGTGGTCCGCCTCGCCGACTGCCCTCGAGCACGAGCAGACTCTCGACCGCCTTCCGGCCGCGACGTTCTTCCTCCCCGGATGACGTGCGCCTCGACGCCGGCCGCATCGCCAACAACAGCCCCGCCAACCCGGTGTCCGGCATCCTCCTCGCGTGCACGCCGCTCCCGGCGTCGTACCCTGTCGCACGCTCGACGCTGTCCGGCCCGGCGCAGGACCTTGGCGCGCAGGGAAAGGAGCGCAAGCGCGACAAGTGCAGCGTCATGTAGATCTCGCGACGAGCCCTTCCGTCGCCTCGTGCAACTCGTCTTTTCCTTTCTCTCGCTGTCTCTCTCCTCGCCAGACTCGAGAGGCTCTCTCGCTCTCGGAAGCTGTCAAGAGTCGTTCTGCCAGGTCGAGAGGACGACAGAGTATGATATGACACGCGCTCGGACCTAGAACCGGCTGAGCCTCCTCCCTGCAATCGCAGACATTGCCCAGTGATATGACAGCGACACCATGTTGCGCAAAGACATCGACTTGTAGAGGTAGGCGCTGCGCCAGAGCAACCACGCTGCTCGGCCGGTGAGCTCGCCCTGGGGGCCGTCCGCCTTGCTCCGGTCGACGATCGCCGTCCACTCGCCGAGATACGCCATCGTCTGCGCGCAACGAGAGGCACAGCGTCAGTACGAGATCGTGTCGGCGTGCCAGGAGCACGAGAGACAGTGGGAGAAAGAGAGGAAGGAAGAGACGAGGAGAGGCTTACCCCCTGGTTGTTAAACTTGAAGGCTCCTGGCGGCGCTCGCTGCTTGACCTCGGCGTTGAGGATGCGAGCGAGCCATGCGGCTTCCTGCGAGGCGACTGAGGGCGTGAAAGAGGTCAGTGAGGGCGTCGACGATGAGGGAGGGCCGAACGAGGGAGAGAGAGAGAGAGAGAGGGACGGACCCTGCGCCGTCGGCGGGAGCTTGTTCTCGAGCGCGCTCGCGTCGCCGATGCAGTACACGTCCGACACGACCTTGCCGTCCTTGGTCGAGGGGTTGAACGAGTCGTTGATGCGCAGGCTGTGCGTCTTGTCGTCCTTGTCGAGCTCGCTGATCGAGTCGATGAGCGGGTTGGCGGCGAGCCCGGTCGACCACACGGCGAGCCCAAACTTGACGGCGCCCTCCTCCTTGACGTGCAAGACGCCCTCGTCGACAGACTCGACGTGGCGGTTGCCCTTGATCGCGATCCCGCGCCGCACGTACTTGTCCTCGGCGTACTCCTGGAGCGACTTGTCGAACGAGCCCAAGATGCCCGGCGCGACGTCGTAGATAGATCTGACGACGGACAAACGAGGGAGGGAGGGAGGACATCGTCAAATGCGCTCGAGGAACGAGCGAGGAGAGGTCGCGAGACGCACATCTTGCACAGGTCGACGACTTGCGGATAGGCCCTCGTCAGGTCGGACGTGAGAAAGTCGTGAAGCTCGCCGGCGAACTCGACGCCTGCAGGAGGGCGGCGAGGGTGAGCAAGGATCGGGAAGGAGGACGAGAGAGAAGGGAGGGGGGAGCGAGCGGGACGCACCGGTCGGTCCTCCTCCGACAATGACAAAGTTGAGCAGGTTCCTGCGCTCGTCGTCCGTCACGGTCGGCTGACACGCGAGCTCGAAGCACTCGAGGATGCGCTGGCGGATCTTGGCGGCGTCGCGCACGTCCTTGAGGAAGTAGGCGTGCGCGCTCACGCCCGGGATGCCGAACGTCGCCGAGTAGCAGCTGAAAGGTGCGTGGCGAGATGACGGAGGAGGAGAGGTTGGCGTCGAGGCGGTGCGGCGAGCGAGGGAGAGGCGGGAAGAGTGAAGAGGGACGAGGGGAAGGGGTGGAGAGGTGGGGCGGGAGGGCAAAGTCAGCCACCGGGCGCAGAGGTGACGTGACAGAGAACGCGAGGACGCACCCGACGGCAATGACGAGTTTGTCGTACTTGAGCTCGAACGGCTTGAACCCAGGGAAGCTCGTCGCGGGCTTGAGCGCCTCGCTCGACTCGTCGGTCGTCTCGGCGTTGAGGCGCTTGCGGAGGGCCGAGCCGGTGGCGGGCATGGCTGTGAGCCGCTTGTTGGCAAAGTCGATCTTGTCGGCCCAGGCCTGGTAGTAGCGCGCGTCGGGGAAGGCGCGCACGGGCTCGAGAGTCGAGTTGTAGTCGACGGTGCCGACTGCTGCGCCGGCGAGGAGGGGCGTGAAGGCAAAGTACGAGTTGGGCGAGACTGGGCGGGAGGGGCGGCAAAGGGGAGGGGAGGAGAGGTCAGCGCCAAAGTGGTGGGGCCGAGGTCGGCGGAGGAGGAGGACGAGGGAGGAGAGCGGGCTCACCGACAGTCACGTCGTACCGCCGCCGGTCCACCTTGCGCAGGAGCTCGTACCCGCCCCACCCAGACCCAAGAATCACGAGTTGCTGCTTGTTGCTGGTCGACGACGATGAGAACGATCGGCTCGGCTTGGTGATGAGGTCGAAGGGCGAGGCAGGGACGACGCGAGCGGTGCGCGCGCGCGTAGTGACCGTAGATGTGCGCAGCATGGTGCACAATAGCCCTGCGTAGCTGGCGAAGCTGGTGGCACAGGTGAGAGCGAGCAGCTGCCGACGTCGGCGAACCTCGGCCTCGGACTCGGGCTCGAGACGCTCTCTCTCTCTCGCTGCGTCCTGCTCGACTCGAGAGCTCGAAACTGATTGCGCAAAGGCTAAGGCAAAGTGTCTACACAAGGTGGGTGGAACTGGGAGAGAGACGACCCGGGTGCACGAACGAGGAACTGACGAGGGGAGAGGAGCCCGGCGGCGAGCTGCCGCTTTTGAGGACCGAGGGACCGTACAGAGGTGACGAGGGGCAAGGCGAGGCGGTGCAGGGTGGCGCGGGGTGGCGACGGTGAGGGTTGCGGGAAGGACGAGGGGACGAGGAGGACAGGGTGGGACGACAACAGGGCGGACGGAAAGGCGAGAGAGAGAGGGAATGGGTCGACGCGCGAGACGACCTGCGAGGCGTGCGTCGAACGAGGGTAACGGGAAGGTGCGGGCGGTGCCGTGGCGGGACGAGGGCGAGAGGCGGGAAGGACGAGGGAAGGAGGGGGGCTCGAGGTCGAGTCGAGGTCGGGGAGGAGCCGGCCGAGGCGAGTGTCCGGGCCGATTCGACGGCGGGCGTTGCGCCTCGACGGCGATGCGCCCGCTTATGCGAGCATCCACGCCTCGAACCGCCTGAGCGCCGCCCCCCTCGCTCCCCTCGCAACCGACGCCGAGCGCGACCCCTCGCCCGCCGCCGCCGCCCGGCACGCCTTGCGAGGCCGTGCGGTTCAGATCATGTGGCCGCCAAAGTTGAGCGTCGACGCCTGGCGCGGCACGTCCCACCCGTACGTCGGCATGTCGAGTTCGCGCACGGCCTCGTCGCGCGGCACGGCGGCGCCGGCGCCCATGCTCGGCTCCATGCGCATGACGCCCGTCGCCTTGGTCGGGCTCGAGTGCTGCTGGTGGTGGTCGGGCGCCGCCGAGGCCGCCCAGCCGTGCGACGAAAAGGTGGCGAGCGGGTTGGCGCGAGGGAAGGCGCCGGCGGTCGGGGTCGGCGGCGGAGGAGGGTACAGCGACAGGGGCGGCGACGACGAGAAGAAGGTCGTGGCGCCGTTCATGTCGGTGAACGAGGTCGGGTTGGACGACGACGGGTAGGCGGCCTTGTGCTGCTGCTGCTGCTGCTGGTGCGCCTGCGCGTGGGCCTGGTTGTCCGGCATCCACTGGTCGTGGAACGGGAGGTCGAGCGGCGTGGTCGGCATCGACGAGCTCGCGCACGACGAGCCCGACAGCGAGCGGCTCGCGACCATGCCCGGCGCGGCCGTCCACGGGTGCAGCGGGTTGCTCGACAGGCTCGCCGCGTCGTCGGTGCCCATCTCGACGTCCTGCGTCTCGAGGGCGCCGCCGACCATGGCCTCGAGGGCGCGCTGCTGCTGCTGGGCGAGCGTCGTGCCGATCGGGGTCGGGACCGGGGTCGGGAGGGCGACAGGAGGGTCGACGACGGCGAACGTCTGCGAGCGGCGAGGGGAGGTGGGTCGAGACCGGGAGGCAAGAGATCAGCAGGTGCGCTTGGTACGAAGGGGCACGGTGGTCGAGGCTCGGCTGCCCGACTCGGCAGGTGGGACCGGTCGGGAAGTGCACCGGCGCGCCGCGAGGGAGGGGAGGGAGGGGGAGGGGGGAGGTGAAGAGAGCTGGTGCGCACCTTGCTGCGCTTCGAGGGCGACACCTCCTGCTCATGGTCGTCCCTGCCGCGCTTCTGACAGTCCATCGAGAGCTGGAACGACATGGTGAAGGGAGAGAGGGTGGTCGAAAATCCGGGGGACTGATGAAGACGACGGAGCTCTGGAGTCGGTGCGGAGGCGTGCGAGCTGGCGGAGAGTGGCGCTAGAGGTGCTGTGCAGGTGCTGGAGGCGCGTCGAGAGCTGCTCGGGGTGGTACGAGCTGTTGGGAGGTGGAGAAGGGACGAGAGCTGCTCGCTCGCGGCCCGCCTCTTCCGCCCGGCGGCCGAAAACCCTCTACCTGCTCCCGGGCCGCGTTTGACACGCGCTGTTCGTGTGCGAGTACTCGCTCGAATTTCTCACGCTCTCGCCCTGCCCCGCCGGCGTCGCCGCTTCTCCGCGTCGCCGCAGTCGAGCGGCCGCGAGCGGCTTTTCGTCCCTCAGGCTCGGCCGGTCCAGCGCAGCAGCCGGCTTCGAGTCGTCGCCGCAATGCGAGGCAGAGAAGCTGAAGAAGCACAGCGAGAGAGGAACAGTACGCGACGAGCCGAGTCGACGAGGAAGGCGAGTCGCGAGCCTTCGCGGCCGGCCCACGCGCTCCCTCGGACGCCGTCGATGTTCCAGCGGGAGCCAGAGCATGTAGCAAAGCCAACGCTGGCGAGCAACGCCGCGGCTTTTGACAGGCGGGTCGGCTCGCATCGACCGTCGCCGACTGCCCTTCTCTGCGCCGCAGAACGAGGGACGCACAGCAGCCGAGCGCCGCGAGGAGCGTCGCGCACGTCGATGAAGCTGGTTCGTCGACGTGAGCGGTGCGAGACAGCTCGACGAGCGGCTTCGCCCGACGAGGACAAGTCGGCGAGTGCGCTGCGTCGGTCGAGGTGGAACTGACGGGCGACGGCACCTTGAAGAGGGCCGCCGAGCGGATGAAGCCGAGCAGAAGTGCCGACAAGAAGTCCTCGCCAACAGAATGGCCCACGCGAGCGCGTTTGAGACGCCATCGAGAGCAGCGAGGGCGAGTGCGAGGCGAGACGAGGGGGGCGAGGGCGAGGGGGCGTCGCGAGGGCGCGACGACGGGCTGAGGGCGTGGTGAAGGTCGGTCTGAGGCTGTAGCGCAGGCCAGCACCAGGGCAGAGGGGCGAGCTGCACGTCGAGAGGGGAGAAAGCTCGTCCGCGGCAGCGCCGACCGCGAGGGGGACCGGCACCGTCCTCCCTCCCTTCCTCCACCAACACTACAAACAGTGCGTGCCTCTGCCTGGAGCAGTGTGCGACGCCGAGACTGACCCAGTTGCACCCCTCGCAGTGTCGGCTGCCAAGATCTACTGGTCCGTCGACCGTTTCTCTCGTTCTCGTCGTCCGGGGTCGCTGCTCCCACGACCCTCTGCGCATCGCCCGCACAGGGTCACCAGGGGCAGCGTGCGCCAGTGCAGCATGGCCAGGACACCTCACTGACTGTGTCCCGCCCTCCTCGCAGCGGTAACCTCTCGTGGTGCGTCCCCCGTCGCACCCTCTCGCCGGTCACCTGCCTCGTCCCACCGCGCTAACCTCGCTCCGTCCCACCCCGTCCCTCGCCTCGCCTCGCCTTGCCTGTCTGCTCCCTGGTCGACCTCTCTCCCTCTCTCAGGGGCACGTGAGTCGCCTCGGTCCACCCCTATACGAGCGCGTTCGAGCGAGGATGGCGTGCTGACCTTCGTACCCTCCCCTCCCTCCCTCCTCGACGCAGCAACAACGACACGCTCCGTGATGCGTTCCAGCAGTTCGGCCAGATCGTCGACTGCATCGTCATGACGTGCGTCCCCTCTCTCTCTGGCTCCTCTCGAGCGAGCTCGCGAGCCGCCTTGCCTCGTCGAGCCCGCGCGCGTCCCCGCACCATCGCGTGCACCCCTGCGATCCTCGTTGACTGACTCTCGCCTCGTGCACACAGTGAGCCGGGCACGGGTCGCTCGCGCGGCTTCGGCTTCGTCACCTTCGCCGACCAGTCGTCGGCCGACGCCGCCATCCAGGCCATGAACGACCAGGAGCTCGTGCGTCTCCTCGACCCTATACCCCCTTCCCCTTCCCCGCCGAGACCTCGCAAAGCGACCTCGTCTCTCGTTCCTCTCCCGTCGCGCGCCGTGCGAGAGGCTGCCTTTCCGGATCGGCCTCTGCGCATCTTTCCGGAGAGCGGCGGATCGAGCGCGCCCGCGGCGACGGCGTGCCGCGCTCTCGCCTCGACCACCACCACGTTCTCCTTCTCCTTCTCGCGGTCCTGACTGTCCCCCTCTCCTCTCCTCTTTGTCCCTCTCGTTCTCGTTGCGCGCATGTCCCTCGTCGTCTCGGTCTCGGTCTCGGTCCTCGTCGCGCTCGTCTCGGGATCCTCGTCGCCTCGCACTCGTACGATCACGATGATGCTCGCCTTGCACCCTTCCTCGTCGGGATCGGCTTCTCCAGGGTGCGTCCTCGCCTTCTCCCCCTCCCCGTTCCTCGCGACCAGCGCCCTGACCCTCTCTCCCACTCCTCGTCCTTCCTCGTCCCGCAGACGGTCGTCGCCTCCGCGTCAACATCGCCAACCAGCGCACCGGTGGCGGTGGTGGTGGCGGGTACGGCGGTGGGTACGGCGGCGGCTCGGGCTACGGCGGCCAGGGCGGCTACGGCGGCGGCGGATACGGCGGCCAGGGCGGCTGTGCGTCCTCGTCTCTCTTCTTCTCTTCCGAGGCGTCAACCTGTCGAGGCCGGCTTGACTGACCTTGCCCATCTCGGGTCTCGCGCGCGCGCAGACGGCGGCCAGGGCGGCTACGGCGGTGGCCAGGGCGGCTACGGCGGCCAGCAGGCCTACGGCGGCCAGGGCGGCTACGGCGGCGGCTACGGCGGCCAGCAGGGCGGATACGGCGGTGGGTACGGCGGCCAGCAGGCCCAGCCGGGCTACCCCCCGGTCGGCCAGGCTGACTCGTACGGCTCGGCGCCGGCTGCTGGTGCGTCCCACTCTCTCTTCTTCTTCTTCTCCCCCTTCCCCGTGTGCGACTCGTGTGTGTTCGAGCCTCGGTTGTGCGGCTCTCGGCTCTCGGTGCGACTCGGGACCGACGCGTGCGACTCGGGTTCTCTCGCGTGCAGGCGACGCGGCCACTTACGGCTCGGGCGCGCCGTACGGCGGTCAGGGCTGTGCGTCTCCTTGTTCTCCTCCCCAACCGGCGGCGGCCGACTCGAACCCGTCATCCCCGCCCTCGGTTCGACGCTGCGACTCGAGCTTCTTTCTCCGCCGGCTCAGCTCGCATACAGCGTCGTGGCGGCACTCGATGCAGCGACGGTCACCTGACATTGTCTCTCCCCCTTCCCTCTCGCAGACCAGCAGCAGGGCGGCCAGGGCGGCTACGGCGGCGGATGTGCGTCCCCCTCTCCCTCTCCCTCTCTCCCTCGCGTTCGGCTACTGACCCTCCCTCTCTCCCTCGTCGCAGACTAAGCGCGTCCCCCTCGCGCTACCTCGTCCCCCTTCCCTCGTCCTCCTTTCTTAACCCCTCCTCCCCTTTCGTCCCTCCCCAAGCCTCGGCGTCGTCCTCGTTCCTGTGACTTTTCCCCGCGCTCAACTCCCCCCTCGGAATCTTCCCTCCCCAACCGCGCCCAAATCGTGTCGTAGTGCACCGTCGTCCTTCTCGTCTCGCGTTCCTGCTCGTCAAGACCCTCAACTGTGTACCTCTCGATACTAGCGACTGCCAAGCCTGCTTCTCCCTCCCCATCTTTCGTTCTCTCCCGGTCCCGGTCGAGAGCGAGAGTGCGAGCGACGAGTGAGAGAGCCGGCAGACGAGCCTCGCGAGAGAGTGACATGACCAAGATCGAAAGAGGGGAACACTGAGAGTTGCACGACTCGAGGAGAGAGGAGGGAGAGGAGTTGGTGGTACACAAAGGCCGGCGAGCGCTCTACTTCCTCGCGGCATGCTCCCGGTTGCCCTCCTGCACTGTATGACGGCGAGTCGAGAGTGTCAGTCACGAGAAGAGAGAAAGGAGGGTGCGCGAGGGAGAGAGAGAGAGAAAAGGCGGGACGCACGGTTGAGGAGGAGCGCGTCCGAGTCGAGCATGAGCTTGTTGCCCGAGTTGCTGACGAGGCCGGCAATCTCGCGAGCGGCCTCCATCTTGCGCAGCTCGAGGAATCTGTGCGACGAGGTCGTTGGGCACTAATCAGTGCCGGGTTCGCTCGAGGCGACGAGGACCGAGGACGAGGAGACCGAGCGACGCACCCCTTGTTCTGCTTGACGGCGTCGCCGATGAGCTCTGCACTGCGGGCCTCACCCTGCGCCTTGACGATGATGCTCTGCTTCTCCTGGAGCGCCTGGTCGACGAGGTACGCCGCACGCTGCGCCGTCTGCTGCGCAATCTGCTTGGCCTCGACGGCCTCGCTGAAGGCCGGCGAGAACGTGACGTGCGTGATCGAGACGTCGTCGAGGATGAGGTTGAAGCGCGACGCGCGGCGCTCGAGGTTGTCGCGCACGAGCTTGGAGACCATCTCGCGCTGGGTGACGAGTTGGCTGCGGGCGAGGAGGCGAGACGAGGTTCAGCGCCCGGTCGAGGGACCAGGGGGACGAGCGAAAGTGAGGACGCACGAAGCGTTGAACTGGGCGACGACGCTCTTGAGGACCTCGTTGACGATGCTCGGGAGGACGACCTCGTCGTAGTTGGTGCCGAGCTCGGTGTAGATCTTGGCGAGGGCGTCGACGCGTGGCCGGCACAGGACACGGCAAGTGATGTTGACCATCTGCAAGTCTGCGCAGGAGGACCAGGGAAAGGGTCAGGCTCGGGACGAGGCGAGGACGGGTGGACGAGGAGGGGGCGGGCGGGCGACTGACCCTTGGTGCCGGTGAGCGAGGCGATGCTTCGCGGCTTGGAGCGGACGTCGTAGATGACGGGCGTCTCGAACCACGGGATCTAGCGACGCGGCAAGGAGTCAGGACCTGGCGCACGAGGGGCAGGGGGAGAGATGGAGAGATGAGGCGCACGGCAACGTGGGTGCCCTCGGCGAACACCTCCTCAGTGACGCCGTTCAGGCGCGTGTACTTGATCGCGCGGTGACCACCGTCGACTGCAAGAGGCGCACAGGGTCGCAGGAGGGGAGGGAGAGTGGGCGATGGTCAGCGACCGGGCTCCGGACGCTCTCTCCGACGGCGACAGGACGAGGGAGGGGGGACGGACCGTTGAAGAGGGACGAGTTGATGGCCAGGCCACCGACGGCGAGCAGGACGAGGCCTCCTGCGCCGCCGACTGCCTGCCCGAGGCTGGGTCCACCACCGTTGCCGCCGCCGCCGCCGGGACGAGGCCCGCCACCGCCCGGGAAGCCCTGGCGGGCGCGCTGTGCGACGAACTTCTGTGCGAGCTCGGCGAAAGACTGACGACCAGCCATGTCGATGTGTGGAAGGAGAGCGACGAGGTCGAAGAGCGAGATCGAGCCGGCTCGAGGACGACGCCCGCTCGGCACCAGTAGCTGTTGCTTGGACAGGCTTGTAGGGCCTTCGAGAGCTTCGTAGGCAGCTTTAGTCGGTCGCCCAAGCTGTCAGAGGGGCCGAAGAGCACCCGCCGACGACAGCTTCTGAGCGCCCTCGCTCAACGGCAACAGCTCGCAGGGTACTGCGCGGGGTCTGAGCAGGAATGCAGAGCTAGCTTGCACGCTCTCCAGAGTGCCAGGCAGCCGCTTGAGCGAGACGACGCGGCAGGATCGCGTCGTCGTCCAAGTCGCGGCTCTCGCTCAGCTCTCTTCCTGTCACCCTCGCCTCGCTGCTCTGGCCAGATGCCGCCGCGCGAGCTGCCCTCGCTGCAGCGCATCTACGACAAGACCGTCCGCGACGGCGTCGACGCCCTCAAGGCCAAGGACCTGCGCCGTTTGTTGAGGGAGGACGAGGGCTTCGAGTGCACCGACGCAGAGTGGATGGGCGGGCTCCGGGCGGCAGCAGTCGCACAGTGGATGGACCTGCAGGTGCGCCCCTGTCCACCTTTCCCCTTCCTGCCTCGACGTGAGCTGACCCTGTCGCCGCCCCCACCTCTCCGCTACAGCGCGCTCGTCACGACGACGACGACCACGACCACGACTCGCCGCCGCCCGTCAAGAGGGCCAAGAAGGCCAAGAAGGAGCGCGCCACGAGCGACGACGACGAGGACGAGCCCGCGCCCAAGAACAAGTACGACCGGGCCGCCGAGCGCAACTTGGGCGTGCGTCCGGCCGCTCTCTTTGCCTCTTCGTGCCGCAGCTGACATGCGACTCTTCCCTCCAGATCTTCATGAGCGTCCCAGACGTCTTCGGCGGCGCGATCGGGGCAGGAGCAGGCGACCTCGGCGAGATGGACCTGTGCGACGACGATTCGGACGAGTCGTCCTCGGAGGGCTCTGCGTCGCCTTCCGCCTCGCCCGAGCCGCCCAAGAAGCGCCGTCGCAAGTCGTCTGCCGCTTCAAGCGACGAGGACGTCGAGGTCGACTCGCCGAGCGCGTCCGGCTCCGGGTCTCGCTCGCCCGCGCCGTCGACGACCAAGGGCAAGGGCAAGAAGCGCGACAGCACGACGAGCTCGACGTCGCAGGCGAAGAAGATGGGCGGCGGCAAGACGGCGCGCGCCAAGGCGCCCAAGGGCGGGTTCAAGAGCGCCGAGTTCATCGCCGACTCGGACGACTCGAGCCACGAGTTGCCGACGCGCGACGGCGATGACGACGGCGGCCGCGAGGGCACGTCGAGGAAGGACAAGGACAAGGGTAAGGCGAGGGCCAAGGGGGCGGGCGAGGGCAAGGGCAAGGGCAAGAAGAAGGAGCGCAAGGTGCCCGAGCCCAAGGAGGGGGACGCGCCGAGGGGCACCGACGACGAGGAGGCCCGCATCAAGAAGCTCAAGGTGCGTCGGCCTCGCTCTCTCCTCTCCCTCTCTGCCTCGCCTGCGCCCCTCACTGACGCACGTCCGCCCGCAGGACCTGCTCGCCGCCGCGTCCGGCCCTCGCGCTTTCACCGCCGCGACGGGCGCCGAGCGCACCCTGTCGGTCGAGCGCCGCACCGAGGTCCTCGAGGGTCACCTCCAGGTGCTCGGGCTCGCCGTCAAGAGCGGCAGGCTGCCGAGCTTGAGCAAGGCCAAGGAGGTCGGCGAGAAGAGGCTGCTCGCAAAGGAGATGCAGGTGCGCCCTCTCTCTCTCTCTCTCGATTTCGTGCGTGGCGTGTGTCGTGGCGGTCGCTGTACTAAAGCGCATCCAGCCTCGCAGGAGCTCGCCGGCAACCCGTCCAAGACCGGCCTGCGCGACGGCAAGCGCGTGCACGTCGACTCGTCCGACGACGACGGCGGCGACAGCTTTGCGGGGCCGAGCAAGTCAAAGCCTGTCGGCGAGAAGGCGCGCATGCGCGAGGTCGTCGAGCAGCGCAAGGCGTTCGCGTCGTTCCTCGGCGACCAGAGCAGCGAGTCGGACTGAGCGGGCGAGGCAGAGTCGGGACGAGACGGGCTCTCTCTCGGCGAGGTGTACGGGCGCAGGACGCTTGTGTAGCATGTGCTTGGAGCGGGAACGAGCGCTTGAGCAATGTTCAGGGCTGTGCGCGACGAGAGGCGACTTTGAGAGAGTCGCTTCGAGCACCTCGTAACGAGCCGTTCTCTTCTCCTCGGGTCGGGACGGGGTATCTTTCCTCGTGGCAGTGACAGGAGCTGTCGAAAGCTTGAGCACTGCTGCACGTCGTCGGCGTGGTCCGCCTGCAGAGCGAGCGAGAGCCTTTTGTCGTCGCCCTCGAGCCTCTCGTCCGCACTGACCTTTCTTTTGGTCAGCCGCGCCTCAGCCTGTCGATCCCTCGCTTCCGTGCTGAGCGAGTTTAGGGCGAGGTCAAGTTGGTGAACCACGACGCGTTGGTTCGGCCCCTGAGCGTCTGCGAGGCGTCGAGGAGGATCGACCGGTTTGGTCGCAGATCGCTTTCGTGGCTCAGATCTGCGTCGGCCGGCGTGCTCTTTAAGCCCAGGCTGCACAGCCTTTGGAGGCTCGTTGCGCGCCGCTTGCCATGGAGCGGCGGCACCGTGTGTACGACGAGCGAGAGGGTCAAAGCGCTGATTCTGGCCCGCTCTCTTTGCCCGCAGTCCGCTTTACCGCGAGCGTCTGCGGCGGACGACTGAATGCAGAGCGAGCACTGTCCCATCCACGCGCACGGGCAACAGCGAGCGAGGTCAACGTCGACGGCTGCGAGGAGCGCGAGCGAGACCACCTTCCACTTCGAGGAACGGTCCGCTCGTTCGTGCGCGTCGGCTCGCTCTGATTGACGATGAGGTCACCGAACCGCAGGGAGTGACGCGGAATCCAGATCGAGGCCCGCTTCAGCCTCCTCTCGCAACGCCCCCACCTCGTAGCGCGCGCTCGCCAAGTCTCTCTCCTCCTCCTCTCCCTCACAACCGCGCAGCTTCACCCTTTGCGCTCCGCTTCCCTCCAGCACACCCCACTTCTGCACCCCTCCACCACCACCCAGGTGCGCTCCCTCTCGCTGCGCTCCCTGCGCTCCCCGCCTCGTCCAATTGCGCCTGACGTCTGGTCCCTCTCGCTCGCAGCCCTTTTCACCTCCACACCATGGCTCCTACCACGGGCGAGCACGTCCGCGAGATCAGCGAGAACCCGTCGAAGAACGCGGTCACGTCGCCCACCGACGTGCGTCCACCTCGTCGCTCCTCGTCCTCCTCGCGGCGCCGGCTCCCGATGCAGTCACTGACGATCTTGCCCGCCTTCACCTTTGCCTCGTCGCCCTCCCCTTCCCTCCTCATCCCTCTACATGTCGCCTGCTCGTGCCTCCCCCGATCCCGCCCCGACCCTCCGCTCGCCGTTGCCTCCTGCCTCTCACCGGCTCGCAGCCTCGGGTCAAGGCGACCGACACTGACCGCAAGATCAAGATGCTCGGCGTCGTCAACGCGTTCCGCGAGGGCAAGCTCCCGGCCAACGAGTGCGTCTCGTCGTTCCTCTCGTTCTTCGTGAGCCTGCGCTGACCTCGCCTCGTGCCGCCCTCGACAGCCAGTGCGTCTCTGCGCTCGACTACGCCATCGACCACTCGCCGATCGACGAGCGCAAGCTGTCCAAGGACGGCCAGACCCTCGTCGAGGACACTCGCGGTCCGTCCTCGTCTGCTCTTCCCTCTCCCACTTGGTCGCGCGACTGACGGCCGGCCCTCGTTCTGCAGATGTCATCCGTGTCCTTCGCGAGATTGTCGTCGAGAAGAACGACGACGAGCTCCTCCAGAACTTCTTGTGCGTCCTCGTCGTCGCGCGCCGTTCTTCTCGAGCGACGGAACTGACGCCGTCTCTTCCCGCCGCGCAGCTACCACACCAAGAAGACCAACACGCCCAACGTCAACGACCTGAAGAACGTCTCGACCGGCACCGACAAGGGCGAGATGCAGCAGGACGGCGACCAGGCGGTCGAGCACCTCCGCACCCTCGGCAAGCTCATCTTCACCAACTCGGAGGCGCGCAAGCTCCTCAAGGACGTCGGCCTCCTCGCGCGTGACGTCGCCGCCGACGCCGCCACGCACGCCGCCGACCTCGCTCGCCCCGACGAGGAGCGCCTGCGCCAGGTCGACGAGCCGGCGCCCTCGAACCAGTGGGTCGGCCCGAACGGCGAGGTCCGCGACCACAACTCGCCGGCGCCCGACACGGGCCTCCAGGCCAAGAAGGAGCAGGCGCAGAGCGCCCTCGACCAGGCCCGCACCGCCAAGGAGGAGGCCAAGGGCGAGGCGTTCGACCGCGCGCAGAACGTCGCCGGCGCCGCCGACCAGGGCCAGCAGTCGCAGGCCGGCCCGGCTACAGGCCACATCGGCTCGGTGGGCGACGCCGCCAACCAGGCGCAGCAGTACGCCGGCCAGACGGGCGTCTCGGGCGGCAACGGCCAGCCGCCGTACTTCACCGGTGGCTCGTCGGGCGCGTCGCTCGACGCTCAGCCGGGCTCGACGCTCTCGACGTCGCAGGGCGGCTTCGCCGGCGCGCAGTCGGCCGGCTACTCGTCGTCGTCGGCGCCGAGCGACGCCCAGGTCGAGGAGGGCCGTGCGCGCGCGCAGGCCGGCAAGGAGGCCGGCGTCGGCCAGGCCAAGGAGGAGGGCAAGCAGGTCAAGAACAAGCTTCTCGCCAAGATCCCGGACGAGCACAAGGACCGCGCTCGCGAGCAGAAGGAGAAGGCCAAGGTCCGTCCTCGCTCGTCCTCGTCCATGTCCTTGCCCCTCCTCGTCCGGTTCCTGACTCTTTCTCTCTCTCTCTCTCTCCTTTCCTCTCTCGCGCCTGCAGGACTACCTCAAGGACAAGTTCCCCGAGGAGCGTCGCGACCGCTTCATCTACCGCCTCAAGAAGGTCGTCGTCGAGAACCAGCGCCACAAGGACTACCAGGAGGCGATCGACTTCTTCCTCGACCGCGCCGAGCACTACCAGGTCCAGGCCAAGGAGGCCGGCAAGCAGGGCGGCGGCAACGCGGCCTCGATCCGCCACGACGACAACTTCAAGCAGGCGACGTACGAGCTGCGCACCCTCCTCGAGCGCTTCGCCAACGGCGCCTCGATGCAGCCCATCTGGGACTCGGTCGACCAGATCTACACCGACTCGCAGAACGACGGCGAGCTCCGTGGCTGGTTCCGCGAGCTCAACCAGTACGTGCGCCAGTGCCTCCAGGAGCCCGGCTACATCATGAAGGTGCGCCTCCTTCTCTCTCTCTCCTTCTCTTCCCTCATGATGAGCGTCTTCCTGACGCTCCTTCCGTGTCACGCAGGACGAGGCCGACCGCCGTGGCCGCGAGCTGCTCGACTCGGGCAAGCGCTACTGGGACCCAAAGAACGGCAAGTACGCGTCGCACAAGGACCGCTTCTTCAACGAGGTGCAGAGCTTCTTCACGTCGTACGCCGACGACGGCCTCAACCAGCGCCTCGGCGAGTCGGTCAAGACGCTCGTCACCGACCTGTTCCTCAACTCGGAGGGCAACCCGACCTACAAGCCGCACCTGTGGCGCGACATCCGCTCGGTCATCCTCCCGGCCCTGTTCACCCAGATCGGCTACGTCCCGGTGCCGCGCGCCGAGTACACGTCCAAGGACGTCGACCTCGTCATCGAGAACCTGACGCTCGAGACGGCAAACATCCTCCCCAACATCTTCGAGATCGAGGTGCGTCTTCCTCCTTCTCTCTCTCTCTCTCTGTACACTCGTGAGCGTGTCCCCTGACGCCCTAATCGACCCAAAACAGGCCCGCAACTACTTCCGCTTGTCCCCGTACGATAACCTTGGAGACGTCTCGAAGCACGCGTTTTGGGTTTCTTTCGAGCAAGTGCAACTCGACCTCAAGGACGTGGCCTTCTGTGCGTCGCCCGTCTCTCTCTCTCCGTCGTCGTCGTCGTCGTCGTCGTCGAGGACGAGAAAATCGTCGAGCCGAGTACTGACGCTCGAACCCCTTCCTCTCGCCCGCCCTCAGACATCAAGAAGAAGACGGGCTTCCCCAAGCTCACCGACTCGGGCTACGCCGACGTCTTCCTCGGCGGCAAGGGCCTGTCGGGCAAGGTCCACATCGAGTCGACCGGCCGCAAGCACCACGCGTTCAAGGTCGTCGAGGTCAAGATCAAGATCGACAAGCTCAAGTTTGCTGTGCGCGAGGCCAAGCACTCGACGCTTATCAACATGCTGCGCCCGCTCGCGACCGGCCTCATCAAGTCGGCCGTCACCAAGGCGCTCGAGGCGGCCATCCGCACCGGCCTCGAGCAGGTCGACGCCCAGCTGTCCGACATTGCCGAGCGCCTCGAGGACGCCAAGAACCAGGAGGGCACCAACAAGATTGACGCGCTCAAGCAGTCGTTCGCCGACAAGAAGGCCGAGGCGCAGCGCAAGAAGGACAAGGCCCAGGACGCGGCTCGTGCGTCCTCTTTCTCCCCTTTGCCTCTCTTCCTCTCTCGACCCTCGACTGACGCTCCTCTCCTCTGTGCAGCCGACGGCCAGTTCTCGCTCACGCTCGACCCGAAGGACAAGCTCGTCAACTGGTCGGCGCCCGACTCGACGCTCGACAAGGTGCAGGAGAAGCAGAAGCAGGCCCGCACCGGCTCGGACGACTGGCGCTCGCCGGCGTTCACCATCGTCGGCCACGGCGCGTCCAAGGCCGGTCACGGCCACACGTCGGGCTCGGCCGGCACGCCCGCTCACACCGTCTGAGCGCGCACGCTCTCGCCCTCTCGCGCCTCGGTTTCGATGACTACCCCCTCCCCGTCAGTACTACCCATGCGTGCCCTGTACCCCCTCAGCGTAGCTCTCTGTACATAGCCTGAACTCGAGACATAATTCGCTCATCGTCGTCGTGCCCGTCGAGAGCGATTCGAGTGCGAGCGAAAGTTGAGCAGGAGCTCGCCCGCGCCGTTGCATCTCAATCTCTCTCTCTCTCTCTCGGCGACAGCTGTGGGGCCTGTCTGTCGAGCTGTGCACCGACCTGAGAAAGCCAGCAGCCAGCGAGAGAGAGAGAGAGCGAGAGAGCTGGCGCTGCTCGACTTGAGAAGGTCGTCGTCCGGCCGCGGCCTCTCCGCAGCTCCCTCCGCCGAACCGGCTTCGGCGAGCACATCAGGAGCGTAGAGAGCTGTGCGATTGATGCCAGTACGGACGCTGGACAGTCGGCGCTGGCGGGAGGAGCGCTGCGGGCTCGCGCCCCTCGCTCTTTCCCTCGTCCGCTCCTCTTGCGCTCTGTCGACAGCTGCACCCATGAGCTCGAGCGCCTACAGCCGCAGCGCAGACCTCGGCAGAGCCTCGCCCGCCCACCGCGCCGCGCAGCAGAGCGCCGAGCTCCGCCCGCCTCGAGCCCGGTCCGACCAACCCGCCGTCAACAGGGCGACGGCGCCGAGTACCGGCAGCAGCAGGACTCCCAGCAGCCTTTTCGCCGCCCTGTATCCGCCTCGAGTGCGCTCGGCGGCCGCGCCGGCCGAGACGACCTCGTCCCACCTCGGCTCGCTCCCTCCCCCGACCGCCAGCGCCTCGACACCTCCTCGCCGGTCGCGCATCCCGTCACGACTACCTCCCGTCAACGTGCCAGCACCCTCGGCGCCGCCGTCTGCCCTTCCTCGGCCTCCCCCAGCCGCGTCCCCTCCCACCCTCTCCTCCTCGTCGACCGCGCCACCCTCTTCCTCCACGAGTCTGCGACGAGGCGCCAGGTCGCCGCCTCTTCCCGCCAGCTCGAGACTACCTGGGCCTCGTCGCGGCGGCAGCGAATCGGCGAGCGCGTCGTCGGCGTCGCACGGCCTCCCGCCTTCTCGCGCAGTCGGGCGCAGCAGGCTCTTTGCGCTGTCGCTCGAGCGGGTCGCCGAGCAGGGCATCCCCAAGATGTCGACAACGAGCCCGAGTACGGTCAAGTGCGAGGCGGGTGGCGCCGCACACGCTCCCGGGCTCCTGTCGATGGCGAGCGCCGGACACGCGCGCGGGCCGGATGCGCCTCGTGCAGCGCCGACCGGCCCGGGAGGGCCCTCGCGCAGGGCAGTCGCGCAGGTCGAGGCGCTCGAGCCCGTCGAGACCGGTGGCTCGCTCGCTCAGCCCGCGCCGCGCCCAAGCCGCTCGACCGGCAACGGCGGCGGCCCGAGCGCGCTCGAGCGGGCGATTTCGTCGTCCATCGCCCCGCCTGTGCTCCTGAGCATCAAGGGCGCCTCTCAAGCAGAGCTCTCGGTCGGCACCGGCACGCGCTTGAAGCGCGAGCGCTCGCCGTCGCCGTCGTCCGAGCCGGTCAAGCGTTTTCGCGCGGCGTCGAACCAGCTCGCACGTCCAGCGCCGCCACCGGCGCCGAGCCGGCGGGCCCTGTCGACGCAGGGACCGCGATGGGCGTCGAGTGCTCCGCTCTCGCAGGACCAGATCGACCCGATGTGGAACGACTGCACGTTCGCCGACTTTGCGCCGTTCCTCCACGACGAGCACGTCGAGCCGGCCTTCTTCCACGGCTTCTACGAGGACCAGATTGAGCTCCTGCGCGCCTGCGCACCGGTCGCCGACTGGCACCCGGACCCGGCCCGTCTGGGCGCGCGCATGACTCGCCTCCCGCCGCTCGCCGCCCAGGTCGGCGCCCGCCAGCCGAGCAGGCGCGCCATTCGCGCCGCCGTCGGCCCGTTGCGCTCGGCGCCCGGGTACAACGAGCTCGACGACAAGGCCCGGCGCGTGTGGAAGTGGCTCGCCAAGGTCGTCGGGTGGGTCTGGGTCGGCGGCGGCTCGGCGACGCCCGACGAGGTGTCGTACGTCGCTCGAACGGCGCCCAAGCCCGTCATGCTCATCTGTGCGTCGCCTCTCTCCTTTCTATCTCCTTCAATCTCACTAAATCCCTCTCCTCTCCCGCCGTCCATTCCTCGTTCTCTCCCTCGCACAGTCCGCCGACTCGCGCACGTCCTCGCCCTGCGCGAGCTCGTCGACCGCGCCTACGAGCAGCTCAAGGCGCACCTCGACCGACGCCGCCGCGCCTTTACCGCCACGGCGCGCGAGGCGGCCGCGCTCGTCCTCGTCGAGTGGCTCCTGCGCACGGGCCCCGCTTCGCCGCAAGTCGACCGGCGGGCGCTCTTCTTCGGGCGCGCAGACGGGCGCGTCCGGCGCGACGACGAGGGCGAGCGGCCGTGGGTGAGGTGGCTCATGAGGGCGGACAGGGGCGACAGGTGCAGCGAGCACCGGCTCGACGACTGGGAGCGGGACGTGCTCGAGCGAGAGGGGCGCGAGTGGGGCATCCAGGAACGCAGGCAGGCAAGATGAGGCGGGTGAGGGCGTGCAAGAATGATTTGCGTCATCCCCAGGTTCGTCGTGCACCTCGAGAGGCGAGAGAGAGAGAACAGCTGTCGCGCCCGCCCGACTCGAGCTTGACGAGGAAGGGCTTTTTTCTCTCGGCAGCAAGCTCTCGAGCGCATGTACTGCGACCATCGACGAGCGTCACCCGACGTCCTTGCTTCGCTCTCTGCGACCGAGCGCGGAGATGAGAAGCCGGCGACGCAGGCCGATGTCGAGCTTGAACTTGAGAAGGTCGACTTGCGCGACTTGGTGCGTCGTCCCGCCTCTTCGTCGCAGCGCTTCGCAGACAAGGCTCGACAGCCACAAGGGAAGTAACGAGCAGTGTGGCCACGGTGCTCTCGTACCGCGCAGCGAGCGAGCCGGAGCGGACCTCTCACGAGAACGGCTGAGGGAGCTCTCTCTGCGCTCGGACCCTCGCTCTCGCTTTCTGCTCTCGACAATCTCGACGGCCGCGAAGGAGAGAGGAAGATAACTGCCATGCATGCACACCACTGAACGTCACTACAGGGGCCCGAGCGCACTAGGACGGGAGCTTCTTCTTGGCGTCCTCGACGGCGTCGTCAAACTCGTCGCGCATCTCGAGGGTCTTGAACCGGATGCGGTACACGGCGGGCTTGCCGGCTTTGTCGAGGCCCGTGAACGTGATGAAGGTCTTCTCCTTGGTCAAGTTGAGCGAGGGGAAGAGGGAGAAGTTCTGCGGGCGGCCAGACGAGGCGGGAGGTCAGTCCATTTGGCTCGAAGGACGAGGAGACAAGGGAGAGAAAGAGAGCGAGGACGCACGATTTGGACGCTGCCGGTGACCTCGTTGCGGGCGAGGAGCCTGAGCTTGCCGTTGTCCTCGCGCTCCTTGATGTGGACGTTGCCGATGCCGAGGTCGTCGGCGACACCGCCCTTGAGGTGCCACACCTTGGCGCGCACGGTGTGCAGGACCGACTCGCCCTCCTCACCCTCGCCGGGCGCCGTGAACGGGTTGGCGCCGGGCGTCTGGGCGCGCGAGTCGGTGCCCGAGTCGACCGAGGCCGGCGCGGACGTGTCGGTGTTGCCGCCGGCGGGCGTCGGCGCCGTCGACGCGGTGAACGAGAAGGCCGGCGCCGTCGAGGCGGCAGGCGCAGCACTCGACGTCGACGCCGTCGGGGAGGACGTCGTCGCGGGGCCGAACGAGAACCCGAGCGTCTTCTTGGCCGCCTCGTTCTTGTCGTCGCCGGTCGTCGACGTGGCCGTCGCCGGTGCCGTCGCCGCGCTGCCGAACGAGAACGACGGCGGCGACGCAGCGGCCGAGCCGCTCCCGCTCCCGCTGATCGAGCTCCCGAACCCAAAGCCCGTGTTCCTCGCCGCGCCCGCCGACAGGCCGATCGCCTTGTCCTTCTCCTTGCCCTGGAGGGCCGCGCCGAACCCGAACGACGACGACGTCGCGCTGCCAAACCCGCTCGCGATGGGCGGCGAGGCGGCCGGCTTGATCCCGAACGGCGACGTGGTGGCGGCCGCCGGCGAGGAGGAAGCGGCTGCGGTCGAGGCCGGCGCGAACGGGTTCGGGGCTGACGGCGAGCCAGCGCTGCCGAACGAGAACGGCTTGGCGACCGTCGACGACGTGTCGGCGCTGCTCGACGAGGCGCCGGCGGCTGGCGCGCCGAACGAGAACGGCGCGGTGGCGGACGGGGCCGTCGACGGCGCCGACGACGTGCTCGGCGCCGCACCGAACGAGAACGGCGAGCCCGCACCGAACGCCGGCTTGGGCGCGGCCGCCGCGTCGTCGGCCTTCTTGTCGATGGCCTTGCCCTCCTTGTCGTCCTCCTTCTCGCCCTTGGCCATCTTGCCAAACGTCGCGCCGAACGAGAAGCCGCCCTTGACGGCAGCAGGCTTGCTCGCCGCCGCCGACGCCGCACCGTCCTTGTCCGGGCTCGTCGGCGGGCTCACGCTCTGACCGAAGCGGAGCGGCGACGGCTTGGACGGCGGGTTGGTGAGCTTGGCCGGGGCCATCTTGGGCGCCGACGGCGGCTTGAGCTCGTCGCGGGCCTTGGCCGGGGCGGACGTAGACGAGGAAGACGTCGACGTCGAGGCGGTCGGGGCGGGAGCGGCCGACGGGAACGAGAACGAGCTCTTCTCGGCGTACGGGTCGGCGGGCGCGTCGGCCTTGAACACGAAGCCACCCGCCGCGGGTGCGCTCGAGGGCGACGACGACGACGACGACGGCGTGCTCTTGACCGTGCTGCCGGCGAACGAGAAGGCGGGCGGCGGCGCGGGCGCCTTTTTCGGGGCCGCCTCGGCCTCGGCGGTCAGGTCGGCGACGGGAACCGGCTTGGGCGGGTTTTTAAAGATGTCGGGGATGCCGTCATCGGCTGCGGTGGAGGACGACGAGGCGCCCGGCGTCAAGTCGGCGATGGGCACGGGCTTTGGCGGGTTCTTAAAGATGTCGGGGATCTCGAACCCGGCGGCCGCCGCCTGCGCCGGGTCGGACAAGTCGGCGATCGGGACAGGCTTGGGCGGGTTCTTGAAGATGTCGGGGATGCCGTCGCCGGCTGCGGCGGCCGCCTTGGGCTTGTCGGCCGCCGACGTCGACGTGCCGTTCTGGCGGCCCTGCGCCGAGTCGTACTCGCGCTGGACCGACGCGCGGTGCTCGACGTACTTGGCCTTGAGGCGCTCGAGCACGCCCTCGCCGGCGAGGTCGACGAACGGGTCCTTGGCGACCTGGTCCGACAGGAAGTCGACGAGCGTGACGTTCAACGCCCGGAGCGCCGAGTAGTACTTGAGCGGCGCGTCCTGGCCCGACGTCTTGGGCGCCGCCGCACGCGGTGCCGGTGCGCCAAAGGTAAAGGGGCTTGCGGCGGGCGCAGCGGTCGAGGTCGAGGGTGCCGGTGCGGAAGTCGACGAGGAGGAGGAGGTCGAGCCGAACGAGAAGTTGGGCTTGGCCGAGCCGTTGGCGGCAGTTGTGGACGGGCTCGTGCCGAGTGCGGCGAACGGGTTCGAGTCTGGCGCAGGAGCGGTGCTCGGCCCGGCAAGGGCGGCGAAGGGATTGGGCGCGGCGACAGCTCCGAACGGCGAGGGTTTCTGTGAGCAGGAGGGGTCAGTCGAGGGGCCGGGGGGTGCATTCGCGTGCCGAAACTCACAGGTGCAGCAGGAGCGGCACCAGCAGGTCCACCAGCAGCGCCCTTGCGCTTGGGCAGTCCACGGATCCTGCGGGAGAAGGTGAGGGTGAGCGAAGGCGCCACCACGACGAGGGGGAGAGACAGAGGAACGCGAGACGCACTTGCGACCTGCGAGTTGAGCGTCTGACGCCTTGCGGAACTCGCCCTCGCCGCCCTGTGAGCGTGTAGGAGCGAGAGTCAGCGTCGAGGCGGGGCAGGGAGGGTTGGACGAGGACGCGGCGAGCGGGGACGCACCTCGTCCGAGCGGTCGTCGTCGTCGCCCGTGTTGTCTTGCGTGATCTGCTTCTCGGCACCGCGCTTGGCCATCGTGAGAGTGCGACGCGTGGGGTGGAGGAGGAGGGAGAGAGCCGCCGACGAGGAGACGACCACGACCACGACCAGCGCAGCAGCTGGCTAGCCTGTGCGCTCTGTGGACGCGTCTAACTGCTCATTGCAGCCCGCCCCGCGGCTCCCCATCCTGCCCTGTGCCGAGGAGCGCTTCTCCTCCTCCTCGGCCGGCGAGTCTGGCTTTCGGCGCAGAGCTGGCCGCGCAGGATCTCGCAGGTGCTCTCCCAAGTCTTCGCTCGGACTCGAGAACTGCTCGTGACGAGTCTACAGAGCCCGACCCCTCGCCCCGCCAAGCCTGAACCCTCCTCCTCCTCCTCCTCGCTTCTTCTCCCGCTCCGTCTTTTTCGCCGCCTTCTTGCCCTCCCCGCGCTCCGTCCGAGCCCGCCGCGTCGAATCCAGCAGCTCCCACACGGCGAGCGCCGCCTTGGCCGGGTCGCCCTCGCGCCCGACGCCTCGGCGAAGCTCCTGCAGCGCGCCGTCGACGCGAGCCTTGGCCTCGCCGCGCTCGACTGCGCCGCCGTCCTTCGTCCCGACACCGACGACGGGTCGAGCTGGTGGAGCGGGCGCGTCGAGCTGGCGCTGCTGCGCGTCGAGCTCGCGCGCTCGGCGGGCGGCGGCGGCGCCTGCGGCCCAGCGAGGATCGTGCGCATGCTGAGGGAGCGCGGCGTCGACACCTGCGAGGGACACGAGTGCGTCAGGACGGGATCGAGAGACCGAGAGAAGAGAGCGAACACGGACGCACCGTACACCGGCCCTCCTGCTCTGAATCCCGGCTGCCCTCCTGCTGCTCCCGCCGCGCCGCTGCTCGTCCTGCCCACGAGTGCCTGCGCCGCACGCCGGGGCATCACCCTCGGCGCCATCCTCCCATCGCCGGGCACGAGCGCGAGGCTCTCGGCGGTGACCGGGCGCGGCACTCGAGGCCCGTGCGGGGGCCGAAGTGGCGCGCGCCCCAGGCGGACGAGCGGCGAGGTCGGGTGGTACGGCGGTGGCGGGGTAGGGGTACTGCGTGACGCTGACGAGGACGAGGGTGATGAGGAAGGGTCGAAGGCGGCAGGAAGTGCGGCGAGGTGGGTCGGGAGGTGGAGCTGCGCCGTGAGCGTGTCGAGCTTGTCGAGCAGCGCCGAGAGCTGCGACGAGTGGGTGCTGGACGAGTGCTCGACAAGCTGTCAAGGTGATTGTGTCAGATAGAACTCGCGAGAGAGAGAGAGGGGGGGCAGGCAGGCGCACCTTGACGACCTTGCCGAGCGTGCGAGTGAGCTGGCGATTCTTGTCCTCGGACGCGGCGAGGTCTGCGTACGGCGAGACTTTGTCAGGGCCGTACACACGAGGTACTGAAGACGCGACGCACGTCTCTTCTGATTGAGCATGCGCGCCTCGACCTCGAGAAAGAGCTGTGGGCGCGAGAGTGAGCGTCAGGAGAAGGCTCGTGGGGAAAGTGAGCGGCGACGCACCTCCTGCAGCCGGCGCCTTTGCACAAACCGGCGCTCGGCATCCTCGTCCTGGCTGACGGAGCCCTGCTCGCTCGGGTGCTGCTGCGGGCGCGGGTCGTGCACGTCGGGATAGGCCTGCGAGCGAGGGCTGGGTCAGGTGCACGTCCGTGCCGCCCAAGGGGAGGAAGGGATCAGAAGGACGCACAACTTGAGCGAGGGGCGACAGGGTTGGCCGATAATGGCGAGGCGGGTACCGCCGTGGCGCCGAGCTGTTGGACGAGAACTTGCTCGGAAGGTCGACGCGGCGGACGGGCAGGGCCGGTGCGCGATCGTCGACTGGATCGTGAGGAACGTTTTGGTGATGCTGAGGGGGTCGCTGGGTCAATCGCGGTTCGGCACGCTCGAGGATGAAAGAGGAAGAGTCAGCGGCGCACCTCGTCGCTCCTCGTCGGCGTGCGACCGCTCGCCGCCCACTCTTCTTCCCTTGCGCCCGTCGCGTACTGCCCCGGTGAGCCCGCTCCATGACCGACCGCCCCGAGCGCCTCGAGCTCCCGCCGAAGCTCGTCCGCCAACCTCGCCTCCTCCTCGATGACGCGCGCGAGCTCGTCCTGCTCGGCCGAGGTGCGCCTGCGCAGCCCGTTGAGGTGCTCGATCCACTCGATCTGCGGGAGCGAGGGCTCGTGTCAGTCCGCGACTCGTCCTCGAGCAGAGGCGCGAGAAAGAGAAAGGCCGGGCGCACCTTCTCAAGTAGCCTTTCCTCGTCCTCGCTGAGCGCCCTGCCCTCCCTCTCGGCCTGCAGCACGAGCCGCTCCTTCAGCCCCTCGAGCTCCTGCGCCGCCTCCCTCGCCCTCGCCGCGTCCCCCTCGAGCCCCTCCTGCTGGCCCGTGAGCACCGCCCGGACGAGCTCGAGCCGGTCGCGCATGACGCCGAGCTCGAGCGCGTGCTGCGCCTCGCGGCGGACCGTCGACGGCGGCGATGGCGGCGAGTAGACCTCGGCGGGCGGGCGCGCCGGCCATGACGAGCGAGAGGGCGGCGAGGTGCGGCCCCAGTCGTCGGCCGAGGCGTGCGGCGCGAGCTCCTCGACGAGGACGGGGCGGACGTGAACGTCGGCGTGGAAGGAGCGCATCCATCGAGGGTCCTTCTGGTCGTGACGGGGCGGCGAGACGAGGTTGCGGGACGAGGAGGTACGAGGCCGGCGCGATGAGAAAGGGGTTGGGGGCGAGCTGGCGCAACGGCGAGGACGGGTTGACGACGAGGACGGATCTGACGAGGCGACGACGTCGAGGTCGTCGACGAGTGTAGACGAGCGACGGTACGCGCCAGACTGGGCGTTCCTGTGGACGGGCTCTCGGTCAGTGACCAGTTGGGCGTGGGAGAGGCGGCGGAACAGCGAGACGCACTTGATCTTGAGGCTCCAGAGCTCGGCGTCCAGCGTCTCGGTTCCGGCAAAGTAGAGCGCATCGCCGCCTCGCAGCTTGACGCAGAACGGCTCGAAGCCGCGCCTCGCGTGCTTCGAGATGAGCTCGACGTTGGCGACGTCGGCGACGGCGAAGGCGATCAGGGCGTCGGCGTTGACGTCGGCGTCGTCGAGGAGGTAAAGGTGCGAGGGCGTGAGGATGGCGTAGACGGCGTGCCACATGTCGGGGAACGAGAGGAGGCCGTCGGTGACGGCGCGGTCGGGCGGCGGCTGGAGGAGCCAGTCCTGCGTGCGCACGAGCTCAAGATTAGTCCCTCATCCGAACGAGTCGACGGCTCGACTGAGAGAGGAACGAGAGGACGCACCTGCATGAGGACCTCGTCGACTCGCACCTCCTCGCCCCTCTCGTCCGGCTCCGCCGCGACCGACTTGCCCGGCTCCCGCAAACCCTCGGTCGCCTCCTCCCAGCCCCACGAGCTGCGCACGTCGTCCAGCTCCCTCTCGCCCCGCACATGCACCGTCGGCGGCCCTCCTCGCTCGCGCGCCTCGCCCCGCTCCGCTTCTCGCCGCGCACGTTCCCACTCGAGCAGCTCGGCTCGGCTCGGTCGCGCGCCGGGCCGCTGCGCGCCGTGCGGCTCGTCGAGCTCGTCGGCTGACGGACGCCCGTGCGCCTCGTGCAGGACGGTGCGGCCGCTCGAGCGCGAGGGCGTGCGGATCGCGGCGCCGGCCGGGCCGACGTAGCTGAAGCCGTCGTGCCAGGGGCGAGCGCTGTGCGGCTCGGTGGCGCCGTAGCCGTCGTGAGGTGGATAGAAGTCGGCGGCGAGGCGGGAGGACGCCGGATGGGCGGACGCTGAGTCGGGAGGGTACGGCGTGCGGTCGTCGGAAGGAGGCGGCGAGTGGAACGGCTGAAGAGGGGGTGATGCGTGTATTGTCGCAGCACGAGTAGGAGTGGGCCGAGAGTGATGCGGGAGGGGCAGTTGTGCGGGTGAACGGCGAGTCGAGGCGCCGCTGGCGAGAGGAGCGGTCGGGTCGGGAGGAGGGGAAAGCGAAGGATAGGGCGCGACGACCGCCCCTGCACGAGCCGCTCTCTGGGCCTTGAGCCGTTCGACGAGCCCGCCGGCGAGCTGCGGCTGGCTGAGTGCGGCCGACGGGGTCGGCAGGAGAGCCGGTCCGGGCGACGGCTCGACGGGTGGACGCGGTCTGGCGAGGACAGGTCGAGCAGCCGGCGACGACGGGGCCGTCGCGCTCACTCGTGCAGCTCGAGCTTGAGCTGCCCGCTCGACAGGGACGGCCGCGCCGGCGGGAACGGGCCGAATCGAGATCTGCGCGGCGTCGACGGCGGCGGCGGGACCTCGACCCGCTCGCGCCGTGCTCGCCACCGTGCTCGACGGGACCGACGGCGCATAGACGTGACCTCGAGGCGTCTGGACCCGCAAGCTCGGCGCGCCCTCGTCGGCTGTGTCGAACGATTCGGCGTACGAGTTGATGTCGGGGTCGGGGGCGACCACGGCGACGGCTGGGGCAGCGGGTTGGGCCCACAGGTTGCGGACGCTCGGCAGCTGGTTGTAGAGGTCGCCGACGCGCTGCCACATCTGGCGGGTCGGGTGGCGAGGAGGTGGTCGGGGTCGCAGGCGGGGGCGAGCTGAGGCGTGGCCTCAGTCGCTGACGGGGCGGGCGAGCTGGATAGCGCTGTCGAGAGCGGCTATGGTGAGGGGCAGGACAGGCTCTCGCCTGGGCGCGCGAGGCCCGTGACGAGGCAGGAGAGCGGGTCGGCAAGTCGGGCGGCGAGCGCACCGGCGTGCGGCGGACGGCGGCTCGCGCACGCCGAGAACGCGAGAGGAGGCCACGCGGACGAGTGCTCGCCGGAGCATCGAGTGACACAGCGATCGAGCGGGGCGCAGGCCGGTGGTGCGAGTCGAACGAGAGCCGTCTCGAGGTGTCGCTCGTTCGTCGTCCTCCTTGTCGCTCTCGCCTGCCAGGTCGCGTCCCTCGCGCTGGAACGACGCACACATACCTCGACAACAACCTCCCGCTACGACCGCGCCGCCGCGAGCGCTCGCCGACCGCGCAGAGCGCGTCGCATCTTGATCAGTAACTCGCGTCGTCCGACCTCTCTCAACTGGTGGCAACGGTTCATGGGCCTGTGGGTATCGTCGTCGAGGACTATAGCAGCGTCAAGAAGACTACTGGGCAAGGCGGTCGCGCTGCGCGGGCTGTGTGCGACTGGTGCGTCCTCCTCCTCCCCGCCTCTTCGTGTTTGGCCCCCCTCTCCCTCTCCCCTCGCCCCCCTGCTACCTCGCGACGCAGAGCAGGGGTCTTAGTGGACTGACTCCGTCACCTTACAGGCGGAACGGCTGTGCAAGGCGGGAACAGCGGTCTGCTGGGCGGCGCGAGGCGGGCTCTCGACCTCGAGGCGGCTCATCTTGTTCTTTGTACGTCCCGCACACCATCCTTCTTCCCTGCAGGACCTTCATATGGGTCTTGACATCTCGTCGAGCCGCGCACTGACCCTCTTGACGTCGCGCCACAGGTTAGTCGCGCCCTCGATGGCACCCTCTCCTTCTCGGACTCGAAAGTGCCCGCCTCGCACGCTTGCTTGCTCTTGCGCTGGCCCCTGCCGACGCCGAAATGTCCTCTGCATGACTCGAGCGAGCCCCGAGAGACCTACACGCCCGTCTCGCCATCGTTACTCGTCCCGACGGCTCAGCGAGTCGAGCCGTCGCGGACGGGTCTTTACGAGGCCGCGCCCGCCCTCACGTGCCCCTGAGGGCAGCGGGCGCACTGTGGTGAGTCGCTCGCACGGCGCGCACCCCTGCGGAGCGCCCGTGCGCCCGGCCACCTACAAAAGACAGGGGGATCCTGCGCACCCTCGCTCAAACGCTAGCTCTTGATCTAGCAGGGTTACGGCCTTCTGCGTGCGACGGATCGAACGACGAGGTGTGTGCGGTACAATCGAGCGCGTTTCCCGAGCCAGATCACCTTGCAGAGCGAGAGCTGGCGCGTGCTCGCTTGGACCTTCTCAAGTCCGAGGTCGGCAAGGTCGAGAAACCGCTTTCTGCTGGCTCCCTCTCTCGCGAGCGCTCTCTGCGAGTGTACTCGAGTGCGGCCTGAGCGAGAGACAGCGGGCCGATGCCTGTGTGCCTCGCATTGGTAGACTGCAGCTTCCCGTCGCCCTCTGGCCAGAGCATTCGACGCCACCGACTGTAGGCAGCCATGCGGGTGTCCTCGCGAGCAAAAGGAGGCGGGCGCGAGGTCAACCGCAAGCGTAAAGTGACTGCCAGAAAGCAGCAAAAAGAAGCTCCCCGCTCCCGGGATCGAACCAGGGACTTTCAGATGACGCAACCGATTACAGTCTGACACTCTTCCAGCTGAGTTAAGCGGGGTTTGCTTTGCTCGAGTAGCTAATTTGCACTCACATCGCTAATCCCGCTAATTTTGTACCTCTCGCTTGATGGCGCCGCCGCAATTTTCCAGGCCAGCGCTTTCGGCGTGGCCCTCGACGTTCGGGCACAGTCGCAGAGGCCTCTCGAGACTCGAAGCGGTTTCTCCAAGGTCCTCGCGCTCGCGGAGCTCCGCGTTCACCTGCTCTCGCTCGCTGCGGACCGCTCGAGAGCCCGAGTGATACAGAATTGCAGCCCTTCTCGCCGCCGAGACCGTCGCGTCGACGTCTACTTGACCTTGGGCGGCTCGCGCTCGAACAAAGAGCTCGTGTAGCTCGTCGCGGCGGCCAGCTCGAACACGCGCTCGCCGGCGCCGAGGAGCGTGTTGGCGGTCTGCTGCGCCGGTCCTTCGGGCAGGCTCGACGTCGAGAACCTGTGCGTGGGAGGGAGAGCGGGTCAGTGAGGGTGCAGGCGACAGAGGGAGGACGAGGTGTGCGTCGGGCGAGGGCGGAGAAGAGGTGGCGAGAGGTCGCCGCACGAGCGGCCGCTCAAGGAGAATCTGGCACGCCGCCGGTAGCCCAGTCTCGTAGTGCCCGCCTCGCCGCCTCTCGCAAGTGCGCTCCATCCTGCCCGGGCGGTCTCGAGTCGCATGACCGCCGCCGCCGATCGTCCTGCTGCCCCGGCGGCCCACCTGCCCAGACCCGCCCCAGCGTGCACCGTGACCACCACTGCCGTCACCCGAGAGGCCTCATCGAACGCTCAGACCCTGCACGACGCTGCCCACGGCCCGAGAGAGCGAGAGAGATGGCGGACGCACTGGAAGCCGGTGTGCCGCTTGACGCCGGCGAGGACGGTCGAGAGGAGGACGATGTCGAAGGTGTAGTGGAAGAGGCGGCCGAGGACCATGCTGGGCTTGCGCTACTGGCTCAGGGGGCGTGTGAGGTGGACGAGGTCGAGCGCGAGGAGGTGGGGGGAGATGAGAGCTGAGCTGCAGAGGGAGAGGGCCTGCGTCGGTGAGCTGCGACGCGAGTGACTGAAGTGAGGACGCACAGTTCTTGTAGAGCGTGCGAGGCCGTCCTTGAGCGAGCTGAGGTGCGAGCGACAGCAGGAGAGAGGTGGCCGGCGGACGGTGAGCAAGGCGATCCCTCTCTCTCGTCGTCGAGGGCGTCTTTTGCCAGCCGAGTACCTGAGTGACCCTCTCTTCGTACCTTGCTTCGCTGCCGTGGCTTTGCGAGAGCCGAAGCACTCAACTTGCGAGAGACTCGGCCGCTCACGGGCAACTCGACGAGGCTGGGCTGAGAGCGAACACACTTGCGCAAGAAGGTACTGCACCGGTGACAAGGACAGACGACCGACAGGTACAAGAGGGCGAGAAGTACAGGGAGGGGTACGGAGAGGGAACTGCTTCAGGCCGAGGTTCGCGCTCGCTCCAGAGGAGGGCAGCGGGCGCAGACGAGGGGGATTAGGATAGGGGAATGCGGGTGCGAGAATGCGATAGTAGTCGAGAGGACGAGAGGCGGAAGAGTGCATCAGGCACGAAGGTCTGCAGGCAGGGAGGCGAGTCAGTGTCGGCGACTCGAGAAAGGCGAGGGTTGGAGAAAAAGGAAGACGTACGCCTGTCCCTCCCGCTCGCGAGACCCTCCTCGCTCTCGAAGCCGTAGTAGCCGCCGCGCTCGTCGTCGAACGGGTTCTGCTCGGCGGCGGGCATGGGCGGCGTCCTCGACGAGACGGGCGTGGGCGGCGTCCTCGACGACGCCTCCTCGTCGCTCGCGAAGCGCACGTTGCTGCCGATCGACCGGCTGCGCTGGTGCTCGATGTGGTGGTCCGGACCCGACACGGCGATCGCAGGCGCCGCGCCGCCCATCATCGGCCCGGCGCCGAGAGCTCGAGGCGCGCCGGTGGTCGGCGAGGGCAGGACGCGGCTGGCGATGACGCCGCCGCTCATGGGCCCTGGCGCCGAGTTGCCGTTCTCCTCGTCGATGGCGGCAAAGGACGACGAGCGCGACGAGCGCCGAGGCCCCATCGTCGAGACGCCCGACTGGCGAGCGGCGTTCAGGACCTGGTGCTGCTGCACGGCGCGACGGCGAGCGAGGTGCGCACGCGAGCCCATCGAGTTGGCGTGCTCGGTGAGGACCTGCAAGAGCGAGGCGGGGAGGAACAGGTCAGGCGAGGTGAACAGGAGAAGCCGATGGCGACCCGGCCGGCTAGGTCCGAGCGCCACGCGGCGACGAGAACGAGAGGGACATGGACGCACATCTTGGTCGAGGCAGAGGAGGATGTAGGTGGCGAGGAGCCACATGACGGCCATCTGCGCCGCCGTGAGGCCGAACGTCGTGTAGGCGAGGGCGACCGACCAGTTGATGCGGTCGCACACGTCGTTGAAGTCGGACGGCTTGGCGTAGTGCCAGTAGCCGTCCCACAGGCAGTTCTCGCGACCGCGCAGGTCACACGCGAGTGCGAGAGCGCCCGAGACCCAGACGGCGGCGACGGCGAACAGGAGGAGGAGCTCCATGCGCGTCTGGTTGATGATGTCGAACGCGCTCCCTCGCCGCAACAGGCGGGGCGTGACGAACATGGTGCCGAACAGGACGGCGGGCGTGCCGAGGCCAAAGACGATGACGGCGATGAGCGAGCCCCACGCCGGCTTGATGACGGGCCCGTGCGTGTTGTAGTAGACGACCACCGACAGGCACAGCGCCGCCGTCGTCAACGCCGACAGGGACGTGAGGAGGAAGCTGTGCGGGCGACAGACGAGAGCGTCAGTACGAGGAGAAACCGCGTGGGCGCGAGGTCGTCGAAAGGAGAGGAAGAGGGGGCGACGCACAAGAGGAAGCGCATGCCGCGAATCAGGCCGGGATGAGGCGCATAGCTGCCGATGTAACGTCGCCGTGCGCTCTTGACGGGCTTGCTGGCGACAGGTGCGGGTCGCTCCTTGGGCTCGCGCGTCGGGTCCTGCTCGTAGCGAAAGCCCTTCTCGTCGTCGGCGAGTGCGACGCCCTTGTCCTTGCGGCGGAAGCGGTCGAGGATGCCCATGGCTGCTCGAGTGCGAGCGTGTACGAGGTAGAGTCGACGAGGACGGCGAGTCGAGGTGGGGAGGAGGAGCGAGTTCGCCGGGTCGAACGAGTCGGCGAGTTGAAGGACGAGCGGGGGCACGCGTGTGGCGCTGGTGCGGCGGCTCGTCTGGGTGCCTGCGCTCGCTGAGAGGTGCGACTCGCTGCTGGTGCTCAAGCTGGCGGGACGGGGCGAGCCAGAAGTGGGAGTGGAGGGAGGAGGACCGGCGAGAGCGGCGAACGGCGACGGGGACCCTCGAGCGGGGCCGCAGCGAGCGTGGCCCTGATCTGCCGCACCGCACCGCCTTTGCCGACGGACGCTCGTCCCTCTCAAGGGGGAGACGCGCAGTTGCCGAATCGGCCCAAGTCTTGAAATTCCTCGCGCGCTCTCGTTCTGCTCGACCTCGCCGACGCTCGAGCCGGTCGCGTTCGCTTCGGCGCAGCTGCCTCTCCCCTCGCCCGCGTCGACGAGCTGCTCCCTGCACCCCTCTCCCCGTCACAAACGCCCTCGCGCTCGTCGTCGCCGCCTCTCGAGAAGACGGTGCGACGTCGAGCAAATTGGCCGTGACACTCTGCTCGGTGCCCGATCGGGCAAAGCGCCGCCTGAATGAACTCGAACTCGTCCGCGTGCCTGGACTCGCAGTGACCCACGCTTGCAACCAGTCGTCGCTCGAAACTGCCCGCACGTCTCTCGCTCGGAGCGGAACCGAGCGGAGCGTGAGAAGCTCAGTTCTCAGTCGATGACCTCGCCGACGCAGCATCAAGGCGAGCGCTGTGTACGACTCGCACTGTACGCATTGCGGACGCAGTGCGAGAGCGCGCTCTCGAGTGACCCTGCTCGCCTCCTCCTGCTCTCGAGCCCCTTCTCTCGTTGCCAGTCGCTGCCGCACGCTCGAGCGAGGTGCACGTGAAGAACGTGAACAAGAGTGCCTGCATTGCGAGGGCGACTCGAGAGTCTACGCAGGTGCCGAGACTGTCGAGCGGGCGAGAGAGAGAAAGAGAAGGGAGGAGGAGGAGAAAAAGGACGAGCGAGAGGGTCAGTCGAGGTCGCGAGGACGGCGACAGAGAGAAAGAGAGAGACAGGACGCACCTCGTTGCTTGCCCTTGGACGAAGGCGGCGGCGCTGCGGGCGAGGAGGCGCCCGACCGCTGCACCTGCCCTCGGACCTGCGCGACCTGGTTCGGCGTCGCCGTCCCGCTGCCCGCGCCCGCCTTAGCCGCCGCACCCGCACCCTGAGCGCTCGCGAGCTGCTGCTGCTGCTGCGCCTGCTGCGCCGCGATCGCCGCCTTGACCTTCTCCCGGTCGTCCTCCCTTCTCCTCCTCGCGCGCTGCCGCACGACCAAGACGCGCTCGAGGCTCTCGCCGAGCGGGTCACGCCACTTCTCGACGGCGCGGTACTGTCGCTCGATGCGCTCGGCTTCTCGGACGAGCCCGAACGCCCACTTCTGCATGCCGTTGGCGACCGCGGCGGCGCCGGCGGCTTGAGGTGCGGGCGAGGGCGAGGCGGACGACGCAGACGCCGCCGTGGCGGCAGCGCGCTGCTGCTGGAGGAGGAGAAACTGCTGCTGCGCCGGCGTGAGGCCCGAGGGGACGCCGGGACCTTGGGCAGGAGGCGCGAGGGCGGACGAGTGCGTGGCGGCCTGCGGCGCGTCGCGAGCGAGGAGCGCCTTCTGCTGCGTGCGCGACATGGGGCCGAGGGATGCGCTCGACGCCGTGCGGTGCTGGGCCGAGAGCGGGCGCTGGTGCTGGGTGGGCGAGGTCGAGCGAGCGGGCGTGTCGGAAGGAGGTAGGGGAGGAGGCGCAGGCGGTGCCGGCTCGACGAACTTGACGACGAGCGCAGGTTGGCGCGGCGACGGCGACGACCGTGGACGTGAGCTGCGGCCGTACGACGACGAGAGCTGCGACGACGCGCCAGGGATGGCGCGCTGCCCGGCGGTACCGGCCGACGGCGAGAGCGGCGGGGTCGACGCGCCCGCAGGCAGGCCCGTGAATCCTCGCAGCGCGCTGAAGTAGCCGCTCGCCGACCGCTTGGCGTGCGTGAGCGCGCCCTCGTACCCGCTCGCGCCGGCCGACGTCGACAAGGGCGTCGTCGAGCGGCTCGCGTGCGCGGCGGCGATAGTGCCGAGCTTGGCGAGCGCCGTCCCCTGCGGCTCGCTCACTCGGACCCGCTGTGCGTCGGCGGGGCCGAGCGTCTGCGACCGCCGAGGCTGCGCGGCCGTCGCGTCGGCGGCCTGCCGCAGCGACCGCATGCTGCTGACGCTCTCGCCGCGATGGTGCTGCGCGCGAGCCGGCCCTCGCTCGCCGACGACCTCGCGCCGCTGCGACTCGCTGCCGCTGCCGCTGTCCGGGCCCGGGCTCGCGAGCTCGGCGCGGATGGCCGTGCCGCGGTCGACAAAGGCGGGCGCGCCACTCGCCGAACGGCGAAACTGCGGCGCCGGGCGCGGCACGTGCGAGCGCGTCGACGCGCCCGACATGATCGACGCGTTGGACGACTTGCGGAGCGGGCGAGTGCGCTGCGCCGTAGGGCGGATGGGCGAGGGCGGCCGAGGCGGCGAGTTGGGCTTGAGCGTCTCGCCCGGGCGGAAGAGCTGGGTGCCGGACGCCTTGCGCGACGGCGGCTGCGAGTTGGGGTTCGAGGGAGGGTTCGAGGGCGGCTTGTTGGGGAAGGCGAGCTCGGGTTGGGCGGCCGAGGCGAGGGAGGGCTCGCCGGCGGAGGCGGCGCCGACGGGCGACGTGTCGGGCGGCGACAGATGTTGAGGGGCCGAGACGGGTGCAGGGGCAGCGAGACCGGCTGCTTCTTGCTCGCCGTCGGGCTCGGGCTTGGGCGGAACCGGCATCGGCACGGTGAGCTCGACGTCGCGCAGGATGGCCGGCATGGCCGGGACAGCCGCCGTGGCCGTCGGCGACGACGCAGCGGCGGGCTCTGCGCCGTCAGGTGCGGGCTCGACGTGGTCGTCGTTGAGTTGCGCCGCCGCTTGGCGATCGATCTCCTCCGGGTCGTCGAGGTCGTCCGACACGCCGAGCGAGAACTTGGCCTTCTTGCCGTTGGCGCGGCCGGGCGGCTTCTGCTGAGCGGGCTCGTCGACTGGAGCCTGCTGCCGCTCGGACGCCTCGTCGCCTCGCTCGTCGAGCGCCTGGCCGAGCGCCGACTGGTCCTCGGGCTGGAAGTCGCGCCGGACCTCGACGTCGGGCAGCCTCTTGCCGATGGGCGCCGGCGAGTCGGTCGAGCTCTCCCACTCGCTCGACGACGTGACGCTGCCCGACACGCCGCCCTTGTCGTCGTGCGACGCGGCCCCGCCGGTGCGCGGACGGTCGCTCGCCGGCGGCGGTACGGGCGAGGGCGGTGGCGGCGGCGAGGGAGCGCGCGCCTGCTGCTGCGGCCGCTCGCCGTCGTCCTCGCGCATGCGGCTGCGTGATCGAGAGCGGCCGCGCTCGGAGGACCGCCCGCCGCGGTCGCTCGCGACGACGGTCGCCGTGCTGCTCGAGCTCGTGCGACGCCGGCCGAGATCGGGGCGGTGCTCCCGCGTAGACTCGTCGTCTCCATTCCCTCCGTGGTGCTCGCCCTCGTCGCGCTGCTGCTGCTCGTCGTCGTGCTCGCCGCCCTCGCCGCTCTCGCTGGCCGGCGGCATGCTCGTCATGCCGAGCCCGAACGGCCCGCCGCCGGGAGGTTTGCGCTGGCTGCCGCCGCTTGCGCTGCCCTGGCGGCGCATGGCGTGCGCGCCGTGGCTGTTCTTGCGATGGTGGGCGAACGAGACCGGGTGGTGGCCGGCCGAGTGGTGATGGGCGCCGCCGGCGAGCGACGACGACGACTTATTGCGGCGCGGCTTGCCGGCCGAGGTGGTGGACGACAGGGAGCGCAAGGTGTGGGTCGACAGGGCCGAGGACGACTTGTTGCGGGCGGGAGGACGAGGTGCGGACGAGGTGGAGCCGCCTCCGGGCGGCGAGGTCGGCGTCATGGTGGGCAGGCGGGCTCGATGCGGGTGTGTTCTGTGTCCGGTGATCAAGCGTGTTAGTCCCCGTGCTACTGCATGCTCGCACGAGGTGCTCGCGACGAGAGAGCGGCGCCAAGATGGCGAGGCAGCCCCGCCTCGTCGGCTCGACGCTCGACAGCCCGCGCTGTGCCAGGCTTGACTGCGATAGCTCACCTGGATAGATCTGGACGGGGTACAGGTCGGAGCGGGTCGTCCCTCGAGGGGACAGCGGTGGGTGAGGCGAAGGCTGCCCCGCCGTCCACGGTTGGCTCCCGACCGCTCACTCGCATCGCTCGCGCTCACTGCTGAGCTGCGCCGAGCTGCGCTGGACTGCTCCACGCGCTCGGTCTGGCGAGGGCAGATTCGGCCTTGTGGCGCACAGGCTCTCGTCTCGCCGCTTCCCCTCGCCGACCAAGTTCGACCCTGTCGATGCGGGACAATCCGGCCGGATGGGCACTGCGCCGCGGCGAGGCGACCCGCTCGAGCTTCTCGGTCGGTCAGGGCTGGCGACGCCGTCCGCGCGCAGCGTCTCGTGCGGGCTCGAGCTCGCGACAGCCGACTTGGCGGCGTCACGCTCTCGTTCTCGCCTCGGCCGGGCACGCAGTCGCTCTACTGCGGCCGCGACGGTATGTCGAGCTGGCTGGAGGCGGTCAGGGCGGCTCAGTGCGTCGAGGGCCGACTCGTGGCCCTCGTGCCGCTCGTTCGCTGCGTCTCGCTGGCTGGACCGCCGTGCGATGCGGGCATGGCGGGCTTGCCGGGCACGCCTCATACCTGCTCGGTCTCTCAACGCTCTCGCTCTGCTTGCCGAGCCACAACCGCTGCCGCTGGCGCGTCTCGACAGCTGGCGATTCTCGAATGAGCCGACGCGAGGGCGCCAGCGCAGCACGGCGAGCGCCCCGGTCGGTCGGGTGGCTCGCTCGGCACGTCCAGAAGGCGCAGGCGACGTTGTCGCAGCCAGAACGCAGCGGCTCTGCGCGACGAGGCAGGCAGGGCCGTGCGAGACCGAAAGCGTGTCGAGGCGAGCTCACTGCACTTGCCCGTGATGCGGGCGCGCCTCTCTTTGCATGATTGTACGAGCGAGATGTACGGCGCGACTCAGAGCGAGCGAGTCGAGCGACGAAAGTGTGAGTCGGCGCGTCGAGAGCCGGCAGACGCGGAGACACGCCTCGGCTCGCCAAACCGTGCCCACACCCAGCTGTGCACCTCGCACGCGTGCGCCGACCTGCTCGAGCACCGCACTCGACCACCGACAGCCAGCCTCCGGTCACCCTCGGTGCGCGTCGAGCCAGCGCCCTCGTCGACGGACCAGCATGGCGCTCGAACGAAGTGGAGGGTCCGGCAGCGCCCTCCTCTTGCGCCTGTTCGAGTCGAGCTTCTTCGACGTGCACCTCGCCATCGGCTAGTGCGTCCCCTTCCCCTCTCTCAGCCCCGCGAGGACGCGGCAGGCGAGAGCGACTTGGCCCTTCCCTCATCAGCTGGAGCCGGGTCCGACACGTTCGCGTTGGTCAGGAGCCCGGCAAGGCGACGATGGGACCAGCGCGCGAGGCTACAGTCGTTCCTGGGCTGCTACACGCGCCTGCCCTCCCCTCGAACAGCCGTCGTCGCCGTTCTCTCGGACCCCCGCGCTGACCCACCTCGTCCTCGCCCTCCCGTCGCAGCCTCAAGACCTATCCGGGCTCGATTGGCATCACGCACTACCTCACCAACCGCCTGCGCTCATTCGACTACGAGGACGTCGAGTTCTACTGGCCGCAACTCTGGTCCGTCCCCCTTCTTTCGCATCCGAGCCGCCGAGAGGGCCTCGCTCACTTCTGTCCACGCGCGCAGCTACCTCGTCATTACCCGCACGACGCCGTCGACTGCCCTCGAGAACTTCATCCTTGAGCGCTGCCAGGAAGACTCGCACATCGCCGTCATCGTGCGTCCCTTGCCTGCCCCCTTCGTCGCCCGGCACGTCGTGACAGCCTCCCGTTCGCAGACTCTCTGGTACCTCCAGGCCTCGCTGTCCGACTTTGCCAACACGCCCAAGTCGGAGCACTTTACGGCGTGTCACCGCATCCTCAACCGCGTCCAGGAGATCATCTTCAACGACCCACCTCTCCCTCCTTCCGCCTCGACCTCTTCCTCTTCCGCTCCCGCCGCCTCTTCAGCCACCTCGTCCACTTCTTCTTCTGCCGCGTCAATTGCGCCCGTCGAGCCGCCACGAAAGGTCAACGCGCCCGAGGCGTCGCTCGTCGGCATCGGCCTCCTCCTCGCCGCGATCGGCATGCCCGGCCTCGTCAACGCGACGGGCCGCATGATCGTCGAGCAAGGGCGCCGCATCGAGGAGCCGACCAAGGACGACGCGCTCGACGACGACGACGAGGCGCGCAGGGGCAACAGCGAGAGCGACGACGAGCGCGTGACCAACGGCGCGAGCGGCGGGGCGGCGGCGGCGGCGGCCAAGGCGAAGAAGGCCAAAGCTGCCGCCAAGGTGGCGCTCAACGGGAGCGCCAAGGGCGGCAGGGCTGGGGGCAAGGGCACGAGCGGCGGCGGCGGCGGCGACAAGGGCGCGCCGAGGAGGAGCGCGACGCAGCCGCCCAACTACCTCCCCGGCGACCGCATCACGGCCTCGCCGCGCATCCCATTCGCGACCGACACGGCGCACGAGTCGCGCTCCATGTCGTTCCTGCCGTCGCCGCTCCCGTCGTCGGGCTCGTTCGGCCGCTCGTCGACCGCCAAGTCGTCGCTCAAGCCGGGCTCGACCGACGGCGCCAAGCCGCCGACGATGCTCCAGCGACGGAGCTCGCTCCTCAACCAGTCGGTCCGCCAGCACGCGGCGCCGTCCCTGTCGGTCCCGTCCCTCCCAATGACGTCGCAGTCGGCGTCCAATCTCCTCAGCTCGTCGTCGCCGGGCCACTCGTCGTCGCACCTGTCGGGCAGCACCATGCCCGGTTACGGCCTCCCCAAGCCGTTCCTGTCGCGGCTCCTCCTCCTCCAGGCGTGCCGCTCGCAGCTCGACCTCCTGCGCAGCCTGCAGGACGTGTCGACCCGACTCGTCCTCGTCCCCAAGCCGGCCCGCCTGTCGTCGCTCCGCGCCGAGCTCACAGTCCTCAACCACGGCCTGCCGCGAGGCTGCTCGCTCGGCATGACGACGCGCGCGCCGCTCGACCCGTCCGCACCCAAAACCTCCGCCACCCTCCCTCCTCCTCCTCGAACCCCCTTTGACACGCCTCGACCGCCGCGTCCGCGCCGCAAGCAGGCGCGCATCGTCCGCATCTCGCCGTCCGAGGCGTCGGTCCTCAACTCGGCCGACCGCGCGCCGTTCGTCATCTACGTCGAGGTGCTCGAGGAGGACCTCGACTTTGACCCGGACCGCCGCAGCAACTGGGAGGACCTGCGGCGCGCCCTGCGCGAGCGCGACGGCTTGTCGAACCCGAGCCTGATCGCGGCGGGCGCCAAGGCCAAGGAGAGCGCCGACAAGGCCGAGAAGGCGAGCGCGGCAAGGCGCAGCCTCGAGAGCGCCCTCGAGCGCGCCGGGCCCGCCCGCGAGTCGGCGCCGGCTCCGCCACACGCCCAGGCGGCGACGCAGGGCGGCGAGCTGAGCAGCTCGGTGCCCAGCGTGGCGGGCACCTCGAGCCCGGCCGGTGCGCCTCCCTCGCCGAGGACGCCTTTCGCCGAGCGCGCCGACTACGCGCTCGGGTCCGGGCTCGACACGATGTCGCCGAGCGACGGCGACCTCGGCGACGGCCCGGCCGGCGAGATGGACCTCGTCGAGCAGCTGTACGGCGACATGTCGCTGCGCGACGACTCGCTCTTCCAGGACGGCGGCGCCGGCGCCGGCGGCGACGGCCCGAACGGCACCGACGCCGACGTCGAGATCCACAACCGCGAGGCGGACGAGCTCGCGTGGAAGCGCAAGGACGAGGCGCGGCGCGCGAGCGTCACGTCGGTCGGGTCGGCGGCGGCGTCGTCGCGGCGGCAGCAGCGGCAGCGCGCGAGCGTCAGCAGCATCAGCAGCATCGCCGACGACTCGAGCCGGGGCATGAAGCAGCCCAAGGCGACGCGTCGGTCGTCGGGCGGTGGTGCGGGCGGAGCAGGAGCAGGAGGCCCGAGCGGCGGCGGCGCGGCGGCGGCCCGGCCAGGCGGGCGCAGCGTCTCGACGAGGGCGCCCATCTCGCTCGACGACTACGCCGACCGCATGCGCATGGCGGCTGTCATGCTCGCCCAGCTCGACGCGTCGCAGACGGCGTCGCGCGGCGTCGTCGGCGCCGGGACCGCCGCAGCGGGCACGCTCGTGCACCTCCCCGTCGCGACGGTGGCGGGCATCGGCGGCGTCGTCGGCGCAGGACTCGGCGCAGGGCTCGGCGCGGTCAAAGCGCGCCTGTCGAAGCGCGAGACGCCGGCGGCGTCGGCGGGCCAGGGCGGCGCAGGGACGCGAGCGAGCCTCGACACGGTGTCGGCCGCCGAGGGCACGAGCTCGCTCGCCGGTCAGCCGCCGCTCAACGCCCAGGTCGCAGCGCTGTCGCACGCCGCCGCCGAGGCCAACTCGGGGACCGGGTCGGCACCATCCGCCTCGGCCGTCGTCGTCGGCGCCTCGGGCTCGAGCACGCCTGCGCCGCTCCCAACGCAGCGGCCGCGAGTGCTCGCGCCGCAGGACGCCGCCGCGATCCGCGAGCGCATCATGAGCGAGATGTTGGCGCTCGAGGAGGAGCGCATGGAGCGCATGCGCGGCGAGGCGGCCGGGTGGGGCAAGGGCGGCAAGGACCGTGGGGCGGCGAGGACCGAGGACAACTCGGTCGTGTTGCGGGCGGTCAACAAGGACGACCCTTCTGGTGCGTCCCTCCTCTCCCTCGTCTCGCTGCGCCGAGTCCCTCGTCGCGCGCACTCACCGACTCGTTCCTCGAGCAGGTGCCGTCCTCGGCGAGTCGTACACGGCCAAGAAGGCCCGCATTCGCGCCGCCTCGCCCTTTGGCCACCTGTCGCACTGGTCGCTCCTGTCGTGCATCGTCAAGACGGGCGCCGACCTGCGGCAAGAGCAGCTCGCCGTCCAGCTCATCAGCGAGTTTGGGCGGATCTGGAGCGAGGAGAAGTGCCCCGGCTGGGTCTACTAGTGCGTCTCGCGCTCGTCCTCCTTCTCTCATCCTCTCGTCCGAGTGCGGCAGCGACTAACCGAGCACGCCGACGCCCTGCAGCTTCCGCATCCTCGTCACGTCCGAGAACAGCGGCCTGATCGAGACGATCAACGACGCCGTGTCGGTGCACTCGCTCAAGAAGAACGCCTACGCGAGCCGCGCCGAGGACGACACGCAGGTGTTCGACTCGTTCACGCTCTACGACCACTTTGTCGCCGTGCGTCCCCGCTCGTCCCTCTTCCCCTCTCGGCCTCCCTCTCCCTCGATCCAGGCTCACCCTCCCTCTCTCGCCTGCAGACGTACGGCCCCGTCGACTCGAAGCGGTACCGCAAGGCGCAGGACGCCTTCATCGAGAGCCTGGCGGCGTACTCGGTCATCTGCTACCTGCTCCAGCTCAAGGACCGGCACAACGGCAACATCCTCCTCGACCTGCAAGGGCACCTCATCCGTGCGTCCCTCCTCTCTCTCTCTCTCTTTGTCGTCGTCGTCGAGGGGCCCGGACCTGACGGCATCGTTGCCCGAGCAGACATCGACTTTGGCTTCATGCTGTCCAACTCGCCCGGGTCCCTCGGGTTCGAGATGGCGCCGTTCAAGCTCCCGCAGGACTACATCGACATCCTCGGCGGGTTCGACTCGGCCAAGTTTGCCGAGTTCCGCGCCCTGTTCAAGCGGTGCTTCCGGGACGCGAGGAAGCACGCCGAGCGCATCATCACGCTCGTCGAGCTCATGCAGAAGGGTGGGCCCTATTCTCTCTTCCTCTCCCCCTCTCGTGCGTCGTCGGGCATTGCGCCGTGCAGGACCTGACGCTTCCCTCCTCGTCCGCAGACTCGTCGTTGCCGTGCTTCGCCAACGGCGACTTGACGTCGCAGCAGCTGCGCGAGCGGTTCATGCTGTCGCTGCCCCAGGCCCAGCTCGACGAGTACGCCGACAAGCTCATCCTCAACTCGGCGCAGAGCTCGTTCACGCGCCTGTACGAGTGCGTCGCCGCCGTTCCTCTTCCTCGTCTCCTCGCGACCTTGTCGCCGTCGGTGGAGGAGCGCAATCTGACCTCTTGCTCCGTCGCAGTCTCTTCCAGGGCTACTCGAACGGCATCTTGTAAGAGTGCGAGGGCAAGAGGGGACGACGCTCATAGAGGTTCTCGAGGAGGGATCAGAGCGAGGACAAGGCGAGGAGGGTGAGGGAAGTGCATCGGTCATTCTGTTTTTCGGTCCTCGAGCTCGTCCGTGACCGTATCAGGAGAGCCCTGGTGCACGCGCGCCCTCAAGGAGAGCGAGAGCGACAAGGGGGACTCGGGTTCGAGAGATTCGGAAAAGGCGCCGAGCGAGAGCTGCTCGCCTCACTCGCCCCCAGCACCGCCCAGCGACGATGCAGTGCCCTCGCTCTTCATTGCACACGTTCCACGCCCTGTCGCGCGCGCTGCCCGCCGCGCGCGCGCCCGTCCCGTCGTCGTCGACCGCCGCCATCTCGTCCCAGCAAGTCCGGCACGCCTCGTGGTCGCTCCCCTCGATCCGCAACCTCCTGCCGCGCAAGCTGCAGCGCAGTGCCGCCGCCGAGGACGGTGAACCGGCGGCGCAGGCCGCAGGCGAGGACAAGGCGAGCAAGAAGGACGTGTTCGAGCAGGCGATTGAGGACGAGGACGTCGCGCTGAGCCAGGCGAGGAGCGGGTTGTCGTTCGAGCGCGAGGTCAAGCAGGCGACTTTCGTGCGTCCCTCGCCCCCTCCTGTCCTGTCCTGGCCCGAGGCGCGCCCGCTGACCTCGCCCCCTCGCCCCTCCTTCTCCCCCTCGCACCGCCCTCGCTCGACCCGCCCCCATGCACCCGATCGCCAACACGTGCAGCACAAGTCGTCGACGGCCAACTTCAAGACGTCGCGCCGCAAGCTCAACGACCTGTCGCGGCTCGTCGCCGGCCGGACGGCCGACGAGGCCATCCTCCAGCTCCAGGTGCGTCGGCGATCCTCTCTCTCTCTTTTTCGTGAGCGCTGCGGTCGAGGCCGTGCCGTACTGGGCGGTGCCGTGCGCCATTTGTGGCGGACGCGCCGCTCTTGAACAGCTCGGTTGCGTCCGCAGCTCGTGCCTCGAGCAGTCTGTACTGACCCGCCGTCCTCCTCCTCTCCTTTCCGCACACGTCGACAGGCGTCGCAAAAGAAGCAGGCACCACGACTGCTGTCGATGCTCGCGCTCGCGCGCGACCACGCCATGGCCAAGGGGTTGAGGCGCGAGGAGCTCGTCGTCGGTGCGTCGCCGCTCTTTCTCTCTCTTGTTCCGGACGACCCTCTTGCCCCGAGGCGCTCTCGCCGACGACGCGAGGGCGTCCCTGGCTATGCACGGGCTTTCTCGAGCGAGCACTGACCTCGAGCGCGACGACGGGACGCAGCACAATCGTGGGTGACCAAGGGCCCGGCGCTGCAGCGGCTCGACATCAAGGGTCGGGGCCGGTTCGGGGTCAAGCACCACCCGTCGTCCAAGCTGCACGTGCTGCTCGCCGAGGGCGAGACGGACGAGGAGCGGCGCCGGTCGAGGAAGCGCGACCAGTGGCGCCGGAGCCTGAGGGGCTTGACCGAGGGCGACGGGGTCGGGGTCGGGCACGGGGCGAGGCCCGTCATCAATGCGCACGTCGGCGGGTGGAGGTGGTGAGCCCGGTTGGAAGCGGTGCTTGAGCGAGGTGCGCTGTGCAACGAGCGAGACCCGAGTTGCGAGACGAGTGTGGAGCAGCAGCAGCGAGAGAGCGACGAGCGTTTGAGAGGGTCGCGCGCAAAGTGACGGGGCAGAGTGCACCGACGACGAGAGCGAGAGCGAGAGCGGTACAGAGCAGTGTGGGGACGTGCGAGGATGAGCGGGGGAGAAGGAGGAGGAGGAGGAGCGAGGGGGAGCAAGAGAGCGCGACAGCTTGGGGCTGCCGGTGGGCGAGGGCCTGAGGTACTGAGCGTGTGGTTGCAGGTCTTGCAGTGTGCCAGGGAGAGTGAGGGGGCGGGGGAGAGAGGTCGACGAGGCCGGCGAGCTCGAGGGTGGGTTGCGGTGGCCGCTCGCCTCGCCTCGTCGCTTTCCCCTCCGTCTCTGCTCGCACAGGCCATCCGCGACAATGTCTGCGTCCGTCTGCCTCTCCTCTACTCGTGCACCACTCCCGCCACCATCCCGACCGTGCCCGCCAAGCCCCTCGCCGCCAGCCGTGGCCACCCCCCGCCGAGCTCAGGCTTTTGCCCCGGCCCACACCACCACCAGCCACCGCACCGAGCGACACCGACGGCACCCTGCACCTCCACCCACACCCTCGAACGACCACCCAGACTGACCCTTGGCCCTCCCCCGTCCCCGTGTCGACAGCTCGACCCCCCTTGTCCCGGAGACGCTCCTCAAGGTCCGTCTCGCCCTCCCTCGCCTCGCCTCGTGCACCCTCTCTAGAGCCACTCCGCTGACCCACACTTGCACCTTACACAGAAGCGCAAGTCGACTGAGAAGTCGCGCGAGGAGAAGAGGGCCACCGCCCTCGAGGCCCGCAAGGTGCGTCCTCTCCCTTTCGGCCCTCGTCTCGCTCGGTGCGGTTGGTCAGGGTGGATGCGCACGACGAGCACGGGCACGAACACGCACGACGAGCACCACGACATCGACTCGCGACGACCCTCCCCTTCCCCCCTTCCTCGACCTGGACCTCGTCTCACCGACCTCGCCCTCGACCCGCCTCGCGCCGCACGACCCGCACCCGCACACGCACACGCACGCAGGCCATGATTATCAACCATATTATACCCAAATTGCTGAGGCGCCTGTTTTAGTCGACGGGCGTCGATGCGGTCACCTTTGACAACCATACCATCTTTCGGGACTGAGCCCTGCGCGTCGACGACGACAAGCGTGTGCGGCGTGTGCGTGCGGCGCCGCTTCGACCTCGACACCCGACCTCGACCAGCCGCCTCCCACCTCGGCCTCGACCACCACCACCTTCCGACCGCGAGCCGACTCGACCTCACCTCGCTTCGACATCGCCCCAACTCGACCCGCAGCAGCGTGCCCGTGCTCGTGCAGGAGGAGCGAGGGCCGAGGAGCACGACGAGCGAGCACGAGCGAGAGCCGGACACTGACCCTGTGCCCCTCTCCCCTCTGCCCACCCGCCCTTGTCGTCCTCTCGCCCGCCCGTGCGCCCGACCGACACAGGCCCGCAAGGCCAAGCGCTCGGTCATCTTCAAGCGTGCCGAGCAGTACGTCAACGAGTACAACAAGAAGGAGCGCGAGGAGATCCGCCTGAGGAGGCAGGCCAAGGCCAACGGCGACTTCTACGTCCCGGCCCAGCCCAAGGTCTACTTTGTCATGCGCACCAAGGGGTCCGTCCTACGCTCTCTCTCCATCTCTCTGTCGACGACGACGAGCGCGGTCCCTGACGCTCTCTCCCTCCCCCACAGTATCAACAACATTGCCCCGAAGCCGCGCAAGATCTTGCAGCTCCTCCGTCTCCTCCAGATCAACAACGGCGTCTTCGTCAAGGTGACCAAGGCGACTACCGAGATGCTCCTCCGCGTCGAGCCCTACATCACCTACGGCGAGCCCAACCTCAAGACGGTCCGCGAGCTCATCTACAAGCGCGGATACGGCAAGGTCAACAAGCAGCGCCTCCCGCTCTCGTCGAACCAGATCATCGAGGAGAACCTCGGCAAGTACGGCGTCCTGTCGATCGAGGACATTGTCCACGAGATCGTCACCGGTGCGTCCCCTTCCTCCTTCCTTCCTCGCCTCCTCTCTGTCCGTCCTCTACCTCGTACCCGGTCACTGACTCTCCTCTTCCTCGCGCGCCCCCTCCCCAACAGCCGGCCCGCACTTCAAGCAGGTCGCCAACTTCCTGTGGCCGTTCAAGCTCTCGAACCCCAACGGCGGCTTCCGCACGCGCAAGGCCCCGCAGTGGATCGAGGGCGGCGAGTCGGGCAAGCGCGAGCAGTTCATCAACGACCTCGTCAAGAAGTGCAACTAAGCAGCGCGCGGCGTGCGGCCCGTGGTTCACCCCCACGAGCGGCGAGCGAGCGGCTTTTTTGTGCGACTGCGACAGAGGAGCGAGGAGGATCGACGCGTGTTTGTGTAGCGGCAGGGCTCGGATGGGGGCGTCTGGGTCGTGCAACGAGCGATGCAGGTCGGCCTCCCCCCTCTTTCTCTACTGCGGCTGCGTGCGCCGACCGTGAGCGAGAGAAGCGAGCGAGCGAAACCGAGGATTGTGACTTGGGCGACACGGCCGCTTTGACCTCGATGGCTCGGCTCTTCCGGCGCGCGCTCTCCTCCTCACTTTTGCTCAGGCTGTCAGACAGGCGCCGAGCAGGCTCTCGACGTCGCAGGCGAGCAGGCGGAGCGACCGCGAGGTGAGCCGGCGAGCACTCCTCGAGGCTCGAGCGCCTCTCGTCGAGCGACGCGCGAACGTGCGACAGGATCCGCTCCGTCTCGCCTCTCGGTTGGCGCATTGTTGCTCGTTCAGCACAGCTAGTACAGGAGCGAAAGCGTGTGCGAGAGCGAGAGAGAGCGAGCAAGCGAAGGCGAGCAAGCGCCGTGCGCTTTGACCCTCTTTCCGCATTCGCTCCCGACCGTCGTCTGTCCGTTCTCTGCCGCTCGCTCGCTCGCTCTCTCTCGCTCCTTGCTCGCCGCGTCGTGCTCAGACCTACTGCGCCCCGTCCCGCGAGAGTCGGTGGAGCGAAAGAGAGAGCCGCATCCGAGAGGAAGTGGCTTGCCCGCTCGTCGACGCGTGGCTCTCTTTCGCCGGGAAAGCAGCGCACGAGCCGGCCCTCGTCGTCCGCCTCGGTCGCAGAGCAGGTCTCCGGACCTCGGTCGACGCCAACGAGCGAGATGGAGCGCGCCCTGCGACAAAACAAGCCCAAGATGCGGGTGCTTCCCCTCGTCTCGCTCTTTCAATCTTTGTTCTGGCCTTCTCTCGCGAAAAGCACTCGTCGACGAGGCACAGGCACAGACACAGACTCATGTTCCAGTCTCGGATACGTCTACTTCATCGCGCGAGGACCAAAGAAGCCGCTCGAGGGCAGGCCGGGCTTGGGAAGGTCGACGGAAGGAGCGACGGCGGGAGGAGGAGGAGCAGGGGCGGCGGCCTTGCCCTGCGCGCAGAGAGAGGTGCACGAGGCGTGTCAGAGATCGTCGAGAAAAAGATGGCAGGGAAGGCGGACGACGCAGAAGAAGATCGAGAGGGAGGAAAGTGGACGCACGGTCGAGCCTCCTCCTTGCTTAGCCGCAAACTGCGCGCACCTCGAGACGTCAGGACCCGAGTGCGATAGTCGAGAGAGAAAGGGACGAGAGAGAGAGAGAGAGGACGCACCGCCATGAGCTCGGCAATGTCGGTCTGCAGCATCTTCTTCTCGTCGCGAAGCTTGCCGACCTGCGACGGCGAGGAACAGGATGGTCAGGGTCGTGCCGACCACAAGAGGCGGAAGCAGACGCTCGCGCACCTCCTTGAACATGCGCTGTACCTGCGAGGGCAAAATCGAAGAAGGTCAAGACGCGCTCGAGCCCCTTTCAGAGTGAGGGGGACGCACCTCGCTCGTGAGCTGACCTCGAAAGTCCTTGACATGCTCGTCGACGCCCGAGCGCACACCGCTGTCAGGTGAGGGAGGGTCAGACGCAGGTCGCATTGAGGCATGTGGCGAAAGGAGGACGCACCCGAGCAGCCGCTTGACCTCGTCCGAGAGCGCCGGGTCCATCGTCGTCGTCTTGCCCTCCTCGACGTTCTTGGCGATCTGGGCGAGGAGCATGTCGGCCTTCTCGGTCTTGGCGGCGAGTGCGGCGACCATCTCGTTGATCTCTGCGGGCGAGCGCCGTCCTCGTCAGGATCCGAGAGGTCCGGGCAGAGAAGAAAGTGGACGAGAGGACGGACTGGCGGTGCGCTCCGAGTTCATGACCGTCTCCTGCTCGAGCCGGAAGATCTCGCCGCGTTTGGCCTCGAGCTCGGCCATCTCCTTGAGCGTGAGCCCGCCGTGCTTGTCGCGCTCGGCCTGCTCTCGCGCCTCCTGCAGAGCCTGCTTGCTCGAGAGGTCGCGCAACGTCTGGAGGATCTCGAACACGGCGACTGTATAACGTGCGGGTGTCAGTAATGCCTCGGCAGGGATGATCGAGGGAAAGGAGTGGGACGCACGAGAGACGGCCCCGGCATCGACCTCGTCGCCGCTCCCGTCGGCGATCGCCTGCAGCGCCCGCCCGAGCTTCTCGTCGCCCTTGAGCGCATCGACGACAGGCCCATGAGGAGCGCACGCCGCCTCGGCGTCGGCCGAGAGAACCGCCTCGGCTGCGAGCTCGTCCGCCGACGCCTTGGCTGCGACGGCGCCGCCGCCCCAGCGGTTGACGCGGTCGGCGACAGGTTCAGGCGCACCTGCGCGACGACAGAAAATGTCAGTACGACGTGAGGGAAGGTGGACGGGCCGGACGGGCGGGACGCACCCCAAAGTCGGATGCCCGGCATGCGAGGACCCTTGACGCGCCCGCCGACGCCCGCCGTGTCGCCGTTGGCCATCTTGCGGTCGAGCTGCGCGAACGAGCTGAGCGGATTGAGCCCGATCGTGCGCTTCTTGGGCGAGCCGTCTTGCACGAGCGCGTCCTCGGCGACGACGGCGGTCTCGACAGGGTCCGCGAGCCCGTTCGGCTCGTCCGAGCCGTCATGCGCGTGATCGACGGTCGGCTGCGCGCGTTGCACGTCTGCTGCCGCCTCGGCGGCGCCGAGTGAGGCGAGCATGCGCTGCGGCAGCTCGGCGACGTGGTCGACGACGCCGTGGACGGCGCCGATGAGCTCGTTGAACTGGGCGTCGCGCAGCGAGCGGTCCTCGGCGACCCACTGTGGGAGAAAGAGAGAGTCAGGACGGGGCTGCGAAGGTGGAACGAGGAGAGCTGGGACAGAGCGGACCTTGGCGAGCTCGCCGACGACGTGGGCGATGCGCTCCTGGTGGTGCTGGTTCTCGGCGAGTGCTGCACGAGATACATCGATGAGTGCCTGGGCGAGGGAAGGAGAAGGAAGAGGAGGACGCACCGCCGTCTTGACGCTCGAACCCGTCGAGGATGCGGAACAGGGCCTGCCAAAGAGAACCTCGTCAGGGACCGGCTCTCCTGAAGAACGGTCAGGAGGACTGGTGCGCACCTGCTCAACCTTGCCGACGTCGCTCTCTGCCCACGAGACGACCGACTGCGCGCTTGCGGTACCGCCCCACTTGCCTCGCGACCGGACTGACGGCTGCGGACAGGCTCCCGAACGGGTCAGTGCACGCCTTGTGAGAGGTATAAGGTGGTGGGCGCACCTGAGACGGTACGAGCTGCTGGTGCGACTGCTGAGGCGCCTGCCTCGCTGCACCCGACTCGGTCGACTCGACGACGCCGCTCCCGGCGAACGGGTCGCGCGGTCGTGCGGCCGGTATGCCGCCGCCATGACCGCCGAAGAAGGACCCGGCGCTCCCGTACGGCTCGAGCGTGTTGGGCGAGAGCGGCGACAGGTTCTGGAGCTTGCGGCTCGCGCGCTCGCGCTCGCGCAGGACCGTGTTGGGCGACGCGACCGACGAGGCGCTCGGCGGATACGGGACGGCAGCATCGTTCTGTGGGACGCACGCGTTAGTGTGAGATACACAGGGAAGAGGAAAGGGAGAGGAGGGCGCACCTTGAACCGCTCGAGGTCGCGCTGCCACTCTCGGTGCTCGCTCGGCGAGTGGATGCCGGCCCGGGTCGTGACGGTGTAGTTGTCGGGCTCGGCGCGAGCCCTGATCGTAGATGGCGACGAGGACGAGCTGGGCGAGCGGGAGATGGGCGTCGGCTTGTCGAGGTTGGCGAGAAGGTCGCGGATCCGGGCCTCGACGCGCGACATCATGACCTCCTCGCCTTGTGGATCGACAGGGTGGAGCGCCTTCTTGTCGAGCATCGTGGTGTTGACGACGTGCAGAAGGTAGTCGACCTGCAGGAGGAGAAGAGGGTCAGGCTCGCGCTCGCCGAGACGAGGTCGAGAGAGAGAGTGGGGCGCACCTTCTCGGCCAAATCGAGCTCCCTCGCCTTGTCGGTCGAGGTAGTCGCGCTCTGGACCGTCGAGGTGCTCGTGAGCCGGCGCTGCAGCGTCTCGAGTCGCTCTTGCACGCGCTTGTAGCGCTCGTCTCGCTTGATCTTAGGGAACGCGGCCGACTCGACCTTGCCGCCGAGCTCGCGCAGCTCGCGTTCGAGGGCAGCGACCTCGTCGGGAGACACGTACGACGTCGCGTCGGCGGTAGAAGACGGCTCGAGGCGCTTCTCGGGCGACGAGGGCGACGAGGGCGACGAGGAGGTGCCGAATGTCCTGCTCGAGGTCGGACGGGTCGGCGTCGGGCGGAACGGCGGCTGGTCGACCGGCGTCGAGTAGGTCGGGAGCTCCGACTGGGCACGATGATGGCCGATCTTGACGCGTCCCGACAGGTCCTTGTGCGGCGGCAGAGGAGGCAGCGAGCGGCTGCTGCACGTCGAGTGCTCGGACGACGGGCGAGCGACGGCCGTCGGCAGCCGGGTGCTGTACAGGCCAAACAGGTCCCGGTCGTAGCGACCGCGGTCGGCGGTCGGCTTCTCGGGCAAGTACGACAGGTGCGACGACGCCGTCGACGCCGAACGACCGGACAGCTCGCGGTGGACGAGCGGCCGGCGCTTGTCGTCGGCGAACGAGTACAGGCCGAGCCCGCGAGGGGACCAGGGCGGCGGCGTAGAGCTGCCCTCGCTCGTCTCGGCGGGACCGGCGAAGCTGTGCACGGTCCCTCGCGATTCCGAGAAGCGCGAGCCCGGCGGCGTGATCGTGCGCGTCGACTCGGCCGTCGGCGACAGGTTGTCGAGCGACAGGGAACGCGCGCCGTGTCGGTCGCCGTTGGCGGAGCGCAGGCGGTCGCGCGTGCTCGAGATGATGGCGTTTCTGCGAGGCGAGGAGTGTCAGGGTGGGCATACACTGCCGCAGAAGCGAGAAGGGACGTACTGGAGCGCAGAAACCCACTTGACGCGCTCGCCGCGGCTCTCGCACGCAAAGTCTTGCCGCCGACCGTCCTTGAGGACGACGACGAAGGGTCGGAGGCCGCCTGCGGCGAGTTCTGCAGGCGGATCGTCGTCGACGAGGGCACAGTCGACGAGAGCGAACGCTCGACGAGGTCGAGAGCCGGGCTCTTGGTCGGTCGGGCGAAAGTCGAGGCCGGCCGAGGTGAGGACGCAGTACCGACGAGCCCCGTCGAGCGAGTCGGGGTCGTGACGGCCGTCCACGCGCTCTTGCGGCGTAAAAAGGTAGCCCTGCTCGTAGAGAGTGTAAGTCGGTGTGCACTAGGAGGGAGGGTGAGGCTCAAAGAGGACGCACCTCGCACAGGATCGGGCTGTCGGGCGATAGCGAGCGCCCGCGCTCGGCCCCGCTCGGCTCCCGCCTCCCTCCTTCCACCTCGTGCGGGCGTCCGCTCCGGCTGGGCGAGCTCGGTGCCGCCCTGCTCGAGTCCGCCGTCGCGCGCGGCGCTGGGTCGCTCGCGCACGACGGCGGGTCCTGCGCGAGCTGCGCCTGGAACGCCTCGATCGCCCGACGCCGTTCCTCGCGCCTGCGCGAGATGTCGACGAGCGGGTCCTTGAGCTCGTCGGTGGTCGCCGTCGGGAGCTGCGTGAGCGAGCGCGAGGTCGGGGCGGAAGGGAAGGTCGCGACAAGCTGGGCGCCGGATGGTGGCGGCGGGAGAGGCTGGCGGTCGGGCACGTAGCGCTTGACGGGCGAGCTCGAGCGGCTCGACGTCGACTTGGTCGGGCTTGGCGGCGGGCCGTCGACCTGGGCGAACTGGGCCGCACGACGAGCGACCTCGGGCGAGACTCGCCTCGTCGGGCTCGGGTGACGAACAGGAGGCGAGGTACGGCGCGACTCGACGAAGGAGCGGTCGGACGCCGATGATGACGAGCGCGCGCCGCTGCTGATGCTCGACGCCGGGAAGATCGACCCGGTCGACCCGCTGCGGCCGAGCATGTGCGACGTCGCGTCGATACGCTTGTCGGGCGCCTCGAAAGCTCGCGAGCCGTGCTCGCTGCTGCTGCTCGCCGTCTCGGGAACGGCCGACAATGACGACGACCCGGGCACGAGCGGCCTCGAGTGCGACGGGCGCGCGAACGAGCCGTCGGCCTGCTGGCGGCTGCTGACGCTGCTCGCGAGCGAGAAGCGCTTCGGGAGCGTGCCGTGGAGCGGTGCGGGCGCCGAGAAGATGGACGAGGCGGGACGACTGGCCGAAGAGATCGAGCCGTGGCGGCGATGCTGAGGGACCGAGTCGCGCCAGTTCGACAGGGTGCTGCGCTCGGTCTGCTCGCTGTAGGTACAGGATAGTCAGGATGTGCTCTACGACGAGAGAAAGGGTCGGGAGAGGGACGTACGGCACGTCGGACAGCTGGGTGAACTCAAAGTCGACCTCCTCGCCGTCGCGGCCGAACACCTTGGACGACACGGTGCGCCTCGCCTTGTACGGCGCCTCGACCGCGGCCTGCTCGACGTCCGAGCCCATCGCGGGCGTGTGCGCGTCGCTCGAGCCGGGCCAGGCCGGCGCACGACGTTCAGCCGCCGGGTCGGGCGACTCGAGCGCGACGGGCTCCTGGCTCGGCGACGTCGGCGGCGTCGCCGCCTCGTGCGACGGGAGCGGGAGCACCTCGGACAGCGGCGTGTAGGCCGCTGAAGAGCCGGCCTCGCTCGCTGCGGGCGGCGCCGAGGCGGGATGCGCCGACTGCTGCGCTGCGGCGGCGAGGTTGGCCGCGCGGCGCGCTTTGAGGCGCTCCATCAGGCCGCCGGCGAGCGCGACATGAGCGGGCGAGGTTGGGCGGCTGATAGTGCCGGGCGGGGTTGTCGAGACTGGGGAAGGGGAAGAGGGCGACGCGATGGGGCTCGTGTTCTTGGGCCGGAAGGCAGGGATGTTGGCGACCTCGAACGACTGGCGGCGAGGGGTTGCAGGGGAGGTGTGGGAAGGGGGCGTGGCGTGCGCGAGGGCGGGTGCGCGAGCAGGCGAGGCCGACTCGTGAGGGGGAAGAGGGACAGTCGACGACGAGTTGGGCGAGGTGGACGGTTGCGACCGGGACGGCGTCGACGGGACCGACGGCGTGTACGAGCGGTCCGACGACGGCTGGACCCGCAGCTTGGGCACGAGCGAGCCGCTTGTCGTGCTGGCGACCTCGTCGTCGCCTTGGCCGCCGCCGCCGCCGCCCGTACCGTCGAAAGACGACTCGCCGTCCTGCGAGTCGGCCTCCTCGTGGACCTCGACGCGCGGCACCTCGACCGCCGTCACGCGCTCGTGCGCCACCTCGCCGTCCATCTTCCCGTCTCGGTCGCGCTCGAGTCGTCGCCGCTCCCTCGCCGCTCGTGCTGCCGCGATGCGCTCGGCGGCCGACTCGTCCGAGCTGGTCGTGTACGAGCGGATGAGGTTGCGGGTCGAGGGGGAGGGCGACGAGGAGCGCTCCATGTCGGTGTTTAGCCGATCGGCGGTCGGGTCGCTCGCTCGTGGGAGGACGGGAGAGGGTCGAGGTCGGAGGAGCTGATGAGGGGACGGGGGTGTCGAGCGCGGGCGAGGGCGAGCTGCCGGGTGCACCGGCTGGGTCGCAAAGGGCGAGAGGAAGAGCTCGACGTCTCTGGCGGCTCCAGGGACAGGGGCTGCCGCGGGGGAGGAGCGTGCCGAGTCGGGCGGACGCCGGAGAGGACGCCGACGACGAACGGCCGCGGGTAAGCGGTCGAGGGCTCGTTGAGCATCTCTGGCGAAGCACTGCCGGCAAGCGCAAGTGCACAGAGAGCGCAGAGCGGTTGTGGGCGAGATCGAGGGGGACGAGGCGGTCGAGCAACGATGCCGAATTGACGAGACCGGCACAGCCTCGCTCTCTGCTCAGGCTGCTCACGAGTAACGAGCCAAAGGAACGACGATGCAGTGCGATGCGGTGCAGAGTAAGCCTGTCAAAGTCCTCCCCCTCTACTTGGTCGACTCGCTCTCCTCCTCGACCGCCGCTCCCTCTTCCGGCGCCTCGTCCTCGAGGCCAGCGTCCCACTCGTCCGGCACGTCGTCGTCGGTCCTTGCGACAGGCGGAGGAGGTGGCAGGCTCGGCGTCGGGATGCGGCTTGGCGGTGCTGAAGCGACGGGGAGGTGGCGCTCGAGCTCGCCTTGCGGTGCGACGACGGCGCGAGGGGGCTGTGACACGCTCGAGAGGTCAGGACTCGCTCTGCGCGACGAGAAGAAAGGCCGAGAGGGAGAGAGAGAGGGCGCACCTTTGCGTGCCCGACGCCGATCAACTGGCCCCAAGCGTGCCCGGCCTGCTGCGCCGGCTTGGGCGGGCTCGACCCCTGCCCGAGCGACGCGAATGCGTTGCCCGTCTTGAGGCCCTGGCTCCTCCACGCGCCGCTCGCCGAACCTCGGGCGCTCATGGGCGCCGACGACGCAGCCGACGACGACGACGCGCCCGGACCCGCCGCGCCGAACGCCGACGACGACGGCCCGCCAACCGGGGTCCACGAGCCGCGCACGACGCGCCCGTCGTCGCCGAGGACGACCGGGTCGACGCTGACGCAGAAGCCCGTGTCCGAGATGACGTGCTTGAGCGCCGACGAGATGGACGAGAGCTTGGTTTCGAGGTCGAGGACGGGCAGGTCGAACGTGATGAGGACGTCCTCGTCGGTCTGCAACGAAGAGAGTGTGTCAGTGACTGTACAGGAGAGGCTCGGGGAGGGAGAGGAGGGAGAGGAGAGAGGACGCACGACCCAGGTCAGGATGAACTTGAGCCCGCGCATGTGCGGCACGAGGATGTCGGTGAGCATCTCCTCGTCGTAGCCGAGGACGCCCTCGAGGTACAGGGCGTTGTTGGGCTTCTTGTCGGGGAGGGCCCGGCGCAGGCTGCCGAGGTTGAGCGTCATCGAGGCCGACTTTCTCGAGGCGGCGAGCGCTTCGGCGAGCGTCGGCGTCGGGATGCCCGTCGTCGGCGTGCGGTGGCAGACGACCGAACGGCGAGGCTCCTCGTCGAGCGACTCGGAGCGCAACTGGAAGTGGTCGGTGAGCTCGTGGATCTGTGCGGCGAGGGAGGGGGCAGGGTGAGTGAGCGCACGCGCGAGGGAAGGCGACGGCGAGGAGGGGAAGGAGGGACGTACAAACTGGCGCTGCGGTCTCTTCATGACGGGGAAATGCAGGCTCGGCTTGTCGCCCTTGACGAACTCGACGAGCTGCGCCTCGATCCCGGCCGACCAGGCCGAGTTGGCGGCGTAGAAGGTGACGAGCTCGGGCTGGTACTCGACCTCGCGCGTCTTGACCTCGCGCTGTTCGACGCCGAGCGCGTCGGCGAGCTGCGCGTTGCGCTTGGCCGTCGCGCAGGCGTCGGTGCACTTAACGAGGCGGCCGGCGTTGCCCTCAGGCTTCTCGTCGCACGCGCCGCAGCGGGCGTTCTGCGACAGGTTGCCGCACTCGCAGTGCACCTTGATAAGCTTGGGGCACGGGCCGTCGGCAGGGCAGGCCGAGGGGAAGTGACAGGCTGCGGGCGAGGCCGACAGGGGAAAAGAGGGGTCAGAGCGCGCTCGAACGGCGACGACGACGACGAGAGGCGAAAGAGGGGACGCACGAAGAGGACAGGGGTGACCGCAATGCTTGCGGGGCTTGAGGCACGTCTGGTCGTCGGCCGTCTCGCACTCGCCGGCCGGGTGGCACGTCTTGCGGCAGCGGTGCCAGCCGCAGCGCAGGAGCCTGGAGGAAGAGCGAGAGTCAGTCCATGGTCGTCGACGAGGTCGGTCGAAGGATGAGGGAGGGAAGGATCGAGAGGATCGAGGGAGCGAAGGAGAGAGGGAGAGAGAGAAGGCGACGCACTTGCCGCACACGGTCCCGCAGCTGACCTTGCGCTCGTCGGTCGAGCACCGCACGTTGGGCACCTCGCGCTTGCCGCACGCGCACGGTTTGGTCGTCAGGTACGGGCAGGGCGGGCACGCCGGGTCCTCGTGGCAGGCGTGCGGGAGCCGAGGGTGACCACCTGCGGGCGAGCGAGCGACGAGGGGAGGACGGGAGGGGGCACACAGTCAGTCAAGGTCTAGGGTACGGAGGACGAGGCAGGCAGAGAGGCGAGAGGGAGGTTGGCGAGCGAGGGCAAAGAGGAGAAGGGGAGGGGAGGGAGGGAGAGGAGGACGCACACTCGGCGGGCCGGATGCACGGGTGCCGGCAGTCGATGACAAAGTTGCACGGGATCGGCGGCAGGACGACGGTCGACCCGCAGTGGCACACGAGCTCGTCAAAGTCTGCGCGGAGACACGGCGGACAAATCCCGCGGTGGTCGCGCAGCTCGCACGAGTGGATGCCGCAGTTGAGCTTGCGCCCGCACGTGCGGTCGCACGTGTGCATACCGAGCGGGTCCGTCTGCTGCTGCTCGGCGAGCGCCTCGGCGAGCGTCGCCGGCGCGCGCTTCTTGTTCTTGCCCTTGACGCCGGCCGTGAGCGCCTCCTGGTACGCGAGCGGGCAACACGTGCGGTTGCACTGGTGCCGCCCGCACGCCCTCGTCGCCTTGCACACGCGCGCGCACAGGTACTCGTCCGACTCGACGACGGCGCCCGAGTCCGGGTCCACCCTCGTCGCGCGGTACGGCTCGCCGCACAGGCGCTCCGTCTTGCTCGACCCGCAGCGGCACACGAGCGGGACGCGCGCACGACAGGGCGGACACGGGCCGAGGTGGCACCCTTGGGCGCAGGCGTGGCCGCACGCGAGCGGCTTCGAGCACCGCTCGGCGCAGAGCGGGATCGGGTCGGTGCAGCGCGTGCGGGGCCGGTCGCCGAGGAGGAGGTCGAGGGGCGTCTGGCCGCACGGGCAGGTCGAGACGACGTCGGGCGACGACGGGCAGTGCGGCGCCGCGACCGGGTCCGTGTGCGGGTGGCACGGCTCGGCGCAGCGGTGGACGCCGCAGTCGAACAGGGCGTCGCACCTCCTCGAGCACGCCCACTCGCCCGTCCACGTGCCCTCGGCGCCCTCGACGCCGGGCAGGCGGCAGCCGTCGACGCGCTCGTCTGGCCGGGTCGAGCCGCACATGCCCTCCTGCGTCTCGCGCCCGCAGAAGCACCGCTTGCTCCTCACGGCGTCGCACCCGCCGCACTCGCCGGCGTGACACGTGCGCTCGCACTCGTGCAGGCCGCAGTCGAGGACGGCGCCGTGCCGCTCGCCGCAGCTCTTGAGCTGGTCCTTGACCTCGCGCGCCGCGTCCGACAGGTCGGCGAGGGCGCGCCCGTCGTTGAGGGCCGAGCACCGTACGCCGAGCGTGCGCTTGCCGTCGTGGCACTTGACGTTGAGGACGACAGGACAGGGCGGACACGGGCCGGGGTGGCAGCCGAGGGCGCACGGGTGGGCGCAGCCGTGCGGGCGACGGCGGGCACAGGGCTTGCCGCACGAGTGCGGCGTCGCGGGCGGTCGAGGGTGCGGGTCGGTGAACCGGCCGCAGAAGCACGTGTACTTGGTCGGGACCTGGTTGGCCGAGTAGAGCTCGTTGCAGTTGGGGCACGTCCACCCGCCGAGGAGCGACGCCGGATCGACAGGGTTGCGCGGGTCGGTCGAGCGCGAGGCGAGGAGCTGGGCGCGCTCGGACGACGAGGCGACGGCCGACGAAGCCCACTTGTTGGCGCACGTGAGGTGCAGGGGCTGGTGGCACGACGAGCAGTTCCAGATGCGCGCCGAGCGCGAGATCTCGCCGATGCAGATGGTACACTCGGCCTCGCCCGACGACAGCTCGGTGATGAGGCGCTCAACGAGCGTCTGGTTGACCGGGGCCGGGTTGAGCGGCGTCGAGGTGCCCGAGGTCGAGGCGGATGCGGCGGCGCTCGAGGACGACGGGACGAACGGCGCGGCGGCGGCGTGGAGGTGGGCCGAGTCGGCGTTGCCCGTCGAGAGGGCGGCACCGAACTGGGCGCGGCGCGAGTTGGGCTCGCCTGCTCGAGGAAGTCGGATGGAGCGGGAAAGGCGAGGCGGATGATGAGGTTCGGGGAGGGGAGGGAGAGGTAGGTCAGCGCTGCCCGCAGAAAGCGCGAAAGTGGACCAGAGAGAGGGAACGCACCTCTGGGCGCACCACCCCTGCCCCTGCCCCTCCCTCGTCCCCTGCCTCGCTCGCCTGAAGCACCGCCCGCTCCGCCGTTCCTCCTCGCTGACGCGTCTGCGCCCTCGCCGCCCTGCGCCGCCTCGCCGTTCGCGCCGCCTCGCGCTGTACCACCGTTCTGCGCTGCGCCGCCGCGGCCTCGACCCCTGCCGCGAGCGCGAGAGCCGCCGCGGCCGCCGCGAGTGGCGGATGGTGGAGGAGGGACGCTCGCCGAGGACGACGTCGTAGGTTGCTGTGCGACTTCTGCCGTCATGTAGTGTGGTAGTACGAGCTGGTGGAAGCTGGACTCGCGCTCAGGGAGAGGGCGAGCGAGTGTGCGAGAGACGAGGGAGCTGCTCGACTCGAATCGTCGACTCGCGCTCCGAGGTCAACGTTGCCACTGCGGCGCTCGCACCAGTCGACTCGCTTACTCGAGCATGCACTCTCGCTCGACTCGGCTCGTCGCGACAGCGCAAGGAGCAACAGAGAGTCGCTCTCGTCCTCCTCGTGTCGCTGAGCAACCAAAAGGACATTGCTCCGTCTAGCCTCGCCCCGTCTAAGCTCTTCTCCAGCCCCAGTCTATCCTCCTGCATGTTCCTCTACCTCTGCGCGAGCCCCTCGGCGGCTTCGCTCCACTCCCGCTCCGTGTCGGCGACAAAGCGCCTGAGCGTCTCGGTCCTCGCGCGCGCAAGCTCGCGCCCTCGCGCCGTCTTGATCATGCCCCCGAGCCGCAGGAGCTTGTCGTGAAAGTGGGCGATGGCCGAATCGTCGCTGACGGGCGCGGGTGCGGGCGTGTCGGACGAGGAGGTCGAAGGAGGAGCGGGCGAGGGCGTCGGCGGAAGGTACAGGGGCCGGCTCGTGATGGCCGAGTAGGCAGCGCAGCGCATGACACCTGCAGTACGAGCGAGACTGAGTCAGTGTCGGCCTTCTTGCTGCATCTGCCACCACTCCGGCCGGGAGAGTCGAAAGGGGAGGAAGCGCTCGCGAGCTTGACGCACCAAAGGCACCCATGGCGTCGAGCTTGTCGGCGTCCTGCACACTGCATGGCATTGTGCGACTCAGTGTCAGTGGTCTGCGCCCCATAACACCCACTCGCAGCAGCCGAGTCGACGGCCGCGGTGCGAGGGCGAACGAGGGAGAGAAGGACCGACGCACCAGTGAAGCTCGGGACACGACAGATGCCACTCGGTCTGCTCGCCGTTGGCGATGCGCTTGACCTCCTTGGAGTAGCTGACGTTGTCGACGACGCGCTCGACGAGTCGTCGCTGGCCGTCCGAGACGTCGGTCTGGGTCAAGCCGGACCACAGGTGCTCGTCGAGGTGTTCTCTCGGGGTCGGAACGCGTCCTGAAGGGAGGTACTTCTTGTCGAGGAGGTCGTGGGCGAGTGCGGCGAGCTCGACGACGAGGAGGTCGACGTTGGAGAGGGAGCGGGCGAGGGCGAGGGCGAGGCCGCGGACGCGGGTGACGTGATGGAAGTCATGGGAAGGGTCGTAGCGGGCGTGGTGGGAGCGGGCGAGCTGCTCTGCGCGCTGGACGGCGACCGACATGGAGGGCGAGGGGAGGTGGGGAGCGCGAGGTGCGAGGGCGTGACAAGGGCAGGTCGTGTTGCGGGAGCAAGACGGGTCGATGCTGAGAGGTGCCGAGAGAGGACTGAGTCGCTCAGACCAGGCGCTAGAGCGTGTCGGGGCGAGAAAGAGCGCGACAGTGATGAGGATGAGTGAGGTCGGGGTGGCTCGTGTCCTTCCCACCTCCTTGCGTCGCACCAAAGCCAGCAGGAGCAGCACAGTTGTCCTCAGCGGCACCCTCAAGAGCCGCACCCGACCAGCGCGCCCGTCCCTCGCCTCGTCACCTCGTCGTCCTCCTGCCCACCTCGACCCACCCTCGGGCGATCGCCCACCTCTCGCCGTCCACAACGCCCACGCGCTCGAGTGCGCCCACACTGCGCTGTCGAGCATGGCCCAGACCGCCCCGCCGTACTTGCCCTTGCGCCAGGCCGGTCACGACCACTCGCCCCGCCTCGGCTCGATCGCGCCTCCCGACCCTCCCTCGCTCGACACCGCCGCAAAGCGCACCTCGTACCGCCCGCCGATCCCGCCAAAGCCCTCGTCTCGTACCGCGAGTCCCGGTCCGCCGCCGCACAACATGGCCAGCAGCGGCTCGCGCGCCCACGACGATGCCGACGTCGACGACCAGGCCGCTCCACCAAGCCGCGAGACGAGCCCGACCCTGTGGATGCGCGCCATGGCCCGCGACCGCGGCATGTCGACGCCCTCGCCGCCGCCCTCGACCGGCGACGCGCGCTCGGCCGGCGCGAGGACGCCCCGCTCGGCTCGAGGGTCGCCCATGATCGGCAGCAGCGCCGACGGCGGCAGCCCTTCTTCGCCCAGCCGCACCTTTCCCTCGCGCCCGAGCCCGCGCATGCCTCCCGCCGTCCCTCCTCGCCCCGTCAACCTCTCGTCGCCGACCGCCCGACCCGCACGAGCCGACAACGACGTCTGCCTCGGCGACCCGCACCTGCCGTCCGCGTCGTCGTGCCCCCAAACCTCGTCGCCGTTCGCCTCCCTACACGCCTCCCTACACGCCTCGGACGCCCCACGGCCCATCCCGACCATCACGACCTCGCCCTCGCGCTCCCCCGACCGCTGGCGGTCCCGCCCGCCGCAACACCCCGGCACCGCCACCGCCGGCGGCGCGTCGACGCTGTCCTCGTCGGCGTCGTACAACTCGTCGCTCAACACGTCGTCGTCGTCGTCGGCCACGTCGGCGTTCAACGCCCTCGGGCGCGGCCTCCAGCAGGCCAAGCTCAAGGACCGCCTCGGCGCCGGCGTCGGCTTTGCGCGCGACTGGGGCGGCCGCGGCAAGGGCAAGCTCCAGGACGGCTGGAGGGGCCTCCAGGCGCACCGCACGGCGGCGTCCGTCTCGGGCACGGGCGACGCGCCGTACGCGCTCGCGAGCCCGCCGCTCGTCGGCTCGTCGCAGCTCGATGCCGCCGCCACGGGTGCGCCGGCCGGCGGGCCAGGCGCGCTTCGCCTCCCGACGACGATCTATGGCGTGCACGTGCCCATCGCGCGAGGCGTCGCGTTCGGCGCCTCGCTCGTACCGCTCGTCGAGCGCACTCGGGCACCTCCTCGAGCGGCGGCCGGCCCGGCCTCGTCGTCCTTGACGCACGGCGTCGTCGTCGAGGAGGACGACGAGGGCGACGACGACCCGGTGACGGGCTCGAGCGCGCGGCACTGGCTCCCGGGCGCAGCGTTCCGGCTTCTCGAGTACCTCGAGCTGTGGGGCCCGCGCGAGGAGGGCGTGTACCGCGTGCCCGGCAGCAGCCACATGGTGGCGCAGCTGCGGTGCATGTACGACGCCGGCGTCGGGCAGGAGCTCGACCTGAGGGAGATCGGGCCGGCCGACCTCGACCCGCATGCGGTCGCAAGCGCGTTCAAGGGCTTCTTGCGAGAAAGTGCGTCCGCCTCTCTCTTCCTGCCTGTCGTACTCTCGGTCCCACCCACTGACTCTCGCTTCGCCGTGTCGTGCAGTTCCCGACCCGCTCCTGTCGCACCAGCTCGAGCCGACGATCGACGCCCTCACGACCGCCGCCCTCGGTCACCCCGCCTCGTCGTCCCACTTCCTCTCGGGCGCCACTGTCCTTCCCTCTCGCGGCAGCAGTCCTGCAGCGTCGCCCAATCCCGCCTCGGCGCACGTCCCGCCCGACTACGTCGCCGAGCTGCGCACCCTCTTTACGTCCGCCCTCCCCGCCGAGCACTTCTACCTCCTGCGCGCCATCGCGTTCCACCTCGCGCGGCTCGCGGCGCACGAGCACACCAACAAGATGAGCCTCAACAACCTCAGGCTCATCCTGAGCCCGACGCTCCGGTTCACGCCCGGGTTCGTCAACTTGCTCGTTGGCGAGAGGGACGCGCTCTTTGGTGGCGGTAACGACGGTACGTCACGTTCTCTTCGTCAGTGTGTGCGCAAGCGAGCATCGCCTGACTGCCTCGCTCCTTGCAGATGGACGAGCGCGACGAGACGCCGATGCCTCCTCGACTTCTGGCCCAGCACCCTCCCTCGCCCACGCCTCGTCATCGTCCTCCTCCTTGTCCACGAGTCGCTCCTTTGCCGGCGACCGGTGGCTCGTCATCGACGAGCCGCCCCTCTCGCTCTCGCCCTCGACCGCTTTCACCTCGACTTCCTCCGTCTCGAGCCGCCCCTCGCCGACGCACCTCTCGTCCAGCAACGACTCGATCCCGACCTCGACTCGCTCGCCCTCGCCGCAGCAGACGCCTATCGCCGACCGCTTCGCCTCGGCATCGACGTCGCCCGTGTCGTCCATCGTCGCGCCGCCGCCGCCGCCGCCCCGAGGAGCATCTCCCGCCTTCTCGGCCTCTTCCACGGCACCCATCCTTGCGCCAAAGCCGTCCCTCCCTCCACTTGACCGCCCAGATCGCGCTACACCGGGCTCGGCATCATCTCGAGCCCGATCCGCCGTCACGTCGACCTCGCCGACCTCCTCCCCGCCGCTCGCCGCCGCGCCCTCGCCTCACCCAGGCTCGACGCCGCGCCTCTCGCTCGGCCCCGAGTTTCGCAGTGCGCTCGCCGGCCTCGATGGTCCGCTCGACGCGCCGGCGCCGGCCGCCGGCCTCACGAGCGCGCCCACGTCTTCCTCCTCCCCGGTGGCGGCGGTGTCGGCGGTCGAGCAGGAGGCGCTCGAGCGCGAGAAGGACAAGGCGCGCAAGAAGGCGCGGCGGGAGAGCCGGGCGCTGAGCGGCGTCGGCGCCATGCCGCTCGGGGTCGGGCTCGGGCTCGTCACTCGGCCGCCCGTGCGGCGCGCAGACGAGGTGGACGAGCGGCAGGCGGAGGCGATCGCCGAGGGGGACGAGCTGGAGGCAGCGGATGCCGCGATGGGCTCGAAGGCGGCGCAGCGCTGGACGTTGCTGAGCGTCGACGAGCGGAGGAGGCTGTTTGGAGGTTAGACTCGGTCGGAGGAGGGGCTTAGCACTTGTTCTAGTAGACGCACCCGGGCTATTGAGATACCCTCTGCATCCATCATTCTGCATCTGCGTTCGCCGAGAAGCGAGAGGTCCATGCGCGCCTGCGAGCTACTGCAGTGGCCTTCTCAAGTAGCTTGCGCTCGAGCTCCGTGCGGCCACTCTCTCTCGCCCTCCCTCGGATTCTTTCGGCGCTTCGAGACGTTCAAGCTGCACCGTCGATGCTCACGCTAGACGTGCTGGCTTGCATAGAGAAAGGGTCAAAGCGTACAACGCTCGACTGGTTTGTACGCTAGCTCTGCCCGTCGCATCTACCCCCGCTTAACTCAGCTGGAAGAGTGTCAGACTGTAGTCGGCTGCGTCATCTGAAAGTCCCTGGTTCGATCCCGGGAGCGGGGAACTCTCTTTTTGCTCCAGCCGCGTGTGGTACCGCAGACCCTCCAGAGCCTGCTCTTGCGCCAGTCCGCCAGCTATCTTTTGCCAGTGTGCGTCGCAAGGTAGCCGAGAGGACCGCGAGCGCTGTGCGCCGTGTGTCGCGCCTCGTCGCCGTCGCCTGCGTGGTCGCGTTGCTCTCGCCCCTCTCATCTCGCCCACCAGCGTCTGAGCGACCTGTCGACCTGACATAGCATCTACGACAAGCCCTGCCGGTCCCCTGCGAGCTGCCGCACAGCCAGGTGCGCCCAGCTCGCTCCCCTCTCGACCCTCGTCCGACCGGCCTTGACATCCGCTCTTCCTCCCCTCACAGCGCCGCGGAGCACAGCGCGACCTCATGCAGACCTACGTGCCGACCTAGCGCACGTCTCGCCGGTCTTGCCCGCACCAGATCCACCCACGTCGCCGTCGTCAGCCTCGCTCAACCTCGACGATGCCCCACACGTCGCGACAGCCCAAGCCGCGCCCGCCCGACACCTGGCGAGCCGTCGCACAAGGTCCAGAGCCCGAGCAGAACGGCACAAGCCGGTCGCCAGCGCAACGAGCGCCGCTCGTCGCACCTTCTGCCCCGCCCGGTCAAGGGCAGTGGAGGACGGGCGACGGCCAGCCCGAGCAGTGGGTTCCGCGCGAGGGAGCTGGGCGCCGGTGGAGGTTGCAGTTCCGTCCGCCGCAGCAGGACGAGCGCACGGCGCACCAAGACGCCGTCGACCCGGTTCCCCTTCCTCCTCCTCCTCCTCCTCGCCAAGCCAACCCTCCTCGTCCACCACTTCCTCCTGCCCCTCATCCACCCGCACGCCCAGAGCCCCCAGTCGATCCTCTGCTCCCCGGCACGCGCGAGTCGCGTCCGCACCTCGACCGCCCGTTCCTCCCGTCCGACGTTCACCCTCCCGGCGCACGGCCCATCAGCCTCGACCCGAACTGGACCGGCTTCCCTGTCGACGCGCTGCACCTCGGCACCCTCGACGAGCGCCAGTTCACCCACTTCGGCAGCGAGCGCGAGGTGCCGCTCAAGCAGGGCCGCCTCGAGGTCAAGACGGGCGCGCGCAAGAACGACAAGGTCGAGCCGCGCGGCGAGGTCACCCTGAGCGGCAAGGGCTTCGAGGGCGACGCCGCCGTCAAGATCTTCTTTGAGCCCGGCTCGCTCGGCGCCATCTACTGGGCCCGGGTGCCCGACGTGCACGATCGCGACCCCGGCGGCGGCGAGAGCGAGCGGTACCATCTCGTGCTCTGCACGCGGTGGACGCCGCGCTTCTTCGCGTACAAGGCGCGCGACGGCGGCGACAACGTCGTCGGGCAAGTGCGCGTCACGGCGCTCGACCTCAAGCACGCGAGCAAGATGTCGCTCCTGTCGCGGCACTTCCTCCTCGACCTGCGCCTGCCCCGCGACACGTCGGTCCAGGGCGACCCGCCGACGCCCTACTCGTTCGTCGACCTCCTCGGCTTCCTGTACGACGCGGGCCTCGTCGTCGCCGACCCGCTCCCCTCCTTCCGCCTCCTCGCCTCGCGCGCCTACACCGGCCGCGTCCTCACCCGCCTCGACGCCGCGCTCGGCACCCTGTCGCCGACCCTCGCCTTCCACCTCGAGGGCCTCGTGCGCACCGATGGCACCCTCACGCCCGCCGAGGTCCTGCGCCTCATCGACGAGCACGTCGTCCCGATGGAGGCGACGGCCGAGCTCGGCGACGCCGTCACCGAGGACATCCTCATCGAGCTGCGCACGCTCCTCGAGGAGGACCGTGTCGCTCGAGCGCAGCGCGTCCTCCTGCGCCGTTTCTTCGACGTCGACCTCGACACGAGCTCGCCCGCTCTCGACGAGTGGACCGAGACGGCCCGAGCGCACGTCGTCGACGAGCGCAAGCGCGCCGAGCTCGTCCCGCAGGGCAAGACGGGAGCAGGAGCCGAGCACTTCTGGTGCAGGACGGTCACGGTGACGCCGAGCGGGAGCATCAAGGTCGGCGGCCGCGTGGTGGAGAAGTCGAACGCCGTCATCCGCCGGTACTACGACTCGGTCGAGGGCCACAAGGAGAGCGACCACTTCCTGCGCGTCCTGTTCCGCGACGAGGACGGCGCCCAGGTCGGCCCCGTGCTCAACCTGCCCGAGCACCACAAGCTCCTCGAGGCGAGCGTCGGGCGGGCGCTCAAGCAGGGCGTCAAGTTCGCGGGCCGCACGTTCGAGTTCCTCGCCTACTCGCAGTCGGGCTTGCGCGAGCGCGCCGTCTGGTTCGTCGCGCCCTGGGTCGTCGATGAGGGCCTCAAGGTCAAGGTCGTCAACGCCGAGGCGATCCGGCGCCGGTTCGGCAACTTCGTCAAGATTGAGCGCATGCCCGCCAAGCTCGGCTCGAGGTGCGTCTCGTGCCTCGTCGAGTCTGAGTCGCACAGCGCGACCGCCGACTGACCTGTCGCGCCGTCGTCGCCTCCTGCAGGTTCTCGCAGGGCTTCACGGCGTCGCACGCGACCGAGGTCCTCCACTACAACCAGATCGACGCCTGCGACGACATCCTCGAGCTCGACCAAAACGGGCACGAGCTCACCAACCACACGGACGGCGCCGGGCTCATCTCGAACGAGTCCGTCACCTCCACTGCCCTCTCCTCGATCGCCGTCAAGGCTCTGACCCTCTCCCCTTATCCGCAGCCTTCGCGACCAGGTCTGGGCGACGCTGCAAGACAAGGGCTTCCGGCGCAACCGCGACGGGCCGGCGCCTTGCGTGTTGCAGATCCGCTTGGGCGGCAGCAAGGTGCGCCCTCGCTCTCTTTCCCCCTCTTTCTCCTCTCAGGCATTGACGGCGACGCTCGACGACGACGCAGGGCATCCTCGTACTCGATGATCACCTCAAGGGCTCGCGCCTCGTCATCCGCCCCAGCCAGAACAAGTACTTGGGCTCGGCCGAGACCGAGGGCGGCGAGCGCTTCTGCCTCAACGTCGCCGACGCCTTCACAAGGCCCAATCCTCTTCGCCTCAGTGCGTCCTCGTTCACTGCCTCTTCCGCCGCAAGGGCGTTGTCGACGAGGCGAGACCGCCGACCTCTTGCGCCCGCCAGACCGCCCGCTCATCTCGGCGCTCGACGACCTCGGCATCGACACGGACGTCTTCTTGCGGTACCAGAAGATCGCCATCGACGAGCTACAACCCGAGCAGCTGGCAACGCTCCGCGGCGCGCACCACGCCCTCAACCGTTTCTCGTTCGGCCTCGCTTCTCGGTTCAAGAGGTGCGGGTCCTCTCTCTCTCTCCCTCACCCGTCGCCTGCACACCTGAACTCACTCTCCTCTGTACCTCTGTAGCCTGCTCGGGTCGCTCCTCGACAAAGGCCTGCCCGACTCGATCCTGCGCGAGGAGCCGTTCCTCCACGGCGCTCTCGAGGTCGTGCGCGCCCGCAGCTTGCGCGACCTGCGCGACAAGGCCGCCATCCCTGTCGCCGACGCCTACGTCCTCGTCGGCGTGCCCGACCAGGACCGTGTCCTCAAGGAGGACCAGGTCTTTGCGGCGCTGCGCTTCCCCGACAAGCCGGACGACGTCGTCTACCTCGAGGGCAAGATTGTCGTCACGCGCAGCCCGAGCACCGACCCGGGCGACATCCGCATCATGCACGCGATCGGCAAGCCGCCCGCCGGAGCGCCATGGCGGCTTTGTAGCCTCGAGAACTGCCTCGTGCTCCCGACCGTCGGCGAGCGAGCCATCGCCTCGACGATGGGTGGAGGAGGTGCGCCCCTGCTCTCTCTCTCTCTCTCTCTCCCTCGTCGAGGAGTCTAGGAGACTGACTGGACGAACCCGCAGATCTCGACGGCGATACCTACCAGGTGCTCGGCCCTGCCGACCTCGTCCCGCGCTCGATGGCGAGCCCGCGCCCGTACGAGGGTGACCCGCCCCTGGAGCTCGACCGTGCGGCAACCATCGACGACGTCGCCGACTGCCTCCTCGCCTTCATCGCGTCCGACTCGACCGGCGTCATCGCGACAAACCACCTCGTCGTCGCCGACAAGAGCCGGCTCCACGGCTTCGACCCGATCTGCCAACAGCTCGCCGACCTCTACAGGTGCGTGGCTCTCTCTCTCTCACGATCTCTCGACGTTCCTGACACGCTTCCCTGTGCGCAGTCTCGCAGTCGATGCCGCCAAGACCGGCAACGTCGTCTCGCTCGACCGCCTGCCTGACCTGCCCGACAAGAAGCGCCGGCCCGACTTCCTGCGCAAGACCGACCTCGACGACATCACCGGCTACACCGACAGCTCGTTCGAGTACTACCCGTCGCAGCGCGCACTCGGTCACCTGTATCGCGCCGTCGACGAGTCGGGTCTCAAGACGCCGAGCGCGGTGTACGGCGGGCCCGTTCTCGGCGACGGCATGTCGGTCTCGTTCGGCTACCTGCGCCTCCTCGTCGAGGCCGACCTGGCGTCGTTGCTCGACACGCCGCCCGAGCCGCTCAAGCAGGTCCCGCCGTCCTACTACGACACGGTCGCGCCCATCCTCGCCTCGTTCTCGGCCCTGTTCGCCAACATCGCCCGCGCGCACACACCGCCTAACAGCACCGGCCGGCAGGTCAGCGAGCTCGAGCTGTTTGCCGTCACGAGCCTGCTCGCCTCGCAGCGGCACGAGGCCGCGCGCGGCAACGCCGTCGCCGCCATGGCGCGCGAGGTCGCGGCACTCGTCAACTGGCTCGAGTGCGAGCTCACGAGCACGTCGAGTCGGGCGCGCGGCGAGCAGGTCGACGGCGAGACGCTGCGGCTGCGGTACAGCGCGTGGACGTGGGCAGTCGAGTCGGGCGACGAGTGGACCGTCGGCGTCAAGTCGGCACGGTGGATCTGCCTCGCCCTCCTCCTCGAGACGATGCGCGCAGAGAGGGCGAGGCGGGACACGCTCGACGAGGCGCGCTCGCCGAGCGAGGTGCACGGACCCGTCGGCCCGATCTATGGCCACGTGGCCGTCCACTCGCACCGGCTCGTCCGCCCTCAGCAGCCTACGCCGCCGCCTTCGCCCCCTGTCACCCGATCGAGTCGATCCATCCCTTCCTCGACGCCGATTCCGCCGGCGGTCCCGCTCGCGACGCGGCCGCGCACCTCGACCTCGCACCCCAACTCGCACACGCACCTGTCCACCTCGTCCCGCCCCGACGCCGTCCGCCCCGATCCTCGCGCCAATCCTCCTCTCGTCCCCCTCGTACCGCCCATGCCCGCGTCCCGTCACTCGCTCGGCCCGCACGTCGCCGGCCCCGAGCCGGGCAACAACTTCGAGCGGCCGCACCGCCAGCGCCTCGGAGCCGAGCAGGCCGCCTCGTTCCCGCAGCCTCGTACTCGCTCTCCCACCACGAGCGAGACGAGCGACGCGGACGGCGCCCGAGCGGCGGCGCTCTCGTGGCCCTCGGCGGGACCGCCGCAGCCGCCGCACCTGCTCGGTTCGCTCGCCGCGCTCGCCACGCCGCCGCCGCAGCACCTGCTCGGCTCGCTCGCTGCGCCCGCTACGCCGCCGCCGGTTGGCGGCGGCGCGTTCGCGCTCGGAGCGTACGACTCGACCTCGGACGACGAGGACCTGCGCGAGGCCAGTGCGCGACAAGCGCGTGAAGCGCTCGGCTGGGAGCGCAGCGCCGAGTCGTCCGAGCGTCGAGCGGCGGGAGCAGGGCAGCAGAGCGCCGCATCGGCCGAGTACGACGAGCTTGACGCCGAGGAGGCAGAAGCCGAGGCCGAGCGGGACAAGCTCTGGGAGGCGTTCAGGCGGCGCAAGTACCTCGAGGGCGTCGCCGTCCCGGTCCACCGCCCAGGGCGCAGGACGACCTCAACGATCGTCTCGCACGCCGGCGGCTCGGGCAGCCAAGTCGGCTCGAGCTCGCTCGGGCCGTACAAGGGCGCGCCACCGGTCGCGCCCTGCCCGACCGCGCCGACGTCGTACCAGTCGACCTCGCGTCACGACGTCTCGCCGTCGCTCGCCCATCCTGCTCCGCAGCGCGCCTTCCTCGACAACTCGGTCCACGGCGACGAGCTCGTCGTTGCCGGGCCTTCCTCGGGCGACTGGCGCCGACCGCATCCGCACCTCGACATCTACCAGCCCTGGTCGCCGCCACCATACGCCCCAACCTCATTCGGCGACGACCTCGGCCCGTACCCGCACGAGGAGCAGGCCGGCGTCGGTCCCGACGGGCTCGATGGCGTCGTCGAGCAGCACCCGCAAAACGAGTACGAGCCGCCGCCGACGCCTCCCGACAAGCGCCGCGGCTACTTTCAAGGTGCGGGCGCGCCGTTCTGGGTGCGTCTAGCCTCTCTCTTCCCTTCTGGCCAACGAGCAGCACTAATTGTCTCTTTTCCTGCAGGCTCGCTTCGACGACCGCGACGTCAAGCGCTACAAGTCGAACGTGAGCGGCGAGTCCAAGCTGGGCCGCTACGTCCTCGACGCCGACGGGCGGCCCTACCGCGACTCGATCGGCCTAGGCGTGCTGCGCTTTCCAGAACGGCGCGGCGAGCCGCACGGGCGAGACGGCGCAGGGTGGGTGCCGGGCGGCGGCGAGGGCAGCTGGCTCGAGCAGGCGCAGCGCGAGGCGGCGGCGCGAGAGGCGGCGACGCAGGCGGGAGGAGCAGGGTGGGGCTCTCGCAGCGGGCGAGCGTGGTCGACGGCCGGCGCCGAGGCCAACGCTGCCGGCTGGCCGTCGCCTCCTGCGCAGCACGTCGTCGTCGAGCCCGCGCCGTCGAGCACGACCGCGGCGGACGCCGGGTGGGGCGCACCTCGCCCTCGCCCACCTCCTGCGCCCGGACCCTCTTCCGCACCTGCTCGCGCACCTCGGCAGAACTCGCACCGTCTCATGTCGGACATCATGGCGACGATCGAGGCGCGCAAGGCCGAGTCAAGCGCGGCCAAGAGGACGAGGTCACGCTGGAGGGGCGGGTGAGCGGCTCGAGCGTCGAGGCGGACGAGCGTTTCTCTTGTAGCTTTTGCGAGCGACTTTGCGATTCAGGCTTTAGCCCTCGATGCAGGTCGCGCACTCGAGAGAGACGGCCGCAGAGAATCAGCGAGCAGCTCGAGCGAACTTGGCCTTCTCGCTCAACGTTTCGCTTTCTTCGTAGTACGACGTTGCGATCTATACGCAAAGCTGCCCCGACCGGCATAGCAAACCCCGCTTAACTCAGCTGGAAGAGTGTCAGACTGTAATTGGTTGCGTCATCTGAAAGTCCCTGGTTCGATCCCGGGAGCGGGGAGCTTCTTTTTGTTGCTCTCTGGCAGCCGCTTTACGCTTGCGGTAGACCTCGCGCCCGCGTCCTTTGGCTCGCGAGAAGACCCGCATGGTTGCCCGCAGTCGGTGGTGACGATTGCTGGCGACGCCGACTTGCAGAGGGCGACCGGCCGGCTGCAGTCTACCACTGCGAGGCGCACAGGCGTCGGCCCGCTTTCTCTCGCTCAGGCCACACTCGAGTACACTTGCAGAGAGCGCTCGCGAGAGAGGGAGCCCAAAGAAAGAGGTTTCTCGGCGTTGCCGACCTCGGACTTGAGCAGGTCCAAGCGAGTGCACGCCCAGCTGTCGCTCTGCAAGACGGGTAACGTGCTCGATTGCACCGCAGACATCTCCTCGTTCGACCCAGGGCGCGCACACGGCCGTGCCGCAAGAGACTCGAACGCTTTCGCAGAGCGTGCTAGCAACTCGGCGCAGGAGGAGGATCACGAGGGAGGAGCTTGTGCGCATTGACCCTCCCGCGATCCGGCTCCTCTGACCTGGAGCTGCTCTCGCTCGCCATTGCGGCAAAAGGATACCCAAAAAGGATTGCTAGCACTGGTTGCCCTCAGTGCACTACCGCGACTCAGCCTCGACCTCCCTCCGCCGTCGTCCCTCTGCGGAATGGGGTTTTCGTGGGGAAGAACTTCGAACGCAAGGAGGGAGCAGGGTCCTCGCCCGCACCGGTAGCGACTATCATTATTTGCCAGCTTGAAGAGAGAAGGACAACTTGTGTTCCGTGGTAAGCGGGGGCGGGCTCGAGATTCGCACGCGACAAAGGAAAGGGCCACTTTGCTGACGCACGCCACACGCATGCATTTTCACCTTCGTCGCCCGTCCTCGTCTGCAAAACGCCTGCGCTGCGGACCAGTTCGACTCGCTCTCGCGGGACCGTCGTCTCTCGGCAATGCTGCCCCCATCGCGACCGCAGGCAAGCTAAAGCAAGCGAGAGGAACACCCTGACGCGCTGCCGCGCGACAGCTTCCGCTCGAGAGAAACAGGAGCGTGGGCAGAACAAGCCGGTGCAGCAGCTGCTCGAGGCGACGCTAGCTTGAGCTCTCTCGGGAGCTGGTGAGAGAGCGAGCCAGAAGAAAGAGCTCTCTCGGCGTGGCCGACCTCGGACTTGGGAAGGTCGACGAGCACTTCATCTCGCGCTGTACACGGCGAGACGGATCGCGAGAAACCAAGGGCGAGGGAGGATAGGCGCTGCGGTACGGGCGACATCTACAAATGGGGACGCGAGGAGGAGAGGGTCTGTGGGTAAGGGTATCGAAAACACAAGGACGGCGAGCGATTCAGTTCTGTGACGGCGCGAATAGAGATGATCAGATGAGCGTTCGCGAGAGGGAGGACAAAGAGAGAGAGAGGGACGCACCTGGAAGAGCCACATGACGCTGTAGGCCGTGCAGCCGAGGAAGCGAACGGCGGCGAGGACGGCGACCGAGTACAGGAGGAAGGCCATGTAGACGTTCTGCGCCGATGCGGTGCCTGCACTTGTCGAGAGGATGGCGGCGACGAGAGCGCCGTTCGAGAGGACCCAGGCGAGGAGGACCTGCGAGGAGGAGAGGAGGTCGTGAGCGTCGATGATCGTTGGGAAAGCCTCAAGGAAGGCGAGCCGGGCACATTCTGCGCCCGACCGGTGTGTGCCACGAGCGGCGACTCACGTTGGTGCGAATGGCGCGGTACGAGTCGGTCATCTTCTCCTCGAGGTTGATCTTGGCGACCTCCTTGGGCGGCGGCGTCGCGAGGACGTGCAGCGCGTCGTCGTACGCCGCGTTGATGTCCTTCTCGTCGGTCGGGACGACGACGTCGGCCGAGTCGCCCTTGACGGGCGCAGAGCCGAGGTCGTTCGAGGGCTTCTCCTCGGGTCGGTTGCCTGCAAAAAAGGGCAGAGTCAGGGTCTGGCTCGAGCACGAAAGAGAGTCTGCGTTATGACCCACCCCAAGACACGTCCTGCAGGTAGTGTGGGAGAGGCGCAGGTCAGTAAGAGGGGTCGAGAGGAGAGACTCGAGGCGAGGGAAAGAGGAGGGGGCTGACCTGGATGTTGCAGAAGGCGTAGCTGCGGCGAGTTTGGGTCGTCAGTAGAGCTCGACTTGACCACAGAAAGAGAGAGCGAGGACGCACACGTTGATGATGTTGGTGAACGCCGGCGAGAGGAGCATGTACTGGGCGAACGAGGTGAACATGTGCGCCGGCTGTTGGAGACGGGGTGAACAGAGTCAGTCTCGGGCTCCAGTCGAGGTACGCGACGACGGACGCACGTCGAAGAAGATGAGCGACGAGATGAGGTAGAGGGCATAGGTCGAGAGGAGCGAGATGACAATGTTTCTAGCGGGCGTCAAGGGCGCGATCAGGGTCGTCTCTCGAGCGGGCACCCCTGCGGCATGCTCGCCGATCATCATGGCGAGCGATTCCGTCGGCGAGGCGAGAATCGAGAGACGCACCGGAACGTCGCGTTGGTGAAGATGTCGCTCGCCGTGAACTTGCCGCCCTCGGCCTCGATCGCGTCCTTGGCGTTCTTGACGCCGTAGTACGTGATGACGCCGGCCGCAATCTGTGCGTAGTCTCTCTTCGTCAATCGCCGGCCGTACTGTCGCGCTCAGGGCGGAAGTGAGAGAGGGATGGACGAGAGAAGGGGACGCACGAGCATGTAGACCATGATGAGCGCGAACGAGATGGCGATGACGAGGTAGAAGCCCTTGGCGCCTTGCGGACGATTGCCGAGAGCGAGGATGAAGCAGCAGACTGCGCTCGAGGGAGAGAGAGAGGTCAGTCAGGTCGGGTTGTGGGGCCGAGGACGACGCGCGAGGAAGAGCGAGGGGACGTACGGAGCAGGGCGACGTAGTAGTACTGGACGCAGATGTTGAAGTACCTGCGGAACATGCCGAGGTGGGTGAGCACGGCTGGCTCGGCTCGAGAAGTGAGAGACGACGCACTTAATGCCGTTGAGCCCGAAGCTCGAGTCCTCCATCGCGGTCGTCAGGATGAACATGATGATGTACCAGTTACCTGTGCGCGAGGAGAAAGTGTCAGGGACGGGCCGCAGGCGACGACGAGGGCGAGAGGAGGAGGGCTCACCGAGGGCGAACCAGGCAAAGCTGAGGCGACGGCGACGACGGGATCGAGGTCAGTGTCGGACACGCCAAGAGAAGAGGACAACCACGCACATCGTGTTGAAGGCCTGGTAGAGCAGCTCGATGTGGAGCCACAGCTTGCGGATGAACGAGTGGTCGCTCCTGCGCGCTCGTCCTGGGTCAGGTCCGCCGCACGACGGGACAGGGTACAGAAAGAGAGCAGTCGACGCACCGGTACAGGAAGCCAAAGTGGTACGTCGCGTGCAGGCCGGCGAAGAACGAGCCGTTGAGCCATCGACGGCGCTGCGCGATGAGGTCGTGGAGCGTGTCGGGGACGTCCTGCGCGCCGCTTAACGACGGTCAGTCCATCTGTCCCGCTCTGCGCTCCTCGAAAGAGAAGAGAGAGAGAGGGCGACGTACAGTCTCGGCCGAAGCGCTGCGTTGATAGTGCAGGATCCACGCCGAGCCACGCTTCGAGACGAGCTCCCAGCACAAGATGCGGTCCTCCTGTGACGCGAACGAGGCAAGGTCAGTGATGTCGTCGGGGCTGGAGAGAGGAGGAGGACAAGAGAGAGGTCGACGCACGGCGAGGTACATGTTCTTGGTCCTGCGAGGCAAAGGGAGGGTCAGTGCGCATCCTTCTCGAGGGAGGGCGAGCACGACAGAGCGGCGACGGACCAGAGATCGCTGCGACGTCGATATATGTGTCAGTCACGCGCACGAGGAGCAGTAAAGGGGAAGGAGGACGCACGCGTCGACCGAGTGGTGGAGCGTCTCGCCCTTGAAGTACTCCTTGAGCGGGCCCTCGCCCTGCGCGTTGTTCTGCAGCGCGATGTACCGGTCTGCGCGCACGTGCGGGATCGTCAGGGGTCGACCATTTCAACGCTCGCGCCTCGGCGGGATCGAGGGGCCGAGCGAGAGCAAGAGGAACGACGACGACGCACAGGCAGAGAAGGCGCCGGGCAGGACCGTGATGTAGCCAAAGATCGACTCGAGCGGCTTGTCGAGGATGTCTGTGCGCAGGAGGCCGAGCCGCAAGCCGTTAGTAGCTCGTCGAGGCGAGAGAGGGCACGAGGGGAACCGGCCGACGCACTCGACATCTTGTACTCGAAGTTCTGCGCGGCGACGATCGGGTTGAGGCTGCGTGAGGGTTGAAGGTGGGTCAGGGGCCTGTCGCAGGACACGAGGAGGGTCTCGAAGGAGGCGAGAGAGGACGTACAGGTTGACGAAGTGGTACTTGCCCTTGAGCGCGACGATCTCGCCGCACGCGCCGCCGACGTTCGAGTTGAGCTGCGCCGACCATGCCAATCGTACATCAGACTCATCCCTCAAGAACGAAGAGGGCGAGACAGAAGGAGAGCGAGGCGACGCACGTCGAAGCTCTTCCACAGCTTGTACAGGCTCGTGTCGCGAGGCTGGGTCCCGACGTCGATGAGCATGCAGATGTTGGGCGACAGGATCGGGCCGAACGCGTTGAAGAACCACCGGTGCGAGTTGATCTTCTTGGCGCTGCGGGCGAGAGGGACGAGGGGGACGAGGGAGGGGAGGAAGAGGGTCAGTAGGCCCGTCGAGAAGGAGGCACGGTCCCGGGCGGGACGAACTTCTTCTCCTGTGGGCGGGTACAGTGTGTCAGTCTGGGACTCGTCCGGCGAACCGAGCATGTTGCCGCCTCGACAGCACGCGAGGAGAGGGAGAGAGCCGCCGACGCACCTTGAGGCAGAAGACGACTGCGCGCGCGAGAGGAAGAGTCCGTGTGTCAGTGGCCTGCTCAATTCTTCGACACGACCGCGCATGTCGAGCGGCGCCTGAGCACCACCCGGCATGGCGGGAGAGAGGACGAGCCGGGAACGCACTCTGGACGGGGACGAGGCCGCGCTCGGCCGACTTGACCTTCATGTTGGGGTCGATCGACACTGTGGGCATCGACGGCATTGTCAGGTCGTGTACGAGCGACTGGATGGCAACCGGCAGCGAGCGTCGCGAGCGCCGACACGCGCTCACGACGCTCGCACGCCGTCGCCTCGACCGCTCGGGACAGCTGACAGAGAGGGCGAGGGAGAGCTCACGCTGCGTCGTGTACTCGTAGATGTGGGCCGTGACGGGCTTGCCGGCGACCTCGTTCTTGGCGACGCCGTCCTGGTAGACGCCCATGGCGGCGAGGACCGAGAGCGTGCGCGCGTTGATCTTGGCGCGCCCGTCCGAGACGATGCAGACGACGACTGTGGAGCGTGCGGCGCGCGAGAGAGAGAGAGGAAGGAGAGGGGCAGAGTCAGTGAGGGCGCGAGGACGGGAGGGCGAATCGAGGAAGGAGGAGGAGAGGGACAAGGTCGACGCACCCTTCTGCCACCCGTTCTCGCCCCACGTCCGGCTCTTCTTCCTCGAGCACAGGTGCTGGATGTTCTCTGTGCGACAGGGCAACACGGGTCAGTCTGCGGCCGTCGGTCAGGCGGCTCCACCTCTGGATGCTCCTGCTCGAGGACCAGACAGGGAGAGAGAGAGAACCGCGGGACGCACTCATGACGCCGTGCATCGTGCGGCAGAACAGCTTCTCGTCCTCCTGTGTGTGGGCCGAAGGACTCCCGAATCAGCTCGTGCGTCCACAGGGAAGAGGACGTTCGAGGCGAAAGAGAGAGAACGGCCGACGCACGTTGTACATGGTCAAAACGATGAACAGCTCGGTGCGCCTCGGCGTCTCGTACAGGATCTGGCGCAGGGCGTACTTCTCGTCGAGAAAGTCGTCGGGCTGTGTCGGCGGCGCAAATGCATGGTCAGGTGGGGGCTCGAGCGTCGCTCGTGGAGGGGGCTCGCGATCTCGCAAGAGGAGGAAAGGGAAAGAAGGGGACGCACGTCGCAGGTGGCGGCCGTGTAGCGCATGTGGGTGAACTCGCGCGAGTCCTTGCGCGGGCACCGCTCGAGGAGCTTTGGCGGCACCTGGCAGTCGAGGACGAGGTTGCCCTGCGTGAGCTGGACGCCTGCGGGCGAGCATACGAGGACCTGTCAGTTTCGGATCGTCGCAGAATGCGCTCGACGGGCGCGAAAGAGAGACAGAGAGGAAGATGAGGACGCACGCTTGACCGTCTTGTACCGCCTCGGCTGGCGCTGCGGGATGCGGCCGTAACGCACGACGCTGTGCACGTCGTCGTCGTCGACGCCGGGCCCACCTGCGCCGTACGGCGGGTACGCGCCGAGGCCGTAGCCGGCGTCGGCGGGCCCGCCCGGGTTGGCGCCGGCGCTCGCGTCGAAGCCGCCGGGGAGGATCAAGGTCGGGTCGGCCTGGCCGGGGGCGTGGCCCGTCGTGCTCCAGCGGCCGTGACCGTGATGCGAGTGGTAGCCCTGCTGGCCGTGGAGGAGCGGCGCCGAGTCGGTCTCGTCGGGGTACTGGTGGTTGGCGGCGGCGGCGGCGGCGGCGGGAGAAGGGTCGTGCGGCGGGTCGTGGGCGCCGGGCGGGTGGTACGGCGGGTAGGCGTCGCCGAGGTCCTGCTGAGGCTGGTACTGGGCGTGCTGGGTCCACTGGGGCTCGTTCGGGTGGTAGGACGGGGTCGCGAACGGGTCGGAGGGCGGAGCCGAGTAGGGCGGGTACGGGTCGGCCTGGGGAGGGTACGGGGCAGGGTAGGGTTGGTGAGGGTGCTGCTGCGAGTAGTCTTGCGGGTGCTGGAACGGGTCCTGGGCGGGCTGGTGCTGCGCGGGAGGGTGGGCGAGCGGGTCCGGGGTGCGACGAGGCTGAGCGCCAGGCGGGGGCGCGTGGTAGTTGTTGTACGGGGGATCGTAGCCGGACATGATGGGTGCACGAGCTGCTGTTCTCTCTCGAGTGGTGCGAGGGGACGAGGAGCAAAGGAGCGAGGTGCCGGCGGTCGGAGGCGGTGCTCGCTCCCTCCGGACGCTTCGCCTCTCTCATTCGAGGCAGTGGGGGTGCGGAACAGGGTCTAGTAGTCCTCGCGAGCACCTTGCACCAGTCAGTGCAGCCCCAGGGCGAGACGAGGTGGTACTTCGCCTCCGTGTTGGGCGAGCGCGCGTCGCTCCGCGGGCCAGCCAGCTCCTTGCTCGTCGTCCACCACCACTGCGAGCTTGCGCACCAGCACCAGCACCAGTACCGCCCATGACGTCGCGCTCCAGGGCCTCGTCCCTCTCGCGCTCGCAGCGCCCGACCACCCCTCTCCGCCGCCTGTCGTCCTCGTCCCTCCGCGCCCACTCGCTGTCGCACTCGGCGTCGCGCGCACCGGCGAGCGCAGAGCACCCACTCGCCCACCTCTCGCACCAGTTCTCCGACCTCGCCGGCGCAGTGTCGGACCTCACCCACAACTGCGCCGACCTCGACTTGGTCCACTCGCGCCTCGAGGCCGTAAACGACTCGTTCGCCGCGTGGCTGTGGGGGCTCCGCGCAAATGCCTACACGGTCGACTTTGTCCAGCAGCCCGACTACTACAGCTTTGACCTCGCCAACGACCGCCAACACCTCCGCGACGAGGCCGCCGCCGCCCTCGAGCGCCACCAACAGCACCTCGACCACCACCAGGGCGACGACACCCTCCACTCGCCGAGTCGAGCAGGGCACGGCAGCAGCGGCGGCGGCGGCGGCGGGTACGGCGACCACGCCCACAGCGAGACGACCTTCTTCACCAACGACGACGAGAGCTTCACCGTCGCCGACACACCCGCCGCCGCAGCTGCCGGGCGAGGAGCGCGTGGTCGCGGGGCGGCAAGCGGGATCGCGCGTGGGCGAGGGGGCGCGGCGGCGAGTGCGAGGGGCGGCAAGGCGGGTGCCGGCGGCATGACCAAGCGGAGAAAGGACGAGATGGCCGTGCGTCCACCTTCGTTCCTCCCTCCCTCTCTCTCTCGTCCCACGCACGCACTGACGCCCTCTCTCTCGCCCTCCGCAGGCTTTTGCCGACCCGATCATGCCGCTCCTCCCGATCGCGCTGCGCGAGAACCGCCGCCCCGAGTGCGAGAAGGTGCTCTGGGCCCTGCGCGAGCGACCGGCCGGCACCATCAGTGCGTCGCCCCCCTCCCTCATCCGTTCCTCGCCTCGTCCTGTATCCGGGCACTCATGCTCTCGTTGCGCGCGCAGTGGCCGACCTCACGGCGGCGCTGTCCAGCTCGGGCCCGTCCGGCGTCCCGCAGGTGCGCATCAACGAGGTCTTGCTCGCGCTCGTGCGCGCAAAGGTCGCCATCAAGCAGCTCTCCAAGGTGCGCTCCCTCTCTTTCTCTCTCCTGTCTCTGTGCGCTTTGCGCCGAGGGAGCCCTGACGAGACGTCGTCGTCGCGCAGGGCGTCACGACCTACCGGCTCGACCCGAACAAGTACCCCTTCTGAACCTCTTTCGCCCTCGGATTCTCTCTCCTGGTCCTGTAGATCACCCTGCCGTGCCGCATGTTGTACTGTTACTCGACGTCGTCGACTTGCGCGAGAGCTCGAGACGGTTCAAGAGAGGGACGGTCTCTCGTTCTCGGACGGTCGCTGCGCCGGCATATGAGCTGCGAGGGAAACTGCTGCATTGCGAGAGGCCGAACGACGAGGGAGCTACAGGGGACAAAGGTGGACGAGGGAAGGGACAGGCGGCAGACGTGCGGGAAAGGGAGAGAGGAGGGACGCCTAGATAACGCGGAACATGTTGCGCTTGACTGCGAGGAGAAGGAAAGCTGTCACTTCGTGCTGTTTGACGGGAGAGAAGCCCTCGAGACAGGTCCGGGCGAGAAGGAGAGAGAGAGAGAGAGAGGACGCACCGTTCGGCGCGAGACCCTCGGGCTGCCCGTTGACGAGCGTGCCGAGCGCGCTCGCGTCTTGCCCACCGAAGCGCTCCTCGAGGCGGCGCTGGTAGTCGGACGCTGGGTCTGTCGGCGAGCGGACGGCGGGCTTGGCCTGCGGGGTCGAGTCGGAGTGTGGTGGCGGCGCCGTCGCCTCGAGCGTCGCGTCCTGAGTGGGGGCGCGTCAGGTCGGGGCCTCATGGACAAGGCTGAAGACGCACTGCAGCAGTGACTGGGCCCGCACGAGCGGTTGACGGCGCTTGAGAGGTCCCGAGAGTTGTCGCAGCTGATGAGGACGCGGTCGGAGCTGCGGCGACGGGGGCGGCCGGCTTGGCGGCTGAGCTGCCCTTGAAGATGCTGCGCAGGGCGGAGCGGAGCATCGCAGGTCGGCTGGTGGTGAGGAAGAGGAGAGGAGCAGGTCGTTCGCTCCGCGAGCCTCTTGACGCAACTCTCCAAGCGGGTTCGCTTCTCTCTCGACGCACAGGCGCTTGGGCGCACGGTCGGGATAGAGCAGAAAGAGCGAACAGGGGGCTTGCAGAAGCGCTCACGCACGAGCTGACGAGAGGGAGCGCCGAACGCGGTCTGGCTTCGAGTCCGAGGCGGCTCGCCTGCGTGAAACGGTGTTCGCTCGTGGCTGCTTACGTGACGAGGCACAGCGGCACGCAGCGAGCGCGAAGGAGCAGAGAGCGGGAGCAACCCTAGCGCGACTCTCGAGCCTCGTCACGAGCCGAGTCGAGCGGAGCCGAGCAAGCAACGACGACGACGATGAGACGAGGGAGAAGGCACAACAGGGAGAAAGCGGGACCGTTACAGACGAGAGAAAGAGTATCGCAGCGAGACGACCGAGTTGCAAGAAGGAGGGAGGGAGGGAAGGGAACGACAAATGCCCCAACGACCGCCCCGACGACCGTTTCTCGCGCATCTAGACAAAGCGCGAGACCTTGTTCGGGTCCTGGCCAAGAACCTTCGCGCGGTTCTGCAGTTTGGCATAGGACTTGGTGCCACGGAGACCGCCGCCCTGCGAGAGAGAGAAAGAGAGAGAGGAAGAGTCAGGACTCGGTTCGACAACGGACACGCTCTCGCTCGAGAAAGAGGAAGCAGGACGCACCCAGTGACGCGACGCCTCGGCGTACTTGTCGGTGTAGTTGGCCTTGATGGCCGAGACGAGCTTGGCGAGCTCGGCCTTGTCCTCAGCGCGGACGTCGCCAAAGGCGAGGACCGACGACGTCTTGCGGCCGACGACGGCACCGAGGCGGGCCTTGCCCTTGACGATGACGTCTGCAGGTGGGCGGGACGAGAGAGGGAGGGGAGGAAGGAAGGGAAGGAGAGGGAGAGAGGAGGGGAAGGGAGGGAAGGAGAGGGAGAGGAGGGTCAGTGCGGCTCCTTGACAGGCCTCGATCATCAGTCCCTGCGAAGCATCGACGAGCGCCCACAGGGCACGACGAGAGAGAGAGGGAGACGCACAGGGGATGCCCATCTTCTTGCAGAGGGCCGGGAGGAAGACGACGAGCTCGATCGGGTCAACGTCGTCGGCGATGATGACGAGGTTGGCCTTCTTGGCCTCGACGAGCGAGACGACGTGGTTGAGGCCCGACTTGATGAAGTAGGGCTTCTTCGCCTCGTCGAGGTCCTTCTTGCCAGCGGCGAGGTCCGCCGCCTTGGCCTCGAGACGCGCCTTCTTCTCCTGCTTCGTCTCGCCCTTGTACTTGTTGGCGAGACGGAACAGCTGCGTCGCAGTGTTCTTGTCGAGAACGTTGGCGAACTGGGCAATCGCGGGCGGCGTCTTGAGGCGCTGGTGGAGGATGACCTTCTGGCGCTGGAGGCGCACGTACTCGGGCCACTTGACGAAGCGCGTCAGGTCCGTCGGGGGGCGGACCGACTGGCCTGCGAGCGCGTCGACGGGAGGATGTCAGTCGTCGTCGGGCGGGCGAGAGGGGGCAGACGAGAGGTGAGCGCACCGATGCCGAACGACTTGGGGCGCGACTCGAAGAGGGGGTTGGTCGTCTTCTTCGAGGACTTGCCGGCGGCGCCGGGAGCCTTGGCAACCTTGCGAGTCGGGGCCTGTGCGGGAGAGAAGAGTCAGTCATGCTCGATGGGAGGGAGTAGAGAGAGAGAGAGGCGGGGGCGCACCTGTAGTCACCGCAAAGGGCACGGGGGTTCCAAGGAAGGGCAGGTCATTAAGATTCGTCCTGTGACAGACGAAGAGCTCTATTTGGGCCGCGCTCGACACCTCGCCACTCCCATGAGGGTCGAGGGGGCCGAGCCGCCCGCTGCCTGGCGGCGGGGGCAAAACTCCACACTCCGGCCCTCGACGAGGAGGGACGCGGACACCGAGCGACATTGCGTGTGCGGGCACAGAGGCAAGAGGTGCGCTAGTAGGGCTGTGCACGACGACTCGACGGCGCGAGGACGGCAGGGAGCTGAGGGCGGGACGAGGTTCAAACGCTGCCCTCGCCGAGGCGAGAGCGAGCGGGTGCGACGGGGCGAGGACTAACCATCTGCGCGAGGGGGGCAAGGCAAAGGTCAGCTTGCGTGCTAGAGGATGAGCGAGACGGGTGCGCACTTTTGCTGCGAGATCGAGGATGAGTCGGGGACTGGAGGACGAAGAGTTGCAGCTCGCGCCCAAGTCGAGGCTGGCGGCGCGCGCGCCCAAGGGCGACCGAGCGCGCACCTCCCCTCGAGCTCGTACTGTTCGCTCTCTCGCTCGAGTGTGCGCTCTCTTCTGGCCGTGCAGAGCAGCGTGCAAAGCGACTCGCAAGAGAGTGAAGTGAGCGAATCTGGGTCGCAAAAGGAGCCAGCCGGGTCGACCTTCTCAGTCTCGAGCCCGGCTCAGGCCTCGTCGCACGGTCGTCTCGCTCGCTCTGGACGGTCGACAAGGTGCTCTCGACAGGCAACATGGCGGAACGAGTCTCAGAGTGAGAGTCGCGTCGCACGAGCACTCTCACTCTCGCTCGCGCGCTCGAACCGCTCTCGCGCGCACCTCTCCTCACCTCGACAGCGAGCGCCCGCCGGACGCACGAGATCGGATCCGAACCGCTCCCGGGGGGCTCGATCGTTGCATGCCATCGTGTACACACCGAGTAAAGGAGAAGCCGTCGTCCGCCGCACAAAGGAGCTCCCGAGTGGTGGGGAGGCAAGGTTGCTGAGGAGGGGAGGGCGACGTTTACGCGGCGTGGCGGCGCTGCTCGGCTGTGCATAGAGAGGATGGTCAGTCGAGAGGCGGGCGAGAGCAACGAAAGGGGAGAGGAGGGACGGACCGATGACACCGGTGAGCTCGTCGACCTTGCGCTTGGCGCGGCGGAGGGTTCCGAGCTGTACGACGAGAGGGTACAGGACGAGTCAGTACACACAGCGTGCGAGGATGCTCCTGCAGGTTCCCGTCGTCGCCGTCGCCTCGACCTGCTCCACCTCGTCGGCCCGACCTCGTCGCGCTCCACCTCGCCGCCGACCACGCCCGCTTGTCCCTCTCCTCCAGCAGGTCCACACCGTCGTTGATTCGAGGGGCACAGACGTACGCGCTTCTTGGTCAGCTTGCGAGCCTTCTTGTCCTGTGGAGGGGCGAGGGGGAGGGTCAGCTCGCCGTCGTCGGTGCAGCTCGACGAGAGGGGAGGGAGGAAGGGACGGACCTTGGAGTTGCGGATCAGCTCCATAACGCGACGCTCGTACGGGGCGAAGCCGGCAACCTGTCGCAGAACGCGAGTCAGTTCGAGGGTCCGGCGCGTGCGCGAGAGAGAGAGTCAGAGAGGACGCACCTCGCGGACGATCGACTTGACAAAGGCCGAGCGGGCCGACTGCCTGCCCTTGCGGTTCGAGGGCTTGGCGACCTTGGGGATGACCGTGGTCGGGTGGCCCTTGTTGAGGCCCCAGGGGAGGTCTGCGAGAGAGAGACGAGTGCGAGTGGTGCGAGGGGAGGGGCGAGGGTGGGATCGTTACGACGAGGTCAGCTCGCTCGTTCGAGTGCGGGCATGGCTGGGAGGGCCAAGGGTGGTGGTCGGGCCCTGCGAAAAGGGCCGGCTGGCGAGGTGGTGGACGGGTCGGAGTCGAGGGAGGAGGGTGTGGTCCGGGCTGGCTGGCTGGGAGGTTGGCGACGAGAGGGAGGGGGCGGACGGGGGCGGGGACTGACTGGTACGGGGGGTAGCCATCTGAGCAACTAGGGGCGGGAAAAGCGATGCGTGATCCAGAGGACAAGCCAGAGGACGGAGCGAGTTCGAGTGGTCGAGTTTGCCCCCCCCGAGACTCTCGTGGCCGCCGCCGAGTGCGTCGCCCCGAGCCAACCTCCTCCCTTCTCTCGCGCCCTCGCCCGTCGTCTAACTTGCTCGTACGCTCAATCCACACACCGTGATCCTGTCCGCACACCCCGCCCAACCCTACATCCCTCGACCGCCCTCCCGCCGGGCCACCTCGACTCGAACCCGCCCTCCCTCGACCACGAGCTCGACCACGAGTTTGACCCCCACCGCCTCGCCACGAGCCTCCCTCGCACCCCTGGTCGCGTCAGACGTTGAACCGCCGTCATGCCGCACCTTTGGACCGGCCACACGGGCAAGCCGTCCTCGTGCGGTGGTGGAACGACGCTGCGGTTGGCGAGGCGGGCGGCAGTCACGGCCACCAGCAGTTGCGCACTCGCTCCCTCTCTCTCGACTCGCCGTACTGACTGTCTCGCCCTCCCTGTACCGCATACTCTTCACCGCCTCCGCCCGACCTCTCGACACCGCCGACCTCGCGACGTGACCGCGCTCCCCTCCTTCCTCCTCCCGCCGTCGCCAATCGCCCCTCGCCTCCTCGTCTCGCCCCGCCCGCCGGTCCGCCTGTACCCGTCACCACGACGTCCACGCCGAGCAGTAATGGCTCGCAACACCGACGTCTCGCCGTACATCGGCAAGCTCTCGCGCTCGAAGCTGTACTCGAAGAAGGGGCTTTACAAGCGTGAGCACAAGGCCGCTGCCCCTTCGGACAAGGCCGAGGCCAAGGAGGAGACGGCCTACTACCCGGCCGACGACGTCCGCAAGCCCAAGGCGTCGCGCAAGTCGATCAAGCCGACCAAGCTCCGCGCGTCCATCACCCCGGGCACCGTCCTCATCCTCCTCGCCGGTCGCTTCCGCGGTCAGTCCCACCTTCCCTGTGCTCGAGGCGTATCGAGAGGCGGAACGGCATCGTCGAGGCGCGCGGCGGGCGAGCAACCGGGACCCGAGAACTGACCCCCACCTCGTCCTTCTCGCAGGCAAGCGCGTCGTCTGCCTCGGTCAGCTCCCCTCGGGGCTTTTGATCGTCACCGGGCCGTTCAAGGTCAACGGCGGTGAGTTCCCCAGTCGATTCCGCTGCGATTCGAGGCCTCTGGCGCCGTCGGGAGGGCGTGAGAGCCGGCCCAAGTTCAAGTTCCGAGACTGACTCTCTCTTCCTCCTCCCTCACCCTCTCACAGTCCCGCTCCGCCGCGTCAACCAGGCGTACGTCATCGCGACCTCGACCAAGGTTGACCTCGGCTCGTTCCAGGTGCGCCCTCGTCCCCCTTCCCTCCCTCTCCCTCGCGCTCGAACCTCGACCCTGACCCGATCCTGCCCCCGCGACAGCTCGACGCCAAGTTCAACGACGCCTACTTCTCGAAGGACAAGTCGTCGTCGCGCTCGGCCAAGGAGGGCGAGTTCTTCAAGGACGGCGAGGAGAAGAAGCAGTTCCCCGCCGAGAAGGCTGCCGACCAGAAGACGGTCGACAAGGCCATCCTCGCCGCCGTTGCCCAGACCCCGAACGTGCGTCTCACGCTCTCGTTTTCTGCTCGTCGCGCTGTCCAGCCGGCTGCGCGTCGACCGACTCGCACCTCGCCGCCCGAGCCTCGTCCTGACCTTCTCGCTTTCCTCTCCTCTCTCTCGCTCGCCCGCCCACCCACAGCTCGCCAAGTACCTCGGCGCCACGTTCGGCCTCAGCAAGGGCCAGTTCCCGCACCTCCTCAAGTTCTAAGCGCGTCGCCCGTGCTCAAGAACCTGAACGGAGAAGTGGGGTCGAGGGGGTCCAGGGTGATGTTGTCGAGCGGCTGTACGAAACACCTCCTTTCGTAGCGAGGGGCTGGCTGCTGGGAGGGTGGCAAGGCAGTTGTTCGCTTCGATCTGGCTCTGTCGGCGAGCGAGAGCGAGCGACGAGAGCTTTCAGTCGAGGCGAGCGAGCGATTCGTGGGCCGCACTCGCCGCGCTCTGAGTTCTCTCGGTCGCCGCGGGCGTTCATGCTGTCGGCCTCGCGCCTGGCAGGACTCGGCGAGTGCTGCAGAGGCTGTGCGCGACGTCGCGAGACTCCTTTGTTGCCTCGTCTTCATCAGCTCGCATCAACCCCGCGCTCTCTCCCGCCTCGTTCACTCGCCGGGCGGGTCCAGCTGGACCCTGGCAGCAGCAGCAGAGGGCACTAGACCATGCTCAGTCTACTCGCCTCGCGCCTGCGTCCCGCCTTCGCTCCCCTCGCCCACGCCGCCCCACCCGCCCTCGGCCGCCTCGACCGTCACGACCGCGCGCCCAACAGTCGAGTGCCTCTTGCCCGTCTTGCCCGCACCCGCCTCCTGTCCAGCACACCCGTCCGCCTCGCCTCGGCGCTCGACCTCGACTCGCCGCCGCGCTCCTCGTCCTCGAGCTGCTCGTCACCCGGTCGAGCCGGCAAGATCCCGTTCCTCCAGCGCGAGTCGAAGACGGCCAAGGTCATCGAGTACGACCCGCTCGCGAGGGTGCGCAGCGCGCTCGGCAAGAAGGTGCCGACGGCGTTCCCCAAGATCCTCGACCACCGCCTCGTCGACCTCCTCGCCGGCCGCAAGTCGAACGGGCTCGACCCGGTGTTCAGCTCGGCGTACCACCCCGAGGTCCTCGAGTTCCTCGGCGACCGCATCTGGGACGTCGTCGTCTCGCAGACGCTCGTCCTCCTCGCCGCGAGGGGCAAGGGCTCAAAGATCCTCGGAACGATTGGCGCCAAGTGCGTCCCACGTTCTCTCTTCGTCCGGTCTCGCACAAGCGAGCGAGTGACTGACAGGTTCGAATCGCCCTCCTGCAGGAGCGGGCACTTGCTCAGCAACGCGCACGGCGCCGTGCTCGCCAAGGAGTTCAAGCTCGTCCACTGGTCGGGCAGGTCGTGCTGCGGCGGCAAGGGCTCGTGCTCGAACGACGCCGCCGCCGACGCGTGGGAGGCGCACCTCGGTGCCCTCTTTCTCGCCAACGGGCGCCAAGCCGTCCTCGACTTCCTCGTCCCGCTCGTCAAGCGCGACTTCCTCAAGCCGGTTGCGCCAAAGCGTGCCGTGTCGCCGGTCGTCGCGCCCGCCAAGGTCCAGACCGCCATGATCGTCGCCGTCCAGCCGTCGCTAGCTCTCGTCAAAGCCGTCTCGGCAGCAGACGTCGACCGGCCCTCGCCACCTGTCGTCGCTTCGCCCGCAGCACGTGTCGCTCAGCCGCCCTCGGCGCCTGTCGCTCAAGCCCCCTCGGCACTCGTCGTCGACCCGAGCGTCGTTCTCGACTCGTGGCAGAGCGCGTTCGCCGCTGCCGAGACGTCGACCGACCACCCGCCCCTGCGCAAAGCTCCCAAAGGGTCGCTCACCAAGAGTGCGTCCCTCGATCCGCCCTCTCGTCTCTCTCTCTCTCCATACGTCAAGTCACTGATGAGATCATCCGCAGAGCCGCTCGTCTATCGGTCGCACAAGCTCGCCATCCAGAACGTCCTTGCCGACCTGAAGGAGCGCGGCGCCGACCACCGCGTGGTCAAGGTGACGCCCAACAGGTACCGGCTCCACGTCGCAAAGGATATAGCGTTGGTCGCCAAGGGCGCCCTGCCCGAGTCGGACCGCGTCGGCTTGTTTGTCTCGAAGCTCGTCAAAGCCGGCCTCGTCAAGATCTCCAAGTTCGTCCCTCCTCCCTCCTCGACCCCGCCCATCCGGTGCATCCTGAGCGAGACTGACGACTCGCACACCTGCAGGAAGCCGACCAAAGCCCTCCCCAAGGTCGGGGCGCCGGCCGCCCCTCCTTCGTCCAAGGGTTTGTGATTCGCCTTCTCTCGCGCTCGAACCCCTCTTTCAGCCCCTCCTCGTGGACACTTTCATACCTCGCTCCTCGCATACCTTGCATGTCTCTCGTACACCGTCTGCAACTCGCATAGTCTCTCCGTCCACAAGCGCAGGCGAGAGAGAGAACGAGAGAGCGAGAAAAGCGAATCAAACGTTTCAACCTCGCGCCGCAGCTCGACGACGCACTGCCTCCTCAAGCCCGACCTCCCTCGCCCCCTCGCACAACCGTCATGCCCAGCTCAGCCGAACCTGCGGGTCGAGAGAGACACGAGGTCAGGGACGAGGTGCGCGAGACGACGTTGAAGGAGGGGACGCACACGGCCACGAGCGCCTCGACCTTGCCCTCCTTGTTGCACAGCGACGTGAGGTGGAGCACGGCATCGCGCACGAGAGGCTCGCCGTGCTTGCTGCGGCCGCTGCGGGAACGTCGTCGGTGCGTGAGTGAACGAGTTCGAGGGCGAAGGAGGGAAGGAGGCGAGCGAGGGACGCACAAGAGCTTCTTCGCGACGGGCTGCAGACCGACCAGGCCCGTCCACCCTTGGCCCTGCTCGACCGCGAGACGCACGTTGCGGCGCAGGCGGCGCGTCATGTCCTTCTCCTCGTCGGCCGCCATCGAGGTCGACAGCGACGCTGCATCGCCGCCGCCGCCGCCGCCGTACAACGCCGCCGAGGTACGAGACGCAGAAGACGAGACGAGGATCTTGATGAACGAGGTCGAGTGGAGCTCGTGGTGCGACGAGCCGGGCAGGCCTGCGAGAGAAGGGGAACTCGGTCAGGTTTGGGAAGGTCGAGCGGGAGGAGAAAGAAGGGGCGAAGACGGACCGCAGTACTCGACAAGCTCGGGCGTCGTGTAGAGGATGTCGCCCGTCGAGCGCTCGACGAGTGCGACCCGGCTGTACGTCTGCTCGAAGGCTCGGAGGCCGTTGTGCTGCTTGACAGGATCGAGGGCTAGGGTCAGTCGCGTCGAACGAGGTGAGAGCAGGCTCGAGAGCATCCCTACGACGCGAAGGAGAGGGTGGAAGAGAGAAACGAGGCGACGCACCATGAGCGACTCGTTGAGCGCGTCCACCTCCTCCTGCTCCGACCCACCGCTCTCGCCGCCGACGCTCCCACGCTTCTCCTGCCTCGCGCTCGACCCGCCGCCGTCAAGCCCGTCCCCGAGGCCCTTGGCCGCAGCCGACTCGCGCGGCGTCTCGTCACCACCCGCCGCCGTGCTCTCGAGCGACGACCGGCGGATGCTCAACGTCGACGTGCTCTTCCTCGCCTTGCCGAGGAACCCGAACGGGCCCTTGCGCTTCTTGTCCTCGACAGGCGGGCTCGGCGCCTGCGCACTGCGCGGCGAGAGCTGCGTCGGCGAGCCGCCGGCGCCGGTGCCGAGCGTCGCCGTGCCGAGCTCGCGGATGGCGTCGCCGCTCGTGACGCCCGTCTGGCGCGAGACGGTCGTGAGACGGGCCATCTGCGCCTGGACGAGCGGCGTGAAGGACGGGGCGAGCGCGACCGAGGTGGACGAGGGCGACGGGGGCGAGGCTGCGTGCAGCCACAGCGAGGGGTGCGCCGCGAGCGAGGGCGACTGGACGAGGGCGTTGAGGGCGCCGGTGACGTCAATCTGGCCGCCTGCGAGAGGAAAGGGACCGCGAGGCCGACGAGGATGAGTCCTGCACGCCTGACGAGGAGAAGAGAGGAGGGGTCCGAGCGCACCGATGAAATGCCGCACGACGCCCTTGTCGTCCTTGAGCGGCGCCATGCACAGGAGGTTGGCGAAGGCGGAGCCGTCGGCGCGGTCTGTGGGCAAGTCGAGGCGAGGTGAGCCGCATGTTCTCGACGGCCGAGAGCGAGAAGGAGGAAGGAGGGACGCACAATTGAAGATGAGCGACGTGACGTTCCTGCCCTCGGCGAGCGCGTCGTGCAGGCGCTTGACGCTCTCGGGCGACGTGCCCGGGCCCTGGAGGAAGCGGCAGTTGCGCCCGATGACGAGCTTGAGCGGGTACCCGGTCAAGTCGACGAAGCCCTCGCTCGCGAGCGTGATCGGGTTGTCGCGCTGGTTCGGGTCGGTGAGGCAGTAGCACTCGGCGAGGCCGTCGGTCGACGCCATCGAGAGGCCCATGCCGCCGCCGCCGCCGCCGCCGCTCGGACCGCCTTTGCCGGTCCAGCCGAGGCCGGCCTTCCAGCTCGCGAGGCGCGCGACGACCTGCTCGACGAGCTTCTGCTGGACGAACGGCTGGAAGTGCTTGGTGTAGATGTCGGCGTGCAGGGCCTGGAGGGGCTCGAGGAGCGGGTGGCCGACGGCGGCCGAGTCGTACAGGCACTCGAGGACGGGTCCACGCAGCGAGATCGGGAGCGCGAGGCGCGACGGCGACGTCTTGAGGAGGTAGGTCGACGAGATGCACGACGAAGAGAGGCGCAGGGTCGTGCACACGTGCGAGAAGGCCGACAGGTCGCGGTACAGATCGAGGAGGAACGGCGCCGACTCGTCGCTGCTCGTGGCGGCGATGAAGTTGCGGAACGACTGGAACGCCTCTGTGGGTCGCACGAGAGTTGGTGGCAGGGACTAATGGGGCAGAAGGAGGGAAGGAGAGCGTGGGACGCACCCGGGTCCCTCACGACCTCATGCAGCGCCGCCGGCCCGACGACCTTGCCGAGGCTCCACTCGACATCGTTCGACACGTCCCAGTTGGCGTATGCCGTCAGGCCGGTGAGGTCCTTGACGAGCGGCGGAAGGTGCGGCGGCGCGATGACAGGCCCGAGCGGCACCTTGCGAGACTCGCGCTCGGCGGCGGCGAAGGCGGGCGCCGTCGTGACGCGGCTGAACGGGGCGCCGTCGAGCTCGTGCACCTGCTGGTCGACCCACGCACGAAGAGGAGGCGAGGTGACGGTGCCCGCGGGAGCCGTCGAGGCGTACGAGAACGGCTCGACCGGCGGCGTGGCCGAGGCCGGCGCCGGCCCGCCTCCTGCCGCCGCGATTGTCGTCGCGGGCCGCTGGCCCTTGCCCTTGCCCTGCATGTCGGCGAGGCCCTGCCCGAGCGAGACCGAGCGCGACGAGGGCAGGCCGCTGAACGAAGGCGACGGGTCGAGGTCGGACGAGGAGCCGACGGCGCGCACGCCGGCGCCGGTCGAGGCGGCGCGCATGCGGGGTGGCGGACGAGGAGCAGTCGGGTCGATCGAGCTCTCGAACGAGTGGACGTCGGAAGCTGCGCGGGCGAGAGGGTCAGCGAACGCGCGAGGGGAGAAGGAGGAGGGGAGGTGGGGACGCACTCGCTCCGAGGGTCGGGTCGCGCGCCTGCATGCGGCTCGTGCCGCCTGCAGCAGTCGGGATGCGCGAGGTGGGCGCAGGCGGTTGCGGGTTGACCGAGTCGCGGCCCATGGACGAGGACCGTGCGGGGTGCGAGTCGAGCTCGGCGGCGAGGAGGTACTGCGACTGCGCGGGCGCAGGGCGTGGCGAGGGCTCGCTGAGCGAGGGGCGAGCAGAGGGCGGCTCGAAGTGCAGCATGCGCGACGGCGAGGAGGTGCCGAGAAGAAGTGAGGGGAAGGAGGGAGAGAGAGAAAGGTGAGCAGAGGGCGGCGAAACCGGCGACGGGCAACAGTCCGGCTCGCCTCGAGCTGGCGACTCGGCCAGGACGCCTGAGGCACGCCAGACCTTCTGCAGGCCGTACCGAGCACGGGGCGACAGCCGCGACCCTGCGAAAGAGCGTGCGCGAGTCCCGAGAACGCTCCCTCCTCGCTCGCTTGTGCGACGGCCGACGACGACAAATGGACGAGGGTAGGGTGATACAGCGGTTGCGCGGGGGTGGGTGTAACTATTACAAGCACGTGCGGCGAGGCGCAAGACGAACGAGGAGAGAGGGAAAGCTGCGGCAAAGAGGAGGGGGACGACGACGACGACGAGCACGCTCAGTAGTTCTCGCCGAGGTCGAACTCGGCACCACGACGGACCGAACCCCAACCTGTGTGACGGCGAGAGAGTCAGTGAGTGGCGCAGGCAAGGCGCGAGCGAGAGGGACGCACCGATGAGGCGCCAGTGCTTGTCGATGCGGCGCGAGAGGGCGACCTTCTCGCCGAGCTCGGTCGCTGCCGGCGTGTTGAGGAGGATCCTGCATGACGAAATAGAGAGGGAGAGGGCGAAGAGGGAGGGGTGAGACCGTCAATCGCTGCGGAAGGACGAGAAAAGGAGGACGCGAGGACGCACTTGGCGAGGTCGGCCTTGACCGACAGGACACGCCCACCCTCGGACGTCGAGCCACTGCGAGAGGAGAGTTGCCGAAGGAGGAAGGAGAGGGAAGGACAGAGTAGGCGAGGCAGGAGGAGGACAAGGAGAAGGAGGCAAGTTGACGATGAGCACGACGAGCCTGCGACAGAGAGCGAGAGAGAGAGAGAGCTGGGACGGACATGTTGATCATGAGGACCTCGTTCTTGGCGAGCTTCTGCACCTTGGTCTGCTTCTTGTCGTCCGTCTTGACACCGAGCAGCCGGCGGAGGAGGAAGTAGTTGACCTCGATCTCGGTGTAGATCGAGGGCAACGAGCCCTTGCTGCCGAGGACCTGGCCGACGAGGCGGTCGCCACGAGTGAGCTGCGGGTCGATGACTGCGGGAATGAGGGATCGAGTTAGTGTTGGTCCTCGAGAGGGTGGGAGGGACGCTGCTGTGAGCGCTTTGCCCGCCGGCCGACGCAGCTGTCGCCGGCGTCGGCACAGAGCTACGAGCCCGAGCCGAGATGGCCCTGCTCGAGTGCCGTCGAGCGCGCTCATCTGCCCGTGCCCTCCTCGCCCAAATGCCCGACCAACCACCGCCGACGATCAGCCGCTCTAGACGGCTCGGCTGCGTGAGAGCACGTCAAGAGCGGCCACGAGGGTCGCTCAGTAGAGCTCGGCCCTTCTCGACTCGGACAGGCTCGGCTCGAACGTGCTCTCGCCCGACCGCGCTCGGCCCGCTCAGGCCCCTCCCTCTCGCCCTCGCGTCCTGCTCCTCCTCTTGCTCGAGCGACAAACACGAAGGACCGGCCGACTCACGCGTGCCGACACCAATCAGGCCACCGGGGACGGCAAACTTGAGCTCGTTCTTCTCGGCGAGGAGCGACACGATCTTGCTCCGGATCGGCTTGCAGTTGATCTTGCCCTCGGCGTCCTTGGACACGACACCCGGGCGGACCTCGATCTCCTGGCCGAGCTGTGGGCGTGAGAGAGAGAGAGCGTGAGCTTCGCGATAGAGAGTGTGGGTGGGAAGAGAGGTAAAGAGTGGGGGACGCACCTTGAGGACACCCTTGAGGAGCGAGCCACCGGCGACACCGCCCTTGAGCTCGTGAACCTCGGCACCGGGCTTGTTGACGTCGAACGAGCGGATGACGATGAGTTTCGGCGCCGTCGCAAAGTCGCGCACGGGGACCGGGATCTTGTTGACGATGAACTCGACGAGCGCGTCAATGTTGTACCGCAGCTGGGCCGAGATGGGCACGATCGGGGCGCCGTCGGCGACGGTGCCCTTGACGAACTGGAGGATCTGCTGGTGGTGCTCGTCGGCCTGCTGCTCGCGGATGAGGTCGACCTTGTTCTGGAGGACGAGGATGTGCTTGAGCTTCATGATCTCGATCGCGGCGAGGTGCTCGGACGTCTGCGGTTGCGGGCACGACTCGTTGGCGGCGATGAGGAGGAGCGCGGCGTCCATGACGGCGGCGCCGTTGAGCATGGTGGCCATGAGGATGTCGTGACCCGGGCAGTCGACGAACGAGACGTGGCTGCGGGCGTTACTCGTCGAGTCAGTCCCTGTCGCGACGACACGGAGAGAGGCTGAGAGGGTCGAGGGACGCACCGCAAGAGCTTCATCGTGCCGCCGCATCCGGGAACCTCGCACGGCGGGTGGTCCTCCTTGTCCGACGAGTACGAGCGGAAGCTCCCTGGCCGCTCACAGCTCGGGTTCTCGCACTTGTAAATCTGCGTCGTGCGTCAAGGAAGGGTCAGTGAATGTGTGCGTCGAGGAGGACGGGCGCGAGGACGGACCTTGGCGTTGGCGTAGCCGAGCTTGATCGTGATGTTGCGCTCGAGCTCGTTCTTGAAGCGGACGGTGTGGACACCCGAGATGGCCTTGACGGTCTGCGACTTTCCGTGGGCGACATGACCTGTGCAGGGCACGAGAAGAGCGTGAGTCGGGGTGACACGAGGAGGACGGGGAAGGGGGAGACGGTGCGCACCGATAGTACCTGCAGGTCGAGAGAACCAAGGGGAGGGAGGGGCAAGGTGTCAGTGCGAGGTCACGACAAGGGCGGAACCGCCGTCGTGCTGCGTGTCGACCCGCACAGACGAGTGTGCGCTCCTCGGCGCAGATGAGCGCCGCCGCCCGCCCGACGACCTCGTGCCACTGCCCGCCGCGGTAGGTCGGCTCCCACTGAGCGTCCTGCCCGCACGCACACGTCTCCTTGCTCGAACGGGACGTTGGCGGGACGCCGCATGGCGGGCGGGGGAACAGAGGCGAACGAGCGTGACGGGTCGTGGCCGCCTTCCCTGGCGGCGCGAGCTGCTGCGCGCTGCGCCGAGACCGCGCACACGCTCACCAGGGACAAGTTGAAGAGGGAGAGGGACGGACCGATGTTGATGGTGGCCTGCTTGGAGATGACCTCTGGCGAGAGGGCGTGGAGGTGCTCGAGGTCGACGTCGACCTCGGGGATCAAGGCGAGTTCGGCGAGGCGGCTGGCGACGGTCTGGACGGTGGTCGAGTCCTTCTGGGACGAGCCCTGGGCCGAGGACGAGGCGGCGAGGTGGTCGTCGTCGTCCTCAGTTTCCGAGCCTGCGTCGGAGCGAGGTGCGCGGTGCGACTGCTGGAGCGGGGAAGGGGCGGCCATGTGTGGGGTATGGACGAGGTGCTGCACTTGTGCGGGTGCTTTTGTGTGGCTCTGGCGGGCGAGACGCGAGACGACGGGGCAGCAAGAGCCTCAGAGCTGCTCGTCTCGTCTCGACTCAAGCCCACCTCGACCGGCCAATCTCGCTCCCTCGCGCTCTCTGTTGTGCCATACAGTCCTGCGCTACTCGACCACACTCTGTAGCAGCCTGCTGCAAGTCGAACGAACCTCCCCCGTGCCCTGTGAGATGAGCGAGGCCAGCGCGAGCTCGACAAAGGGACAGTGGCTCTCTCGCTGCCTCGTCAAGCCGGTCCTTCGCGAGCGAGTAGTGCAAGCAGACATCACAGTGCCCCTGAGCGTCCACGCGAGGTACACAGAGGCGAGAGTGATCGTGTTGGCCTCGTCGCCGCCGTCGTCGTCGCGGTCCCCGCACTTCGCGCTCCTCGTCCTTGTCGACAACCCGCTGCCACGAGGCTCGAGAGCCAGCTCGCGATGCCGCTGTGGTCGCGCAGCTCGCCGCAAGCTCCGCCAGACTCGGCCCGCTCCCCCTCGTCGTCCTCGACCCACACGGACCGCGGCGAGGCGTCACCCCCACCGCCCGGCTTCCTCGCCAACCACCACCGCCGCAGCTCGTCCAACCTCGACACGGCCCGCACCCGCTCCGTGTCCGGTCCAGCCTCGCCCGGCCGCACCTCGTCCTCGTCCGCCGCGTCCAAGCCCCAGCCGCACAAGACCGGCCGCAACCAGCGCGCCCTCGTCGCCGCCCAGGCCGACGAGCTCGGCGCAGACGACGAGCCGTGGGACACCAACTCGGACGACGAGCCAGAGTCGACCCTCGTCGCCCGCATCTCGGGCGTCTCGCTCCACATTCCCTCGTCCACCGGCGCCCTCCCCACCTCGACCTCTGCCGCCGCGCCCTCGCCCACTTCCCCTACCTCGGCCACGACCCCGTCGTCGTCCTCGTGGTCCTTCAACCCGTTCGGCGGCGCGCGCGTCCCGCCCGCACCGACCCGCACCGCCTCGAGTTCGTCGTCCCTCTCGGCCGCCGAAGCCGTCGCCGCCGCGCTCAGCGGCCGTGCGCGCCCGAGCCCCGGGCCCTTGCCGCAGCCGCAGCGCGCGGCGAGCTACCTCGCGGGCGCGAGTCGTGTCCAGGAGGAGGCGGACAAGGTCGTGCGCGCCGAGGAGAAGCGCAGGAGCCTCGAGCGGCGGTCGTCGGAGCTCGGTGCGGGCGAGGTCGTCGATGAGCCCGAGAAGATGGCGCCGGCGAGTGAGGCGGCGGTCGCAGAGGACAAGGAGGCGTCGAAGCAGGCCGAGCGGGAACGAGAAGAGCGAGGAGAAGGGTGGGCAAAGGAGCAGTGCCGGCGGGCGATCCGGCGAGACGTCGACGACCTCGTCAAGGGTGCGTTTGCTACGTCCCTCTTGGCCTGTATGCGTCCACATGTCGAGTGAGACTGACCTTGACGATCTGGCGCAACTCGCACAGACCCGGCGCACGTTCTCGACCGACTCAAGACCACCTGGTTCGCCCCACCACCAGCTCCTCCCGTGGCCGCTTCCTCTGCCGCTCACCGCGCCTCGATCTCGTCCGTCGTCGACGCGTCGCCCAACCCGAACGGCGCCGCCTCGGACGACGACGACGACGACCCGACGCGTGGCTACGTCCAGCTCGACGCGCCGGCCCTGTCGTCGACCGACCCGTCCATCGTCGAGTTTGACGCGCCGCCGCCCAACCCGGACGACGAGGGCGAGCGCGGGCGCGAGAAGCGCCGCAGGCGCAAATTCCTCGACGTGCTCGAGAGCGACAATGTCGACCTCGGCGAGTTGAGGAAGCTCGCATGGAGCGGTGTCCCCGACGAGCTGAGGACCATGGTGTGGCAGTTGCTCCTCGTGCGTCCCACTTCCTCCACCTCCCGAGCGCGGCGTCGTCGTCGAGAGCAGGACTGACCTTCTCTTCTCCCTCGCCGACGCTCTCGCAGGGCTACCTCCCGGCACCCCTCTCTCGACGCGCCACGACCCTCGCCCGCAAGCGCTCCGAGTACGCCCAGCTCGTGCGCCAGGCCTTCTCGCGCGGCGTCACCGGCCTCGACGGGCCCATTTGGCACCAGATCAGCATCGACGTGCCCCGCACGCGGCCGGGCGTCAAGTTGTGGATGGCCGAGCCGACGCAGCGCAGCTTGGAGCGGGTCCTGTACGTATGGGCGATCCGGCACCCGGCGAGCGGCTACGTCCAGGGCATCAACGACCTCGTCACGCCGTTCTTCCAGGTCTTCCTCCAGAGCTACATCGGTGCGTCGGCGCGCTTCCTCTCGCCTCTCTCGACTTGTCCTCTCGTACCGCCTGGGCACTTGAGGCGAGCCGATACCTTGCTCGAGTCGCACCTACTCACGCCTCGACTGCCTGCAGACGCCGACCCGGAAACTTTCGACGTGTCGACGCTCGCGCCCTCGGTCCTCGAAGCCCTCGAGGCCGACTCGTTCTGGTGCCTGTCCAAGCTCCTCGACGGCATCCAGGACAACTACATCTTTGCCCAGCCGGGCATCCAGCGCCTCGTCAAGAAGATGGACGGTCTGTGCGCGCGCGTCGATGGTGCGTCGCCCTCAGTTCCCTCTTCTCAGCCTCGTCGCCTCGGGCTCGTCCCTGCGACGTGTCCGGAGCGGCTGGAGCGCCTGGCGACGAGGATTGACGCCTCTTCGGCATCGCCTGCAGCGCCGCTCGCCGCGCACCTCAAGGAGCAAGGCGTCGAGTTCATCCAGTTTGCGTTCCGGTGGATGAACTGCCTCCTCATGCGCGAGTTGAGCGTGAAGAACATCGTGCGCATGTGGGACACGTACCTCGTGCGTCCGCCTCTCTCTCTCTTCCACTCCTCGTCGCGCCGCCAGTCTCGAGCGCAGTCGAGCACGCGAGCTCACCTCCTTGTCCGCCGCCCGCAGGCCGAGGGCGGCGACGCCTTTTCTGAGTTCCACCTGTACGTGTGCTTGGCGTTCCTCGTGCGGTGGAGCGACACGCTGCGCGAGATGGACTTTCAGGTGCGCCGCCCGTTCCCCTCGCCTCGTCCGCTCGGCGTCCTCTCTCGAGGTGCCCAGACCTGACTAGACCTCGACCTCCTCGGCGCGCAGTCCATCATCATCTTCCTGCAGTCGCTACCGACGCAAGACTGGACCGACAAGGACACGGAGCTGCTCCTGAGCGAGGCTTTCCTGTGGAGCCGAACGTTCCAGGCGCGATGATGCCGGACTCGCCCTCGTGTAGACAGTCTTGCATAGTCTCTGCAACTCTAGCACTCGTCGAGATGCGTCGCCAGCGCAGCCGAGAGAAAAAGCGAGACCTGGACTTGGGCGTCACCGCTCTCATCGCGGGAGGGCAGTCTCTCTCTCGCTCTCGCTCTCCACCCGCAGCTCGCACTCCGCCCAGCGACTGCTGCACGAGCTCAAACAGTGCCCAAGAAGCACCAGAGCCCCGCCGCACACCACCTCGCCCTCGCCGCAACTCGCCCCGAGGCGACCATGTCCGACTCGTTCAACCCGCTGTTCGCCATCCTCGACGTGGCGAGCCGGTTCCTGCCCACCGCAGTGTCCGACCCGCTGTACACCCTCGCGTCGGCCGACCTCGCCTCGCTGCGGGACCACCCGTCGCAGCTCCTCCCCCTCGTCCTCTCGCTCCTCGCGGCGTGGACCGCGTTCTCGTCGTTCGTGTCGTGGGTCCGCTTCGGCCTGCGCACGAGCGTGTTCGTCGCCAAGTGGGGCGCACTCGGCGCACTCGGCACGGCGGCCTACATGGCGTACCAGGGCGTCGGGACCGACAAGGGCGCCGTCGGCGGCGCGCAGGACGCGGCCAAGTGGGCCACCATGGCCGGCCGCGGCATCTACTCGCTCGGGCGCAAGGGCGCCGGTTACTACTTTGGCGACAGCTTCGGCGCCGGGTCCGGCGCGTCGTCGGCGGCCCGCTCGCGCGCGCAGAAGCGCTCGTCGTTATCGTCGTCGTCGCGCCGCAAGACGGCCGCGCCCGCCAACGACGCGGGCTCGTGGGACTCGGGCCGCGACACGCAGGCCGAGGACTTTGTCCAGAACGCCATGGGCAGCGTGCTCGAGTTCCTCAACCCGGGCGCCGGCGGCGCGCAGGAGACGCTCAAGCGCACGGCCAAGCGGGCGGCGGCGGGCCTTGCGCATGGCGACGAGGGGGGGAAGAAGGGCAGCAGTGGCGGCGGTGGAGGCCTGAGCGGGCTCGCGTGGGACTTGGCCATGGGCAAGGCGCAGAAGGCGTGGGACGAGGTCGTCGGCGGCGCCGAGCCGGCACAGGGCAAGACGAAGAAGAAGGGCCCGCGCGTGTGGTAGCCGAGGTGCGCACGAGCTTCTCTCTTTTTCTTCTCCACCTCGTGACGACGATTGACGGCCTTTCCCTCCACCAGCTCGACCGTCGACCGCCTTGCCCATCCTCGACCGCATCCACCTTTCCTTCCATTCCTTCTCACGATCACAAGCTGTACACCCCCCACATTTTGCTCGACGACGTGCAAGTTCTATGCCCGACGTGCCCTCTCTTCTCGCGTCGAGCGAGCGAGTCCTCTCGGCGAGAGCGAGAGCCGGTCCGGAAAGCTCGAAAGCTCGAGGCGGCCTCTTCTCCTCTCCAAAGCTTCTCTGGCCGAGCGCACCTCGCAGTCGGTGCACGGTGAAAAGATCGATACAGCAGAGCCCTCGCGGCCCGCACCTCTACTCTACGTCTCGCTCGCTCGCCCGCCTTGCGCCCAGGGCGCCTCCTCACCCATGACCGCCTCGACGCCTCGCCGACCCGCCGCCGCCGTCTCGGCCCCAGCCCCGCTCAATCTCGGGCTCGGGAGGAACCTCGGCAGGGCTCCTGCGCCTGGCGCTGCCCCTGCTGCCCCGGCGGCTCCTGCTCCGGCCGGCGAATCTCCTCGAGGTCGCTTCGCCGGCGACAGCGGCGCGACCATGCCCTCGTCCGCTCCCGCTCCCGCTCCTGCTCCAGCTCCTGCACCAGCTCTGCCCCCCGCGCTCGCTGTACGCGAGTGCGCTGGCGCGCCCGTCGCGAGCGCGAGCCCGAGCGCGCTCCCATTGACGCCCGGCGGCGGCGGCGGGACGTCGGCGCCGCGAGCGGGCGAGGGCAGGTTCGACGCCGAAGCGGCTGCGCGGAACGCCGGGCGAACGAGCGGCGGGCCCTCCATCGGCGGCGGCGGCGGCGGCGCTCCCGCCCCTGCTGCAGGGCCTGCGGGGCCGGCGGCCGACCGTTCGACGGCGCGGCCTCGTTGCGCGCGTTGTCGGTCTGGAGAATTGACGAGCGAGTGCGGGTTCGAGATGGACAGGGCCGAGCCGGACGAGGGCGAGACGTCGGACGAACTCGGGGAGGAAGACGAGGGGCGGGAAGAGGGGTATGGGGGAGAAGGGGACGAGCGGTCGACGGGTGCGGCGCCTGGCGCGCTTTTGCTGCTCGAGGTATGCCCGTTGAAGGCGGCGTCGGCGGTGGACGGGTCGACGTCGACGTCCATGACCGTGAAGAGGGAGGGAGGAGGGTGGGCGAGGGCGACTGGCGAGAGAGGGTCGAGCGGCGAAGCAGGAGGCGGGATCTCGATTGCGGGAGGTGGAGGAGGTGTAGGGAGAGGGGCGGTCGAGAGGCGGTACTGCGGGTGGGCGTTGACGAGCGACGTGTAGTAGTGCGCGAGGACGGGTCCCGAGGTCTGCGACGGCGAGTCGTCAATCGGTGGCCTTGGCACCTCTTTGGCACGTCCGCGAGAGAGAGGAAGGAGAGACGCACCGTCAACCGCCAGTCGAGCGCCTCGCAGAACTCCTTCTCGAGCAGGTTCATCTCGACGACGCTCACGCCTCCGACGCGCGCGTACCGCCCGTTTGTGCAGAAGGCGTCGCTGAGCGCCTTGCTCCCGACGCTGATGGCGGCGATGATGAAGCGGTGGACGGTGAGGGACGAGACGGTGAAGGTTGGCAGGCGGGCGCAGACTGCGAGGGCGAAAGAGGTCAGCTAGGGACGGGGGAGGAAGGCGCTCGAGGCGAGGGAGGGGGACGGGACGAACCCTTGTCGACGTAGGGCAGGAGGATGAGGAGGCAACACGCCTCGACGTTGGTGAACTTGGCTATTCGGACGAGGTAGTCGCGGACCGAGATGTTGGGCGGCGCGCGCGAGTGGAACCGCGTGAGCGAGTTTGGCGTGAGCGGGATGCGGTCGTTATGTTCACGCAGTTTGTCGAGCATCGATGCTGTACTCGCAGGCAAAGTCAGTGGCCGTCCCGCACGCAAGGCAGAGGGAGCGGGGCGCACCTATGAGCGTGATGAGGTCGTCGACCTCGCAGTGCTCGAACGCGCCTGGGACCTCGCGCACGCCGTCGACCGCGACGACGGTAGGCACGATGAGCGGACCGTCGGCTCGGCGTGTCGGTGGCGGCCTGCGCGCAGGCGGTGGCCCTGCGCCCGAGCTGGCAGAGTGGGTCGACGGAGGTGCGGGGTGGGACGAGGCGGATCTCGGTCCTGGGGCTTGTCGGGCGTGCGGGTGGTGCGTGTGCGAGACGCGAGAAGGTCCAGCGACGGCGTGCGCGTTGGTCGGGTCGTGTGGTGCGCTCATCGCGGCGAGGGACCGCCTTGGCGAGGAGGTGCCGAGGGAGGCGAGGTGGATGGCGGGCTAGCGTCGGCTCGTGGACATGCGGCGGCTAGTCGAGGTGTCGCGATAGGTGCTCGTGGCGGTACAGCTTGTAGCCTGCCGCCCAGAGCTGCAGACGACGCGGAGGTCGGGGCAGAAGAAGGTCGGACCTCTCGCCGCCCGCGGAGCGGCACGTGGGCTTTCCTCAACTCGGCTTCTGAGGCTTGTAGACGTGCTCTTTGCAGCTGTGACAGCTTGCTCCGTACAGCAGGGAGATCCCGGCCTGTCTCCTGCAGAGGTGGCCGTCCGCTCCTCCTCGACCGGCCTGAGAGGCTGCGCTTCGGAACGCGAGCTGCGAGAGATCTATGGTTGCACGCCGTCTAGCTCGTCTACGCGCTCCGCCTCGCTCAAACCCATGGCGTCGACCGCCGCCTCGCGACCCCCATGCGCGCCGACAGGACGAGCCCGCACCCGGCGAGCACGACCACGCCGGAGTAGACAGCCGCGCCGACGTACGAGCCACTCGGTCCCTTTGCCTCCGAGATGATGTAGCCGGCGATGGGCGTGCCGACGAGAGCTGCGCCGCTCTGCATGAGGAAAGCCATGGCCTGTTGCGCGAGAGCAAGAAGGTCAGGGCGGCGCCGCGTCGAGACGAGGAGGACGGTCGCGGCTCACCATCCGGATACCGACCGTGCGCATGTCGTCGGTGAGGGCTGCAGTAGCGCTGTAGGAGAACCGAGTGTCAGTCCAAGTCCGCCAACGAGAGCCTTCTCAACTCGCGGCTCGAGGCTCGAGGGAGGAAAGAGAGACGCGAACTCACGCAGGCAGGAGCGCGACGAACGCGCCTTGGGCGCACCCGAAGCACAGGCTCCACACGACCGTGCCGGCGTCGTTCTTGAGCGCCGGGATCCAGCAGAACAGGAGGACGCCGGCGACGGTCGTAAACGGGACGAGGACGTTTAGAGGCCCGTACGAGTCGGCAAAGTACTGCAAGGGGGTGCGACACGTCAGGCCTCGAGCTCCAGGTCCAGAGTGGAGGAAAGAGCAGGACGCACAGTCGGGATCGTGCGGCCAAAGACGGACGCGGCGTTGAGGATCGAGAGCGAGTAGAACGCGATGTCCTCGGTGACGTTGTTGGCGAGCGCGTACTGCTCCGAGTAGAACAGGGGCGTGTAGAGGCCTGGCGCGAGTGAAGTGTGAGCTCGTGTTCGCCGAGGAGGAGAGCGCTCGGACCTCGCTGCTCGTCCGTCGCCGAGGGAGGAGAGGAGGACGCACCGAGCCAGACCGTCGCAGCGCCGGCGACGTACAGCGTGTAGCCGAGGTTGGCCTGACCGACGAAGACGCCAAAGTCGAGGAACTTGCCCGCAGGCCGAGGCGGCAGGCGCGTCTTGACCGTGAAGCAGGCGAACAGGATCATGCCAAAGTTGATGAAGCCGACGGCACGGATCGCCCAGCCCCAGCCGACCGTGCGGATGAGCCTTTGCAGCGCTGCTGGGTACATAACGCCGCCGAGAGATCTGTCGACGGGCGTGCAGGGGAGGTCAGTGCGCGAGACGAGGTCGAGGGAGGGAGCGAGGCAGAAGGGACGGACGAGCCCGTCGCGAGGACGCCCATGGCGAACATGCGCTTGCGCTTGAACCAGTGCGAGACGGCCGAGCACGCCGGCAAGAAGGTGAGGCCCGAGGCGAGCTGCGAGAGGAACGAGAAAGTCAGGCCACCGTCCTCTGGCTCGGCTCGTCCGACTCGAGAGAGACGAGGAGGACGCACGCCACTTGCCAGACCTTGGCTCAAGAAGATCTGCCAGTACTCGGTCGCGAACGACAGGCCAAAGAGGCCGGCCGTGTAGATGACGAGGCCGGCGAACAGGAGGTGCTTGACGTAGCCGGCATCGAACGCCTTGCCGGCGAACACGGCGCAGAAGAGGTTGGCGGCAATCTGGAAGGCGCCGATCCACGCGAGGTCCGACTCGCTGCGGCACAAGAGGCGGGAAGAGTGAGCTCGTGGGCCGGGAAGAGATTCGAGGGGGAAAGGCGCCGACGCACGAGTGGTCCGACAGGTTGTTCTGGAGGAGGTAGCTCAGGAGCACGCCGAAAGAATTCGGGTAGCCGAACGCCGTGAACGAGATGCACCAGGCGCCGGCGACGACCCTGCGGCAGTAGGCGCGAGCGCAAGGTCAGTTTCACGATCACCAACTCGACGACGACGCATGAACGAGGAAGCTGCGCGCACAGCCATGCTTCGAGTCCTCCATCAGGATAGTCGTCGGCTGGCGGCGCAGCTGCGATGCCGTCCACCAGGCCCTTCTCGGCGTCGCCACCCTCGCTCGCCGCTCGTCGCGCCGCCTCCTTCTCCAGCGCCACCTGGTCGGTCGTCTCGAAATCGGTCGGCAGGTACTGCTCGAGGTGCTGGTGCGGGTGGGGAGGGAGGTGCGGGTGCGGCAGGTGGTGAGGGTGCGCATGATGGCGCTTCTTGGCCATGGCGAGGTGCTCGTCGTCGTCGTCCTCGACAGCGTCATCGCGCGCCTTGCCCAGGTCGTCTGCGAGGACCGCCGTCAGGCCATGCGCAGGCAAGTCGACGAGTGTCGGGGTGCGCGAGACGGCGGTCGAGGGCGAGGGCGAGTGGACGGGCGTCGTCTCGTCGGCGGCCCAGGAGGAGCGGGGAGCGTCGGCCATCGAGCGGCGCGCGTGTCGGTCGTGCAGGTGGTGCGAGGGGGAGGGTGGAAGAGCTCTGCATGGCTGAAGTCAGTGCGCCGCTTGTCCGACCCCGCATTCCACCTTTAAGCCGAGCTTCGGCAGCTCGGGCTCGCTCGCCGACCTCTCTCAGCTCGTGGAGCCTGGCGCAGGCCGTGCGAGCGGTGGCCGGTGCAGTGACGCACTCGCAGCAGGTTGTGGATGGCTTGTGCAGCCGGGCACAGCGGGCCGAGGGCGTGCGGGCGAGGGAGGGCCGCAGAATTGATGGGAGGCGAGGTGGGCGAGCGGCGGCTCACGGTGCGCCGCGCATCGCTCGAGGCCGCTTGTTGTGCTCGAGAGGACGTCGCAGAGCTGGCTGGAGGCGGTCGGCATCGCTGCGCGGCGAGCTGAGCAAGTTTGGAGCAGAGCGAGAGCCCCACAGCTGGTTCTCCGCACGAGGCGAGGCGGAGAGCAAGCGCAAGCCGCGGCTTCTGCTGAGCGGTGGTCGTACAGGACGCGCACAACGTGTACACATAGCGACGTCGAAGCAGGCGACCAGGACGAAGAGAATGAGCCCGCCGAACAGAGGTCAAAGCGCACACCTCGCTCGAGACGTCGCAGCTCTTGCCAGCCAGCGAGGGCATCCGTCCGGCGTAGCTCGTCTCGTTACAGCGACTAACACTGCCTCGCCGCTCTACTACACCCAGAACCGCCCCTTCTCCCGACTGACGACCCACCACGCCGCCGCGTTGAAGCAAGAGCCGACGAGCGTCAGGCTCCCTGCGACGCACATGGCCGCGACGTACGACCCGTCGCTCCTCGAAATGATGGCGCCCGTGATGGGCGTGCCGACGAGGGCGGCGACCGAGATGATTAGGAACATTGTCGCAGTCCTATGTCCAACTTCGCGCATGTCCTTCGTGAGGCTCGCGACGAGCGCCGGCATCATCGAGACGTCTGTGGGCGCGGTGCGACAAGGCAGGGTCAGGGCGAGTCCGGCGAGAGGTTCGGTGCGGCGCTGGCGCTACGCGAGAGACGGGCTCGAGGCGAAGAGAAAGAGGACGCACAGGCGCCCGAGGCGAAGCCGAACAGGATCGTGAAGGCGACGAGGCCTCCTGCCGACTTGCACATGGGTAGGAAGAGAAAGATGAGGACGCCCGACATGAAACAGTGCGGGACGAGGACCGTGAGCGGGCCGTACGTGTCGGCGAGCCAGTTGGGGATGATGCGGCCAAAGATGGACGCGGCGTTGAGGATCGAGAGCGAATACAGGGCAAGGTTGCTGCTGACGCCGTATTTGAGCGCATCTGCGGGAGAGAGAGAGGTGTCAGTGACCGTGCCCGTCCAGGAGGCCGGGAGAGAGGGGAAGGGCGCGCACAGTCTTGGATACTGCAGTGGGTGGAGCGAGGCAAGGTGGGGTCAACGTCCGCTCGTGACGGCTCGAGGATGGCGAAGAAGAGGACAGGTGAGGGCGCGAGACGCGAGAGGGTCGGGAGGCAGTGTCGAGGTGGAGGACTGGGAAGGAGAGGAAGAGGGTCGAGAGAGAGGACACGCACTAGAAGTAAGGGCTGTAGAGAGCTCTGCAGGGCCAAGGGTTCGAGGCGTCAGTACAAAGTCGAGAGAAAGGACAGGGAAGGAGCGCGACGCACAGCATGATGATGGTCTCGCCGATGGTGACGAGGAGGAACGCCTTCTCGCGCAGAGGGCTAAAGTCGAAGATCTTCTCGACCTTGCGGGGCGGTAGTCGCGAGCGGACCGTGAGGATGGCCGTGACGAGCATGGCCAGGGTGAGGAAGGCCGCGACTCGCACGGTCCAGCCGAACCCGATGCGCGGGAAGAGCTGGTTGAGCAACACAGGGTACACTATCCCTGCGGGCACGAGGACAAGGTCAACGACAGGCTTTGAGAGAGGCAGAGGACAGGCGTGACGCACCTCCGAAAGAGCTGCCGGTCGCGAGGATGCCGAGCGCCGTCGCCCTGCGCTTCTTGAACCAGTGCGAGACGGACGACGCCGCCGGGATGAAGGCCATGCCGGCGCCGAGGCCGCACGCGACGCCTTGCCCGAGGAAGATCTGGTAGTACTGCGTCGCCTCGGAGAAGCCGAAAAGCCTGCGGGCGAGCTGGGAATGAGCGTCGTCGCGAGAAGAAGGGGCCCGACCGCGAACGCCGCCGACGAGATGAGGGGATGAGACGCACCCTGCGGTCCAGCAGCATGCGGCACCGGCTAGAAGCCAGGTGACGTAGCCCGCGTCGAACGCCTTGCCGACGAGGATGGCGCAGGCGAGGACGAGCGCGAGTTGGAGAGAGCCGATCCACGAGATGTCGGAATGGCTGTACTCGGACAGCTGGTTGGCTTGGTAGTACGTCTGGAAGACGCCGTACGCGTTCGTGAAGCCCTGTTTCGCGCAGAGGGAAGTCAGCGAGCTGCGGGGAAGCGACGGCAGGGCGCCGTTCGCGTGCTTGTGTGCAAGCGAAAATGTTGGACGCACCCAGGACGTGAAGCTGATGCACCATGCGCCGCCGACGACGCTGCGAGAGGAGAGCGTGATGGGTGGGAAGAGGGAAGGGGAGGAGTCAGTCGAGGAGAACTCGGCGAGGCGAGTCTTGAGGGCAAGGGACGCACCTCCATGCCCTCAGTCCCCCATCAGGATAGTCATCCAGCACTGGCGCCGCCTTCTCTGCGTCCCGCGGCGAGTGCGCGGCCTCCTCGCTCGTGCGCCCGCCCACGCTCAGCTCGCCCTTCTCGGTCGCCTCGGACGGCTCGATGGTCGCGGTCGTGTGCTCTGAGGGTGCTTGGAATGATGCTGACGGTAGCTGCTCGGCGAGGTGGTGCGGGTGAGGAGGAGAGGGCGAGCTGGCCCCCCTTGGAGTCGGCGGAGGTGGGGAAGACGGCATCTCGACACCGTGACCGAGTCGCGCGGTTCGTGGGTGCGGCGCGTGTAGTGTGCGGGTACGAGGGCGCAGCGGTGCACTGGCGAGCAAGCGTGGACGAGAGAGAGAGCTCGAGAGGCCGCGGTTGTCGGCTCAGCGCTCAGCTGGCCAACTCGGCCGTGCCTTCGGCACGCCCGGCGGCCGCAAGTGGCCGCAGCTAAGTTAGCTTAACGATTCGGTAAGCCCGCGAGCTATTTCAATCGGCCTTGCGGCGTAATGCTCAAAGTGGATCTGCTCCCTCGTCCGCGCACTCCTCGTCGCCTGCATCTCCCAGCTTGCGGCTCTTTGCGGCGAGTAGTCTGCGAACAGCTGCGGCCGCGCGCACTGCTTGCTGAGCACAACCAGCGAGACAAGATCGCGGCGCACAGTCCGCCTCGCCCGTCACGAGCCGCTCAAAGCTCGACCCTCCCTCGCCGAGCAACCCGGACGAGCGCCTCGCTGCCGCCATGCCTGGCTCCCTGCTGCCCCCGAGAACCTCGCGCCACGCTCTACGGCCCGCTCGAGCACCGCTGCGATGGCCCCTCGCGCCCGCCTCGTCTTCCAGCTCGCCCCTCCTCCTCCTCCCGCCGGCCCTGCTCCCTCGCCGACGAGCGGGGCGCGTGCAGATCGACCTCGCCCTCTTCCACACCCGCCAGCCCAGCTCGCCAGCCAAGGCGTGTTCTCGATCCTGCCGGCGGGCGGTGCGCGGGTCGGCGCACGCGACGTGCGAGTTCCGGCGGGTTCAGCGGTCGAGCGAGTCGGCAAGGGCACGGTCGCGCTCGCCGAGTCGGCCGAGGGGTTGAGATGGGCGGGCACGGACCAGCAGGGACGGCCTGGGCATTGGACCCTGTGGCTCCTCGAGTGCGCACCCTCCTTCTCCTCATCCCCTTCGCGCACGTCCTGACCGCTCGCGTGGCAGCGCGACCGAGGGCGACGTCCTCGCGGTGGAACGTATCCTTGCCACCTCTCGCCCGCACCCCGCCCGCCCTCAAGCGCATGTTCACGCGCGACAAGCTCCTCCTCCGCCTCGCCTTCGCAACTCGATCCTCCTCTACGACGAGTCGAGTCGATCCGCCCTCGCCATCCTCCCCCTCTCGTCGCCGCCTACATCTGCCAGCTCAACGCCACCTCCACGCCCGCCAAGGCCGCTCACGCACTCGCACTCGCATATCGCCCCCTCGCCGACGCACCATCCCTCTGCCGCAGCCTTTGCCGCATACGTCAACCACGTCTCGGCATCGATCCACCCGAGCCCGACGCCCGAGACGCTCCGCCGCGACGACCGCGTCGCTCGGAGGGAGATCGAGCGCCTCGCCGCCGAGGAGACGGCCGACGACGAGCTGCGGCTGCCGCCGGCGCCCGAGATGCTCGAGCTCGTCGTGCTGCCCAGCGTCGACGGGCTCGTCGACACGAGTGTGACTGCGGGTGCGGCCAGTCCGGAGGAGCCGAGGTGGCGAGACGAGCGCGACGTGCTCGTCAAGGGGCTCGAGCGGCTTGACCTCGAGACGGAGCTCGCGAGGCCCGTTCTGCACGGCCCGTCATCAGTCGTCGCCTCGCCGCCGCACTCGTCTCGGCAGGGGTCGAGCTGGACGGTCTCGAGCTGGGCGACGCGTGGGACCGAGCGCTTCATGACGGCGGACGAGGGCGGTGTCGAGGACGGGCTGCTCGAGGACGGGCCGGCGAGCGCTTTCACTGCGAGGGCCGACGACGACGCGACGCCTCGGCCCAGCTACCTCAACACTCGTCCTCCCGTTTCGACGGCGTCACCGACCTCGCTCGCCGATCCTGCCTTTCAGTTCGACCTCGCCCACACCCTCACCAACGGCAATGCCGTTCTCCTCTCCTTCCTCGGCGGCCCCTCCCTCGTTCTTCCCGTTCCTTCCTCCTTCTCTGCAACTTCGCCATCGCCGCCGCGGCGAGTCGCCGTGAACGACCGACGGCGGCCTCCTTCTCCGGGTCAAGCTTGGACCAGTCGAACAGAACGCTCGCGAGCGTCTGTGCAGCGTCCTGCGTCGGGCAGACGAGGAGGTGTAGCGAAGCTTGGTGGTAGTCGAGCTCTGCGTCGAGGTGCGGGACGTGGTCAGCCACTCTGCGAACCGACTCGACGAGAGAGAAAGAGAGAGCAGGGGCGCAACCTTTGTAGAGCGTCTCGCC